GCTTCTTAAGAATTCGACACATGTCTTGTTCTCTGTTCTTTAACAAAGGATGAGAAGCAAAGTCATCTAAGATAAGAAGACATCTGTGAGGGTAAGTCTTCCAATCGTAAGATTGCAATTTCTTCGAAAGGTACTCAATCTCTTTCTGTTTGTTTCTGAAGTGTTTCTTCTCTAATATTCTCTGCATTTCCTCATTTGGGTCTTTAAACTTAGAATTGACATACTCATTTATAGCATTGTACTTCAAAACTCTTCTTTGGTACTTCTTTATCCAATCTAACAACTCAGAGTCTTTTATACATACTAACTTAGACTTTTTTATAATATCTTTGAACGAATTGACTGTTTGGTCAAATTGACCAGAAGTACTACAAATGACTACTAACTCATAGAATGGGTTCTTCTCATCTAGTTCTTGTTGTTGTGCAGCCATTTTAAGATAAGTGAAAGTCTTACCCGACCCAGGTGGTGCAATTAGACCTGTTATACCATTCTGAGCAAATAGGAACTTGTCATGTATGGTTTTATCTGAGCATTTTCCAACTTCCTCTTGTTCTTGTTTAAAACATTCTCAAATTTCTTGTCAATGTCAGCAAACTTTTTTTCTAACATATTTTTAGAAAAATTAAAATTTTTATCTTTTAGGAAATGTCTAGCGATTTCGCTATCTATATTCGAGACAAGCTTTTCGACAGCAAAACATCTGTCGACCATAAAATCTTACATAGTGTAAACAAGAAAGGGGAATTTGTTCTAAAGTTCTGTTTCTGGGAATATGACAAGAACCATAAAACCTTAAGCAGAGAAGTCTTAAAATTTGTCAATGACAGACTTGTTGACAGAGATGACGCCTCTTGGAGAGATGAAGTCCAACAAAACTTCTTAGAATGCAAAGAAGACACATGCGCTGTTCTTGAAAATGAAATAGAAAACAGAATAGAAGAGCTATTAAAGGACAAAGACCTTTTACAAAAATATGGTTCTGAGAAGTTTGACATAACTCCACCAGAAAAGAAGAAGAGAGAAAGGAAAGAAAAGAAAGTAGAAGAAGAGAAGAAAGAACCAGAGCCAGAGAAAAAGAAATTTGACATGTAAAAATAAAATTTTATTTTTAGAACATTTCTGGGTCAATGTCAATGTTCTCTTCCTCTTTAGGAGCAAACACTGGCTTAGACTCTAAAATCTTTTTACCCAATTTACCTTGAACTTCAACTATCTTAGACTCATAATATTCATAGTCGTCTGCTTTCTTTGGTTCATAAGGTATAACAAGTTTGTATGCTTTGCCTTCTTTAAGGTTTGAAAACCTTCTGTCAAAACTTTCTTTGACTGTTAACAAACCTTCTATGTCTAAGTCTTCAAATTTTCGCACCATTTTTAGTCACAATAGCAAACTTAACTGGTTCGATGTTCCAAACTTTGTCAAATGTAGACTTTCAAAATGGTAGAAGTAAACATTCAAATATGTGAATGGGTCTAGTTCTTCTTTAAGTCCTGACATATACTTGTTGACTGAGATGAATTTCGTCATCTTTTCTATCGGATAAAAAAATATTTTTTTTAAAATTTACTCAGAAAAATTTTCTTTGTATATACACCATTCTGTACGTCTAAAAGATTTTTGACATTTGCCAAGAATGTACGTTTAGACGCTGTCATATAACCATACTCTTGGCCAATATTGTTTATACGAATCGTACAATGACCTTTCATCTAAACACTCAAAGTCAGTTTCATCTATGAACAGTTCATATACACTCTTGTTTGCTTCTAACAATGTTTGTCTCTCTTCGGTATGTGGAATTTGTCTTGGATTGAACTTTGAAATATCTAATGTCATGAAATATGAGAACAAGTGGTTGTAAAAGTCAGATGTCAAAGTTTCTGCTAAGTCGTCAAAATATTCTGTATCTTGCATATGAGAATCTGACGTTCTGACAACTACATATCTTCTGTCAGAACTTTCTAACTTCATCGGAACAGCGTTGTTTGAAACCATAATGAAATTTGCAACATTTTCACAAACTCTTTGGTCTTTATATTTTCTTTCAACAACTCCAACTTTGTCTGTTATAAGACTCTTCAAAGCATCTGAGTTTAAAACCTTTGTTGTATCTATACTTTGAAGTTCGTTACATACTATAAGTTTCATATTCTCTATTGAGGAGTTAAATTTACCGCAGATGTTTTCTAAGTTTGTCATATTAGGGTTCGAATAGCCCTCTAACAGTTTGCATAAGATATCTGTAAAGAAAGTGTTCTTACCTGTTCCCTGTTTTCCAATTACAATGAGAGCAGTTTCATTTTTAGCACTTGGATGTTGTAAGATGTTTGCAAACCAACATAAGATATACTCATAGACTCTTTCGTTTCCATTGCATATAATTTCTTTGACATGGTCTAACCAAGCTTCTATAACATTTTCTTTCCATTCTACTTGTTCGTATTTATATCCAGTGAAGATAGAATAGAAGTTTGGAGAAGGTGTATAAAACTTTATACCACGAACTGAAAAATCTTCTAACTTTGACAATAAGATATCCCAAGCATCTAACATCTTCATACCAACTTGTACGACTTTTATTTTCTTAAGTTTCTGTTTACATTCTTGTTCTGAAACTATTGTCGCTTTAGGTTTGTTAAAGACTACATCCCATTCTTTCATGACATAACATTCTGGGGCAGAGTCGACATAAATGACTAAACGTTTCAAATTCTCGACTGCTTTGTTATAGTCTCGAAATGGACACATATTTCTGAACGCTTGGAAGTCATAAAAATCTGAAACGTCTATTCTGTACATTTTTTTATAAAAATAAAAAAAAATATTTTTTTTATTCTTGAGCTATTTGTTGTTCTTGACTTTGTTGTTGCATTTGTTCCATTTGTTGCATTTGTTGTTCTTGAGCTATTTGTTGTTGAAGTTGTTCTTGTAGTACAATACTTTCACCAGTTGCATCTTCCAATTCGAAACTTTCTGCCGTCATTGACAAATACATAGGACATAAAAGTTTTACAGGAACAAAGTTTGCGTCAACTAAGGTTAAGTTTATGTTTGCTAAAGTGTTTGAGTTCACTAAAGCTGAAAACTCTGCATTCGAATGAACAATAGGCAAACCAGCAGAGAAAGTGTTGTTTATACGCATGAGTATCTTTTGGTCATAGTAGTTTCTGTCGACATTCGAATAGCACTTTGAACCTAAGTTTGAAACAATATATAAAATAGGTGTACTTAAAGTCAATGGAACAGACATTCCTTGTATGACACCTTTTCCTGTTATAGGAAACTGTTGGTAGTAAAAACCAGATATAAGTTTTGTATTATAGCTCATATCGTTTATACTAAACTCAGTCGGACATCCAAACATAATGAAACCTGCTCTAGTTGCAGCACATGTTACATCCGTCCTTAAAGTATTAAATAAGTCAACAAAACCTGTTGGTGGTATATCTGAGTAAGTATCTTCAAAGGAGTATTTTTTACCATTCACAACAATAAAATCTTCTGGTGTCAAAAGAGCAAAACAGGCTTTAGTCGTCATCGTGTTTAAGGTCAGTTTACAATATCGTCCTTGAGGACTTTGTAAGTTTGTTGTTATAGAATTATATGACTCAGGGTTTTTAGTCGTAATAGTATAAACCACTATGTCTTCTGCCATTTACATATATTTAAAAGTTTTTCTGAAAGTGGAGAAGAACTTCATCTAAACTTTCACATGGCGTTTCTTGAAGTTCTCTGTCTAAGAAGTTCAAATATTTTGTAAAGACATAGAACTTTCCTTTGTCTACACGAACAAACAAAACAGGGTCTTTCATATCGTTCAAAAGTGTGTAAAGTCCTTTACATGAAATAAAGTCTATATTGTTTTTCTTCAAACATCTTTCAAGAAGTTTTGACATTTTTACTTAGCAAACAAACTTTAATGAAATGTTGTGGTCGTCAAATATTTTTATGACGTCTGGGAAACTATATTTTAAGTTCAACGTTTCACCTCCTTTCATAACGTATATCTTGTCAATGACATTATATGAAACACCACAGCAAGCAATGTCGGGTTCTATTTCTTTGATGTTTATATCGTCTGCCTCTGTCAAAAGTTTCAATAGTTCTTTCAAAATTTCATGAGGTGCAATGACATATGAGTTCACTTTTACAGGGTTGTGTCAACCAAGTTTAACATTATACCCAAAGCCTGACAAATCTTCTCCTGAGTTTTAAGTTTGTCTTTAAGTTGTTGGTAGTCGTTTCGAATATCTGCAACAGAACTTAAGTCTCTGCTAACTTCAGGATATGTTGGTTGTTCTTTTACAGGAACTATTGTTATACCATCTTCGTCTTCGTATGGTTTCCCCACTTCAACATCTCTGTCTTTGACATTGACAACAACACTTTGACTGTTTGTTTGAGTTGGTGAATTTAACTTCACATCTGCCACCGCCATTAAACCTTTTGAAACACTTACGCTTCTATTTTTCGGAAATGACATTTTACTTAGAATAAAAAGATGGACGTATTTGAGTATCTCTTCGAATTGAAGCAAAACAAAGTTTACACACACAAACAATACAAGTTCATTGACAGAGTAGTTCTTTACACAAACAATGGAAAATGTTATAGAATAGCAGTCTTTGCTGAACCAAAATATTTTCATAAAGCAAAGAAAGTTGGTATAACCGAGATGGTGAAAGTTCTTGACGTTGACAAAAATATAGCAACAAAACTGACCGATATTTCTAAAGGTAAGTTTTTAATACAATATTATCAAACTGGCGTACTGTCAATATTTGACGGAGAGAAGTCAGTTCAAGAACAACTTACTGACCTGCTGCCAAAATCTGCTCGATGGAAGCTGTCGTTATACCAATCTGAGGAGCCCCAGCAGGTTTCATCGAACGAATTTCAAAAGAGCATCTTCCGTGAAAAGTGCTATTGGTTTTGTAAACTTCTTTGCTTTCAATTCATCTGGACCGTCTCTGTCACCAGTATATTGTATTTGAACTGTACCAACAGTTGAAATACCACCCATAAAGTCTTCTGAGTCAGCAAATGGAATGCCAAGCCAAAAGTTTGAACGGTCTCCATTTGTATATTGAGTTTTTTGAGCTCCTGTATGAGTCCATACTTTCACATATGGCATAATAGAACTTTGCATTTCAGGGTTAATGGTTGTTGTGAAGTTGTTGTTAAAGTTCATAGCATCTAATGTCAAGTTGTATGACCTCATATCCTCAACTGTAGAATATTCTTCTCTTGGATAGTATTTGCCATCTATGTTTATATGATATTTAATACCAGGGTTGTAGAAGCAAGAATAGTCATTTATAGTTCGTCTGAACAGTACAAACATAGTATCTGCATGTTTCATTGCAGTTGTTAAGGCAATATCTGTTCTTGCACCTGGGTCAGCACTTTGGTTTCCAACTTCACCTGCAAAGTCTTTGACAGATATTTGGTGTATAGGGAACATAAGTGGAACTGCAATATATTTGGCAGCTAAAGCATTTGAAATATCTGGGTCCAACATATAGACTGCAAGTCTGCTTTCTATTCTCTTGCATTCAAATTTTTCGCATGTGAACTTAACTGGGTCCCAAGCAGTTCCAGCAGCATTGAAATAATAGTTTACTTCAGTGTTGAGGTTTGAGAAACCAAAGTCTAAGTCAACTTTGTCTTTGCAAAAGTCGGCGAATGACATTTTATTTGTTCCACTACTTCTGTAAGAGTGAATGGGTCTTGTGTTGGTGCAATGACTAAGTTATTTTTGCTTGGAGTAAGTTCGATAGAAATTTTTCCTGCCCAGTTTGGCAAGTATCTTAAAAACCTGAAGATGAGGAAAGATGACAAAGGAACTCTAAGTTTCAATTTTACTTTGGTTACTGCTGCTGCATTTTGTCCAGAAAGGTTAACATAAACTCCTGGAACGTTAGGGTCAAGTCTTCTTATTTTCTCAATAGTTGCATACTGGTCTGTTTGTTCTCTAGCTTGTGGTTGTACTGAGTTTCTCAAAGCGAACCATTCATAGTTTGCCCATGTTACTGTTTGAACTAAGTCAGAGTTAGAATATATCTTATATCCCATGAAAACTTCTGGAGCATATTGGTATCCGACATAGAAAATTCCATTGCAACCTTTCTTGTCAGACAACTTGGCAGAAGGTTTTATTTCAATGTCTTGTTCCACGTATAAGAAAGAGTTGTCAATAGAAATTATATGAAACCTGTCGCAAGCAATATCTACTGTTGTTGAAGAACCTTCTCCAAACTCACCTACGTTTCCATAAGAAACAGCAGTTGTATATTCGTAAGTTCCAGGAACTATTTCTGACCTTCTAATGGCATTGTCGCATTCGTTATACCATTCGGAAACATTTCCATTCATGCATCCAAAACTGTTGGCGTTATATTCTGAGCGGCGTACATTTCATATGTAAAAATATAGAATAGTTGGATTTATATGTCATAATAGAACCCACGTGGACCAAGCTTTACTTTCTTCCTGACTGAGTTTTTAACTCTTCTTTTTCCTTCATTGCCACTACTTTCACTAGATGAAGTTACTTCTTCACTACTTTCACTTTGTTCTACTCTTCTTCTTTGGTGTCGCTTTGGTAACTTGCCCTCTGCTTCAAGTTGTTGCATCTTTGCCTCATGTTCACCTAGTATGTTGCAAATTTCCCATGTCCTTTTTGCCTTTGGGCTCTGGTCGCCCATCTCAGGTAACCTATATCCTAGAAAGAGTTTGTCATAGTTGTATTTGAGTCTTCGCGTATTGTTTGCATGACTCTTTCCTGAGTTTCCGGTTCAAGCTCTTCAAACAGTGCCTGTCCATATGGAATAAGCTCGTTTCCAAATATATGTTTTTGTAGCCATTCTGGTTTTCTTTCCATGTTACCAACTATATCTTTTGTGAATGGGAAAGCTTTTACCCAATCTTTCAGTCTTGCGTCGTTTATTTCTGTAGTTGGTTTTATTTTGTCAAGGAACATGTTTTTCAATACTAACATTTCATTTGGTACTGTCCATTTGAGTTTTCTTAAATATTCATCCCTTCTCGTTCATTGTCTGCAAAGTAAGTTTTTATGACATTTTGTAAACTTTCGTTTGCAAGGTCATGTACAATAGGTTCTCTTCCTTCTCTGTCCATAACTTTCTTTCTAAACTCTTCACCAAATATACCATCTCTATGGTTCTGTGTAGTTCTTTGAGATAAATGTTCTAGAACGTCAGGTGTTATATTTCCATCAGCCATGTTCATTTCATACTGGTCCAAAATATCTGCATGTTTCATATCTTTCAATGGCATTAAAGCCGCGCTTAAAATACCAGCTATATCTGGTTCACCATTCAATTCCATTGCGTCTACAACTTCTTGGAATTGTGGTTGTAAGTTTATGAACCACCTATCCGGATTAGCTTTATGACCCCATCTCATTGTAGTTCCATCGTCTGCAGAAACAAAAGTAGGTTTGTTTCCATCTTGGTAGGTTCTGAATGAACTTTAAACAATGTTTCATTTCTATATGTTTTCTTGAAATTTAACCTTTTATTTTCACCGAGTTCATCCAAAGATTGAACGTTAAATGCTCGTAAGTAAAAAGGGTTGTTGTATTTGTGTACATTTTCTTTCAGTGCTTCCATTCTATGCTGAATATTTTCATCTGGTGTGGAGTCTTTTGTATGTCGGCAAACATTTTTCGATATTCTTCTACTATGTCAGCCGAATTTTTTTTAGACTCTTGGAAATATTCCATATTCTCCGCATACTCTTGTTGAGGGTCAAGATTTTTCGGCTGTTCCAAATCTTCATCTAGTTCTGTGAAGTTAGTTTCCAAAGGAGTGACTTGTTCGTTTCCTTCAGGCTCTTCTAGCTGTTGTTGCTGAACTATTTCTTCCATGTCTGGTTGTATCTGAACTTCTTCCTGTGGAGTTTCTTGTACCTCATCTGCTGGCATTTCATATATTCCGAGACCGTTTTCAACAATTTCCCTATCTACGTCATCCGCATTCATAAGCTTTTGTTCTTTCGTTCCGTCTCTATTTTTTACGCGTTTCATGACGAAAGTTGAATTGTCATTTAGCTCTGACATCAAATATCTCGGAGTAAATTCATCCATGTCATTTGGATGATATGCTATTAAATCATATCCCTTAGCGAGCTTGTATTTTCCAGGTTTGAGATTATATCCGTTTTGGTGCTGAGCCATAAAGCTAAATAGGTTCGGGTCAGTATTTCCATCCTTGAACTTTCCAATAGCTTCTTTATATCTGTCACTAAAGTCAATACTATCTGGGAAACCACACTCTTCTTTAAGCATTTTTAAGAATTCTTGGTTTCCTTGTTCTCTACTTCTTTTATGTCCTTGCTCTGTTTGTGGTTGTTGTTGTGCAGGGTTTTGAACTGTTGGTTGCTGTGCTGGTTGTTGTGTTGGTTGTTGTGCTGGTTGTGGAGGTGGTTGTTGTGCTGGTTGTTGTGTTGGTTGTTGTGTTGGTTGTTGTGTTGGTTTTGGTGCATGCCTGTGTCTGTGTCCATGTGACGATGTAAATGTTCTAGGTAGTCCTGGTGCAGGTGCTTCTCTTGGAGGGTTTGGTGGTATATAAGTTCCACCAGCTGGCACATATGTTCCATCTGCAGCGTAATGTCCTACCTGACTTTTCGTTCTTAAGAAAGCATTTACTAGGTCTGTTTTGGTCTGTTGTAACTCTTTTTCTTGACTTTTCACAACAGTTGCTCTAACGGCGTCATAGGCACTTTGAACTGCCTGTCTCGTTGCTGCATCTGTTATTTTCGTCATATTTTGTGCTACTTCTTTTAACTCTTTGTCGAAACCTTCAGACTTCAGTTTCTTTCCAGATGAGAAGTCGTTCACTTGTTTCACCTTACTATGAAGAGCTTCGAAGGCGTTCTTAAAGTCAGCATTTGTTAAAGCTTCATTTGAACTGTCTTCATCCGCTTGTATTTTTGTCCTTATTGACCCTATGAGTTGGGCTGCTTTAGCGTTGGCTTGGGCATCTAACCAGTCATTGTTGGCTTTTATATATTCTGCGCTTTTCATTGCCTTTTGCATAGCCGCGTCGTTATTTTTACTTTCTTGTGCTAAGTTTTCATACTGTACGGTTTGGTTTTGCAACTGTAAAAGTTTTTCTGCCTTTACATTTGCTTCAACTTCTTTTTTATACTCATCGCTATCCATATATGTCTTCAGGGCTTTTTGTTTTATCTCTTCATCTTTCAGTATTTTATATTGAGTAGTATGGTTTTTCAAATTTATGACATCTTGTTCCATTTTTGCTACTTCTGCTGCTTTTTCTGACACTTTTTTCGCATATTCCTCTGTACTTAGTTCTTTCAGTTGTTCTTCTTTTTCTTTTTCTCTACGTTTAACTCATTGAGTTTCTTTGTGTGTCTGTCATATTCTAGTTTCTTTTCGTTTTCACCTATTTGCTTCTGTATGTCTATGTTTGACTTTTTGACATCTGCTATTTGATTTTTGAGTGAACTCAAATTCATTTGACTTTGAGGGTTATAGGCTGTTCCGTCTGCAGCTCCACCATAGCCTGCCATTTTCGCTAAAAGTGCCGCTCTTAAACCTCCACTCTGTGCACCAACAACTCGGTTTAAAAGCATAGGATTGCTTGACATTTGTTGCAACATAGTGGGGTCATTCAGCATTTGTTGTTGCAACTGTTGTTGTGGTGTTAGTTTTACTATTGGATGTTTCAATGCTCTCTTCCTCTTACGTATATTCTTACGTAGCTTACGTGGCATTTTAAGTGAAGTTAAAAAGCGGTTTTATACTAAACATCTTCGGGGCTAGAGGGCACGAAGTGCCTGGAAGCCCCACTACCTTTTTTTTTTTTTTTTTTTCAAATCGATTAAATTATTAATATTTTCTAAATTATGCCTTAAAAATCCAAATATAAAAAATCGTAAATAAAAAATATATTTTTTATTTTTATTTTGTAAATAATCCGTTTACTAAATGGGACTGTATCATGAAAGTAACAAAAATCATTATTTAACAAGATTCAAAACTGGTGCAACGAAATGCACATTGATTTTGTAGTGTAACAAAGAGAGATTTATTGTAAAAAGTACAAAATAGTATATTTATTATCGTGATTAGCGTAGAAATGTATGAGTTTGGGACGGATTTCTGGTGCATTCATAACTAAAGTGATACATTGTCTGGAGCACGTTCAGATCTTTAACTTATGGCTTGTTTGGTGCTAACTCACCCAATTTAAGTGCACTAGAGGGGATTTTGTCTGTAATGAGCATGCACCTTGAGTTGTTGCTTGGTCCGTGTACGAAAGATAGTAATTTAATACTATACTCGATTAAATGTGAATTTCTAATTTTGAATTTGCGTTTTTTCCTGAAAATAGTTACAATATATGAAAGAGTTGGCAAAACTAGAGGACACGTCTTTAAGGGTTTGGCTCGTGCTTCATGTTAATATGCCGAAACTAAAATAAACGTATATTGGGGGTCGAAAATTGAGAGCTCATATCTTTAAGTGTTTGCTAATTGTCGTCAAAAATTAGGCGTAAAGCAAAAATTGATATTTCATATGGTTTTATGATAGATAAGCATTATATTCCCACTCATTATATTCGTAAATTTTGAGGTTTATCCTTCGCTTTTAAGATCATTGAATTTGATTTTTATATAAAATAGTTATATATTAGAAAATAATATGAGTTTATGTGATATTATTTTTCAGAAGATTTTGTGTTCTTCTTCAAAATTTTACTTTTTTATTAAAAAGAATCTTTACAAAATATACATTTACTTTAATTAATATTTAAAAACGTGCTCTATCAAAAGTTCCAAAAATTCAATATTTTAGCTTTTCTGAGGTCTCACTTTTGATGAATTTCTGTTTACAACAATTATATGTCCAAATCGAACAAATTGTGAATTTTTACTTTTGAATGGTATTCAAATTTACCCTCTCCTAAGAAAATGCCCCAACAATATGTAAAATGATCGATAAAATATTCTCAAAAGATTTTTTCCCACTTTATACCAGATACTTTAATTAAACAAAATAGAATAGAATTTATTATCAAAAGTTGTGATAAAACCGTCATAAAATAAAATTTTTCGATGAATAGATGGTTCGACGTGAATATCATACAAAAATTTAACAGGAATCGCGCAACCACTTTCTCATCGATGAAGTTGAAGACAGTTGATCCAAAAAACTCTCCTGATGTAAGACAATTCAGGAAAATGGTCGAAAAATTAAATCCATTTGACCAGACTGATGACATTGTCGAATTCTTTACAGAGAGATTTAAGAAATATAACGAAGAACAACTTATTGAACTTGAAATCGAAAAAGAGACAACAAAACTTATTGATGTATTTTCAACTAGCTTTTTATCACATATGGCTGATATTACAGTTCGCTTACAGGGTTTAGAATTCCTTGTACAATCATGTCAGCTATATGATTACACCTTATCCGAAGAAAATCGCTTGATATTGATTGTATCTGAGATAGCTAACTCAAATGATTCTAAAATCATAAACACATCTATGAAATTTGTTGAAAAAATAACATCTCTATCAAAATTTTATCCTATGTTCTTTACAGGGGATAATCTTTGCACAATTTGGAACAGCATATTTGTAAGCAATGTTACTCCTTCTCAGATGTTTGGACCTTTATTCATTAAAGCATCCAAGAACTATGTTCCGCCAAATATCCAGTCTATCCAGAAATTCTTAGACAAGGCTACCGGAACATTCGAGACTAAATCACTCAAACCAGAATTACAACCACGTGCTATCGAGTTTATTGGTGCTGTTATTTATCAAATTGATACAAAGGAGTTTGTCAAAAACTTCTTTGTCCATATCAAAGATGATTTATCCCATCTTGGAGATTATCAGTCCGTCCATAACCTCCTTATTGCCAAGTCAACAGATGATACCACGATTTGGCTATTGTTCAATGAAATCTTCCAGCAGGAAGGTACATCTCGCGAAATGCTTCTTAACGCACTTAAGACAGTTCACCGCATCCGTGAGCATGAACAATGCCACAACTTTGACCTTACGCCATATGTCAAAATCTGCGCAGAGCTTGACAAGGAATATCAGCGTTATTTATTCGAGACAGCTCAGTATTATTCTATCGAAGTCAGGATATCAATCTTCAAGGAAACTTTCCCTCCATGGGTTACTCACGTAGATTCAGAGATGCTTGCCATTATGGTGACAGGTTCCGATTGGGAAGGCCACTATGACGAGCTCGCTTCAATGATTCGCGAACATTCAGATTTTCCAACACTTTATGAAAAAATCATCGAAGACAGATTCGTTAATGAAATTTGCAGCTACATTTTCTTACACGTTTCCCAAGACTGGGCCGATTCTTACGATTGCATTAAGGCAGGTCTTGATACTACTCTTCATGAATCCGATAGATCTCTTAAAACAATCGAAGCCATCGCTACAAACGTTAATCCAGAACTCTACGTTGAGGTATTGGTCGAATACCTTAAACAAAGTAAGGTTAATGCTTTGGTATTTAATACATTTGGCCAAGTTGCTTACAAGAGGAAGGATTTCGTTAAGGCCTTCGTCCACCACAAGGGCCTTGAGACATTAACAAAGCATCTTGGCATTGTTCCATGCCTTGACTTCATTGCATTATTGGCATCTGACGGACCACATGAGGCCATTGACCAGTTCATCAGCCAGAATGACTTCCATGATCTCGATACTTACGCTATTTGCCGTCTCATGTGCGGTTTACCACAAACAGCTACAGAATTGGCAGTTATCCGTATTCCAGCACTCTGCAAGTACGTTGATCCAAATCTTGAGACAATCTACGACAAGTATGTCTTCGGAAAATACGTTGAAAGATACATGACACCAAAGGATGATCTTTTAATGAAGGCTGCCCACACATACATGTCAAAAGATACAGCAGAAAGATATCTCAAGACACCAGATAAACTTCTTGCATTGCTTGCTGATATCGAACCACGTGGCAATCTCTATCAATTCCATCCACGTGTTCCACAGAACATTGCCTTCCTCAGATCAATGGGTGCCATATCATTCTGGATCTGGGTACAAAAGAACAATGGTCCAACACCATTGTTCACTGTTGCAGAAACAACATTATCTATTAATGAGAACAAATTCTGCATCAATGACATCACAACAGAATGCACACTCAACCATTGGCACATGATCACTTTCGTCACTAAGTCCCTTAACCCACTCGCTCCAACAACAACAGTTTACATCGATTGCGTAAACTTTTACACAATTTCTGGAAAAGGTGACATCACTATCGGCGGACCAGGACAAAAGTCAATCTGGTACATGGAAGAAAAAGTGACAGATTCATCCAACATCACCGAAGAATCTTTACGCGAGACATACGATGCAGGTCCACACTCATCCAAGTCACAAGTCAAACTCGATCTCCTTTACGTTCCATACGGTGGTGTCATTGCCAATTTCCCTGCATACGGTGGCAACGATATCTTCTGGAACGCATGTTTCAACTGCAAGCTCGAAGTCCATATGCGTGGTCTTATCGAGTCTGCTTTCTCTCTCGCACAATCCGGTGTCTTCACAATGGATGAATTGTTCAAAGGCTTCAAGGCAACATTTATTCAGCGCCCTGATCTTTTGACAACAGACATCGCACAGTGTTTGGTTGAAACATCATCAAAAGATCCGAAATCATCACCAGAACTCCTTCGCCGTTTGTTCGGATCATTCTTCTATTTGGCGGCACCAAATGTCGATCACACAAATCTTCCAGAAGTCATCGAAAGAATTGCGGATCCATCAGATATATTGTCTATCCTCTTGATGTCCGTCATCTTCTTCGATCTCAACGAGGAAACAGTCAACAGATTCTTCGAAGTTATCGAAAAGGTCGTCAAATCCAAACCAACACTTGTCAAGAAACTCTTAACATTTGCTCGTGGTTTGCCATTCATCGACGAAGAGACAATCAAGACACCAGAAGATCCAAGATTCGATGTCCATCAAGACAGAGTTCTTGACATCGCAATCAAGGCAGGATTCCCACAAAAGGCTGATGAAATTCTTGATTCTTTCTTGACACTTTCTCAACGTCAGATGTTAGTTATCTTCAAGCTATTCACGAAGAAGTGCATAGCTAATAATACATTCTTTGATGTTAAGACATTCCAAGCTCTCGAACAAGGTTTGCAAGGATTTGTTTTGAATGAAGAAATGTGGCTTTGCATGTTATCCCTTGTTGGTTCTTATGAAATCAAGACATTCAAAGATTTCAACATTGCAGAAATCCAAGAACCAAACATCAATGTCGTCCACATGATGATCTCTTTGACAACTGTTTTATTACAGCGTGTCACAAACGATCCAGAGAATGAACTTGCTCGTACAATTGTCAGCATCGTTTGCAAGATTGTCGTTGAACTCTCGAAGAAGGGAGAAGACATCATCCAACACTTCGCTCCTTTGTGTGCTGTTGGCTACAACCAATTCCAACCAACACCATTCCCACACACATTGGCTCCTGATGAGTCAATCAAGACAATCGATGCTGCTTCTCCGAAGAAACCAGATTACATCACTGTTGAAGATATGACACTTGTCGAAGATGAGATGTCAAAGATCGAGAACTGCCCAGAGCCGAAGTACAAACAGCCAGAAGATGTTACTTTCGATGATAACACAGCTAGTGCAAGAGAGATTTCAAGAACAGCTTCAACATTACTTGCACAAAGCACTGTCAATCTTTCTTCATTCAAGAAAGCTCTTTACTTATTGACAGTTCAAGGCGCTGATGTTAATCCAACAGTTGCTGTTATCATGCACAGATCTATCATCTCAGATTTCATCGCCATAATCAATGATCAAGGCGAAGAATACACTCTTCCTCAGGATATCAACAGCTACTTGCTTGAATTCATTTCAGCACGTCTCATGGAAGGATGGTGGAAAGATTACGAGAATATCATCATCCGCCAGATCTTCAACCTCCATCCGATCAACGAGGCGGCATTCTACCCTGTCTGCCTCATTACCGATCCAGTTGGCTCTGCAGAAAAAGTTATCAGTTCTTCAGTTTTCTCAGGATTCACAAGAGAAGAAGATAACTGTGCTTTCATTGCAAAAGTCATCTTAGATAACGAAGACTTCCCACCGGATTGCATCGATTTGCTTATCAATAAATCACTCAACTCTAAGTTCAGTGATGCATTGAAGAAAGACAAGTTGAATGCCTATTTCACACAGGAAATCAAGGATAAGGCTGAGAAGTTCAAAGAAGGCGCATACAACCAGATCAAGAAGGATGAACCAGCAGCACATCAGTTGAGATTCAAGATGTCATCACGTCCTCAATCACAACTATTCAATCACCGCAGAAACGTTTCTTCCTTCATTTGCAGACAATACATGAAGCGTAGATTCGCTATTGTCTACAACATGAACTGCGTTGATTCAGAAGAAATCATTGGACGTGTTTTCCAGACACAGCAACAACAGAAATACTTCTTGAATCCAACAGAAAAGTACTGCGTCCAGAGATCTTCATCACCACTTTCTGTTCCTTCCAAAGTTATTCCTCTCACATACGAATTCGTTTCTCCACACCAGAGATCAACGAATTCTCTCCAGTTCGTCATGAGCCAACACGAGACTTATCTCAAGTTCACTGTCGACTCAATGAGACATCCACAATCTGCATCACAGTGTTTGACAGGAATTCATCTTCCATTGTACATTTACGATGGAATTGTCTGCGCAAAGGTGTTTATGGAGAAGTTCGGCGTACAGTCACTCTTCCAGTGCTCACTCTTCATGTCATCAGAACTCCTTTCTTGCGTCGGTGCTCTTACAAAGGAAACATTCATCCTCTTAATGAATGCTTCTTACAAAGATGGCAGTTTGACAGTTTACAAAGGCTCTCAAACATTATGTTCATACGAACCACTTGAAGATTCGACCGCTGGTTTGTGGGGTGAGTCCACATTGTTCTTCCACAACCCAGTTCTCCTCATGGAAATCGATGGTATCTCAAAGATCGAAAAGAGAAGATTCGTTTATGAACAACGCGCATTGGATATTTTCATGTGCGATGGCCGTCACATTACATTGATTTTGGATGAGAATGAACGCAAGACATTCCTTTCTAAGATCAAACCACCGAAAGACGACGATTTGCTCTCAAAGCCAATCGCAGAAATCACAAAGATGTGGTGCAAGGGCGACATCACAACATACGATTATCTTCTTGCTGTCAACGATCTCGGCGGTCGTTCCTTCAACGATTTCTCACAGTACCCAGTCTTCCCATGGGTCATTGGCGATTACACACACGATCCACCAACAAAGATGAGAGATCTCACGAAGCCAATGGGTATGCAGACAGAAGAAAGAGCTAAGAGATTCATCACAACATACGAAGAATCTCCTGAGCATTACCATTACGGAACACATTATTCACATCCAGCAGCTGTTTTCCACTTCATGTTACGTCTTGAGCCATACACATTGTTCTTCTTCCATTTGCACAGTGGTTGGGATCATCGTGATAGAATCTTCTGCGATGTCAATGATAGCTGGCTTTCAGCATCAGAGACAAACCAGACAGATCTTAAGGAACTCATCCCAGAATTCTTCTCATTCCCGATGTTCCTTAAGAACACAAACGATCTTCCAATCCAAGACAGAACAGATGGAAAAAAGATTTCCAATGTCATTCTTCCACCTTGGGGAGCTGATCCACTTCAGTTCATCTGGAGAAACAGAATTGCTCTTGAAAACCAAGACATTTCTCCATGGATCGACTTAATCTTCGGTTACAAATCACGTGGACAAGGTGCAAAGGATGCCAACAACTTATTCCTTCCAACAGCTTATTCCCTTACATCAAACATCAGAGATGAAAACGGAGAAATCGTTGCAATGGATCCACAAGGACAAGCTGATGCTGTCAACAACTTCGGACAGTGCCCAATCCAAGTATTCCAGCAACAACATCCACCACGCGATGTTGCACAACTTGTAACAATCATTAACTCTCCAATGTACATCAACATCACTAAGTTGGTCACTCCAGAAGGTGTCAACAAGGTTTACAATGAAGAAGGAAACATCGTATTCACAGGAGATCATGAATCTCGTCTCGGCTTCAGCAAGAGGAGAATTGATGAATGTGTATCATACACAAATTCACCAGATTCATCAATGGTTGCTGTTGCTTCTCCACATGGCATTGTTACAATCACTTTCGCACTTAACTACTCCACAAAGAACATCGCATTACCAGGATCAATGCCAGTCTGCCTCTGCTTACCACGTCTCGGTCATTTCTTGCTTGTTTCCACTGAGAAGGGGTTGTATGTCTTTGATATCGTTAGCGGATTCCTTTCGATGAAGAAAGATCTCGCGGGAATCAAAGCAATCGCATACGACGACATCTCACACGTCATCTACGCGATGACAGACAACAAGATCTACTGCATCTACTCAGATTTCACTGATATCGCTGATATCGAGTTATCTGAAGAATGCATTTCCATCACAGATTCCGCAAGAACATCATTCGATGAGAAGCCATTCTTCGCAGTCGGTTTCGCTAATGGACATGTCGCAATCTTCGAGTTGGACATCCTCCAGAAGAAGATACAACAGATCTTCGATTACTCTGTATCTCAGAACCCAATCATCTCTCTCAGAATCGTTGCAAATGGTGGCGCAATCGTTGCTCTCGATGACCAATCCCAGGCTTACTCTGTTTCTCCATCAAAGATCGGACGCAAGTTTGTCCAGGACGAGTTGTTCGACGCTTGTGTCTCTTGCGGAGAGAAGAAGCCACAGCCAATCGGTGGAATGGTCAGTGTCGCAATCGGAAGTGGTTTGTGCACAGTCTGCGGCAGATACACATGCAACAAATGCCTCGTCAAAGGTGTTTGCCAGCGCTGCAGAAATGAACCACTCAAACCATACGAGCCAACACCAATCACAGCTCCTGTTGCCGCAGAAGGCGAAACAGGAGAACCATCACTTCCTGTCGCAGAGAGATCAATCGAGTTACCTGATATGCCAGTTGAACAAATCGAAGTTCCAGATTCATCTTCATCCTCCTCATCATCATCAGACGACGAAGAGAAACCAAAGGAGAAAGAAGAAGAAAAGAAGCCAAAGGAAGAAGCAGCCGTCGAAATCAAAGTTGAAGAAGAAGAAAAAACAAAGGAAGAAGAAGAAGAGAAGCCAAAGGAAGAAGAAGAGAAGCCAAAGGAAGTTGTCGTTGAAGCTAAGGCTGAAGAAGAAAAGCCAAAGGATGAATCAAAGAAGGAATATTACTCATCTGACGCTTATTACTCCGATTCATTATCTGAAAAGGAGGAAAAGAAGGGAGAAGAGAAACCTAAAGAGGAAGAAAAACCAAAGGTTGAAGAGAAGCCTAAGGAAGAACCAAAAAAGGAAGAAGAGAAGCCAAAGAAGCAGAAAGTTGAATATTCGGATGATTACTCTGATGCTTATTACTCTGACTCCGAATCATCTGAAAAGAAGCCAAAGAAGGAAGAAAAGAAGGTTGAAATCAAGGTAGAAGAGAAGCCAAAGGAAGAACCAAAGAAGGAAGAAGAGAAGAAGCCAGAACCAAAGAAGGAGGAAGAAAAGAAACCAGAACCAAAGAAGGAAGAAAAGAAGAAAGATAATGATTACTATTATTCCGATGAATACTACTCTGATTCCGAATCAGAAAAGAAACCAGAGCCAAAGAAAGAAATCAAACACAAGAAACTTTCTATTGTTGAATACTCAGATGATGAGAAATTCAAGTTCGAAGAGAAGCCAAAGGAAGAAAAGAAGCCTGAACCAAAGAAAGAGGAAAAGAAACCAGAACCAAAGAAGGAAGAAGAGAAGCCAAAGACAAAGATTGATGTCGAAATAAAGAAGAAAGACAACGATTACTATTATTCTGACGAATACTATTCTGATTCAGAAGACGAAAAGAAGCCCGAACCAAAGAAGGAAGAGAAGAAGCCCGAACCAAAGAAGGAAGAAAAGAAACCAGAACCAAAGAAGGAAGAAAAGAAACCAGAACCAAAGAAGGAAGAAAAGAAACCAGAACCAAAGAAGGAAGAGAAGAAGCCAGAACCAAAGAAGGAAGAAAAGAAGCCAAAGAAACAAGAGAAGAAGGACAAAGACATCTCTGAATCAGATTATTACTCCGAGTCTTCTGTTGATTACATCACAACACTAAAGCCAAAGGAAGAAAAGAAACCAGAAGAAAAACCAAAAAAGGAAGAAAAGAAACCAGAAGAAAAACCAAAGAAGGAAGAGAAGAAACCAGAAGAGAAACCAAAAGAAGAGAAGAAACCAGAAGAGAAACCAAAGAAGGAAGAGAAGTCTAAGAAGAAAGATGACAAGAAGAAGAAAGGCAGTAAGAAGTCAAAGAATGATGACCAAGAACTTCCTCATCATCACCATCACCGCAGCAAGCATCGCTTGCACGATGAAGGCGGAAAACACACTCACCGCCATGGCCATGGTGTTCATCACGCACATAAGGGCAAGAATAATGAGTAAGAAGTTGTTATAATTATTTATTTGTAATTTGATTTTTTTCTTTATCTAGGATAACAAAAAATATTTGATCATAAAACTTAACTTTTTTAAAATTATACTCAGTTTTTTTCAAGAATAAAAATGATCAAATATAGTTTTAAAAAATCAAACGATTTTTTATTTTAGTAGCTTTTCCATATTGGTTTGAATGGAGAAATTGGGCGATGATATGGTGGAAAACATGGGGGAATAATTGGGGGATGATATGGTGGATAATATGGGCGATAAAGATTAGCTTCAGAATTACGGGGAGCAATTCGATCAAATAACCATTTAGTTCCTTTTCTTCCTATACCCTTCAAAACAAACCGAAAGATTTTATCCCATGGAAAGTTGTCATCATCACCTAATGCCTCTTCTGAATTAGTAAAATATTCAGGAAGTTGATACATCGAATTGAATTCTGAATTGTGTGAGCGACCTCTCCTCAATAAATGGCCAAGAACAATTCCTCCAAGAATTCTGTTAACATCATCATCACTTACTGCTTCTTCTGCATTGAAGCGATAGTAAGGGGGCGGAAATATTGAATTGGTTTCCGAATTGGGGATAATTCTCTTAATTAACTGTTCAACAATTATAGGGCCTAAAAATTTGAAAGCAGGAATGAGAAATGGAATGTTGTCATCATCAGATGCTGATTCTTCTGCATTTAGCTCAATATGGCGGAAAAGATGTCTGTAGTCAGGTTTGAGAATTCCATCTTCACCTAACACTGGAATCAGAGGAAATGGGATGCGCTTTGATGATTGTGGTTTGATCTTTGAAATGCGCGAGGCTCTTGATGATGCAAGAATAGCCAATGCAAACATATTAAATAATGATAATTTTCAATTACAATATAATTTCCTTCAATTGCCTGTCAGATCTGACATTGCGGATTTATAAAATATAACAAAAATTAAATATGGCAAACGGTTTCAATTTCTCTTGTATTTTGATATTCGTATATATCGATCCAGAAACAGAAATTATTTCAATTAAATAATTCCAAATTATAAATACATTCAAATTTTCATAAGTGATAACGATTATTTGGCTCAGAAATTAATAACGATTACTTATTAATTACAATTCTGAATTATTTTCTCGTAACTTTCATATTATTCAATCAGAGAAAAATTCAAAACTAACAATAATCTAAAAAAAAATTCGTTTCCGATATTCCTTATAAAATGTTCTAATTTGCCAACTCTATTTTGATATGGATTATTTCCGAATCAGATCCATTTGAATTTTGAGAGATGAAGAGTCAAATCCTTTCAAAAAAATAATCCCACTGAAAATCAGGCAAATACATTTATTCGAGATTAAAAGTTTAAACTTGCAATTACATTAACATATATGATTATAGCTTTCATATTGGCTGCGGCTTCGATTTTAGAAAAGTGCTACAGTTTGATTTCTTATTTGGCCAGTTTGTCAGCAATTATAAACTGGAACGTGAGTATATATTAAGAGAATATAGATCCTTTCATATATGTTAAGAGAAAATTGATTCATTACTGTTACTTAATTTTTTAATAATTTTTTCCAAGTAACAATAAAAGAATTAAAATTATATTAAATTATAAAATAGGTTAAAAATTATAATAAAACATACGTTTGGTCGATAACTATTCATTTTTTTGGATAAAACATCCGAATCCGTATTCTTTTCTCATCAATCCCGAAACATCTTTTAAAAAATGGCATTTATTAAATTAATGGCAAACATACTAGTATATTTAATACCGAAATATATAACAAATAAAAAATAAAATAAATTAGACGCTTTTTTCTAAGCAAGTAGTACCACGTAGATCGAATTTGACTTTAACTTCCATTAGCTCTTTCTTAATTGCATTCTTCTCGTCCTCGTTTGTTTGAAGTGTCTTCTTTAGCATTGATATTGTTTTCCTCAATGTGACAATCGCTTTATCCATGTTTTCCTTCTCCTTCTGATATTGTTCATTGTCTAATCTGATTTTGGACAGTTCGACACTTAGTTTATCACAATTAGCTTTCAACGATGCACATTCATATAACAACTTTTCGTTTTCTGATTGTGCAGCTATTAATTGTTTCTTTAATTCTGAATATTCTTGACTTTGAGTGCCTCTTGCACTGATCAATGATTCAATTTCATTATGAGAAAGAGAAACGAGTTCTCTTAAAGTTGATAATTCTTTGAGTAGTTGCTCGTTTGAATGCAATATAGATATAATTGGTCTATCATCCTTCTCTCCAAACCCGCATGCTTTTCTAATTTCAATATAAAGTTCCTGCAATTTCTTTTCAGCTGCTTCTTTATCAGCTAAGGCAGCTTCAGTTGTAGCAGTCAATTCAACAATCTTTTGTCTTAACAAAGATATTTGAGCTTCAAGAGATGAAATTGATACATTTAATTGCTCCATTTTTGCGTTCTGAGCAATAAATTTCTTCTTTTCATCTTTGAGTTTGTCATATTTACCAAGCATTACTTCAAATCTTGCAATGAGCTGTTTTTGAAGGATATTTGATTTCATATTTGCTGTCTGATTGAAATTGGCTGCTTTCATCTGACTTACAACTTCTTTCTGTAATTTAGAGTTCTCTGCATTTACTTCATCAAGACGTTTCATGTTCTCATCGAATTGCATCTTTAAGTTGTTTAATTCATTCATTGTATTTTGTGTTGTTTCTTCAGATGATTTAATTTGCTTCAACAAATCTTCTTTTTCTCTTTGTAAATCATTAATCTTGGCAGATAATTTCTGATTCTCTGCAGCTATTGCTTTGACAGAGTTATTCATTTGATCCCTCGTATCTGCAATATTCTCTGAATGAACACTTTCTAGTTCTTTAATTTCTTGTTCATGTTTCACACGAAGATCTTCTTTATCACTAGTTAATGAAGAAATTTCTTGTCTTAGGACAGAGTTTTCTCTAGAAAGACATGATAATTTAGTGCTTAATAATTTAATTGTTGTTGAATCAATTGATGCCTTCTTTTCCATGTCTCCAATATCTTTTTTATGCTCTTCAATTTCTGCTTTTTGTTCTTCAATTGTTGAATTCAACTTGTTAACTTGATTATTTAACTTCTCTATTTCATCCTTGAGAGTTTCCAGTTCCTTTTCTTTTTCGGCAACTTCACTATCAGATCTTATTCGGTCTTGTTCTGACATCTTTTGTTCTGTTTCAAGAAGCTTCTTATGTAATTGAGCGCATTCATCCGTTACATTCTTCAATTGACTTGTCGTTTCTGCAAGTTTCTGAGCTAATTTTTCTTTTTCACTTGTTGCTGCAGTGATAGAAATGTTTGCTTCGTCAATTTGAGATCTTATTGTTGTGCTTTCAACAACCATTTCATTGAGAGATTCAATTCTCTGTGATAATATTTCCTTTGTTTGTGCAAGTTGTTGCTTTACATTTATTAATTCATTTTGCGAGTTCGTTAATTGAGATTTCAAAGAAAGAGTTTCCAATAATGCTTTTTCTTTGGCCTTCTTTTCAACTTCATATTTGTTTTCAGCATCAGCCAATTCATCATTAAATTGGGTATTTGAGGAAACTAAATTATTATTCTCCTCTTTAAGCTGCGAAAGAGTTTGATTTAATGTATCAATTTTTGTTAATGCATCTTGTTCATTTTGTTTTAATAAAGCTAATTGAGAATCACCTGATTCAATAGTTGATTTTGCATTTGCAAGTGATTTCTTTAATCCAGCATTTTCTGTTCTCAGAGTTGACAGAGTTGCCTTGCAGTTAGAAAGTTGCTCTGTTAATGAATCTATAGTTGTTTGCAATTTAGTCTTCTCATCAATTGCTGTTGCGAGTTTAACTTCATTTTCTTTTGCTGCCTGCTTTGAATTTTCTAATTCGACTTGAATTAATGAAATTGTATTTCGGCATTTTTGTTCTTCTTGTTTTGAAGTTTGAAGTTGTGCTTTAAGTGACTGATTTTGCTCTCCAAGTGTTTTTCTTTCATTTATTAAATTCGAAAACTTATCATTATCTCTCTTTGAAAATTGCCTCAAAAATTCAAGTTCTTTTTCTTGACTTGCAACTTTTGATTGCAAAAGATTTTCATTTGATTCAGCTTCACCTAGTTGTGCTTCCAGCATATTTCTGTCTTCTTCCAATTTGGAATATTGATCATGTAAATTATTTAATTCATCTTTAAGTTTCAATATTTCATCATCAACAACTTTGGATTTTTCTTCGTTTAATGTATCAATTTGAGCATTTAATTTCTTGATTGTTTCCTTAAGATTTGTCGATTCACTTTGAAGAGTAATAATTTGCTTTTCAGATATAGTTATTTGATCATCTTTTGCCTGAATATCAGTTTCTGATTTAGCAATCTGTGAAAGTAAAGAACCTCTTTCAGATTTAACTGTATCAATGATTTCATTCATTTGAATTAATTGTTGTCTTGCATTTTCAAGTTCATTTTCTGCACCTTCTTTAAGAGATCTCACGGCATTTAATTCTCTACTCTGATCTTTATATTCACTCGCTATATTGTCAATTGTATCTTTTAACTTATCGATTTCTCCTGTTTGATTGGTAATTGTTTCTTGAGCAGTCTTCAAGTTAGTTTGGGCAAGATCAAGTTGCTTTTGCAAAACTCTATTTACTCTTGTCGATTCATATTCAAGGGTCTCTTTTTGGGTTTTTGCTTCAGCAAGTTCGACAAGCGCATTTTGAAGCCGAGTTAAATTATCTTTTGCTGTACTTCCTTCATCATTTACTTTTTGGGTTAGATTTTCGTTTTCGTATTCCAATTTTGCTATTGTTGATTGAGCTTGCTCCAAATCATTTTTCATCTGATCATTCTTTTGCTTTTCTTTTTGAAGCTCTTGGTTCAATTTTGTAGCGTTATCTTTGAGATTTTCGTTGATTAATTTAAGTTCAGAAAGTTTTTGCTGTATTTTAACAAAATTAGTTTTAGATGCTTCGTGCTCGTTTTCTATTGTTGTTGACTTCTGAACAGCATTGAAATGCTCATCTTGTAATGCTTCAATCTGATTTTGAGCCTCTTTCAGCTCCTTCTTTAAATGATCTTTCTGACGAATTAGCTGATCGTTAGACGTTTGGAATTCAGCTTGCATTTGTTCAATCCTTACATTTGCAGCATTCAATTCAGCCTTTAGTGTATTTAAATCTTTCTGCTTCTCTTGATCTTCATCAGAATACCCTTGTCTAACCTTTTCGAGCTCAGATGTCAGATACGTTATTTGAGCCTGAGCTTGCTTCAGAGAAGAATTGAGATCTTCGCGTATAAGTCTTAGCTGTGTGACTTCAACGGTAGCTTTATTAAGTTGCTCTTGCAAAAATTGTTCGGAAATTAATTTATTGTCCATAAACTTCTTTTGTATACGTAATTGCTCTTTAACTTGCTTATACTTCTTGCGTAAATTATGAGTTTCTTCTAAATGACGCTGTTTGATGTCTCTTGCCTTTTTATTAGTGTGTTTCCTTATGGTTTCGAAAAATAAATCAAGTTCTGCTTGCTCACTGTTCTGAGACTCTGCTTGGCTTGTACTTTGTTCAGGTGGGGGAACTGCTGTCGAGGATTCAGGTTCCTCCATTTTATCTCTAAACGTGCACAGAGATTTTATTTTTTTATAATTATAAAATGCTTAACATAAGGAATGACGATACCGATTTTCAGCTTATTTCGCATTTATATTCAGATTTAATTCAAGATGTCAATAATTGCATTGAATTTGAAGAAACAAATAATGTCATCATAATTCTTCTTCCATTCAATATAATAATATTATATTTAAAATCATTTATATTATTTTTTTTGAATTTTCCGTTGATTGGGAGAGTCTATAAAGATCTTAGCCATAGTCTAGCACTTGCATATAAGTTGGATTTATAGAACTTATCCATTAGGGTAATTACAAAATGGAAAAACAGCACTTGGGAGAAACAATATATTTGTGTTAGCAGGATATTTAAATAAAGCTGTATAATTTCTGGCCAAGGTTATTTGCTGCGCATAATTAATTATTGTATATAGATTTTTAAAGAAAATCATTTAAAAGACAAATGTGAACTCACTTAATTAAACGTGATGCGTAATGAAATGATACAAATATGAAACTCCATTTGCATAATTCAATACCATTGCATCAGTATACTCATCCTGATTCCAGTCGGAATGGTTTAATTCTACTGAAAGAAGCACATTAGTATGTTGGTAATTGTTGAGATGATTTATTTTCTCTTCATCAATTGGAATTTCGAAGTCAGAACCAAACATTTTCTTCATATAATCGTGGATACGTTTTGAGGAAATGAAAACAAATTTATGGTTAGTAATAAATTCTCTTAGATCATCGCATGCTTTTCCATCTTTGCATTTGATTAATAAGCATCCCAAAGATGAACAAATACCAATAAGTGAAATAAAAGGATCAGCATCTTTGGGATTATATTTTATTTCCAATGACATTGTTAAACCATCATCAATGTTGTGCAGTATTTCTTTAAGATTGGGATCTGATGACAAAACCATACTGACTTTTGATATTGTTCCTTTTACAAATTCAACATTCATGTATGGCTTATCCCATTTTTGCTTGTAGAAATCAGCAAACATTGGCAATTCTTCGAATTTTAGTTCTGAAACTCCATTCAAATCGATGCAATAATCTGGATCATGCCTATTCTTTTCCGTTTCAAATGCTTCGGCAAAAATTTTGATATGATCAAGTTTCTTCGACAATGCTTTTGCATATGGGGGCTTATTTTTCTCCTTCTTGGAAGCTCGTGCTTTAGATATAGACATAGACATAGATTTGATTGCTTCTGGATGGAGAAACTCAAATTTATACTTTTGAAATTCTTCTAAACAAGCATAAAGACCAACAGCATCAAATGCAGCATAAAGAATTTGGCGTGGATTAAGATTCCTATCCCATTTGGAGCGCGAAATTTTCTTATTTTTGAACTTTCCAGTCGGTTTTAAATGTGAAAATTGTACAACCATTTTTTCAAATTTTTCAGACTTTTTTTCTGGGCGAAGAATTTGAGCGGCAACATCACAAACTTGAAATGGAAAGTTTTTTCCAAATGTTGTTTGGAGCATTGGATAATCATTGCTAATATCTTTCATGAAGAACTGATGAGTTTTGAGGAATTCAAAAAATTCATCATTCTTCTGACCAGAACGTCTATGAATAAGTAAGCATCCTCTGGATGTACACAACTGAAATAGATTAACTCCATTTTGTCGAGTAAAAGGGTTCCATTCAAGGTCAAGAGCAATAGGTTTGCCATCATCAATTATATTCAGATAGGAAATGAGTTGCCGGTCTGTAAAACGGACTAATCTAACCTGAGTAAACTTATTTTCGAAAAATTCAACTTCTTTCGGAGATTGGAATTCCCATTCTCCAACAATTTCATTTAGATGCTTTGATAATAATTCTTTATCAATTCGAGTAGAGTTTGTGATATCATTTTTAACTACATGGCCACTTGTTTCTTCGGCAGTCATGAAAGTGAAATGAGGAAAAAATTTCATCGTGTTTTATTTTTCCCTCAAATATTGAATACGTGTCAAAAAAAAAGACATGATTTCTGAATTATAGTTGAAAGGAAAAATGATACAATCATGTGGATATAAATTTTGAGTTTTGATTAAGACATGTTACTCATCCAGATTTTTTCATTTACAAAGTAGTTAAGACCTTGAGGGCTTTGCACTAATCCACTCTCTAAGGCTGTAAATTTCGAATTATTTTAAATAACGTAGCACGTTTTTCTGGGTCCAGGAAATTTGACGGGTCCTGGCGGTTTTTGATTCAATTTTTGATGAGTGTGTTTGATTTTGATAAGAGAACGATATCAAACCAATTGTAAATTTTGTAGACTATTCAAAATTCCCCAAAAATTCATTATCTGCAATATTTCATATATAAGTGTTTCTATGGACAACTGTTTTAAATAATGTTGCATGCTAAGTAGTGTCAACGATAGAAATTGAGAGTCTATTAATCGTCGAGGAAGTACGATTATTTTTTGGGCGAAAAAGTATCTTAAAATATTATTATTAATATGTTTTTAAAATAAAAAATTTGAAAGTTAATTTGAGATTCTCATATAATTTTTTGAATGAAAAAAATAAATATAGTCTATATGAGTTTTTGAATAATCACACTTGAGATATATCTAAAAAATAATTAAAAATAGAGTTTGAGAAGACTTTTCAAGGTGTAATGAAAAGTGTGATATAGAAAATAATTATAGATATTTTAATTTTATATATTGTGCTAAGCATTATATTAAATTTTTAGGAAAAACACTTTTCATAAGTATTCAATATTTGAAAATACGCTCCAAAAAAGAATAGATTCTTTTATATTCGCTTATATAAAAGGAGACTCTCTATCAGATGCGAATGCCTGAATTCAGCACCTCTGATAGAGAGTTTCCTCTTATATAAGCAAATCTTTTTCATTTGTTTTTGTTAATATAAAAACATCAAAATCTACCAATATGAGAAATTAAACCCTGCGAGGCACCAGTCTAGAACTGGCACTTCGCAGGGTTGAATTTCTCTTGACAAAATACAATAATCAAATGCTCCAAAGTTTTCAAATTTTTATTAGGAATAGGAGCCTACAAAGCACTGATTATATATCAGTGCCTGGTAGGCTCCTATTCCTTCTCTAAATGGGAGAAACTTTGTTTGAATAAGATAACATGCGAACAAAGTTTCTCCCATTTAGAGTGGGATTTGGAGGGTGGGAGGTACATAGATAGACTATGTATCTCTCACCCTCCAATTCCCTCGGGAAAGTTCGAAAACTTTGGTGCAATCAGCAACGATTGCACCAAAGTTTTTGCGTTTAATTGAAGGAATTGCTCTTTATGATATATACAGTTACAATGCATATATCATAAGGAGCAATTCCTTCCAGATATCTGGCAAACTTGCTCGCAATGGTTCACAATTGCGAACAAGTTTTGTCATTTGTCAAGAGAAATTAAACCCTGCGAAGTGCCAGTTCTAGACTGGCACCTCGCAGGGTTTAATTTCTCATATTGGTAGCTTTTTATGTTTTTATATTAACAATAACTCATGAAAAAGATCCGCTTATATAAGAGGAAACTCTTTATCAGAGGTGCTGAATTCAGGCATTCGCATCTGATAGAGAGTTTCCTTTTATATAAGCAAATATAAGAGAATCTATTTTTTTTGGACCCTATTCTCAAATATTGAATACTTATGAAAAGTGTTTTTTTCTAAAAATCTCAGAATATATTTACAATAGTAAAATAAATAAGATATTTAAATTTATTTTTAAATGCTTTTTTTTATATGAGATTCTCAAAAGTTATATCAAAAGTCTGTTTTTTCTAAAATCTAATATCATAATCTATTTCTCATTTTAAGTACATCTTAATTCATTTTATTTTCTATATTTTTTCAATATTTTTGAGGGAATTGTGTTGCTTCCCCGACGATAAAATTGAGAGGTTTACACATTGACACTACTTAGCATGCAACAATAATACCTACGACCCTCAAGAAAATGTGGGACCCAAAAAAATATGCAACGTTATGATGAAAATTTATGTCTTTGAACACAGAAATTGAGATAACTGTGGGGTCTTAATTCTAAAATCAATTTCAAGTAAAATAATACTTGAAATACTGTGATCAAAACTGAATTATCTAATTAATTGAACATCTTAATAAATGAACTCGAATCTGTTAAGTGTTTTTAGTTTAGAGGCATAAGTTTATTTTTCAAAAACCCAGCATCAAAACAAAGTTTATTAAAACACTCCTAAATTCAAGAATAGTACATCTACAGTCGGGGGTGAGTTTATTTTGATTTACCTCTATTTATATTGATAATCTCTTTATAAAATCAGTGTATTAAATAGATTTAGAAAAATATCAGGAAAATTTATTGAAAACAAACCTAAACCATATGAGTTGTTAGAAAAGAAAAATAATGAAAAGTAAAACACAACTTAAATCATATGATTTGTTAGATAAGAAAAATCAGGAAAAATTTATTGAAAACAAACTTTATCTTTATCTAATGTATCTTTGCGGATAATTCTTCGTAGTTATATGGGAAACTGTATTCTTCGTTAGCGATATTGATTTCTTCCTCAATTACTTCAGGTAATTTCTTAATTATCTGATTGAGGAGTCTTGAGTATCTCTGGATGATTTCATCGCATTTATCTACTTGTGCAACGACCTTGTTAACAACAACTCTGCAAGTAGCAACTGCAATTAAACGAGATAATGGAGAATTTTGGTCTCTGTTGTCAATATGCTCTGGCATCATAAGAGCATCAGATATTTCATGTACAACGCTCTGTGGCTTGAAGGGATGTTGGAAATCGTAATTATCGTATAAGAACCATTTGGCTTCTTCCAGGAAGTTAACTTTGGCATCTTTGGCATCTGGGAATGTTTGTGTGATCGCTGTAGCTTTTTCTTTGGAAAGATGGCCAAATGTAAATAATCCAACGATAATCTTGAAGAAAGCTTGCCAAATCTTAGGGTATTCGTCGGCAATCTTCTGTTCTGTAATTTTGTTAGAGTATTTTGTACAGATTTGCGCGTATTGCTTAGATCCGTTGAGTTTACATTTTGGAATTGCGTGGCCGAGGAAAGTTGCGTAGCAGGCAGCATCTTTGACATGATCTGGGAGTTGCTGCAATGCTGTTTGTAAGAATTGGTTGGCGTCAACTGAAATTTCGGCCAATTTAGTTCCTTCTGTAAAATCGCAATAGAGATTTCGGATAACTTCGATCACTTCATCTGCTGTCTTTGTTTCTGCGACCACTTTTCTTGTGGCTTGGCGGTTGTTGAGGATTTGTTCTCTTAATTCCTGAATGTTCAAGAGCATGCAGCCTTTGTAGGTTGATGGGTTCTCAGCCTTGAGGCATTCGTCGAAAATAGTCCATTGTTCAGGCTTAATTGCCAAAACAAAGTCTTTTTCGGAGTTCATTACAAATGTTTCAAGCATTCCGACAATATTCTCGTTGCCTGTCTCCTTGAGCTTCTTAAGAATATCGGTAAGCTTGTTTAAGCCATTTGCCTGCTCCAAAATTCCGTTTGAGATGATTGATGACAAAAATTTGGACGTTCCTTTGGCTTTGAGAGCTTCTTCTTCTGTACTTGGAACGTTGATGAGGAAGTCATCAAGTTCATCGATCGTTTTATTGAGAACACGATCACGTAATTTTGCAATCGAAACATTCTTAATAAACTTGGCGTAGAGAGGTGCGAAAGCATGCTCAATCTGAGCTTTTTCAACAATGAACGTAGCTGTATATGCGATATGCTTGTCTTCCTTGATATGTTGCTCAAGTTGAGAAATTGTTGATGCTAGCTGGCCTTCAGTCAATCTGTTAAGGAGCATATTGACTGAGTATTGGAATGCATCAAATGATTCGTCTTCCCAAACGTTGGCTCTCTTCATCCAAGATTGCGGGATATATCTATCTTCGTTTTTGATAGTAAGCTCTGCTTCAGCGCTGAAGCCTTTTGAAGGGTTGAACTGTTGCTTGCCTCTTTTTCTTGTTTGTGTGTCATTAATATAATTCATGAGTGAAATGTAGCCTTTTGAAGCTCTTGTGAACTGATTTCCTGTATTTTCCTTGGCCTTCTTGATCTCTTCAAGGATTTCTTCGATTTTGAATGGCTTTGCGAAAACTAAATCGGGATTCGTATCTTTCTGAGCCTTTACGATAGTAGGTCCTGATGGTACTGATGGAAGTGCAGAAAACTGAATCTCTTTACCCTTAGAAAATAGACTCAATTTAGCTTCTTTGTTCGGTTTTTCAATTGCATGAGTGCTCATTATTTTGTCACTTTTCGGCAAAATCTTTATCGTCACTTTTCCTTTTTTTGAGACAAATGAAATCTTTGAATTTATCTTTGCCCGCGGACATCTTAGCCTCGAATTCTTTGCGGCAAATATTATTCGGGAAGATTCCATTGACATATATGTTCTTTAATATCTTATCAGATGAAAAGAAAAAGGAAATTTTAGATTTGATTTTAAATTCCGATTTACCAAAAGGATTCACCGTTTCGGAATTCATTACTGATGAAAATTTATTTAAATGGGCATGCGCTTGCATCGGTGATTCTGTTTACAGAATAAATAATAATCAATTATTCCAATTATACTTACATGATTTATTACTAATTAGGACGAAACCAACAGTAGAATTCTACAAGCAAATATCTACCATCAACAAAGCAGCCGATGACGGTCAAATTATCAAATTAATTCAATCATTTTTCGAATTTTTAAAGTACTATCCTTCATATGCGAGAGTGTTTGTTGAAACAGTATCAGAGTATTCTCTGATGATACCTTTCGAACAAATTGCTCAAGCATTTGGCGTTACTTCGTTTATTTTACTAGGCAAGCAAGGTTTTCTTGATGTCGGCATTACATTAGAATCTAGATCAGATTACGAAGATCTTTTTCAGAATTTAACGATTTCAAACGATATTCTTACATTTTTCCAAAATTTCTTCGTGAGTGAAAACTCTTTTCCATCGACATCCTTCTTATCAGCAACTCCTCTACACAGCGCACTCAATACAGCAGCTACAACTAAAGTACATTTCATAGAAGTGATCAGAGCTTTGGCTTCTTCCCAATTTCGATTAAAGAATTATGATTCATGCTTAGAAATATGTAACATGCTTGGAGAACTATCAACTTGGACGTTTTTGTCTTTCATTCAAGATGAAAATTATTATCCAACACTAAAATCGATTACTACTACGAAAAATACAATTGCCGATGAATTTATACAAAGAGTTAAGAATGATTTAGCTCTTTTAGACAAAGTTAAACGTATTAATGGAATATCAATAAATCCCGGCCATTTTCTTGAGAATTCCTTACCATATCTGCTTCAAAGTTCCCTACATGGTGCAAATGCAGTCAATTTCGACAATGTTTTCGATCAAAAACTGTATATGATAACTGATATTGCTAGAAATATCGACAATGACTTTGTTTGTGCCTATTTTGCGATATTCATTGCATTAGAGATTGTTACCGGGCAATACAAAGTCGAAGAAAGCAACAAAATCGAGAATTTCATAAATAATATAATTAATCCAGAGACAAAAATGAAAGTATTGATTGATGTCTTCTCAACGATCTTTATCAAGCAAGGTAATGATTATATCTGCAGTTTGGATGCAGCAGAATGTATCTGTATGCTTCTTTTGAACTATTCCGATGACATGAATTTAGTAAACGTGATTCAAAAAGGTCACAACAAATTACAATCGGAATTGTTTAATTCCAACGGAGGAGACTTAAAGAACTGCTTCCTTTCAACAGTATCTCGTGTCGGACAATCATTAATTTCAGGTGATTTCCAAATTGCATATAATATTGCGCAAAGTGATATGAAATTGAGAGAAATAATCGACGCCGCTTCAGAAATTTTTGAATTCAAAAATAAAAAACTCAAAGGTTTCCAGGGATCGAACTACGCAATGATGGAAGTTGGTTTCTCCTTCAATGACGAATTGATAAGTTTACAAAACTGTCAAGTCACTTCACCTCTAACCGAAATAAATCTTCTGAAAAATGACAGATTACAAAAAAGAGGTTTGGCGGTTTTGACAGCGGTTAGACCGATAGATGTCAATTTTGTAAATACCATTGAACAGAAATGCATCAGAATGACGAGTGTTTTTTGGGAAACACCTTCTGTAAAGAACGAAAAAATTGGTTTGTTGTCAGGTTTCTTTGAATATTTGGATTGTTTCATTCCACCACTTTTACAAAACGGTTCTACAGTTTTTGATGCTTTGAAGGTGAATAGATCGAAGATGGTTGAGAAGTTACTAGTAGAGAACAAACTGGATGAAGCTATGAAAGTTTCTAAAATGATGAAATTCAATTTGGAAACAGTTATTTTCGAAAACGACCAAATTCCTTTCGAAACAATTTCGAAATTTGTTGACAAAGAAGAAACAATTTTATCTGCTGTTGCTTTGAAGAGAAAGAACAAAGAATTAATAACAAAATCAAAGGTAATGATGGAATATATTGACTCTATTAATAACAATTCATCAAATACAACAAAAGACAAGTTAAATGTTGATGAAATTGAGAAATATTCACAAGAAGAATTGGAAAAGTTTTTGTTGAATGAAATTTCAAATCAAAAATTCGAAAAAGAAACATTTGAAGAAATTTCATTTAAATTATATGATTTCAGTGAAATTATCTATAAAAACACAAAGAATAGGAACATCAAACAAATATTAAATGTGTTGGAAAGATGTAACATCAATGATGAAGTTTATGAAAAACTTTTGTTTTTGAACAAATTCGAAGATCCATTTCCTGTTGAAGATTTGTTTAAGAAACTCATAAGAGAAGAAAATCTCAAAGATGCCGAAGAGATGTTAGCTATTTTCAATGAAATTAAACATCTTTCGTGGATGGTTTCTGAATTATCTCAAAAACAAAAAATTAAAATTGAAAATGTTGAAGAAGAAAAAGTGACAGAAAAAGACAGATTTTCTGAATTGAAACTCACAAGGAATTTCGTTGATTTCTGCAGATTAGTAAGAAAACAATATAATAATGACAAAGATCTCTTGGCTTATTTCTCAAAAGAAATAGAAAATCGTGTTAAATATTTGTCAAAAGAAGAATTTATTGCCGGTTTCGGTTTAATTGAAAATATTTTGACAACTGCCGCCGATATGAAAATTGATGTTTATCGTTCAACTTTACAAACATATCCCAGTGAAATTTCATTTTCACAGAACACTGAATTCGACATTTCATGGGATAAATTGTTTGAAAAACCAAAATTTTACAACGAAAATTTGTCAGTCAAAAAGATTTTTGTTGTTTACAATTTATTGGTTAAATCAAGAACAATTTTTGAGTCGAACTTGAAATTGGGAGATTACCAAGGAAAACAATTTGGTGAAGAATTGTTTGAACTATGTTTTGGAGATGATTTATTCACATTTTTAAGTGAAATCAGAGATTTATGGGAAATAGACATTGAAGAATACAAATTAAAAGTTTTCAAGGAAGTAAGAGACATGGATTTATACAATGAATGTTTGAGATTCATTCCGAAACAAAACAAACATTTCAATGCTGTTGAATACTTCATAAGAAAACCAACATTTTCCAAGAAATACTTTGAAACAGATCAAGCAGCTTCTGACAAAGTTTTGCAGCAAATCTTAGATAACACGAATCCAAAAGTATCATCAGAATATTATGTGATGCATAATGATTTCGAGAAAGCTTTGAAACACGTCAAAAATGATGATTTAATTGAGAATTTTGTCATTCCTTGTATCGAATACAACAAAGCGCATACAATGTTGGAAAGTTTGTCGAAAGAACAAAATCAAATTGTTCTTGATTTCTCGATAAAAGAGAACTTGTTACATTTAACACTTTACGTGCAGCAAATCTTGGAAATGAACATGGAAGCAGCAAAAACTTCGATTTCTTTGTTCTCAATGAAAGGTTTTGGAGTTCAAAACTTTGCTTATTTGGATTCTGCACAAGCAATGCTATTTAAAGAGCTCCAGAACAAACAAGATGAATCAGTCAAGAAAGAGATTGATAAGTTAATACAATCAATCACTTATCAACGTTTGTTTTGTGTTTTTTGTACCGAAAGAAAACTTTACGGTTTTAGCGGTTTGAATGTTTTTGATGGTATTGCATCTCAAGAATCAGTAGCTGTTTTGTTATTAAAGAGTGGTAGTGCTGATCTTGGCAGCTCATTTATTAAGTTTTATGAGTTAGATCCAAGACAAATTGCGTTCAAAATTACGGATGCTTTGGTAAACGAAACGATAGAGACCATTATTAACGTTTTCGATAAGATATCCGAGTATGATATATACCAGTGCATTCTCTGCAACGTTTTAACGAGAATGTGGTACACATTTGGAGAATACGATTTAGTCATGAAGATAATCAACGTACAAAAGAATGCTGAGCTCAAAGCTTTGTTGCTATTCCAGTTCTATGAAACAAATCTGGCCGCAGATGTCGCAATTAAAAATAATCTGAAAGATTTGTATGGAATGATCGGAAGAAGAGCTTATTTTGAAGGCAATACATCGCTTTCGGCCAAGTTGATGAAACTCCTTGATTCGAAGAAATAATATTTATTATATATTATTTTATTTTTCTTGATTAATTAATTGTAATTTATTGATTTAGTTTTGTAAATAGAATATTTGTATATAACATATATTAATTTTGAATTAAAGTTGGAATAAGTTCATTATTTGCAAATATAAATATTAAAAAATGAGGAAAATGTCAATGCAAGTACGCTCAATCGTTCCTTTATGGGCATTAAAATCCAAATTTACTCTCAATAGAAATTTAACCCTCGAAATATTCGTGGTTTGCCATCATTCCGGTCTTATTGTAAACTATTGAAATTTGAGTAAAAAACAATTCGTTATCTACAAAGTTTTTAAATTTTCGAAGAAAAAAAGTTTTTAATGAGTGATTCAGATTATTCGTTACATAAGGAGAGTGCTCCATGAATCTTCCTTATAATTAAGTACGATTATTTGTAAGATAAAAATAGTTTTAAAATAATATACTACTGATAATAAGCTTAATATCGATCAATTTTTCAAATTGATAACTCAATTTCCGATTTAAAATAATTGAAGAAAATATATTTATTCATGATGATCGATTAAAAATTAATTCGTTTAAAAAAGTTGAATAGTTAATAAAATTGAGAACTGATTAAATCTTGATCGATTGAAATATTGTGATAGTTTTTATTTTTATATTCTGACATAAAGCAACATATTAATCAACATTGAAGTCGGTGAGAACTTGAGTTCTCAAAAGTATGAACTCGTAATCAATTTAAATAATTGAAAGATAGTTATTATTTATGATAATATTAAATATTATTCAACGAAAGATCAAACTATTTTTGAATGGTGTCAAAAATTGGATTATTTTTCGAAATCTCGAATGATTTAACTATGCCTGAATATTGCAAAAGTATACACCAAAATACGGGTTTTTAACATTAAACAACAAAATAAAAATGAATTCTATAATCATCAAATATAGTATATTTTAATAATACAGAGAATAATGATTTACTTGATTTCAAATCATTTTTTCAATTTTTGTTCTAGATTTCAATTCAATTGAAAGTTTTGATTAGTTTACATAATTGATAGGAAATAATATTGATACAATCATTTCGTTGTTATATAAAAATAATGATATTAGAATCTGGTCGTCTCTTCAAAATCTTTATTCAATGGTTTCGATTTTAACATAGATAAGGATGTCATTATTTGCATTAGTTATCTAATATTTTGCCGATTTTCGGATATTTACATTTGAATAATAATTCAATTTTTATTAAAAATTATTATTCAACTGCCGACTCCTATGATTGGAATTAGAACATTTATTTTCGTTATACCATTTCTTGCTAGTATACCATATTGCAAGTACATTCTGGGGCAAGATTTGGATTACTCAAGTGTCTCATTCAAATTTATCATCGGATCCTTGATTATTTACCAGCTTATGATACTTAGTTCGAAGCAAACAATCCACCAAATATATTCTTCTTACTATAATGCCTCTTCAGCGTTCATCATTGCAGTCTTATTTTACATTATATCGTCCTTATTCAAGTTTAAGACCCTTAATCCACGTTGCTCAAATTCTGAATCAAAGACAAAAACAATTGTCTCTTGGACTTTTGGATTTCTATGCGTAATCCTTGTCACATTTTTGATTACTGCACTTCAGTTCATTTACAATAAGTTTGGGCAATTGGACACTGATATCATTCTTTTCCAGCTTCAAGATTTCGCTGGACAAGAGCGAGCTGATCAGAATGACATGATTTGGGTGTCATGGTATTTTAAGTCAATTTTTGTTTACGCAGAACTTGCATCCGTAGTATTATATACACTTACAATGTTCTATCTTCCAATGCAAGTCTCATTGCGCAAGAAGTTCCAGAGGAAATTATCATTCAAAATTAAATTTAATATTAGTGCAAATATCATCCATATCGTCCATGCAATCCTTTTAGTCAACATAGTTTTCACTGCCATCCGCATCCCAACACTTCGCGAAACAAAGTTTTTCGAAGAAAACTATGTTGATCCAAAAATTCAAGATGTCATTTTCCCAGAAAAGAAGAGGAACTTAATCGTCTTCGTTCTTGAGTCATATGAAAGCACATACGCAGCCAAAGAAGCTGGCGGCTATTTCCAGGAGACAGCAATGCCAAACATGCAGGCAAATGCTTTGAACACTGAGAAATACCTTCATTTCAGTCAGAACGAAAAAGTCGGTGGCGCTCACCAAGTACCAGGAACAAGCTGGTCAATAGCTGGAATGTTCGCAATGGAATGTGGACTTCCTATCAGAGTCTCCTACTCATACAACTATAAGCCAGATCCAAACAAATTCCTTCCTGGAGCACATTGTTTGGGAGAAATCCTCAGGGACAATGGATATCATGGCGCTGTATTCTATGGTACACCTGCTGAGTACCAGCGTCTTGATGTTGCATTTAAATCCCACGGAGCTGATGAAATTTTGGATTCCTTCAACATTAGCACTGGTGGATGGACAAAAGACTATCAAACAATTGGCTTTGCCAAGAAGCACATTGAAAAGCTTGCCGCTTCCGGTAAACCTTTTTATGCGATGGTTGATACATTTGATAACCACTTCAACGGCCACATTTGCCCGCAATGCAACTTATCAGGCAATAACTCATGGCATTGTGTTATCAAATGTGTTGATAGACAGGCAAATGAGTTCATCAAGTGGTTTGAGAGTTCTGCTTTCTACCATAACACCACTCTAATATTCCAGGGTGACCATTTGACCCTCAATGGACCATTTAATAATGAAATGTCCTATAATAATTATCTTCGTACAACATATAACCTTTATGTTAACAGCGCAATCAAGACAGAACACTCTAAGAACAGAAAGTTCACTATGATGGATATTTATCCAACAATTCTGGCTTCTATTGGTGCAAAAATCAGAGGAAACCGACTCGGACTCGGAACGAACCTATTTGCTGGTGATAAGACAATTATCGAGAAATATGGCGTTCGCCACGTTATCAATGAGCTGAACAAGCAGTCTGACTGGTATGATACGAATATTGCTAAGATGGTAAAGGAACCAGTCCACGTTCAAGGAGTTGCTTCTTGGGGAACAAAAGCTGAGAGCCCAGTTTATATCAATTAAAATATATGTAAATATAATTTTTCAGGTTAAAATTAGTTAATTATTTTTCGTAAAAAATTCTTCTATTCGTATCTTCTGTTTATGTGCTTTTTAAAATATTATTAGTTTGTTGATTTAACCTTGGCATCTTTTTGAATAAATTTATTCAAACCATATTTATGCATATAAATGTTGTTTTTATGGTGTAAATCATAAATGACATCATAATTTACACTTAGATTTGGTTTCGAATCGACTTTGGAACCGAAATTTGACTTGCTTACTGAACTATATATTTTAATTTTAAAATAGGATTGTTTAAGAAACATTAAATTTTTTACAAATAATAAATTAAATTAACAATATAAAATAATAAATCAAATTAACAAATTTAAACTGCAACTGTGATAAAGACAGCAACAGACCTTTGAATCCAATGGTCAGGAAGTACATCCGATGATGGGATGTAAAGGCTCATGATGTAATTTGGTAAACCAAGAGCTCCGCTTCCTCTGTTCTGTGTTCTGTACATTGGGCATTCGTAAACAGTCTTCTGATCGATTGTATTTGTTTTCTCGGTTGGGCAAAGGTGCATAACCGGCAAAACAGAAATTAATTCTTTCTGTTTACATTCAACGAGACTCTTGTTAGAAATATCCCACTTAGCACCTTCGATGTAGAGTCCTTCTACGTAGATGCCATCTTCTGGTTCTTCTGCAAGCTTCGAGCTGTTTGTTTCGTTGAGAATACGAGTTGTCCAGCTGAGAGTATCGAATGGAACTGAGTGCTTTCTTGCGTAAACTTGGAGAACAGCTGTGAGGAATTCTTCTGGATGGAAGAAAGCTCCAAGTGAGAAAACAGTTGGCCTTCCGTATTGTACCCAATGAGAAAGAAATTCTACACGCTTCTTGAGGTCTTCCATGTAATGTCTGAGTGACAAAATTGAAGGGAATGAGTATTCAAGCCATTGTTCTGGGACTTTGTTTGCGAGGATTCTACGGTTGAGCAACTCCATAGAATCGTTCATGACAATGAGACCATTAAGTCCATCTTGTAATGTGGAAAGGGACTTCCTGATCTCAGCCATAAGTCGGTTGTACAGCAAGATTTCGTGATGAAGAACGGTGTTGATAGTGTCATTGAGATCGAACTTGCGAACAAAGTTGTGGATGTTGAAATCTTGTGGAATCTGGGAAATAAGATTTTCAACCATCTTGATGGCGAATGCTTCTTCAGATATTTCTCCGCCTTGTGCAATAAGTGTTGGTTGAATTTCGATAAGGGAGTTGAAGATTCCAAGTGCATCATTCCTTGCTGTAATTGTTGATGCATTCTTAGAAAGTCCGACATCTTCACCTTCAGTTGTAATTGGCCAACTGTTGATGAGAGAATCGAATTTGTCAAGTGTGTTCGTGTACTCAGGATGTGGATATCTTGCGCCGAATGTGAAGTCTGGACGATTCATCTCTTCGCTGAAGAATCTCTGTAAGAGGCTGAGCAATGTCCTCCTATCCCATCTGTCTGTGACTCTTCCGCCGTAGTTGAGTTCGCCAATGACATAAGACAAGGCTTCGAATGGAACATCTCCGCCTTGGCTTTCTCCGAGGAACATCTTTAAGTGCTTGAGAGAAATTGCGAAATCACTTGGGTTGAATTCGTAAGGAATGTTCCATCCGATACTTCCAAACTGTAATCTTTCAAGAACAACAGCGTGGAAGAATGCGAGATGGAATGTTAATTGTCTCTCTGATGGTGTGCAGTTCTCATTGAAGTCATCTGCATTGAATCCGCTGTAGATTCTGATCATGTTTTCTCTGATACCCTTTGGAATTTCGTAGATCAATTTCGCGCCTTGGTAAAGGACACCGATTGGGAAATCAGGTGATGACATTGTAACTAAGCACAATCTGAATCTGTCATGAACTTTAGCAGGATCTAAATTGTCAATAATGTGTTCAAGACGTGGCATCCAAGAAAGGGAAAGGTGGCAGTTTTGTAGCAAAACCCAGAAACCTCTTTCTGAAGCGTCTTGAATGAGTTCTTCTGCACCGGCACCACGGCCACGACCAAGAGAATATGATTTCAAGTATCTCTCGAGTTCCATGGACTGTGCAACTCCAATGATTTCATCTTGTGGATCGATACCTGGTGTAATGATGAAAATAAGTGGAGAAAGAGGAGAACTCTCGCGGAAAACTTTGCCAAGGTTAAGTGGTGGTGGAGTGACAAAGTTCTTTCCGAGTGTTGAACTAACGAAGATTCTCAAACCTTCGCGTACACGATGGAGATGGAAAACTCTCAAGACTAAGAGTTTCTCGAATGGAGATAACTCTTTATCGTAAGGGATTTCCATTGTTTCTGGTGTTGTTGAGTTATAATAGTGTTCCCAAGTGTTGAGATTTCTTGTGACATGATCTGGGAGATCCTTGAAAACTTCAGAAACATTTGGTAATGCACTAACAAGAGACCAAACATCTTGTGGCATCCATTCAGCAGGTGATGGTTCATCTCTTGGAATTGGTTGAAGAAGGAATCCAAGTTCGTTTGTAGAAATCTTTTTCTCAGAAATGAGAATTCTTGTAGCCATTAATGTAGAGAACAACAACTTGTGTCTTGCGAACAAAGAGAAAGTAACATTCTGGTAGAATTTAGTAGCAATGGCGTTGTTGAATGCTTCAATCTTTCTCTCTATATCACTTGGATGTTCTGCATCGTGAACAGCGTTCTTGAAGATGTTTACGAACCATTTAAGTGAGAACTGATACATTGGATCGACAACAGCAAAGTCAGAAGCGCAGAAATAGAGTAAAGCAGCACGTTGTGAAACAGGAGAGAAAGTATTTCTGAACTCTGCGATTTGTTTCTCTGTTGATTCAGCGGCTGCCATTTGTGCTGCGATATCTCTTGATGTCTTCTTAACGTTCTGGAGTGTCTTAATAGCTGCATCATCTGAAAGAATATCGCTTCCTGCATTGGAAACGATCTGAAGGATCTCTTCTTCAACTTCTTTGAGTCTGCGAGTGTTTTCTGCTTGTTCTTCCATGAGTTGCAATCTCTTTCCATCGAGGTCTTCACGCTCGACTTCGATGAGATTGTTCATGAGCAAATCAGAAAGTCCTTCAAGAGTTGTTGTGAAGTTAATCAATGTAACTTGTGAACAGACTTCTGGGGAATAATGTGGGTTCGGATATTTAGTGCTGATGAACAATCTGAAGTTATCATTGAATGGAATACTTTCACCACCAATTGTAATCTTCTTTTGTCCATCAATCATCATCTGCTCGCGGCTGAGAAGTGGTTCAATGAGTGGATCCATCTTCAAACCAACGTTTTCAATGAGAACAGGGCTGCCAACAGTAATGCAAACTTTGAGTTGCTGGAGGAAGTTCGATTGGTCGAATCTTAAAACCTTTAATTGTTCGCCCATAATTGCTCGGAGCCATTTAGTACCACTGAGCTGTGGATCAATGAACAATGGATAAGAAATCTTATGGGAATTGATGATCAAAGCGTTCTCAATTGAATGTGTGTCGTTTGGCAATCCTTTGACAACCCAATCTCTAATAACTGACTCTGTTCCGAGGTTGTTTGTGATTGAAAAGGTCTTTGTGAATATGATGTTTTCGACTGTCAAAACACTCTTCCATTTCTCAAGTAATCTTGTTCTGTAAAGTGGTGAGAAAGCACCGAGATGTGTCAAAGAACCGGCGATAAGTAATGAATCTCCCATGAGATATCCTGCATGAGAGTTCAAGTTATCCGCTGTTTCTCCCCAACGCTTAGTTTCTCCACTGAGACCACTCATAATCTTCTGAGCTCTGTCAAGTCTAAGTTGTGTATCTGCGACAGAATCAGCGAGTTTCTTAGCTTCAGCTTTCTTGAGTTCGACGGAGTTGACAAGTTCTGCGAGTTTATCTTCGACTTCTTTCAGTTTGGCTCTGCTTGCTGCTAATGCTGCCATACTTGCATCGAGCTTTTGCTGCGCTTCTTCAGCAGCTTTCTTAAGTGGCAAAATATCCTGCCAAACGAACCAATACTGATAACTTGCACAAACCCATCTGTACAAGTTACCAACAGCTGCGTAACCACTTTGTGCAGCAGCAAGTTTCTCATCACGCTCCTTCTGGCTCTTTGGAACGTATTTGGCGAGCTTAGAAATTGTTTCTTTGCTCATTGTATCTGGTTGGAATGATTTAACTTTCTTGACGAAATTAGAATCAGCAAGAAGTGACAATGTTTCTGGCCAATAGTCATCGATCTTTGAGCCTGGTGTTGGGCCTTCAACTTTTCTTGGTCTGCGTCCGAAAATGATACAAATTGCTTCGAATGTTTCTCTCAAAGCAGGGTGAATTGACTTAAGTTGTTTGATGTTGGAAAGTGAGTTGTTATCAATCTTATCGACAGCTTCAATAGCACTATCCAAAAGAGGCTGAGCCTTTTCGACTTCTGCTTGTGCGATATCGTTTGTTCTTGTTGCTTCAGCAGCTTCTGCTTCAGCGAGCTCGGATTGTTTCTTGACATCTTCTCTGATCTTTTCGACATCAGCTTGTTTGGCACCTAAATCTTTAAGCATCTCTTGGACTTCATCTTGTTTCTTGTTGAGAATTGGAATATCTCTATCCAATTGCTGAGATAAACCGAGAATTTGTGTACGAGTTGTTTCGATTTTATCGACACCATTTGTGTATTTCGTGATCAACTCATTGTTCTTCTCTGTTTCGTGAACCAAGAATGTATTGAATGTGTTGATGAGTTCGAAGTATCTTGAAGGAGTAACAGCAGTAAATCTCTTCGTTTCTGAAAGGAATTTCTGTGCTGCTTCTTCGACAGATTTGTGTATTTTAACGCAGACATTGACAACATTCTGGATGTATTGGCTTCCCGCGAGAGATCCGTGAGAAAGAGATGCTCTACCAACGCTTTCAAGAGCTTCATTGGACCATGGCATGTACCAATCGATTGTTACTTCTGTTCTCAAAGATGGATAAGCGAGCATTGATTCTCTGAAGCAAGAACCGTATGGAGAGAAAACTAAGATGATGTGGAGATGCTTCTTGACACGATCAATGAATAATTTCCATGGATCTTCATCTGTCAAAACTTCTTTAGTAATCAAATCTGCTTTGATCTTTTCCATTTCATCTCTTTCGAACAAGTTCTGGATGACGCCATCAATCAACAGATTGGAAATATCTTCTAACTGGAAGCTTCCTACGATTTGGACATCGGAAATGATGAAACCTGTTGGTTGATCGTTTGTACCCATGTTAATCATCAACTTCTTTAAGTCTTCACGCCATTCAGTGAAGTTGTATGACCTTGTAATAGCAATTTCGAAGATTTCGATTCCTTGCATGTGTAAAGCCAAATGTGCCAAACTCTTTCTACCACTTGATTTAACACCAACTAACATTGCATGGCCACGAGGCATTCCGAGAATACGTGTTAATGAAGAAATGTGGTCAACAGCTTCACTGAAAAGAACAATATCAAGCTGCTTTGATGATTCTCTGTTGTGTTCATCGAGAACATCTTTGCAAGTTTGTAACAATTCTTCAGGTTTGAGTTTGCTTTCTCTGTAGATTCCTGATTTGTCTGAGAAGTTGTTGAAATAAGCAACTTTTGCAGGGCAAATCGATTCAATTGATTGATGGAAGTGTTTGCTGCATGTTTCAGAAAGTGCTTGTAAGAACCATGTTCTATCTTTCTGTGTGTTGAATCTATCAAAGAATTCTCTGCACATTTCATGATGCCATGATCTGATAAAGATCTGTTCTGAGCCGCAATCCGAAGCAGGAACTTGGAAGATACCTTTGACAACACGGATGATATTTCTCAGGCTGAAAATGTAGTGTAACTTCGATGGAATTGGTAACAAATTCTTTATACACATCTCGTAAATGTCGAGGCAAGCGGATGATGCAGATCTTGCCAATTCTTGGATACTTGCTCCGTGTTTCTGGAGTTTCATCGAGATCAATGCGTTGAGAATTGTTGCCATTGATGGGCGTTTGTATTTCGGAATGTGCATGAAGTAGAAATGTCTAAGAAGACGCTGTGGAATTGAGAATAAACCACCGCCTTCTGGTCCCATTGCAGAGATAAGTGTTGTATCTGCAACACGCTGGAACTCGATCTGTGCTGTGTTGTACCAACCTCCAGCATCGAGCATTTGTCTGATTAACTCCAAAGGTGGCTGTGCACCGTAGATTTCTGGTTTAACTGAGTTGATGTTATCCAAGAAAATTACAAGCTGCATATTAGTAAGAGGTCCGAAAACACCGTGGTGTTTGTGCATGAATGATCTAAGTGTCTTTAAGACATTCTGTGTTGTTGAGCAGTTAGCGAGAGGAAGATTTCTGCAGTCGAAAGACTTGTCTAAGATGTTCTGCATGAGAGTGTTGATGACAAGAGATTTCGATGATTCTGGACCATGGAATAATGTGTGAATTCCATGTTGGACTGTTAATCTGCTGATGTATGTCATTGCTGCAGATTCGTTTGTTGGGATGAGCTGTTGTTCGATTGGTTTGTTCGCTGTGATTGAAATTCCTGTCTGGCCATCGCACCATGCCATCCAAGAGTTTCTTGCGAAATCAACATAGAAATCGTAAACAGTTGATTTCTGTGGGAATGGTGTTGTTGAATTCTCATCAGCTTGTGCTCTGATGAACTTATCAAATGTCTGTCTTGATCCTTCATCGATGACAGCACCGAATGACCAAACAAGAGCGAACAAAACAATTCTGTGGAAATGAGTATGTAAATCATCAGTTGTTTCGATGTATCCGAATGAAGTATCTCCGTTGTTTGCGAATGGTGAGAAGTAGTTCTCGTGTTTGAGAGGATCAACTTTGACGAGTTCATCATCATCAGCTGACTTTTGTTCGACTGGTTCTCTGATGATATCGAGGAAGCAAGTAAGTAATCTGAGGAAGTTCTTGACAACAAACATTGGATTGGATCCAACGACAACATTAGCATCAACTTCGATGAATTGGATCATTGGTGGCAAGTACTTTTCGAACAATCCGCCAAGGAACTCTCCAAGTTCTTGTAATTTCTCAGGAAGTGTTTGAATCCATGAATTTGTGATTGCTGACCATTCGAGTTGTGATTGATCGAAATAGATCATACCGCAACGAGAAACTGTAGCTGGAGAAGCTTGTGAAAGATCATCGACTTCGAACATCATCTTGACATGTGCTCCCAATGAAATACGTTCGTTGTTTGAAAGACAAAGAACTTTGTTATCATCGAGCAAAGAGTTCATTGTTTCAATCCAAAGTGAATCGACAGGGCCATCAACGACAATCCACTTCCATTCTGTTGGTTCTGACATTGATTCTGTTCTAATAAAGTTAGAAAGAACACCATCAGACCATCCGCTTGTTACTGGATCGAATAAACCATACAATTCTGGAATTGTAATTGACTTCGGGTTGAGTAAATCTACGTGAACTTTCTTCCAATCTTTCTCTGTTTCTGCGAGCATGTCCATAGCAGCTTTGAGTGCGTTCCTGCATGTTGTTTTACCTGACATTGCTCCACCGACAAGCATAAGACCGTGGCGGACAACTGTTGTCTCGTAAATTTCGTTGCATTTTGTGAGGAACGATGGCAATGGCTGCATGTTCATTGATTGGAATCCCTTTGTCAAAGCGTCCTTGAGAGTCATCTGGATCTCCTTCTTTGCATCGACATCTGGGAATACATCGTGGATGATGCCTTCAAACAGAGGAACATCGACTTTAACTAATCTTGGAACTGTGCAATCTCTGATGGAGTTTACGAGCAAAAGTGCTTCGTAAGCATCGAGATTTGCACGTTTCGATTTTCCTGCTGTTGTAAGAATGGCTTTCATAGCACGAAGACCCCAATCGTAGTGGTGAGCATTGGATAATTGCTTTCTGCAGATATCGAATAAAGCAACTAACTTCACAGACAATGCAGAAGCTGATGCGAAACCACCAGAGAAAAGAAGGATTTCAGAAATGAAAACGAAATCAGGAACCATCATAGCGCATGGTCTGAACAACGCCTTCAAGTTATCTGGTAATTCTGTTCTTCCTGCGTAACCTGGGTTCATTGTGATGCAGATAGCTGCATTTGGATTGAGCTTTAACTGACGTGCATCGAGTTGGAATGTCTCGAGATTGGATGAAATTGCGTTTTGGATTGTTCTGACTTGTTGTGCAATGACGGAAAGAACTTCGATGTTAATACGGTTGAATTCATCGAAGCAAGACCATGAACCACTTGAAGCAAGGCCTGCGAAGAACTGTGACATTTGTTCAGGAGTAACTTCTTCTGAGCAGTTGTAAACGACGCAAGCTCTTCCAAGTGCTTTCGCGCAATCTCTGACTGTTTCTGTTTTACCAGTACCTGCAGGACCACTTGGAGCACCACTCATATTCTGCTTGAATGCTGCCAAAAGTGTTTGGTAACATCTATCAGTAAGAGGAGTGATAACAAGACGTGCTGAGTTACCTGCGTATTCATAAGAATACTCGTAAACATTGTTAATTGAGCGAACATTAACAGTGTTATCTTCCCAGTAATATCTGAGTTGTTGAATCCATTTGAAGCTTTCGACATCAACAACTTCTTGTTTAATGAGATCTGTGATGATATCTCTGTTGTGGACTTCGAGAATAAGCAAGCAAGAGATGACTTGTCTCGTTGACAAACTAAGTGGTTGTCTGATAATTGCTGTCAATCCTTCAAGTCCTTCGATGAACTTTGACTGCAAAACCTTCAAACCTCTTAGTTTTTGTTGGCTTAAGACATCTGTAACTTGCTGTGTCCACATGATTTGGTTGGAAATGAGAATGACTTGAGCTGGGAACTCGTTGATCCAGACTTCTCTCTTCTTCTTTTTGGCTGCTGGTAACGCGTTTGTAATTGATTCCTTGAGAGTATTTCTCATTTCATCCTCAAATGCGTTGAGCCAATCTTCAACTTCAGGAGTATCTCCATCGACATGATTGACGAGTTTAACTGTTTCAAGGCCATCATCGTTCATTGCTGTGATCATCATGTCTTCGTCGACTGTAATTGTATTGACGTATTCAAAGAGTTTGTTCATAGACTTCTGGATCTGATCGAAATCCTTTGTGTGGGAAAGGATTGAAATAAGTTCGTCGTTTGAAAGGAAGAAGAATCTTGGGAATCCGAGACGCTTTGCTTCGAGATATTGGTTCAATCCTTGTGTGATTGAATCGAGGAGTTTGTTGTTTTCAAGGAAGTCTTCCAATAAATGATCTCTGTGCATAACAGTCTGGAATTCTGGATGTGCGTGTGTTTGTGTCATGATGTTGTTCCATGACTTATCAACATTGTTCCAATCTCTTGCCTCTCTGTGAAGTTTCTGCTGGATACTTGTACCAGTGAAAATTGGCTGTAAATAAAGCCATCCACGTTGGCATTCAACCCAAGCATCGAGAATTTGATGGCACTTTCTGAGGAATTCGAGATTTTCTGTTGCGCGCTTCTTGCTTGGAGCAATGAAAGGTGATGTAAGAAGTGTCTGCGTTGTAACCAATTGATCATCAATTGTAGAGATAAGATCATCCGCGCCTGTAACAATATACGAACCTGTATCTCTGAAAATGGAAGTTTCGAATTTCTTTGTCTGTAATTCGCTGTCCATTGCATCGAGAGATGATTCGATGTTGTATTCTTGGGCAGCAACAGCAGCAATCTCGAAAATTTGGACTTGCCATCTTCCTAAGTTGTAATCCAAGAAATTCTGCAAAGTCATCTCTGTTGATGAGAAGACTTTGAAGCCAACGATTTCGGAGATTTGTTCCCAATGCTTTGTCTTGATTCCTGGGTGTCTGAGTTTGGTAATAAGTGGCAAACTCTGCTTGAAATTGTCGATTTGCTCTGAAAGTGGAAGTAAAACCTTCTCAATCAATGTTGGATGATTGACCAAGTCTTTCTTCAGTCTTGCAATCTTCTTTGTGGCTTGATTCATGAATTGTGAAATCTGATCTGGTTTAATACGTGGGAATGGTTCATCTAACCAGCTTGTTGATTGGTTGAGCCAATCTGCAGCAAGATTCCATAGCATGTGCAATGGCTGGAACTCTTCGATAACCTTGGAAAGAATTCTGCAGGTACCTGGTTCGTAATTGAAGATCTTTTCGTGGCGATTGTATGTTTCTTGTTGGTTCTTGAACTCGACAAGCTTCGCCTGGATCTCGTTGACCTGGTCTGCAGCTTCGACTGTCATCTCGAGGTCTTGGTACTTCGAAACAATGTTTGGAAGTAGCTGGGTAATTTCCATGACGTCGGATTCCAACTTGCGTTGGTTGTTTCTGAGCTCTCTGACCATGCGAATTCTTTCGACAGATAATTTCGTTTCTGTTTCGTCGATAAGCATGGAAAGTTTGTGTGGCATCTGGAGTGTCTTGTACTTTTCTTTGAGTTCCTGGTCGGAAACTGTGTACTTGAACTCTTCGAGGAAGGTAAATCTTTCCATTGTAGTGTTCATCTTTCTGTGGCGCTCCTTTGTGGTCTCGAGGACATTGTCCATAAAGATCTTGAGTTTTTCGAGTTCTTCTGGTGTCTTTGGAGTGATTGTGATCTTTTCGTTGATTGTATTGAACTCTTGTTGCAATCCTTTGATATCGCAAATAGCAAACTCCTTCATGTGTTCAAGAAGGGCTATGATAAGAGCCTTTGTATGATAAATTGACTGTTCTTTGAAGTGTTCGCATTTGATATAGAAAGGTCCAATGGTGTATTGAGAATTGAGCTGATTCTGCAATACATCCATGACTTTTCCGAACTCATCGAGTTGTTTACGGTATTTATCAAGTGGTTCTTTGCCATCAGGATCGAATTGTTTAGCAAAACCTGATGGATCGAGACCAAGAGTATTTTCAATGCTTCTAAATTGGTCAAGGAATTTCTCAAGACCGCTGAAAAGTTCCTTAAGTGGTTCTTCGATTTCATTTCTTGTAGATTGAATCAATTTACCGCAATCTTCGAAGGAAACATTCGAAGAATCAACTTCCACTGATGGAAGATTGATGATTGGAAGGTTATTTACTGTACTTTCAAGTGAATGTAATAATCCAATAAATTGTTCATGGAATGCATCAATACTTGGAAGTAATGAGATGTGTTTTTCATCATCCAATATCAATTCAACAAAGAATTGTGGTTTTAATGTTGCATTATCTTTGGATGTAAATTTTGTAAATAACGATAAATATTTCTTAACTGTATTATCGACAATTGTAAGTAAAACTGTATGAAGCATATGAGTAACAAGAGTAACCATCTTTTCGAATTTTGCTTTCTCATAAGTGTTCTTAGAACCGATTTCATCGTTAATTGTAGCTCCAATAGAGCTTTCGAGTGTTTCTTGCATTGTTGATTTGAATGTTTTTGCTGTAGATTCGAGTTGTTGGAATTCTACGCTCATAAATTCTTCAAGACTGCATGTATTTGGTAATCCGTCAATAAGGAATGTAACATTGATCGAATCTTGGAAAGTTCTCCATATAAACTTAACGCCATTCAAGATATTAATGTTGCCATAAAGATGAATTCCGTTGAGTTTTGTATGAAGCTCGTTGAAGTTAATTTTCGGATAACATACAAGTCCGTACTCAGGAGCTGGTGGAGGATCTTGAAATAGAGCCATAAATTCATCGCGATTTGGAATTAATGGATTTAATTTAATATTGTATTCGAAATCTAATTTATTGTTGATGTATTTGAAGTTTTGTTTAACTTCTTCGAATAATTCTTTTTGTAATTTTTCGTATAATTTAATATTATCGATATTCATGATTTTCGTGATGTCATCCATATCCTCTTCTGATAGTTCAGGCAATCCCTCAGTCGACATTTGCTGTACACGGTTGTGGAAACGAAATTCTGTCTCGAATAATCTGCATCTTTTCCTAGCGGCTTCTACACGAAGTTGGAACTTCTTTTCGTTTTCGCGCTCGAATCTTAAGTTGAATCTAGCAACTTTCTTGCGCTTCTTTGAGCCCTGCCACTCAATTACGAATAATCCTGTATCAGGTTCCATCTTTAGAACTGTGCAACGTGCCCAATAAGAGTCGCCATTGAGTTCTTGGTAGCGTGAGAAGGCTTGTGGAGTCTTCATGAGATCCTCTATTGGGAATTCTTCGTAAGTTGAGTCGTCGAAGTATTCGAGTGGTAAAAACGTTGGCTCTTGCTCTTCAACAGTTCTATCTTGGATAGGAGGAAGGGCCTTTGGAGCTTGTCTAAACCTAGAATGTTCAATAGCATCTAAGTCTGTAGTAACAGTTCCTGGAGGGTAATTTAATCGTGATGTAGTTCTTCCTGAATTTTCGATAATAGATTTTGGTGGTTTAAGATGATAAGGTGCTTCTAATGCTGTTTTCGGACGTGCTGTTGGATTTGGATTGAAATTGTAGCCAAGAGCAGTTCCTCTTCCTGTTTTCTTGGGAGAAGGAGCAATTGGCGCACGAGAAGTATTCTTTTGTGTCGCTTTTTTCTGTAATTTGAGTTTCGGTATGTCTTGAGTGTCTGGCGAAACGGGACGTGATAATACCCATTCTCCAATTTTTGGAACAACAACTGTTTCGTCAGGCAATTGAGTAATTAGTTGCTTTTTAAGCGTTCTCTCCTTCTGTACCACTTGCTCATGTGATACGAGGCGATTTTTTGCCTTATTAAATCGATCAGTCATTAATTAACGGTTTTTTTGAGCAAAAAATCATTCAGAGAACAATATAGATTTAAATGACAAGGAATATATTATCAGTGTCTTATATACAGCTTATGGCCTTGGTATGAACATCCGAATCCAATGTTGAAAGATAAAATTTTTTTCAAAATCAAAATAACGTGAATAAAAAATGTTTAAAATTATTTCAAATTTTCGATTTTGAAAAAAATTTGGAATTTTTGGGTGTTTAACATGAGATTTTAGAACGGCGATTGCTTTTAATTTTAGCTAAAATTATTATGTTTCTGATAATTATTGAAATTTTATAATTAATCAAAGATAATTATTTTTAATTTCCAGCAAAACATAGTGATACTCTAAAATTTCTACAAAACTTTTCTGGTATATTTAATATTTACAAGATATCCTATATGTCAATCAATAATAAATAAAAAATTTAAAAATACAAACAATTTTATAAAGACCGTATACAAACATTTTTGCTAGCATCAAAATCTATCAGTTTTGATGAAAGCAAATAAGGAACAATTATAGAAATAAAAAATCTTATTATCATTAATGCATGCCTCAAAGTATGAGATGGCTTTTCAGGCAAGAATAAACGGGTAAATTCCAGCCCAATGCAAAATGCGCCAATGTAAGAATACTCCCATGCAAGAGAGTCAAATTTGGACATAATTGTTTGGATGAGAATAGCATATATAAAGAAGTAGTAAGCCTTGCATTTCTTAAACACGAAATCTTTGCACATTAACATTTGAATTAAAAACAAAGGCATATCTATACATGCAAAGTCAATCATCCTTTTGAGCATCAGGTCAAAGTAACAGGTAAATGGAATCAAATTGAAAAAGTTCGAGTAACACTCTAATACAATGAAAGGTTTTTTGAAAACAATATAATCATATAAAAATAGAACCGGTATTGCAAGGAGTGCAATGCATGATTTCAAGGCTGTCTTGTACAACTTTTCATAAGTAAATGATAAAATGGTCGAAATAACAAATAAAATTCCATCTCGATGAGTAAGAATCATACAAGTTTGGAGAATAATGAAGTGTTTGAGTTTTCGTTGCTTAATATAAAATAAATTCATGCATATTAAGATGAAAAATAATGATTGATTCGAGAGTGAGTAGGATTGAAGGAAAAATAAGAAAGTAACTATGTTAGTTAGTAGTCCCCCTTCATATCTTTTGGTAATTTCATATGCCCTTAAAATTAAATTGTATGAAAATGTCGTCAATGAACTTAAAACGAGACGAACTAATGTCATACTTATGTATTTCTTGCCGAAGCATAAGAATTTTGCTATCATAAGCGTTAAAGGATATAATGGATAAATAAAAGGAAACAGTTTATATGAGTTATCTGTATCAAAAGCGTAATATTTTCCTTTGAAATCTGATATGGTCAAATAAATGTTTCCTGAACTAAACTCTAATAATTGATCTTCGTCATATAGGAAAATTACTGTTGAATAAAATAGGATAAATGCGATACAATCTATCAAAACTAGTCTTCTAGCTTCGGCGGACCATAATTTTCCCACAGAGCGCATATTTTCAAGCGCTCGAGGGAACATTATATGGCTCGAATACAAAAAAATAAGAAAATCCTAAGAACAATAGTCAATAATTCAAGTTTTGAAAATATTATCCGCATGATATTATGGATTTTGCTCGAAATTATTTCTCAAAATTATTGAAAAATGAAACTGAGTTAACATTGATTACTTGATGATTTTATCCAATAAAAATAGCCTAAAAGAAAAAAATATAATAAAATAAAAGAAAATTATTTGCGTATCACTTTCTAAGCGTTGTTACAACCCTTTGCAAGTGATGGGCATATTTGCTGGATGAGTCTTGAACCGCAGGTGAGATCTGTAGTTCCATTGTGGAAATCGACTGTTCCATTGAAAACAGTTCTTCCGAGAGCTTCCAACATAGCCATTTCGGAGTGTGTCATGCCACCAATGACGAAAACCAAGACAGATTTGACTTCCTTGTTTTCGTGAATAATTCTTTTTTCGATTGTCTCTTTGTTGACTGGGCTGTTGACAGAGAATGGGATTCCCAAGTTCTTCATAGTCTTTCCGACAAGTGAAGACTCGCCCCATCCGCTCTTCAAGCCATGTTCAACAAGTCTGACAATAAGAGGAACAAAACCGCCGTAGAAGTTTTCAAGTGGATCTCCCATAGGAAGAACCATTTCGAGATCTCTCTTTGCGCTGATATAAGGCTTGCTTCCGAAAAGAAGTGGCTTTGGATAGATAAGGTTTGCCTGGAATAATCTGATCCACTCCCAAGCGAAATTAGCGCCGAAAACAGAGTTAAGAGTATTTTCGAACTTGGAGATTGTAGATGAGGAAGCACCGTTGTTGTATACGCAAGAAAGAGCGAGAATCTTGATGGCATCTGTGTAAAGTCCACGATGGAGGTAATCTAAAGCGGCTTGTTCGATTGGTTCATCGTTTGTGATAAGATCATCCTTGATACCAAGTTGGTTGATAAGATGGCGCTTGTCGAGTGGCATTTCTGCGAATAAATTGATATGGAATGTATTGTAAGGGTTTTGAAGAAGAAGTTCTGTAGCGCGCTTTGAATATTTACGCCATTCGTTTGTACCCTTTGTTTCTTTGAGCATTTGAGGGACTGTTTCGAGTCTTTCCTTGTTGAAATCGTTCATCCATGTAAGAGCGTCTGTGATCATGAGATCGCAAACTTCCTTGTAGACAGGATCGCTGAGAGCGTCAATCTTGACGACGTTCTTTGGCATAAGATTTGCATCTTTTGGAACAATGACTTCGACGTTAGGGTCAGCCTTCGGCTTGATCTGAGGATCAAAGACAAGTGATACTCCCTCCGGAGGCTCGAGGTATCCGAACGAAGGATTGAAATCTTCATCGATACGTCCACCATATGTTGGCTGAATCATCATTGGTGTAACATTATCGACAGAGCGATCGAAGATGAAGATTTCATCGTAGAGAGAATCTTCTGTTGTGTAGAAAGTATGTCCGATATGCTTCTTGAGTTCTTCCATAAGGGCATAGACACGATGAGATATCTGGCCAGCACAATAAACCTTTTCTGGTGCACCTAAGACAAGCTGGAGCTTAAGGAGACCACGGGCTATTGTTTGGACATCAGAGATATCAGAATCGCAATAGATATTGGAGTATGCAAGAGGTACAGGAAGAATGAAACGATCTGGAGATAATGGCAAAATTTCTGCATGGAATTCAAGAACAGTGACGTCTTCACTATTTGGATCGTGATCGAAAGCAGACTGGCAACTGGGGCTGTATCTCGGAATCATCATGATAAACTTCTTGTAGTTCTTAAACTGAGCTAATTTAGCGAGAATGTATTTAAGCATATCGGGATCATCAGTGCAAGGAACAAATACTGTTTCTGAGTTTTCATTCGGAGGAATATCTTCTAAGTAGACGATGGATTTAGCTTTGTTTATTGATTTTTGTGAGATAGCAGTCTTGACAAAATAATATAAATCCTTTGGAATCGCGAGAGTTGAATCATTTCCTATTTTTCTGAAGAGTTGTTGGAACTCTTCATCGTCGAGGCTTTGGAAAGCTTCATACGGATGAGAAACAGGATCTGAGTTATTTGTCATTCAAAATTTATGCGAATTTACAAAAACTGCCCTGACATCTCACCAGCACTTTATCATTTTATGTTAATTTATTAAATTACTTCTTTTTAATATTTATCAACAATTCTCTATTTTATTTGATGTTATTTGAGAATTCTCTAAATTTTCCATATGAGATTGTTTTATTCATAGAATAACATCACAATAGAGATGAACTTCTAAGTATCTTACTCATTGTCTCGGGTAACAAGTTTAATTTTTGATTTCTCGTTTCTTTTTTGTTTTTAAATGAATTTATAAGCATTTGTTACTATAGCATATAAATTATGCATTGCTTATCTCAGAGATCGATAAATAATATGATTGTTATCAGATCAAAGATAACTTTGTCCATATGAATTGCTTTTTTAAATGCAATACTCGTACATACATCAAATATTAATAGATTTTTTTGATTTCATAGAAAAATTATTCTATTTCTATCCCATGGGCCAACATGATTACAAGTTCGTACTCACAAACATCGAAACCGATCTCATGCGAAATCCAATATAACATGGCCTAGGATTGGAAGAAACCATGAAGTAAAACACTTTTGGATAGCTTACAAATGATTTCAAAAATATTTATTTTAGAAAAATCAATAAGGATTAGTCCATTCATCATAAACTCTCTTTTAATGATATAATTAATTCACAAACATCCTAATCATTAAGAATTTTTCCCGATCAATAATGCTAAGCCAAATTTTTTATTGGAAAACGTTGCCCTTAATATTCCTAATGCAGGGTTTCTACTTATTTTATTTGATTTTTTGAACAAAAGATTTGAATGGAGAATCAATTGATTAATAAATCGCGTTCATTATAATATACACATTAAATGTAACATCACAAACCACGGAAAAAAATGTCAATTCAATTATTGCGTTTTCAAAAAATTTTGAAAAATTAACGATAGATAAATATGTTCATTTCACATAGTTGTATAAAACTCTGCAATATTTATTTTTGAATATTTGAATGGTCGTTTACTATAAAAAGCAATTATGGTGTACATTGTAAATTTAAGTTGATGATCATAAAAATATAATCTTTTGTGAAGACGTAAAGTATTCAAAATCTAATTTTGAAATACAAGTATAACGTAATCACAACGCACAAGACAAATAATGTAATAAAAAAGCGATAGAAAATCATTTGGAATTCAGAAGATTATAAATTTTTTTGAAGTAAAAAATTATGGAAGAGGTTGATTATGAAGCTAATATATTAGAATCTGAAAGTTCCGAAGATTCATATGGCAGTGGAACTACAGAATCTTCTGGAGAGAGTAATAGTACACAAACAACTAATCCTCCCGAAACTTTTTTGGATCCAAATAATATTGGACCGTCAACAGTGTTTTACAGAGAAACAAGCACACGTCCAGATATTCGAGAATTAAGAGAAAAAGCCAAAAACGCAAAATACACCAAAGCCCCGCCTGTCGATAAAACCAAAAAGAATTTTGGTACATTTGCAGGTGTATTCCTTCCAGTTATAGTAAACCTTATTTCGATGACATATTGGGTTCGTGCAGGAAAACTTGTTGGTGATTGCGGCGTAGTTTATTCTTTACTTATTATTTGGGTTTCGGCGATTATTTCCATAATCATCATTACATCATTATGTGCTTTAGGAACAAATGGTGAAATGGATAGAGGTGGCGTATATTTTGTTATTTCAAGATCAATCGGTCCTGAACTCGGCAGATGCTTAAACATTTTCCTCGATATTTCTACGTGCTTGAGTGCAGCAGCAGTTGTTGTTGGTTTTGCAGAAACAATCGTATCAATGTACGATCCAAAATACTTCACAGGAAGTTATATGAACGATGTTCGCCTTCTTGCGTTTGCATTCATGTTCATTTCGATTCCGCTTTCTACAAAATGGACATACTCCTTGAGAATTACTGCAACATTCCATACAATCGGCCTACTCTCATTTTTCATTGGATGTTTTGCAAGAAAGAAACATTCAACTATGGGATTTATGACACCAAACGTCGATACATTCAAGTCAAATGCAATTGCACCAGAAATGACTGTTCAGAAATTCTTCAGTTATATTTACACTGTATCTCCTGGTTTTACATCATTAACTGGATGCTTCTCATACGCTGGATCACTAAAGAGACCTGCGAAAATGATTCCAAGAGGTTTAATCATTGCATTTTCAATATCATTATTAATTTGGCACGTAACAATTATTATGTTAGGTCTTTGCGGCGATCGACAGTTCCTACAAGACAACATCATCAGTCCTATCATGTCATTTGGCATTAATAAATGGATTGGATTTGCCACAATTATTGTATTCAGTATTCATCGATCTTCTTACAGACATGGCAAGCGATGGACTTATTCCTAAAATAAGATGGTATTATAATTATTGGATTCCACTTTCAATTACAGCAATCTTTGTTGCAATTGCAGATCTTGATTTTGCTTCCAATATCAATACTATCTTCTTCTTAACTCTGTCTGTTGCTTTTAATTATTGTGTTTGGACAATTTCGAAATCTCACATTCCAGGATGGCGTCCAAAGGCCAAGTATTGGTCTCCTTACCTCAGTCTCTTAGGCTCAGCCATAACATTGTTGATCTGCTTCATGATTTCATGGAAAGCAACAATAATCAACTGGATTATTTTCGTCATTTTGTACGCAATTTCAAGATGGAAAGGATCAGATAAGAACTGGGGATCATTACTCCAAGCACAAGCGTTTTACAAGGCATACAGACATGCAATGTCAACACAAAGAATTTCCTTGAATCCAAAGTTGTTCAGAATCAATTTACTCACAATTGTTGATGAAAACGAGAAATTTGAAGAGACATCATTACCTTTCATTGACAAAGTTATCGGTGGCGAAGGTTTCTGCATCGTTTCTCAAATGATTAATGAATCACATGGACTCAATGTTGCTATTGAACATAGAAACAATTTGCAGAAATATTATGCAAATTCTCATAATGTATTTTATGAAACAATCATGGCTACTTCACCAAGAGAAGCTTTGGTTAGACAAATGCTCACAGCTGGCGTTGGAGCATTCCGTCCAAACACAGTATTTATGGATTTAGATGGACGTTCTGAAGCAGATATCCATGAAATGACAATGGAAATTTTGCAGGCTAAGTATGGTTTGATATTAGCAACAAGACCAAATGAAATCAATTTGTCGAGTGATTACATCGATATATACTGGCTCTCCGATGAAGGAGGCTTGACTGTTTTGACAGGATATATCATGGCAAAGACACTTAAGTAGAAGATAAGAATTATCACAGTTGCTTACACAGGAAATGGTGATACGATTCAAGATTCTGAACACAGAACAAGAAAACTTTGTGAGAAATTCAGAATAGAAGCAGAAGTTGTTGGAATGGAACTCGCTGAGAGAAAACAAAGACCATCTGCTTTCGTAACAGCAGCTTGGGAGAATTTGACACATAGAAGTGCTTATGATCAAACATTTACTAGGTTCTTATTGTTCGCTGACATGATTAGAGAGTATTCTTCCAGTGCTGCACTAGTTATCTCTACTTTGTTCATCCCTACAGATGATATGAATCCTTCAATTTATGTCAATATTCTGAAACTTATTTCCAATATCCCACCATGTTTTGCTTTCGTTAGAGGAAACGGTGAAAACGTACTTTCTTGGAAGGCATAATTTTATATATTACAATACTGTATTTGAGAGTAAAATATTTCTTTAACATTTTTTTGAATGACTATTCAAAATTGAAAGGAAATTTTGAATTGCATATTCAAATTAAGGTAATTAACATTCCATACTAATAAATAAATCAATAAAATGTGAAGCCTTTGTAGCTCAACCGGATAAAGCATAAGACTCTTAATCTTGGGGTTGCGGGTTTGAGTCCCGCCACTGGCTTTTCTTTTTTTCTTCATTCCATAATTTTTTTTCCAACTAAAAATTTTTTAGGCATGGAACTAAAGAGATTCAACTTTAAAGTCCATATGCAAAGATATTTTGATGATTATATTCATGATCATTGGAAAATTTATTTATTTTTTTATTGGACCAATCATTGGAAAATTTATTTATTTTTTTATTGGACCAATCAAAGCCTTTTTCTTAAATTATTTAACCAATCATTTTGTTTCTTTGAATAGTTATTAAAGCGCTGCATTATGTTAAAATTGCCAAATTCTGACTTCAAAATTTCCATTATTATTTCCACTTTTTAAATGAATGAATTTGACCAATTAGTTACAATTTTTAACAATCCAATCAAGAGGGAAATAAAGAAACAAATAGCACCTTATGTTCTGAAATATTACAGCTTGGATGACATTAAAAATGAGAAAAATCAAACAATTTTACATTACTTCGCGAATAATACAATATTTAAGCACACATCGTTATTAATATCTCATTTTATGTCCACAAATCACGCAGATATTGATGGAAACAATCCCTTACACTTTGCATCAAAAAATCCAGAATTTTTCATAAAATTAGTAGAGAATGGATGCAATTATCTCCTCAAGAACAAAGAGAATATCACGCCTCTTCAATTACTAGTGAATAGTTCATCATTTGAAAATTTTCAATTCATAATCAACAAATTATCCAAAGAAATCAAGTCAAATATATACGATTTACTACGTTACTGCATTCTAAGCAAAAAGTACAAAATGATTCCGTTCCTATTCACACAATTTGAAACAGAATGCAATTTATTGATCCAAAGGACGACATACAACAATCTTTTCCATCTTTTTACTAATGTCTGCATACTTGCACCTTTCCTTTTATCTCTTTTCCCAGAAGATCTCGAAAAACAAATTATTGATTTAAAATTTATAAATAAATCAGGTTTGACTGACCGAATCAACGCCAAATTCGCAGGAATATACATGAACAGTGATAATTCAACTCTACAGTTCCTAAAAACGGAATGTCCGAAATTAGCTGAATTATATCTTTTTTTGAACAGTTTACACATTCGTGGTGTTGCAAACTCGATTACTAACTCAGATAACAAAGAATACAAAGATTTTCTCATAAGTAATGAAACGATTATTCACAAAGCCGCATCTTTGAGTGTAATTTGCTTAGAAAAGATTTTGGACAAGAAAAATTGTGTTTACGATGAAAATCCACCAATTTTCAGTTGTTTCCAAAACGAAAAAATGGATGATGCAATTGATGTTTTTATAAAAGTTGGTGCTGATTTAAATGTAAGAGATTTACATGGTAATGATCTTTTGTATTACGCAATTGCCGCAAAATCTGGAAAAATATCTTATTTTATACAAAATACTGATTTTAATGTTTATGAAGACATTAAATTGGCAATAGAGTTAGGAAATATTGATGCCATTGATGAAATACTAAATAAAATTCATTTGGACAGCGCGAAATTCCAGGAATTAATAGATTTGTTGAAAGTTAAAACTGTTTTGGAAAAATTCATTGAAAAGAATCAAAACATCAACAAACTTGATATATTGAAATGGGCTTTCGAACGTAGAAACTTTTTCATTGTTAGTTATTTTCTTCAATTAGAAAATTCAACTGAATTAAGGACATCAAACAATGATAACATTTTCCATGTCATTGCTTCATCATATGATACTTATATTAAGAACCAAACTATCTTTGATTTGATAAAAGATTTTATAGCAGAGAAAACAGATGGAAACAACTTGTTGTATGAACAAAACAATGATAAAAAGACAGCAATTGACTTATTTTTCAAATATTACAATACAAAATTTTTAAATATTAATTTTCTTTTGTTAAAAGAATATAATTATGACAATCTTCAGCAGTTTCTTAAACAATATGGAGTTCCTGATACAAAAATCAATGGAAAATACTTGATATTCTATTATGTCGAGAAAATAGAGTCAGATACAGAATTATTAAAGTGTTTAAAGCTTTTTGAAGAATATAATGCAAAGTTTACAGTTTCCCATGATGAAAAATATCCAATAGATATTGTTTTGGAAAGAGGATTCACTAAATGCTGCAATTTTTTGTTTGAACATGGTTCTCTTTCTGTTTCTGATAAGTTAAAGTTTGATCATCCTGTTTATGAATACAATGAAGGCAAGAAATCATCGAATTACACGATATATGTTGAAGACAACAATTATTATTTTGAACCAATAACTTATGACAATTTTAGATATTGGTTAAAAGAAGATTTCTCAAAGATTTCGAAGAATTTGATATGTTTCATGCTTAGAAAAGGTCCTGACCAAGATGAACTCATTAAATGTCTTTCTTACATCGAATATTTAAGTAAGAAAAAGAAAACAAATGAAAAATATTTTGCAAATTCAACAGTTGAATATAGTAATGAATTTTATCAAATTTCTTCTGGAAGGAACATGAAAAAAATTATGAGATTCATTAAAGAAACAGAGTCATTGAGAAAGTACATAACACCTAGGATAGGATACATGAAAACAGAGAAAGCTGGTTTAGATATCATTAAAAATATAATTGAAGGAAAAAGAGAACAAATTGGTCAAAAAGCTTGTTATAGATTAACTCAATATCGTTGTATAATTAATTGCGAAATTTCAATGATAAAAGTGTTTAGTGATAATATGAAGTTCTGTATGGATGTAACACCTTTGTTTGATCATTGGATGAAATACCAGGACTGCCATTTCTCTACTGCAGAATTAATCTTGAAACATATTATTGAATTCAAAAAAGATGCTGTGAATATTTATGTTGAAGTTGATAATATATTTAACAAAAAATCAAGGTTGTTTTCAGAATTGTTTAAGCTGTCTATTGGTGATAAAAAATTCGATGAGTGCTCAGAGAAATACAATGATTTCGAGATGAAATCATGCCACTTTGTAAGTCACATAATTAATCAAAAATTCATCTCAAATTACATAATTTTGAGAGAAATTGGAATTTCTTTGCCAAATATGACAAAAATTGAATTGTTTTTCAGAAATAACAAATCAATACTCGCTATTGATGATAGGGCTGCGTATATAGGAGAACTTATTGATGAGAATCACGTATTGTTCAAACGGATATTGATGAATGGAAAATATTATGTCGAATTTAATTCAAAAACTCGCCCAACAGGAATTAGATTGATTTCTATTGACCAAGGATCAAAAGAAATATATTTTGATGGCTTTTCATCTCTAAGTAGCTATGATGGTTTCTCATCTCCAAATAACTCTGATGGTTATTCATCTAGCGCTAATTTCGATTTTGGATATTCTCTTGGTGTTTATTACAAAACACTTGAAAGATCTATTTTGTTCAAAAAGTAATTAAAGATTATGTTTATATTATGTTTTACTTGCACATCTATATTTCTATTTTATTTTATTTTTTAAATGCACACTTACCACTTTCTGTCATCGTCTCACAGAATCACTTACCCTCGATTATTTGAGGAAGCAGTAAAATCGATATAGAATTCGTGAGTACATTCATTGGGAATTGGTGATTCTCTAATAAGAGTTTCACTATTTCTATAAGAAATAGGGATATATGAAGAGTATTATACAGAACACATAGCTACAAAGAATACATATAATGAGAATTAATTTTTACATCATATTTTTAACTAGATGTGTTCTTGACTATATTTCTAATAATATCAAAGCACAATAAAAGAATTCATATCAAGTACAAAGTGAGAACATATCAATGTATAACTTGTTTTCAAACTTAAGAAATCAAAGGCCAACTTGCAAATAAGTTGTAAGTCTGGGCAATATTTATTATGTATTTTATTGTGTTTTGTCATTATTTTTGATGAATCTAAGAGATGCTATCTTATCATTGTATTCTCAAGATCCATCAGAATATAATCAGGCATTTTTAGTATGTAAAGACTTTCAAACTCCGACTGGTTTTGATTTTCAAGAGTTTTGCCAGTTAGTTTCTCCAGAATTAGATTTTCAATTTCGAAATTTTGGATATAATTCTCTCAAAGTGATACTAATGCAATATTGGAAAGATATATCACCAGAATTACAACAATTAATTACAAATTGCTTTCCATTTTATCAAAATACAGATGAATCCGATCCTTTCGCTTCAATAATTTGTCATACTACATCAATATTCCTCCTTTTTTGCGCATCAGATGATCTTCTTAACCAATATTTCTCGTCTTATGACAATTTTTGGAATGAAGTTGTTCTAAATTTTCTAATTGAGCTCGGCTCAGTACCAAATTCATACCAAAGAACTAACTGCCTCAAGAATATCTACAACAATGCTCATGATTTAATATTCGAGAAGTTTATTTTGCCTTTAACTTCAGAAAATTTTGATTCAAAACTATTCGAAATCCTAGGAAAGATACATGATTTAGAATCACCTTTTGTAACGAAACTACTTTCAATGCCACGAGTTGAAGAAATATACTCAAGATTCGCAGAATTAGTTTGGATTCCTGATTCATTACCAGGTCTCATATCAATTTTCATGTCAACACTATCCTCAGGCCAACCATGTCCATACAGTGCAAATTCTATTGCCGATTCAGCCCTTTCTGTTATCCCAGAATATTATCAAATTTTATTTGCGACAGAAGACGTCGAAGGCATAGAAGAAATTGATCAATATGTTAGTGCATTCTGTAATAGAATACAATTATTCTTTTTAGCTCTTCCAAAAATAGAAATTTCAAAATTAAATTCGATGTTTGATTTTATTACGTTCTTATTCTCAACAACATCTCCCACAGCAATGCACAACATTGTTAAAGAACTTACAAAGTCTCTCAGGTCTCCAGAGTTTAAAACAGAAGATTTTTTCAACGCATTATTAGAAGAAAGATTAAAAATTGTTGATATCTGTTCAACAGCTATCACAATTGATCTGAAGTCTCTTTATCTCAATAAATATGACTACGAGACAGAGATTAATGATCTAAAATCATCATTTTATCAATTGATATCTTCGATTTCAGAAATTTTCGATTCAACCGTTCTCTGCCAGGAAATCAGTCAACTTATACTTACAAAAGATCCTTCGAGTATCTATGGCCTCATCAGACTTCTTTTTAATGTAATTGTCGAACCGAATGAAGAAAATATCGAAGTTGTGAGAAATTCTCTTTCAAATGTCTTTGAATTCATTTTCACTAATATGAGTAAGATCCCACAGAATGTGCATGAGTATGCCTACAAACTGTTATCTAAGATATGTCCTTATTTGGATCTGAATTCTCAACAAGCGACAGAAATTTTTAATTTTACATTACAAAATTGTTTTGAACAAAATTCTAAATCATATGATCCTGTTACTGTTTTTCTTCTTGACTTTTCTACAGCATTCATGTCTGTCATCGAGTTTCCAATCGAGCAAATGCAGAATACTCCAACAACAGCGAAATATTTTTGGGTAACGAGAGTTATTTTAGCAAAAATTTCTGTTATCACAAATTTTGATTTTCTTGGTGAATCGATTCCATTTGCAATCCAAATGATGAATGATGTTGACAGTAACAATCTATTGAATGATATCAACTACAAGATCGGAAGAGTCCTCGAGTTCCTTTCTTATGTTCCTTCTGATTGTTTAACAGAATCATTTTATACACAAATTTTCGAAATTCTCTTGAATCATTTATCAATGATTGTTTTGATGAACGACAACAACACATTCATTGCTCGAGCATTCCACCATGTCAACAGAGCTCTCATTCACATGCTCGAGTTCGTACCTGAGCTCTCTGTTGAAGTTCTTCCGAAATTAACAGCTCCAACAGAACTTTCTTCAGCAACAGAATTGTGGCTTAATGAAACAGTTCTTAAAGTTATTGAAACATCTTTTCAATATGATCCAAATTCAACAAGTGAATTCTGCAATAACTTGATTATTCATTTGTTCAAATTGATTGAAAATTCAGAAACAGATTTAATTAATGTTATTAATCAAGTTTCATTAATTATTTGTCGATTATCATCATTTGTTTCAGATGAAAGTGCATTTGAAGTATTTAATGCAATGATTGATAATTGTAATTCACGAATTTATGAATCAATCATTTCATCAATTAAGAAACGAGGATTTGTCTTTTTCACACATTTTTGGTCTAAATTGATCACACGAAAAGGTAACAAAGAAACCGATAGTTTGACATCAGCAATCTTTGATCTGATTGAAGATAAAAATATTGACTTTTCAGATTTATTACAACTTAATGGTGTTAATGAAGCAGATTTATCATCAATGCGAAACCGATATTTGGGAGCAACATCTTCTAAAACAAAAAAGAAACACATCAAAAACTTCTTACTTTCAATAACAAACACACAATAAAACATATTAATATTTTTTTGTTTGTATATGAATAAATTATCTAATATTATCTAATAATTCTTTGCTTTCAAATTAAATGTATTTTCTCCAATAAGCACGATTAACTTTATGTATTGCTGAATATCTTGCATATTTTATATAATAAATTATAAATTGAAATGCATTGGTATCTATATTCAGTAAATTTTGAAATTTATTCAATACACAAGTTTCAGAATGACCTTGGAAATCGCATTGAAGGCGTAAACTTAAACCATAAACAGTACTATCTCCACTTTTCGAGTTTATAAAGTTTTATAATAAGCTTTTCAAATTCATAATTTTAGAATTGAAAAAGCATCATATTTTTGATCAGCAGATAATATTGAAGGTAATGTCTATGCATGAATCTTAGCTTTCAGAAAAAAAAAACTATATATTTGATCAAACTATACTAGAAATGTTTATAAAATTATGAGATAAAATAGAAAAATTAATATATTTTGGATTTTCATCAAGATCTGAAATGTCTTCTTCTTTTATCTTGATAAAGTTAATACATTTATCATTGTTAGATATATCTTTTATTCTGCTGTTTATTGTAACTGGTCCTGCTGTTAATGATGTTTCTTCATCAATGAAACAACTATCAATTGTAATTTGTGGACTTTGAGCACAGAAATATTTACCAGAAATATTGTTTTTTGCGAAACAACAATTTTTTAAATATACTGTAGCTAAATATGAAGCTAGTAAATAATAATCAGTATTATTTTGGAAATTTGTTGACTCAATTCGAATTGTTATTGAAGGTGAATCACTAATATAAACAGAAGGATAGTCAGTAGGAGTATTATCTTTATTATCAAAAAATATCGAAAATAAAACTTTTGATTCAGATTTAATATATCCAAAGTAGAAAATACTTGTTCCATATACTTTTGATTGAGAAACATTTGAATTTTCAAAATTAATTTTTCCATTTTTTAGGTAAATACTAAACTGTCCTAAGAAACTTTCATCTCCACTATTAGTGATTGAAGATGAAAGTATTTTGTTTTGGAATGATTCTTCGTCTGAAACATCTGAATAACAGTAAACTCCTAGAGTATTTTGTGAGTTTACTTTTGATGAGTAACTTGTTATTCGATATTGAACACATTCACCTTCACGAGAGAAGTATAAACTTCCTCCTTCACCGGAGTTACTACAATTGACGAAGTTTGTTGTGTCAACTAAGAGTTTAGTTGTATTTTTAGATGTGTCAAAATGGATGGCTCCTGAATCAATGTTATCAGAAAATTCGCACTCGAGAATGTAGTAATTTTCATCACCTTTAGAAAGTTGTTTGCTTTGATTTAGGTAATTTCCTTTAGAACTGTCTTCTGCATAATAGTCTGTCCAATCATAATGGATAATGATTCTTTAAAGTAATCAGTTGTCGTGGAAATCAAGAAAAAAATTTTGTCATTTATCGTTCAAAGTGAAGTTCACTTCCAAAAAAAGTGAATTGAAAGTAATTATGTTTTTATGAAATATTTTGATCAATCAATCGCCTATAAATTATAACAGGTAGAGACACATAGACTAAGTATTATTTCAAAATGATCTATCTTACGTGCAACTGATATCAGTAGTTTTCAGAAAGAGAAAATCTTTACATGATTTGCAAGATAATATAAAATGAATCAATAAAAATAAAAATAAAGATTTATTCTTCAACAATTGTAGCAGTGATAGGTATTGGCATTTGGAACAAAGGTGTTTTGATAACTAAAGAGTCAATTATCTCTTGTGGACTTCCTGGGAGGAGTTCAACTTCTAATTCCATCTTCAGACCTGGATAAACAACACCTGGTGGAGTCAAAACTTTCAAAAGTGGATTCTTTGGACTCGTGACAGTATAATGAAGAGGTGTTGTTCCAGAGTTTGTAACAGACATAGAAAACTTTGCAGGGTTATTCGCTTTAACTTTTCCGAATGCGATTGCAGATGTTCGTGTAGACAATGTCCTTGGTCGTGTAGTTCCTTTTCCAGAACCATTACTCACTGATCTTGTCAATGTTTTCTTCGGTGAAACAGGTTTCTCTTCTTCAATTTCTTCTGGTGGTTTATCTCCTTCGTTTTCATCGAAGAAACGAGGAGGATCGAACAAAGCCATTCTCGGAGATTGAGGACGAGGAGAGTGTTCATGTGTTTCTTCTGGCATAGAGAATGTTCCTTCTGGTGAATTCCAAAAGTTGTCTGTCGTATTTCTGTATTTGTTGTACTGCATGATCAAAACACGCGGAGGAGGAGTAACTTTCGGCATCGCGAGTGGTTCTTGTTCGACTTCTGGTTCTGGCTGCAATTCCTTCAAGAAGTTTTCATGTGATCGTGTCAAACAGTTTGTGAGTGCTTGTGTGAATACTTTAGTGTCATACAACATAGATTGTCGAACTGTTTCTGCTTCAACAACAACGTTGTCTTCTTGTGAGTCGATGTCGTTGATTCCTCCTTCAACAAGTTTGTTTTCGTTCGTTTCTTTCGGTGGAGATTTCTTCTGTTTCGATGCTTTCGGAATGTGAAGTCCTTTCATGATGTTCGCTCTCTCCGGTTTGCTCATGCTCTGTCGCTCGATGTATATGCGCTGTATTGCTTCTGGATCTGCTAAATGTCGTGTCAATATCTTGCACTCGCAGCCTGTAGGATGGAGTAATGTTGATCGACATTCTTTGTCAACAGGAGGTAATACATCTGAACGCAAGAATTCTGTGGCTGACAAATCATCGCGGATGTAAAAGAATCTCGGAACGAATGTATGATATAATTCATTAAGTTGTGGTTCTAACATTGTCTCTTTGATCGGATATACATCGCCGAACCTTGATTTGACAACCTCGACTTTCTTTTTCGGAGCTTCGGACAAAACTTCACCCAAGCGCTCTGTTCCATCTTCGTCTGCAACTAAGACTTGGTTGTCTGTCTTGATCTCAACGCGTGATGGAGATATGTATAGTTCTGCGTTCTTGTGGTTGATGTTGACGTATTCTGGAGTGATTGTCAACTTATAATCTTCGCTCGAGAATGTTGCGAGGTTTTCTTTGAATGTGATTGTGAAAACATTTATCTCCATAGTCTTCGTTCCATCACTGCATTGTATGATTGGGAAGTTCGGAATGTCATATTGGATTTTGTCTTTCTGTTGATCAATTGTGAGAGCGGAACGAACTGACATCTTCCTCGATCCGTCATCTTGTATGAAATACTCGATTTCATCTGGTCTTATGATGCAATCTGAATGTGCTGCTGTATCTGTGATTCTTCCTCTTGGCAAATCAAGCTTTTCCATCTCGCCTTGTTCGTTCTTCCTGTATGCAACACCTTCTGCATCAACACTTGTCCAAACATCGTTTTCATATCTAGAAATTGTTCCATTCGCGTAAACAATTGTTGGTCTTCCTAAATCATCTCTCATGACAAGACTTGAATCTTCTGAAATGACCATTGCATCTTGGTTTGATGTTTTAAGAACCATGTCTTTTCCATCGAAATAAATGGACTGTTCGATGAAGATGATAGTGACTTTGAAAGGTGGTTCGATCAATATCTTAAGGCCTTCAACTAATGTAACAACAATTCTTTCTTTCGCGGAAACAACAGAAAAAATTTCGTTGAAAAATATATGTGATCCAAATGTGATTCCTGATGGAATTATATCCCTTGTAATCTCAACATGCATGTTAGACTTGAATACATATGAACTGGAAAGCTTCTCCGCATTGCTCTGCGAAAGAGGAAGTCTGTAAATTGGCGAGTCACTTTTTAAAAAACGTGACACAATTGAAGGTAACAAAGAAAATGGATCTTCTTTGTTCTTTACTATATTTGCAGGACTTTGGACACCACGGCCTTTTTTAGTTTCTTGTTGAGGCTGTGTTAAAAAGTAATTCATGTATTCGCCGAGATCTGACATCATTTGAGGCATTGAGTAATTGGAAAGTATATGGCCATTGGTCTTTGATACAGGAGCAAGAGTTAGAAGGAATAATACTCCTGCTTGTTCGTCAAGAAATGATTCAACAACAGAAGCTTGAGAAATTGCATCTTGGATCTCTTCAACGATTGATTGGTACTCACAGGAGATGTTCCATTGCGACCAATCAAAGAAAGAGTTGGGAAGACCAAGTTGATATTTCTTATTTACGGCGGCAATCATTTGATCGAACTTTGCACCGGCGTATGCGTATTGGTTGGCTGGGGTTGCTGCAAAACTAGTAACTGCGGAACAAACTGCTGCATTTTCTGGAGTAATTTTTAATTTCTTAAGTTTGTAAATAAGAGGAACGACGGATGATGGTGTTTCGAGATTAAATATCGGATCTGGAGGGTCGATCTTCTCAAATTGAACGACTTTTCGAGTTAATGTTTGTAATTCTCTGTTGAAAAGATTTTCGTACATATCTTGAAGAGAAGGAGGTGGTAGAGGAGGTTTAACTTTGAAATTATTCGATTGTAATTGTATATATAAGCCATTCGTGTAATCATCTGGATGTGTTGTTAAATAATCTTTAAATGCTTCGTAAGTAAGATTTGGTACGACTGCTGGTATTTCGACGAACTTCCTATCTTGGAATTGTTCGTTAAATTGGTCTCTTGCCTGTACAACCGAAATAATCGCTTTTTCTATTTCTTTGAATGTAGATTCTACATCGGAAGCGGCCTTTACATCCAAAAAAGCAACCTTCTTGGATACTGATGGACGTATTAAAGGCCATCTTGCCGGTGGATAACATGATGGATTATTTGTAAAATCTAAATCAGAACCAGGAATAGTTCTCTTTTGTGGAACTCTACCTGATTTTTCTGTTTTCTTTGAGTATGCTGTTGGTTCTGCTCCATTTTCAGGAATAACAGCGAAAAACGCATCAATTGGATATCCTGCGTTTTCTATATCAACTACTTGGTTGCCAAGATATGGGTAATTTTGTATTAAATAGAGGACATCGATTAATCCATCGAATGGTGCTGAAGGTTTTGAGTCTGAAGGAGATTTTCCTTTCTTTCCAGACTTTGGAGCGCCATCTTTTGTTTTTGCAGCTGCTTTTTCTGATGCAGCAATAGCTTTCTTTTTGGCATCAAGTAATTTTGAAACGTCGCCATCAATTTTCGATTTTATTCCTTTTGCGATTGAGCTTGATCCGTCATGTCGAGATTTTCGATCGTTTTTAGTTTCGTTTTTGGAAACTCTTCCGCCTGAATCAAGAAAGTCCATTCCGTTGAGGAAAATCACTTCCTTTTTATAATTCTGTTTCATATATTCTAATAGTGCAGTATAGTCAACTGCATTTTGCACCACATCTAAGGCAAGAAGAAATGGAGTGATAGTTACCTCAGACATTGGTGAAAAAACGTTCTTGAACGATAGACTATTATGATGAAAAGTGACAAACCAGGAATAATTTTTCGACTAATAATCTTGAATTTACCTTAGTGAACATTTATAGAATACGAGTTCACAATTTTCATAAAAAGTTTTGATACTCTTGTCATCATTTTGAAAATTCTCAGAGTGAATTAAGGTAAATAAGTAAATTTAAGAGTACACTTATAACATGAAGCGCAATAATAGCTAGAATGACTATCATGAACACTAAAATTTTTAAACTTTATGAATAAATTAAAAATTTGTGCTTATGTTTTTGAATTAGAATGAAAAAGATTTGTAAATTTCGACAGAAAATACATAACATTTATAAACAAAGATAATAAGAAAAAAATTTCTATAACATATAAAAAAAAGTATAATTAAGAATTAAAACAATGAATCAGAGTATTCTTGAAGGTTATACAGTAATTTGGCCTTCAAATCTTCTTTCTTCTCAAACTTTCCGAGAATTAAAATTCTTTCATCTCGATGAACATCAATCAAATTAGGATCTTGCGAAATCCAGACAAATATTGGTTTCTCAGCTATTGATAATGGCCCGAAAATTCCTGTTATATAGTCAAGAAGCATGAAAATAACATGTGGAGAGGAACCTTTCATGAAAGACTTAAGCCATTGCAATGAATGGCTCTTCTTCTTGTTACACTTAATGATTGGAAACAGAACATTGATCAAATACGCTGTTTCTTTGTTATCAAACAATTTAATAGCGTAAGAAAGCCTCAATTGGTCAGGATCTATTTGTGTCTTGGCACTACCACTAATTGTGTTGATAACTTTGACTCTTAATGGTGAATTCTTCGATGAATCTGCAATTATTCTGCATTTGTTGATATCTGCGAGTTCTTCAAGCTTTGGATAACTCATATCTATCATATGCAGTGTTAACTGATGCAGAGTTTCATCACCGACCATTCTTGTAACGTTAAATAAGAAATCTGCTGTATCAAATGAGAATTTTGAGCTTAAAGGATTATAGCGGTAATCATCTTTAGATATATGGTTCGGGAATGATGCAAACAAACAATGGCTATGATGCGGCATCCACTTTTGAATCTCATTTGTCATTTCATTAATGTTTGGTAACTCAGTTATGGCCAAATAACAGTCAGAGTTCTCATAATTGGCTTTGAAACTACTATTCAAGGTCAAATACTCTCCATCATTAAGAGAAATTGTTTTTTGAGAGGATTCTACGGTTATTGTCACTTTTCCATGACTTCTTATGAAAATCATTGAAGAATGATGAAATTTCGGAACGATTTCTTTTGTTTGACTTGGTATATAAGTTGTCAAAACCAATGCAGGAACCAAGAACTCCAAAGGATGCTTGTGAACAAGCGATTCATGAAGTAAAAAAGCAGGCATATACTTGTGAATTTCGGGAAAGATGTTTTTGGCCGGAATTGGCGGACAAATGAGTTCAATCAATCTTTTGTATGAATCAAACAATTGAGTGAACGGTTGCAGTTTCTGGGAGTATTTGTTGATCATTTCAAGAAGCTCAGAGAAATCATAATTGTTATCTCTCAGCATCAAACAAATGATATAATGCATTTGTGCAAAAACAAATGAAAAATCTGAATTACAAAGATAAACAGGAATAAAAGTTGTCAAAGTTTTCGTCGTAATCGTTTTCGTCGTCAATCCAACTTCATAATAACTCGAACCAGTGATAACATAGGAATTCATCACAGTTAGGAAAACGCCAGGAGGAACAACTAATGCAGTGGATCCTTCAGGATTAAATCCTGAATCTGACAAACTATCAAATTTCTGAGAGACGACTTGTATCAAATCTGACACTTTACATGTCATATTTTTAAGTGAATTAAATAAACATTTTTCGTTACAAAGCCATGTTTCGAACAATTGTATTTTATCCAATGAGAGAGGCAAACCAGATTCAGTAGAATTCAAAGAAGCGAAGAAATTGAGTAAAATTTTTGCGGGCAAATTCATTTTTCTTTGTTTCATTATTTCCAAATAAATCATTTGTTTGAAACATCTCGAGATATAGTTTGCCTGAATTGTCAACTCTGCCTTATTAAAGATACATGAATCAGTAATTGGAACTTCAACATTTACTTCGGAAACTCTCATCTTGTAGTTACTTAAAGGAACAGTTTTGTTTGCGAAGTAAATTTTTTGGTCGCAATTCAAAGAATATTCAACAACCATCATCGGATGCAAATCAACACTTAAAAACATTAAATGACATGAAGGAGATATTGCTCCACTTTCCTGTTCGTTTCCATCTGTCATAAACTGGTACATTTTCGATTCCGGATCGTAAATCACTTCAAATTTCATTGGTTTGTTGTCATCGACATTAATAACAGTAACTCTCGGTGATTCCAACAAACAATCCATTGTCTTGGAATAAGCACACAGTTTGATACACATTGTTGGTTGTTGTCGTGTTCCTAAAGATGGATAAATCAAAAAAGTGACAGTAAATTTTGTATTTGGATGCAAAGGATTTGAAAGAAAAGAATTTCCTTCATCCATTGTTGTCATCATTCCTGAGAAGACTTTTCGCTTGTCAACGAATGAGTCATTGACAAAGTTTTTCGTGAGTATACTGATAGGAACATCTTCTACCGTGTTGTCGTGAGAAACGAACTCGAATTGGGAACAATTTTGGGAATTAATCATCAATGAATAATAAAAATCTTGGAATCTCTCTTCTGGTTTGATTCTTTCGATTTTTATGTCATCAATACTATTGTTTATAAAGAAATCTTTGGAACAATAGTTGATGAATGTTGGTACTTGAAGGAAACAATACAATGATGCTAATTTGAAAACTTCTACTGTGTCAGAAATTTCTTTTTCTGAATTCGCAAATAGCGCGTAATACAATGAAAAATCATTGATCAATTTGAGGTCAACTTTAATGATAGGTTCGCACCATAACTTTGAACAGTCTAACAATGAATATGTCTCTTTTCGTCCTTGTACTTCGATGTCAAAACTGTTAAGTTTACGTGACAAAATTTTTCCTTCATGGTAAATTTCTGTTCTATCATTAAATCTTATGATTACGCCACTTCTAATTGTTTCAAGACTGTTGTTTAGGATGGCGAATACTGCTGGTCTAAGAGAAATGTTGTTCTTGCGAATGATGGACTCCAAGTATTTGTATAACGATGAAGTTTTCGTGTTAAACAAATCTCTTAAATGAGAAATAATGATAAAACAACTTTGTAGGGGTTGATAGAGCTCTGCCTGGCCAACAAATATGGATTTGTTGTCTGTAATGTACTGTGATACAATGGTGAACAAGAATTCGTATAAATCTTGGAGGTTTTGGCAGCCTCCGCGATCTAATGCGATTATTATCCTCATCATGACAGTAATGATACGTGGAGAAGAACCTACAAGGCAATTTAAGAATGACATCGTGTGTTTCTTCATATCAATGGTCGCTCCTGACTTAACGGCGAGTAACATTAACAATGTGGCCTTAAAACTCACTTGTTCGTTAGACTGGTTCGTAAACTTTGCTGGATTGATGGCCTTCTTTAAGAACCTCTTAACGAAAATGTTGATATCGTTAAGTTGAGGAAAAACCGCTAATAATGAATTGAAAAATTTGATGATTAAATCATCGTTCATGTTCTCAAAGTCTTCAACTTTGATAGATAACTTGAGAGTCTTGAGGACATCCGGTGGAAAGAAGAAAGGAAAAGAAAATGAGTTGATGAAATGCTCAACAACGTCTTTTCCAATCTTAATGAAGTCTTCATAGCGTTTAGAGAACTGTACTGCATACATACTGAAGACAACTTGTTGCTGTTCTGTTAATTTGAAAGATGATTTTTCGAAATTCTTCATAACGACACTTAGTGTTGACACATCCGACATCGGACATAGATCATTTCTGTTCTTCGTGAGGATATACCTCATTAATCCGAAAGAAGAAAGAGATTCTACGTCTTGAATGTGTTTTAAGATGCTTTTTGAGGGGTAAATGTGGAACAAAAACCTATGTCTGATCTCAAAGAACAGTTTGCAAAACATCTTTTCGCTTGTTATGTCGTATGATTCCGATAATAACTTAAATAAGTACGTATCAAGTACAGATGAGACTCTGTGGAGTGGGTGTGGATTTTTCTGGTAAAAAGTTTCAAGGTCTCTGAAGAAATGGCGGCCACTTTGGTAAGGAGCGGATAATACGATTCCTATCAATAGATACAATGATCTATTGAGCATAATAAATAACTGTGAGTTCTGGGAATTCTCTTCCGGGTACTTTATGAGCAAGTTTTGGTAGAATTCAAGAAGATCAAGGGCAAATCTCGGCCAATGGTCCTGTAATTTATAAGTTAGCTTAAGAATGTATTTCCATAGTTGGAAATGTTGCGATTGGACGAACTCCGATGGGTCTTTTATTGATGGCAAATAATAATTTATTCTTTCTAAAATAGATCTGCAGATTGCCTTGAAGGGGATCAAAGCGTTCTCGAAGTTATCAGCGTCTATCAACTTATCTATGTAATTCTCGCAGCAGTTACTCATAAAAAAAATTGATTCTTGCGGAAACTGTCTAACGTTTGAAGAAACGTAAGGAATGAGTTTATCTATGGCATATTTAGATAATCTCATGCATTTGAAGTCAAGCAAATTTGGGAAAAACCAAATAAAATCTAATTGTGAATTTTTCTCAATATAATCATTAAGAATATTCATTTCCTGGTACATCTGTGTATTGTTGATATATGAGTAACAATACAAAAACAAATAAACGCAAAAATGCTTCAAAACAGGATCATCTGTATGATAATATATTCTTACAAACACTTCTACGGGCTGGTCGATGTTCCTTTGTGGAGCATTGTCTAGTAATAGTAATCCGCACATATAAATTCCTTCAATAAACTGCCTTTCGTTGAAGAAATTTAATAATTCTGAGATATTTGAACATTTTTCATCGTAAAATAGATGAGCACCATGATACAATGCTGATGAAATGACTGTATATGGGTCTAATGAGATCTGATTAGAAGGAAATGGAACAGTAAAGAGCCATCTCGGTGTTTGTATGAAAGATCTGAAAAATGAGACATCTGTATTAGTCAAAGCGACATGTTCGAGCTTGTATGGCCTGATACACCATGAATTGATGATTGTTGGACAATTTGTAGTATAATCGCGAATAAGATTTCCAGATTCGAGGGAGAACTCGATGAAATGTGTTGATTTGGCACGTGGCGTTGCAAAGGTAATCCTCATTCCATCAGAAATGAAAGGAATTCTTAATTCTTGATATAAATCTGAAATTGTGCCTCGTAATATCAATTTTCGCTCGGAAATGAACTGCCCGTTATTAAAAGAAAATACTCCAAGCTTCCCTTTCCTTACGAGGATCCTAACCGAGTAAAAATAATGTCCGTCGGTACAAACGGGCGGAATAAGCGTATCTGGCTTGTTTGGTATTTCTATGACTCTGTTAGAAGCTACTGATATCTGGAAAGCTTGTTTTTCGGTTATTAAGTACAAATAATCGTGAACGTAACAAAGAGAGTATGGCTGATCACCAACGTTACGCCAGAGATTGTATTTGACGATTGGCTTGCCGTATTGCGATATACTTAAGACTTTAATAACTCCGGAATTTTGACCGATGAAAACTTCGGATTGGCTTGCTGCAAAGGCTGTAGCGCAAACCACTTCTTCGTTTACAAATGGAATACCACTAGTTCGCGAAGAAAAATCAATAAATAAAGAAGAATCTTTAATTTCTTCTTTAATCAATGAAGAAATTGCGTCTGTATGCTTTCTGTTAATACGTAAATTTGCTGGCTTTGCTGAATTTAATATTGCTTCTGATAGTAAATTTATATTTTTTGATAAAATAGCTATACCAATTATATCTTGAGGAGAGAATCCTTGAGATATCGAGAACTTCTTAAATGAGTATGTTTCTATCACATATCGACAGTAATCCGGATTTGTCCCAATTAATCTGATCAATTTTTTTCTTTTCATGGATAAAATCGTTTCAATATGTCGGATTTGATCTGCGCTTAGTTTTACCGTGTTTTTCTCCGTTGAAAAAGTGAATGTGTTTTTCACAGGAAAATTAATTCGCGGAGGATCCACTTTCCGCTCGAAAAAAAAGGCAATGTCGTCAGATACATGACCAATCTGACTCATAGATGCCAGTAGAACAGAGTTTCTATTGGAATTGGTCATCTATTAATCCGACTATTTATTTCGAAATTGAAAAATCTCTATAAAAAGCTGGGTAGTAAATTCTTCAAAATAATCGGAATGTATGAGGAAAATTGGGATTTAAATAGCATTTGGCAAGATTAATGCATTTATTCTATCCATTTGATCTAATTTTTTGGAAGGAAATATTGAAGATTTTAATTTATAGTCGTGTTTGTTTTTAAATCTTTCATATGATACACATAAGCCACACACAATGCATTTCTTCCTTTATATCATCCAGTTCGAGTTTTATTTTTTTCGAAAATCAAAAGTCAAAAATAAGAGCATAAGAATATTTCACAACATCTGCAAAAATGCTATAGATTTTAACCACTAATGTTTAAGAACAAATCTCGAGTGATTTTTTAAAAATTTCCTCATTTTACTGAAATATTTCAATAAAAAAGAAAGAAAAGGAGTAAGCATCTTATTTAGATATAATATATCTTAAGTTTATACATAAATTTTTTTACGCATTGATTCAGAAAACTGATCGATGCGATTTATCCATTAAGAAAATAATTACAGAAATTTTTGCAAATATTAGTTTGGTGATGATTACAACGAAGTTCAAAAACGATAATAAAAGTGATTAAGAAATTTCAGAGACCACTTATTACAATGAATTTTACAATCTTATCCCTCGCACGCACTAAATCTTTATCATCTCCTATTTCCCTCAGTGCCAGTACACAGATGAGGAATTTCAAACTTCAAAATGCAAGGCTTTCAATGTTTTCTCATTCATTTGCTCGCTTCAACAATTTCAAAGGTTCTGCATCATTCGCAAACTCCAAATTCACAAATTTCATGCAATCTGTTGTTCGTTTTGACGCAATTCAATATTCTGGAAATCAATATACAACTCGTATGTCAATTACAACAAATGCATCTAATTCAATCGAGTTTGTATCATGCCTTTTCCATGATATTAACGAAGCCGAAAACAACGGAGCCGCTATTTACGCTTCACACGATAATATCGACTTATCATTGAATAAAGTCTCATTCAGAAACTGCAGATCACCACAGGGCAACGGTGGTGCTGTTTACTTCGAAGGCCAGAACTTCCATTGCAAAGAAACATGCTTCATGAACTGTTTCTGCGAGTACAATGGTCAGGCGATCTACGCTTCTACAATGAATGATGGATACTTGACATTCCAAGGCAGCAACATCAACGAATGTCCAAATTCTCATGAAATTGAAGAATCTCATAATTCTCCTTTATTCTTATGGAGAGGATATCAAACAGTAAAGCAGGTTAACTTCACAAACAACGTTGTCGGTGATCTTTACTCAGGTCTTAACACAGATGACTCAAAATCTTTAATTTTCACAGATGCATCACTTACAAACAATACAGGTAACATTCTCATCGGTCTTGAGGATGCCAGACACAATGATGACCTCAGTTTTGTCAACCTCGTTAACAATAAAATTTATTCCTCAGATTATGGTTTAATTTACTACACAACGAAGATTACATTAAGGAGTTTCGTATTTGAAGGAAACTCTCCATGGCTTTTCCATACAAACGATAAACTCGAAGCAGATCTTAACGATTGTGTCTTTGATTCAGATTTTTCAGCTGCTAACTATAGCAACCAAGTTGTTGTTACAAAGAATATTAAGATTGATAAGGATCCAAAGCTTTATCCGATTTCTAAATTTGATACACGTTATTGCTGGGAAATTAACCCACCAAAGCTCTCAGCCGGACCAGGAACATATGGATTCCTTGTTTTCTTAGCATTATTTATTGCTTTTGTTGGTTATGCTCTTTTCATTGGCTACCAAAAGTTAACTTCTATCAATCCTCAACCTCTTCTTCCTGCTTCTGAAGATTCTTATCAGAAACAAACTGAATAAAATACAAATTGTATTCTTTACATTTTATAAATTATTTTTATGAAATAAATCATATTTTTATGAGCCAATATTTTGAATTTAGATTTGATATACTTATTGACATTTGTAGTAGAACTATAAATAAAGTTTTTTTCTTTACATTTTTTTCTTTTTTCCTTTTTTTCGTTGTTTTGGCTATAAGAATTCGAAATTGATATATGTTACAAGTGTTAGTATTCTTAGTTTGCCATGCACGGTGCGATTTTGAAGGTCCAAGATCGGATTGAAAAGATTTTCAAATTACTCGATCGACTTGCGCTTTTGCAACAACATTAAAGAGCACAGAAATAAATGACTCAGGGAAATTACAAAGTGTTGTCGTATTAGGTGGGTTACTTAATGAATTATCTCCAGATATAAAACGAATCATACTAATTCTAAACGAAAGCGAAATACCAAACGAATACTTACAAATAATTCATAAAACTTGGTCCCAAGTTGTTGCTAAAACAGCTCCTTCTTCAAAAGATCAAGATCAAAAATCAAGTATCGAGACATTTTTTAAGATATCACTATTTGAACTCACCAATTATGAAAGAATTCTATATCTTTCACCTTCAATAATGCCTATTGCAGACTTATCAGTGTATTTTGACGTTTCTCCACCTGCATTGTTTCTTGATCTAAGTTTGCATTCAATGAATGATTTATCACCAGTTTTTGATACAAATTTCCTATTAATACGACCAAATGATTATGATCGATCAATTTTATTGAAAATTATCGAAAAACATATTAAAACACCATTCAAAATATCACAAGAATCAGCTTTATTTAACAATTACTTTCAAAATAAAGTCACAATCCTGCCAATTAATACAGTAATTAGTTGCAAGAAAAACCATCCTAACTACATGCATACACAGCCATTAAAAGGCATATTAAATGCATCTGCAATACTTTTTGAGCATGGATGCGAGCCATGGATTGTTAATAACTCATTTTCAACATTATGGCACCAATTTGTTGCATATTTTGGCCAAACATTAGATATACATCCTAATTATCAAAGTCTATTCCCAATAGATGTAGATTACAGTAATGTTGAAACTTTCTTTTATAATTCAGGAGAAAAATCTCCAACTGTCAAAAAAGTTCAAAAAGAAGCACATAATTATGAAGAAGATAATGATAAAGATATTTACGTCTATGTAAATACAACTATTAAGAATATATTGACTACTATTGTACTAATTATGTTCACTATTTTGTTTTCTCTTTCATTTCTCAAGATTGTTCATATTCAGTTTTATGAAGCAATTACAGGATCATTGTATAAAGCAAAATCTTATGTTTTGTTAAAATAAAGTTTGTTTTCTATCCAATATTATATATTTAAATTTTTTTACAACGAATGATTGGGAAATATATTATACAGAATATCCTATAAACGAAAAATACATAAGCCAGAATGAAAGACTTCCTCCTAAAGACAGTGAAAATTACTACGTTCTCAAGTTCGAATTTAGTAATAACATTGAATCAGGTGCAATTCATTTTGGCACATCTAAAAGTACAACTAAACTCTGAGTTGCCACAACCAAATTTGTTGATTGAAGTAATTGTCATAATGAGAGAAGTTAATACTTCTCAAGTGAAAGCAAATGTGTCCAAAATCGAATAACAAGTAGATGCTTATGAAGAAACAATCCAAAACAAGATACTTTCATCCTAAATCACTTGTAGTGGAGATGAAAGTTTCTTTGGATATTACAATATTTACTTCATATTCATATAAACATTTCTATTATAGGTTTGATAAAATACAATATTTTTTCCCTCCTCAATTATGAGTTTAAATGGTCTTTTTCTTTCATCATTGCAACCCAATAATTCAATCTTTATACGAAGGCAACTTAGCACACAAATAGATGAACATATAAAGGATTGAACTTATATTGACATCAATTTAAAAACAAATAATGAATACTTATTTTTTTAATCAAACAAAAAAATGAAGCGATTTTATTGATTTATCGCGTTAATTGAAGAATTATAGAACGTTTCAGCAGAAATTGCTTCGATGTCCAAGAACTGTGAAGCTCTAGGCGGCAAACTCATCTGTCTCAAGTGGTCAATTTCCTGGTAAATGTTGATTTTTTCTGACCTGAAAAATTTGTCTAAATTTTGTTCTGGTTCGAAATAAACATGCTGCAACTTAGGAATATCTGGAGAATCAATGACACATCTCAATATTTCCGGATTCATGTCATTCAGCAAGTTTGGAAATGCATTTTTCTGATTAAATTGAATCAAATCTTTGATCAAGCACAATTCAATCAGAATCTCTTTGAGATATGTAGGTGCTTGTGTTCTAAGTTTCTGAAATGTAACATTCAATGGATGTCGAGCGATTTCTGTCAAAATTCCTTTATTATCTGCAAGTTTGCAAACAGATCGTGCTACTTTAAGGTAGAATTGTGGATTTGATATATCTGAATCCAATATATTCATGAATTCTGCAATTATATCTGCAGTTGTCTGATGATCAAGTGTATTTCGTTTAATTCTTCGATCTTTGTCTATCCTCTTCTCAGGGGCGATTGAATATGAGCAAAGCGCGTAAAGAATATCAACAGCAAACAAAGGTCGCTGATCTTTTGGATCTTTAAAGGCAATTTTCGTATAATTCAAGACATTTCTGGCCAATTCGGCTTTCTTATCAACAAGTAGTATTAGTAGCTTCAACCTGGGGTTCTCTGTTATCATTTTGCTTAATGCCGCCAAAATTTTTTCTGAATAATCGCATTTTTTGGCCAACATCTCAATAATACTGTCGAACATGTGTGTAACAAGCGATTCATGCAAATGCCTTATAAATATCGTAAGGCATTCAATAGCTTTGTTATGAACGATTGGATTGTCACTTTTTATAAAATCCAAAGCGATTTCATATGGAGAAAAATCTTTCCAATCGTAGAGGGAGATAGACGTATCATTATAGGAAAGAGTTATCTGGAGCATTACTATAGCTGCGTATCTAAATGAAGGATGCTCTTCAACAACTGTTGCAAATAACGTTTGGAAGAAGAAATCATCTTTTTTGGCTTTAAACGGCTCACAAAATCTCAAAATTTCCAAGTACATGAGGGAATTGAATGAATTAAAATGGTTTTTCCCATCATGTATTTGAGAAAGCGGGTTAAAACAAGATATCAAATAATCAAACAGAGAAATCACGAAAACTGTTGATACCAGCTTAACACAAGCCATTTTCTCGATCTTAAGTTTATCAATCAGCTGCATATACGATGCACAAAGGTGAGCAAAAGGAATTGCATCTCGTATTTCAATCAAACAACGTCCGGATGACATAACCTTGACCATATATGACTGTACCTTGGAGAAAAATGATGGTTCATCCCGTAATTTCATCAACGTCTCTGAATCTAATTTGAGAATTATTGAATCAAGAGATCTGGCGAGATTACTAATAGAACAGCTACAGGTATCATCAAATGTATTGAAATACATGGTGCTTTCGATGATCGGTTTGAGTTTATCGTCAAAATCGAATAAAGATATTTTTGATAATTCGTAAGAAGCTTCTAATTTATGGATATAAAGCATCAGATTGTCATTGAGTATGTCTGCAACAATATCCTGATAAATTCCGATATGACTGTCGAACTCTTCTTTGTAAAAAATGAATAAATCATGGAAAAAATTGTATTTCGAGATTATTAAAAAGGAAAGTGCGACGGATTGTTGTCCTAACATGCTGGATGTGGCCAACTTGTGAATAAAATGTAGTCCTTCCTCTGATTTTTCGCTTAAAATAGAGATTGAGGCCATAATTGCAGTTGCATTGGCGCATAAGTAGGAAATCTTGCATTTTTCGGGAAATTGACGACAGAATTCGAATATTGGGATGGTATCGACTGTTTCAAACGAATCCTTGTAGAATCTTTGGAGAATGGAATTCCATTCTATTAAATATAACGCTGGAGGATAAATGGCGGCCATCATCATGATAGCGTATGGTATGTACATAAGTAAGGCTGCTCGCTCGCAATTTTTTTCAACGGATTTCCCTGAAAAATAATAATTGTAAATTTCTTTGATAGAAAGTACGAAATCTTTGGCTAAAAAAGGTATAATGACTTTGCATTTCTTTGATATTGAGATATTATACATTGAATTGCATATTTCTGGAATAATTCCTGAAACCGGATAATTATTTTTGCAATTTAACTTGAGTTGAGCGATTAATAGTCGGATTTGTATTGCCGCGAAGTATTGCTTTGCATTCACGTGATTTTTAAGTTCATTAATTAAATACATGACTGGTTCTGAATTTAAATCTGTAAAATTGCACCTAAGATATAAAGGAATTAAGATTTCTAATATTTTAATTTTTTCTTCATTCTTAGTATCATGTAATATAGCAGCCAGATTTAATGTAATCTTTTCTATTGTTGATAATTTAAAATCTTTAAAAGAAATTAATTCATCTGGCAACTTTAAAATGAAAGAAAGCTCTTTTTCAATTCGTATTGATTCGCTCGTTGAGTTTTGCTTGATAATAATTGATAATTTGTCTGCTAATTCATAAGGAGTGCCATTAACAGAGATTGAACTATCAGTATTTGGGACACCTTGCTCTATTAGGAATAAAGGACGAGAACACTTCTTCAAATATTCATCTTCTGATGCTTTTGGTAATTGGCATTTGAGCAAATTATCAATCAGCATCAAAAAATGAAAATTGAAACAACCAAAGCAATAAGATATCTAAGGATCATCTATTGGTTATTATAAAACATCAATAATGGGATACATTGCAAATGATATGATCTAATGTACAGTAATTTATTCATATTTCAAGTTTATTCAATAATGCATAATTAAATTTATATAAAACAAGTTAAAATGAACAAAGTTTTCGTGGGAAAATATTGTCACTTTTCATTATGAAAGCATCATCACGTTTCTTCGAAAAAAAACCTGACGATGCTACTTTTCAAAATCAATTCAATCTTACATTAGGTACGGATTCTAAATTCACCTCGAATTTCTACGAAATTTTGATTTCAGACGTAATAAAATCTTCATTAAAAGTATATAACGTTACAATTTCACCAGAAGTTAGAAATGAAGAATTGGCATGCAAGATTGTATATAGTTCGACGTGTCCTGATGAAGGTTATCGCAAAGATAGTCCTTCTTGGAACTCAATGGTCTTTAATGGCAGAGATATGATCATTTCCAAGAAGCCAATATCAGCCACTCCATGCGTTATCGAAGGATCGAGTTATAATGTTGTTTTAAGCGAAGCACGCGAATGTTCAGAGCAAGATCTTAAATTTTTATACTTCAGAGTTATAGAAAACGCTTTAATCAAACTTGGATACCAGCAGTATGAAAGTGGATGGTTGAAATCGCATCCAGACAAAATTGTTCAACATTTAAAGCTTTATTACGTTTTTAACACTCACATCCAATCAATTGATGGTAAAATCGCCATTATTATCGATATACAACCTGTTGTTATGAGAAATACGACTCTTTCCGATGTTTTGAAGAATCAACACGATCGAGACAAAATTGACGAAGTTATCAAGAAGCTAACATTCGCCACAAACTACGGACATAAGAGAAATGTTCAAATTAGCAAAATTATATGGAATTCACCTCCATTAATTCATTATAACCAGAAAGACGTTTCTATTGCAGAATTCTACAAATTCAAATACGACATTACAATAGATGAGTCACAACCATTCGCAGAAATACGTGTGAAGCGTAATAATCAAAATTCTGTTGATTATATTCCTTCTTCTTTATTAATGCAGATAGGAGTACTCGATAACGAGAAATTCAACAAATCATTGATGAGAGATCTTCAAAGATATGCTCAAATTCAGCCAATTGATATCCATAAAATTGGAAAATTTTTTTTGGACGAATTTGCAGACGCTCAGCTACTTAAAGACTTTGGAATATCAATAGGATCACAAATTACCTTCGATGGAAGAGTTATTTCACCTCCATTCCTTAAATTCAGATCATCAAATCAAGATTCGGAATTTGTTGATGTTCAGATCAACAATCGATGCTCCGTGAAGAACGAACTCAATAAGAACCAGATTGTTCTTCCTCCAATCATCACAACTTCCCCATTAATTATATGTGAGAAAAAGAGCGAAAAAGTATCAATCGAACTGAAGAACCAAATCATTAAGACCATGTCCAAGCTCGGCGTCAACATTTTACCGCCTGATTTTACGTTTTCGGACGGACCATCATTTACAACTGCGATTTCTCAGGCCATTGCTCATGCAGGAGTTCCTTCTTTTATTATTTGTGTCCTCCCCGATGGAAATTCCCAGTTATATTCAACATTGAAGATCTTTTTGACTTCATCACTTGGAATTCCATCATCCTTCGTTACAGACGAGAGTTTAGTAGCAAATAAACAATCCATGGACCAAATCGCCACCGACATGTGCTTGTCCATCATCTGCAAGACTGGTGGAGTTCCATTTTACGTCAGTCCTGTTTCTTTACCGTTAAGAAACACTGTTTTTGCAGGTTTCGAGGTCAGTCAGACCAATGTAGCTGCTGTAGCAAGCTACGACAACACTTTTGCTCGATATCTCTGCAAGACAGAATCGACAACCGATGTTCCTGCCTTTTTCGGGAACTTCTTTTACAATTTGAATGCGGAAAGAATTGTTGCATTCACTTCTTTATCACCACGCGATGTACGAAAGATCGTTGACAAAATAGGAAGTGTCTGCAAGTCATTGACAGTTATCTCTGCATCAAGAAAAGACGGTGTTGTCTTATTGACTGATACAGAAAGGCCACAACCAGCAATGGCAGGTTCATGTGTCTCCATTAATGGTTCTTTGTTCATTTCATGTGTTTCGTCAGGAAAAGACAACGCAAGGCCAACAATGTACACAGTAGCATACCACTATCCAAGGATATGGACTGATGACCAACTGGCTGCAATGATACACTACCTTTCTGTAGCTTACCCTATTTCTCTGGAAAGCGCAACAATGCCAACACCTTTGAAATTCGCTAGAAAGGCTATGAAATCTTGCAAGAGAGCTACATGCGGAAAGAAGATTAATGATAACATCGAGAAGTTCGCTTACTATTTGTAATATATATATTATATTAATTTATTCTTTTTCTAAAAAAAAAGCAAAATATAATTTTTAATTTTTTTTTTAGAAAACTGTATTATTATGAGCTTTAAATTAACTGATAGAAAGATTTGCTTATATTTTGATAATCTTAGTCTTCATATTATCTCTTTATAAAATCCAAATTTTTAAATACTTTTAAGTTTGAATTTGTTTCAATAGCATATATACAAAAATTATTATCAATTTGATAGGTTTTATGTTGTTCTCATATTAATGAACTAATTGAAATTCAAAATCATATTTGATGTTAATTTTATGCGACATTCTAATATCATTAACACAAAAGCCAATATTAGTGATATTCCTAGTTAATAACAAATGAATTGTTTTCATTATGATAATTTTCTCTAAATAATTAAAATTAATATAATTTTAATACGTAACCAATGAATATAATAATATTTAAATCAAAATATTAAATTAATTCATTGGATTAACATTCTATAATTATTGTTTCAAAAAAATTAGAATTTAAAAGGATAGATAGTATTTACATGAAAGATTTGCGAACAAGATAGGATGATGATACAATGTTAGCATCAGGAGCGTTAAATGGAGCAGATCCATCTTCGCATACATGGATAGAAAGTGTAACTGTAGAATTAAGTCTTCTATTTGAAGGGTTTCTAAGTTTGCAATCGCATTTAACAACAGTATTTGTTTCAAAATTTGATAATTTAAGTTCAACTTCGCCAATTGGTATATCTCCACCGAATATACGCTTTTTCGCTAATGTGAAAATAAATGATGTAGTATTGGGATTATGGTATCTGAGTTCCCATACTTTTTGTGGATTTTTATCAAGGAAATCAAAATCTTTGGCATTTCTAAGAAGCGACGATCTTGTGCCAACACTTGCAACTATCTTGGCTCCATAATCTACATTAAAATTACCTAAATCGAACTTATCCAATCTGATGTATGCTACCCGTTTCTGGAAATCTATCATTTGAAAGTTACTGGAAAATTAAATGTAAATCTGGCTGATAAAATAATTTAAGGATATATAATCAGTATCAATTTTCGAACAAAGTTAATTGATGTGATGACCGTATGTTCTATCAATTTAATAATTTTGATAGCCATTCAAAATTTCAATAAGATGTTTGCAATCTCGAGCACAAAAGAGGTAGGGCAACGATAGGTCAAAAAGGCTTCTCTGATAGATTTCCTTGCCTTTTGGATATGCTATAATATATAGCCTAGCATGATAGGATATGATGTCAAAAGTTAGAACATAACTTAGGATCTTGAGAAAAATGAAAAACAAAAATTACATAAAAAAAGAAAAATTTTATCTAATTTGTTTTTTTGGACCGAATAAGTAATTTTATTGAATTTCAATACGACACATAGATTTTATTATTAGTAATAAATATAATGGTTTACTATTAACAAGGAACCTAAACTAATGAAAATTTGATTTCAAATATTGTATATGATTATCATAGATTACCAAAATATATTGCTATTTATGAGGATGTAATATTGATTATTAGTAAATCGTATAAATTTAATAAATATACCATGAATATTGAATGAATTTCTTGATTCATAGGGGTAAAACGCGCTTTTATATGATTTAGACAGAGAATTTATGAGATGTAAATAACACAATAAAGGTTTATATTGAATATTTTCTAAAAATAAATCGAAATTATAAAAAACAATACATTTATTCATTGAAACTACTTGGACAAATATGAAACAAGCATTCAGGCAATACTTTTGAGACTTCAACGCATCTGATAATTTTTATATAACTTCACCTCTTATGCTTAGAGTGGAGGTATTGAGATCGTATAAGTATAGATGAGCTCACATTCAGATATGATGTGTGAACTTCTGTTTTCACTGCAATTTTGAATCAGAATAAACTCAAAACAAGAATAAAATGATATACTCACTCTCTAAATGTGTTCGAGATTTAAAGTTGTATGAATAAAACGATTCATCTTTCGAAGCCTCCCATTTAATGAGAGACTTCGAAAGATGAATGTATTCATGTAGATGAAATACTATATATGACCATGTGTGATACTAAAGATATCAAAATGTTCATTTTTAAGTGCAATAGAAGGGTTATCTCTCGTAAAATCTCAATTTAAGGAAGATTTAGAAAGAACTCCTTTCCTAAGTAGATAGTGTGTGGTTTCTGTCTTTTGGTTGATCAGGAACTATGAAATTAAGTCGGACAGAAAGAAGTTCTTTCCAAAACAGACTCCAAATGAGTTGTTCGAAAAGAACTTCCTTCTGTATATGGATAATTGTAGTTACCGCACTGAAGTATGTGATTGTGATGATGGAGTTCTCGATAAATCTAAAATCGGATTAAGATTAATTGAAAACTCAAGTAATTCTTTGAAATCTTGTGTTGTCTGGCACTATAATAACCAAAGAATGAGAATATTATGTTGAATGATGAGTACGTGTGCTCGGCATTCGCCGAGCGAATTGAGTTTAACGTACTATGAAAAGTGACAAATTTGGGCTTTTTTTCCTAGGGTTATGATCTCTTCCTTTCTGCTCAATACGACAGAAATGAAAGAATGAATTTGTACTCCCTAATTGATTACTACAATCTGTATCTATCTTTAACATAGAATTAGCTGCATTGTGATTTATACTCCAGAATTATTCAATTTAAGATCAACCTCGTAAATTTTAATCATATTGCACCAATACTCCTACGTTGAGATAAGAACATGATTATACATACCAAAGCCCCATATTAAAAATCAAAATTTAGCACCTCCATTATGCAACCACATTATTCGTCGCAAATAAGTATATTTACGCATATTATGATGCATATTCACACAACTCGTATACATGAAAAGTTATTAAAATCAGACAAAATTATTGCAATAAGGAAAAAAAAACAACTTTATTATATATGTTAGTAATGAATTACAAATATTTCTACAAAGAATGCTCAATACTTCATATAATCTTCGAATATTTCTTATTACAAGTTAATACATTTTGACTCGAACATGATAAACAAAAGCTGACACGCTGATTACTACATTTATGAAAATATAGTACGTTTCCATTCATCTGTTTACTTGTTTTTGTTGGAATAAAATCATTTTTTTTTTCTTTCATGAAATAAGAATTTTGCTGCGAAAGCAATATCTCTAACAATAATTAATACATTACGTCAACTCTGGAATGAGTATTTATCAAATATGATATCAAAATCAAAAATTAGTTGTTTTTTATGAGTAAAAACGATGTAAATTGATTATTTGACTAATTATCAAATACTTTGATTTTCCAAATTTTTTTCGAAATTGATTTTTTCATGTGAAAATTCAAATTGTTTAATTTCATTTTTGAAATTTTGAATTTTTTTTGGAATTTTGAGTTGATCAATTCAGCAGAATTGATAATGCTATTGCTTTAGGGCATACCACAAGGTGATGAATAAAAGGTGAACATTAACAAATTATTTTAAATCACAAATATCATCCTCATCAACTTTAATTCTAAAAAGAACTGTACTGAATTATGAAAATGCATGATTTACATTATTAAAATCTTTGAATGAAAATAGTACAAGATAAGTTTTTTTCATTTTTAATTAGATTTAAACGAAAAACTACTCCATATTAAAATTTAAGTCGAGAAATCGTATTTTGTTCTTATTTGTTAGCATTTTGTAGACATTCTAATCTTGAATTAATTTGTTACATGATATTATTAACAAATTTAACTGAAAAAATATGTTAATATGGAATAAACCATGATTATATAAGCTATCAATGCTATATATACATATGTAAAAGATTCATATTAACTCAATTAACAAAAATGATAGATTTTCATAAAGCTTCAATCTAGGTTCGTCCGAAAATTTTGATTTTTATATAGAAGACATAGTTTCATATACATAATTAAATTTTCAAACAAATTTGATCATACCATTTATTAAGCAGGATAGTATATTAATTACTATCAGTATAAAAATATAAAAATGATTATATTTAATTATTGCATAATTTAGTCAAAGAGTTATAAGCCTCAAGTGATTGTTATCACCTTCAATGCACGTATACTTTATTGATTCATAGATATTTAATCTATGTTTGACATGTTGTTGTCGTCATTCGTTTTGTTCCCATTCTTCCTAAGTTAGAATTAGAGAATACACCATCCACATCATCTAATTTGGTCCTCAGCGATAGATTGGTTCATTTTGGAGGAGTCCCATCAGACAGTTTTCGAGCACCAAATATCAAATTTTAATGTATACAAATCTTTAGTGATTTATCTCTTTTATGATGAGTAAAAGGTTTCTACTCATCAACATTTGATTTCCGACATATATGATTTCTAATTGCAATTATTTACTTTCTTTTTATAATCTAACTCTGTGACTCATACCATAAATTAATTATTGGAAAGTGTCAATATGTTTGGCACAACGCATGGCGGAAGATACCAAACCATGCAGGGAATATGATACGTTTAAGATCTCCGAACTTTTTTTCCAAAAATTTTCTATCGTTGCCCTACCTCTTTTGCAATGGATAATTTAAGATACAATTGTTTGCTATATCTATCGAAGATGAGAATAATATAACAAAAATATAAAATCGTTAACTATTACGACCTTGAGAAATGACCGAACAAGCATTGAAAAAAAAATTATTCAATGGGGCAGTATTGGAAATAGAAGGAACAGCATCAGCATCATATGTTGACACATATTTTTTGGGTATGAGATGATCTGGACTAGGATGATTGACTTTTCAATATTTTTCAGAAAAGTTGATAAAATAAAATAATCAATTGTAAGGGGTGATCGAATCATATCTAATTATCCCGGTTTCGATGATCTAGTATACAAATATATAGTAATAACTAGGCATTTTCATTACTTTCTCAACTCATTTTATCAATAATGATTCGTTTTGAGCTTATTTTTAGTACATTGTATGTTAAGAGTCCTATTTTAACTAGCTAACAGATTTATTTTGGATGATTTTGTTCTTTCAAAAAATTTAAAATTATTTTGGCATTTTGAAAGGAGAGAGGGTCAAAGTTGCTATTTGTCACTTTTCCACAAGAATATAATGGGGAAAAAGTTATCATATAGTTGATCTCATTCACTGAGGTGAGAGATGCATATAGTCTAATGGGATAAACAGTGGGATTGCTGATCTAAGTCCTAGGTTCGAGATACATTGGCTTCATTTTTCTCCTTTTTATTGACGTAAACTATTCAATTTTTGTGTTCTCCATTCAAATTTCAGAATTTTTTTTTGCAGATTTCACGCTACATTCGAAGTTACCTTTTGTAACAACCACCACTGCCTACGAAAGACGAAAGTGTGTCACGATTTCACCCGGAAATCCGACGGTTGTTTAAGAGTATGCACTTTTGTCACCTACTCATTTTGAAAGTACATCCAATGATTTATAACTGAGTTTTGTATGGATGAATATAACATACCCTCGTTCTTGGTTGTTATTCCAAAATATTCATGAATGCAGTTAGTATTTCCTATGATGACTACTTTTATGTGTATAATTTACCTATTCTGTATTTTTAACTTTGTTCCAAGATATACCTGAATCTCAAATGAAATTATATGAATTCAAATTATGTAATCAGCACCAATTAATAGATGATTTACGAACCTGAATATGCATTAATACTTTTCATACTTTTGTTCAAGACAGCACACATGTTTTATGATGAAATCCAATTTCAAAACTATCTAATTAACAATTTAGCTTAATTCTCGTTGCATTTCTACAAATAACATCAAATAAATCATTGTCATATTCAATTGTTATTAAAAACCGAGGATTCGTAAAAAATCTTCCATTTTTAGAGAATTCAAATAAAAAAAATTGTCAAAACTCAAATAATATAATATTTTACAGACAAATCTCTATATACTTTTTCTCCATAATGAAAGAATTCGGAGATTTTTAACAGCCCTAGGAGTTAAATGAGGCTCTGTAGGAGTAGCGCATCTGGATTTAATAGATAACTTAGGAATGGATCCTCTCTTCCATTTCTTCATCTTAGAGATCCCAGTATTAAATTGATTTTTGATAGTATATGAATGAATCATATCTAGCAATTGTTCACTGGAGAATCTCTCATTTGGATCAATAACAAGAGAATTTTTCAGAATCATTCCAATTATCCCTTCTTGAGGAATATTAATTTGGATCGATCCATCAAGAATTCTCCTGAAGTATTTTGGATTACAGCAATCTTCATTCCAAGGATATCATCCATTCATTAATGCGTATAACAGTACTCCAAATGACCAAATGTCGGCCTTTTTTCCATTATATGATTCAGAGTTTATCAAAATCTCTGGAGCCATATAGTTTTCAGTACCACATATTGTTACAAGGTGGTTTGGGTTTTCACAGGACAATCCGAAATCAATAATTTTTGAATTATAGTTTTCATCAAGTAATATATTATCAAGCTTTATATCTCTATGGCAAATACCTCTACTATGGAGATAGTTAAGCCCATTAAGTATTCCTTCTGCAATTTGTATTTTTAATTTGCAAGATATATGAAAAGAATTATTTGCAATGAAGTGTAAGTCCCCCTTAGGTATGTATTCCATAACAATCATAATTGTGTCAGGCTCATATAAAATCTCATAAACCTTAAGGGTGGCTTCCGACCAAATTGTCACTTTTTAGCCCAAGTGAGAAAATTTCGTAATTTATAACCAAGTTTTTTAAAATCTATATTTAATAAAGATTCTATTTTTCTTATTAAATTTCAAAAATGAGGGGGTTCGGAATCGTCCACAAATTGCTGAAAGGGTTTTTGCCAGTTTTGAATCCGCTTATTTTTATCGACCAAAATTATAATAAATATAATTTTCGATAAGTATTCTACCCAAATGATTCTTCAAAAAATTATTTTTCGGATTTTATTCCGTAAAAAAAAGTTACAGAAAACGTCTATAAAATTTCGAATTTTCCCTAAAAAATTCAGTGCAGGTCGATTTAAGAGATTTTTCAAAAATAATCATATCAGTAGATAGGGTATAATATAGAGAAGCTTTATGAATAACTTAAAATCCGGGAAACTCAATATTCAACGAGAAAAACGCTTAACGAATCTCACTTTTGGTGTAAACATCACAAAAAATTGAGAGGGCTTTCTGGTCGGAAGCCTCCCTTAACAATATTTGGATGATTAAAGCGCGTACATAGCCTAAGTTCTTGTTCTAAATACAATAGATAATCGTTTTTTGCAGCTGCAGATCTTGAAATGATTTTAATTGCAACTTCTCTCTTGTGCTTTGTGTCATATGCCTGCACAATGATAGCAAACCCTCCGCTGCCTATTACTTGCAGTACTTTATAATGACGGATAGTATCTTCAAGTTTAAAGTTGAGTAAAGCTTGGGCCATGCCTATATTTTTTTGATTACGTTGAAGCATATTCAAAAATTGAAACCGAAGTTGATAACAATTGAAAATTATTTTGAGTGATTTGAAGAACTTTTGTGTGTAATTTCATATAAATCAACTAAATGTTATGATATCGTATAAACTGTACGTAATATAAATTGATCAAATATTTGAATGGTACTGAAATTCAAATCCTTTCAAATATTAATTATTTCATTTTACTTATTGTGCAATCAGATAAGCGATATTAAAGTTTTGATCGTCTTCTGAAATTTTATTCAATCAAAAGGGAATATTACATAATATCAGAAAAATAATTAAATTCCTGCAAAAAAATTAGAACTACCCATTGCTCTGAAAATTCGTACATTCAAATTAAATGGCTGCAGAAAATATTTTATGAAAACTTTTGAATATTCAAAAGTTGATTAATGTTTTATAATGTACCTGAATAAATGTAATATTATAAAATTTTTTTTAATCCCATTATTGATTTGAATTTTCAGAAGGAAGTATATATATTCATGAACTGTTAAACAGAGTTCATTACCTTTAGACAACAAAAACAATTTTTCATTATTCTTTTCAATTTTTACCCACCATGGTCGACATTTCATGCTTCCCGAATCTCTCCTTTTTTCTTAACTCAATATATATTAACTTGTTATTAACTTCTTATTCTATGTCCAAATTATGTGATTTCCCATGAGATAATATCATGATCTCTCAATTAACTCACCAATATTTATTAATCTAGAATTATTAAATCCAAAAAGTGTCAAATGTTCTAATTGAACTGATGCTTTGATGTTGTTGATTGAAAATTCAGAAAATTTTATCAAAGAAGCTTATGATTTTTGCTTATAGCTCAAGGATACGATAGTCTCGCTTCAAGTCTGAGCGATGAATGATTGTTAGTCAACGATATCCAGAAACAAAAGCCAAATAAAGTTCATTCTTCGTTGCCCAAAATAAAAAAATTGACAAAAATTTTCCCGTTTTTTAATAATGGCAGATCAAGTACGAAGATCATTTTTGGCATGTACTCGTGGTGATATTGCCGTTTTAAGTAGCATAGTACCAGACTATGTTAATCCAAATGAGCATATTTTCCAATTCATCATAATTTTATATGGGTCGTCTTTAATGTTGCATCCAGGCATGTTGGGATGCTTCATGTTGCAGCAGGATCAGAAAGAAGTGAATGTGTACAGTATTTACTTGATTGCGGAGCAGATGTAAATTTACCAGATTTAATTCTTCATTTTTTTACATGATTCTTTATATTTTGAAAGAATTATTCATTAATTTAAAGAACACCTCTTCATTACGCCGCACAATACGGAGATGATAATTCGTTATTAATTTTACTTGGGAAAGGGGCAAAAGTTAATGCAACAGATGCCGCAAAAATTCATTATTTTTTAATTTTACTCCTCTACATCTCGCTGCTTCTCGTGGTGATACAAGTAAAGTACAGATTCTTTTAGATTATGGAGCCAAAATTAATGCGATAGATGATACTGGCTCGACTCCATTACATTGGGCTGTTACAAATCAGCAAACTAATGCTGTCGAGCTTCTTTTGAAGAGAAATGCAGATCCTAACGCAAGAGATTCTGTTGGCAGAACTCCATTGCATATTGCATTTTATAACGAAAATCGTGGTGCAATTCAAGCGTTAGTCGATGCTCATGCTGATCTTCAAATTACAGATAATATGGGTAGAAAGCCCAATGAAACAATAGGTCCAAAAGGACTTTAATTTCACATTCAAAACTGTATTGTTTAATAAAAATATCCATTTAATAAAAACAAAAACCATGTATGCTCAAATTCAATGATATAATAGTGATATATCCTATCTCTTTATTTAATGTATGCCCGAATTATGTATATTCTCATTTTTTGATTTCTAAATTCATTTTTTCAGTGCGAGTTTTTATTAACAAATAACACTAGACTTACTGCTGTATTGAGTATATCATAGGAAGAATATGGTCTTGTTTTGGATTTAAAAAAAAAACAACAATATATTTTATTGATAAGAACGGCGAGGATTATGACGTAATAAGAAATGTGAAAGGAATAACACTGGATCCGGTGGACGAATTCTTTCAAGTTCATCCAAACCGTAAGCAAGAAGCGGAATTAACGTATCTCCAAGATACGTTCTGAGTTTTTCTTCGTCTGTTTGGAGTGACTGTTCTATACGGCCTTCAAGAGCCTCTTCTGTTGTTTGAGGAGCTGCAGAAATATTTTCTGAGTTAGGAGTACTATCTCTTGCACTCATTTTTTGTACGTTTTGACAAAAAAAATATTATCGAATTTTGTAAACTTCCAATTGTCAAATCTGCCAAAAAGTGTCAGTACAAGCATGAATTGATGAGAAGGAATTTCATTAGAATTATATTGCTAGCTCTCTCAATAACATTGCCTATGTACTCTATAATATTCATTTTTTCTTCATATCTTCAATCAAATCCCATTCAAGCAAAATTATTATCAAAAAGTAACAAAACATTATTATATTTCGAGTTAAAATCGAATGGCTTAGACATAGATAAGAGAAAATCCGGCATTTATATTGACATGAAATCAAATATTTGTTCGATTTCATCAAAAGTTGATAAATTCATTGATACGTACTCAATGCATTCATTAACATTTAAGGTGCCAATTTTAATCAGTAGCGTATACAAAATTTGCATTTATACAAAAAATTATCAGCAAAAAATCAATATATACACTAATACTGTTAATTGCACATTTTCTCTGGATGAATTTCCATTTACAAACTATACAAGCATTGTTTGCTTTGGAAAATCATTCAATGAAAGATGGTGTGTCGCTGAAAACGCATGTCGCGAAAATTTAACAGTTGTATTTTCTTTTCCTTATAATGTTAAGTTTAGTTCTCCATTTGTCAATCCATCCGCGCGTCCATCTCCGTATTCTAGAGACGAATTTATTATTAATTCGAATCGAATCAAATTTTTACCAGAATTACCATACGTAGAAAACTCGACTGCTATACTCTGCAGTCGATATTTGAATCACAGAATGCTCTGGCATAATCTTGTCGATTTTGTTATTCCTATTTACCGAGCTATGCATACTACGAACATTTCAAGTGACTGTACTATTCATGCATTTGATAATGATGGTAAATATGGACTCTTTTACGCAAATGCTCTTTGCCAGAATATTATTCATGAAAATTCTAATATTTATTGTCATAAAAGAATGATAATTGGGGTTCCCAAGACAGGAGGATCCCAATCCGAGAGGAAATTATTCCTAAATTACGATATTCCGCGAAATGAATTAATAGGATTACGAGAATTAATGTTAAAAGAGGCCAATAGCACCGGATGTATGCCTAGTCGCGAACATCCGAAAGTTTTGTTGATAAAACGAAGAACAAAAGAAGAAAAAAGAAGATTAATTAATTCAGATGAAGTTTCAAAAGCCATTCATGAAGTTTGTCCCTTCTGCGAAGTTCTCAATACAGATCTGCAAGATTTTAACAAGATGCAGCAAGTTTCGTTCACTTGCTCCGTTTCTTTATTGATAGGATTGCATGGTAGTGGATTAACTCACTTAATGTGGCAATATCCTTCCTCAAAGGAGCAGAAAACCGCTGTAATAGAAATTCTCCCGTATTTATACACCTGCAGGGACTGGTACTCTAAACTGGCGTCGATGGCCGGTGTAGAATATTTCTCATTGAAAACTCTTCGAAAAAATCAAAGTCGATGGGAAAAAGTGTCTGATGAGAGGGAAAGAAGCTGCCATTCCGGATCGGAAATGTGTGGCAAAGGTTGGTGTCATGATTTCTTGAGAGATCAATCAGTTATTGTTGATATTGATCAATTCAAGAAATTATTATCATCGATTGTCGAAAATCTCACAAAGAATAGATTGTAAATGTTGTTTATATTATACTGTTAAATGCTTCGGCCTTTTTAACATACGGACAATTTCGAAATTCAAACGTAAAATCGAATCTCTTTGTGTAATTATCGCGCAATGTGTATTATTAATGAGATACTTCATTACGAATTGTTGCATTACGGGCAAATTTTCATGTTTACACATTATGGGACAAATTGCATTAGTCAAGATACGCGATAAAAGCTAATATAATCAAATATATTATGTCTGTTTTTCACTGATATCAATTCCGATTCAAATAAATAACTGTGCTATATTTGATAAAATAATGCCAAAATTGTCTACCAATAATGCGAATCTAGGCTGCAACATTCCATTTTCCATGGAATGTGCACGCAAATTATGTAAATATAATAGTTTAATTGTAATAAAAAAGCAGGATGAAAAATAATTTATTCTATGTACCAATAGTTGAATTAGCTTACTCCTTGTTGACAGATGCAGCAACTGCCTCTGCAGCAGCCTTAGCCTTTGCCTTAAGTTCCTTTGTTTGTTCAGCCTTCTGGTGCATCTCTTCTACCTTGCCAGAAGCAGCAACAGCTTCAGCAGCAGCCTTGGCCTTAGCCTTGAGCTCCTTTGTCTGCTCTGCCTTCTGGTGCATCTCTTCTACCTTGCCAGAAGTAGCGATTTGTTCAGCAAGAGACTTTGCGTTTTCTTGGTGCTGCTTCTTGAGTTCATGCTTCTGCTGCATCTCTTCAACCTTTCCGGATGTAGCGATTTGCTCTGCAAGAGACTTAGCATTCTCTTGCTGTTGCTTCTTGAGTTCATGCTTTTGCTGCATTTCCTCGACCTTTCCAGATGTTGCAATTTGTTCAGCAAGAGATTTAGCATTTTCTTGGTGCTGCTTCTTAAGTTCGTGCTTCTGTTGCATCTCTTCAACCTTTCCGGACGTTGCGATTTGTTCAGCAACGGATTTAGCATTCTCAACATGTTGTTTCTTGATTTCGTGCTTTTGTTGCATTTCCTCAACGAGACCAGAAGCTGCAATCCGTTCAGCTGTTGACTTGGCGAGTTCTTGGTTGCCTTGCTCAGACATTCTTTTCGAAAAATGAACTCATCTTCTAAATTCAAAAAATTTGAGATATTTTCTCTCTGAAAATCCACAAATTTTTGAGGTGAAGAGATCAATTCAAATTTTGATAAAATGTTCAATTTGTCTATTTATAATCGCTCTTCGTATAGCAATATTCAAGAAAACAAGTCGGCTTGAAAAAATCGGTTCAATTTTCTGATAAAATGTAAGCTATGATCGTTAATTACATTCAATAAAAATCTCTTCACATGTGTTTATGAAATGTTCTTAAATAGGTAAAGGATAATTATTCCGACCCAAAATTTTAATCGACCATTTGGAAAATTGACAATAATTTTATTCGGATACATAAAATTGCGTTCAATTCACACACATAAAACCAGATTGAATTTCCGGATTATCTTTATTTTGATAGATTGTCCATATCGAAGTAATTTGCTCACTAAATAAATCTTTTATATACAACCGTAGAATTAATTTTCGGCAATGTTTCTTTAGAGTGGTTAAAGCAATTCGTCCAAAGAGCAGATCATCATTCAATTGCATAGAATTGATTAATGGCACTGATTCTCCCTTAAACACTATACTTTTCTTCAGATTATATATTGTTTCAATTATTTTTGGAGCAAACGGTATTATACATGTCCATTGTCGTTCAATGAATACGAAAATTGATGTTCTCGGTTAGAAATTTCACATTACGCAATGTTTTCATATTTTAAAAAAATTATTGAACTATTACCTTTTGGGAATATTGTATTTCAATAAAACTTGTATTGCATATCAATATATGATAAAGCGAAATGCTTTCCGCCAAAGTTATAAATAAAATTTAGCTAAAATCAATGATGTTTTCGATTCGTTTTATATGATTTTAACTAGTACTCCCTATATATTTTACGCAAACTATTGACAAAGAAAGAATCTTTTGAATGAAATTTTGACAAAAATTTTATTTGTCATTTTATTTAACTTTTAATGGTGAGCATACTATTGGTAATATAGCATTAACTTTTTAATATAAACCTTAATATTTGGGGGTATCACCGCCTCCCCCTCAAAATCTTTAACGGTAACCATTATGGATGAGATTTTCTCTTTGATTTCTCGATATCCATTGGAGAAAATCAAAGAAAAAGTATCTCAAATCAAAGATATAAGCATATTAGATAGTCTAAGGAAAGTTCTTTTCAATATTCATGAAATTCATCAAAAATTTATAAATATTCACCTTTTCTTTGGGCAGTTCGATACGGAAAGTATACTGTTGTCAAATATCTTGAAAGCATCGGCTGTAATATACATTTTACATTGCCTGACGGGCAAACAGCTTTGCATATTGCTGCAAGAAACGACAACTGTGCAGAAATTATATCATTTCTTATACATAAAGGTTTAGATATACACGCAATTGCTGCTCACCAACTACAGCCAATTCATTTTGCCGCTCGTGAAGGGCTACTAGAAAACTTGAAAATTTTAAAAAATCATGGTGCTGATGTCAACGCAAAAAGTGAGAATGGGATTACTCCTTTACACTTAGCTGTTGTCAATAAAAGAGAAGAGGCCGTAGACTTCTTACTGCATAACGGAGCTCTTAACCTACCTGATAAAAACGGGATAACTCCTGCAAGTATTGCTCACAAGAACGACTTAAATGAAATATCCGCGTTGTTTTTGAGTGATAGCGTATTATCATCAGATCCTAATAGTACTTATGACCCACCGCCTTTAGTTGGCTCAGAAACTCAAGAAAAAAATGTCAAAATTAAAAAAAGAAAGAGAAAAAACAAAAATACATCGAAATCTGTGAAAACCGCTAAAGTTACTTTTGATGACGTATCATTATATAATACAATAATCAAGAAAAATTCAACAAAAGCAAATTCAACATTAGATGAACAATCAAACCCTGTACAAGTCAAGAATAACAAAATAAAAGGTCGTAAATTACCTAAAAGTGAACCAATTACTTATGAGTCAGAAGCAATTACCAATAATTTATTAAAATCTCCAAAAAAGATACCAAAAACACCTAAGGCCAAACGAAAGAATGCATTCCCTAAGACTGTTGACCCTGAGTTAGTTGATATTGTTGAAAAATCGCAATTAAATATCCCAAAAACGCCAAAACCAAAAGTAAAAGCAGCCAGAGCTAGAAGAATAACTAAAAAGAAAGCTAAACAAGCACTTGTTGGACCAAATAAAACCGTAGCCCCTCAAATTACGCAAGAATCAGTAAGATCTCAAATTTCAAAGAAACGAAAGCTTCTAGTAACATCTAAGAAGCAAGTAAGAGTCATTAAATCGCCTGCTCGTAGAGTAAAAGTCAAAGTTCTCAAAACAAAAATAAATAATAAAAATCCTTTGACTCCTCAAAAGAAAACGCAAAAGCCCTTTGATACATCTTCATTGGATGATATTCAAATGAAGCCAAAAGCAGCAACACCCACAAGAAAAATTATAAAAAGAAGAATTATCAGAAAAAAGACGATAATTATTCCAAAACGAAAAGTCGTCAAGAAAGAAAAGAATATCAATACACAAGAAACTCCAAACAACACTTTAGAAAACAAATCAGAAATAATTTTGCAAAAAGTGATAGAAAACAATGAAAAATCAGATGATAATGAGTCATTAACAAGTCAATCACCGAAATTCAATAATGTTTCTGATGATTCCAGTGATTCTGAGAAAATTAGCATAAAATCATCAACTTCAAACCAAGTTCCACCACCAAAACTGCTGACATCGAGCTTCGAAAGGTTTGTATTTGTAAGTGAAGATGAAGAAGAGTCATCATCAGATCCAGGAACGATTGACAGCATTGATAACTCAGCAATTATTGATAAAACAAAATTACTGAACAAGAAAATTGTTAAAGATGAAATGGAATCTCAAACTGATTCATTGACAAGTCTTAAAACAGATCATAACATTGGAGAAACTAAACAGAAAAATCCAAAATTATCTTTGCAATATGAAAAATCTTTTGAAATTTTGCAAGAAAGTGATTCTGTTTCTTCCCAAACAAAAAGAAAGAAAGTTCCACCGCCAAAGCTTGATATTTCTTTCAACATTCCTGTTGACGTTGAAGGACAAACTAAACCTCTTTCTATTTCAACAGAAACTGCCAAAGTTGATATCTCAGATAAACCGAAATCATCAATTGACACAAGTTTTGATGAAAAATTACCAAAAGCAAATGATCCTGGTTCTCCTCACTTGGAAAACAGAAATCCTCATATTTGGTCAGATAAAAGAAGCTTCAACTCTCAAAAGATCCAAAGGAAAGCTGTATATCTTGATGATGACAATAAATACGAAAAAAGATTTGATGATTTATCCGCAAAAATTAATGAAATAAATGAAAAATTGTCAAATTTGAAACAAAAAAGTGACAATGAAATAACTACAGAAGAAAACATTAGTTTATTTAAAACAACTGATTCATTGTATATGGGAGAAAGTGATCCATCTTATAATAATCAACAATCCAAACCAGAAACAAAACAAAACGAAGAAGAAGAATGTATTTACTTTGAAGATGAAAATTTGACATTTGATCCTCCATCTGAAAACTATGAGAAATACAATGATCTTATTTCGGATATAAAGTCAGGAAGGATCACTGCTGTTCAAGCATTCATCATGAAAGAACATCCTAATGTTGTTACATCAAGAGGATCAACAATTCTTCATGTTGCAAGTCATTACGACCAATTGCAAATTGTTAATTTAATTTTAAGAATGAATGAAATTAATATTGATGCAGTAGATTCCCATGGAATGACAGCTCTTGGAAGAGCATGTGAAAATGGAACATTAGAAATAGTTAAATTACTTATTGATAATGGAGCAAGAACAGATATAATTGATGGAAAAGGACACAAAGCAATTGATGCGACAAATAAAAATAATTTCACAATTTTAGCAAGAGAAACTGCATCAGGAAACTACGAAAATGTTAAGTACTTGCTTAAACATGGCGCAACACCAAATATAGTAAGTAATAAAGGAACAGTTGCTATTGATGGAGTAAATGAAAATGGTGAAACTTTGCTGCATATTAAATCAAGAGATGGAGACATAAAAGCCATTAAATTCCTTATTAAAAATGATGCAAATGCATGCATAAGAGATAAAAATGGACAATTACCAATACATATTGCATCTAAGCATAAAGATAAAGAACTTAGACATAAAATAATGGATGAATTGAGTTATTCAATGACAAAATCTTCAACAGATTTCATTGATTTGATGTTGAGAGATAATAAATTATTCATTAGAAACAAAAGTAATTATATCAAAAAGGCAATCGATTTTTGTGCCAATGAAGTTATTCCTTTCTTGTTAAATAATGGCTGTGAATGTGATACAATTGATGAAGATGGTTGTTCTCTTCTTCATTACGCTGCAAAAGTTCCAAACTTGAATGAAGAAAAACAATTTGAAATGACAAAAGTTATTGAAATTCTTGAAGTCAATGGGAGTCTGTTTTGCTTTGATAAAAAAGGAAGAACTCCTTTGCATTATGCAGCTGCGAATAATTACCAAATCATTTGTCGTTACTTCATTGGAAAAGATACAAGAAGATTGACATTGCAAGATGCAGAAGGAAATACTCCTTTTGATTTAGCAACAACAGAACAAATGAAGAAATTCATAACAAATCTGAATTCTTCGATGAAAAAATCGAAAGAAATGAAAGAGCAGAAATTCTTGAAATTGCATAGCAACTACTTGACTCCTGAAGATATTATAGAGATGATAAAACTTGATTATAATCACGCATTGAAGCATTACGTGAAATCAGGAAAACTTAGCTTGAAATACAAAACAAAAGAAAAGCCACATTCGTCTTTATTACATATTTCTGCTATGTATGATTCGATTAGATGTTTCTTCTTCTTGATATCCCATAAAGCAGATATTATGCTTGTAGATGATGATAATCATACAGCATTTCAAGTTGCTGCAATTAATAATGCTGTTTCTGTTTTGACGGCTTTTATTGATTTAGATTTCAAACCAGAAGAGAAAAACTCTGAAGAAATGCTAAGTTTGACGGGAGAAATGAATGAGTCTTATTACGTATTAGATAGTTATATTGATTATACTAACATTGTTTATCAGTTTTTCAAAAACTACGATGTTACAATTCTTACTCAAAATTACAATTTCTTCACGAAATTGATATTTTTCGATATGTGTATTCTCAACCAAAATGTTGCAGAAAATATCATGGAATCGAATATATTGAATATTAATGCTGTAAATACATTTGGTGAAAATGCAATTTACCATATAGTTAAATATGGAGACGATTCTCAAAATGATCAACACGAATTAATAAAGAAACTCGTGAAATTTGGTTGTAATCCAAATGCACAAAGATTGGATGGAAATACCCCACTCCATGCTGCACTAATATCCAAGAACTTGGGTTTCATTGAAACTTTAATAAGCTGTGGAGGCGATGATACAATTTCCAATGATAATGGAACTATTGTTAGAAATATGATTGAATAAATTGTTTGTATTATGTATTTATATTAAAAATCATCTTATTTTTTTTATTAATTTTTTTAGAAATGCTGATAAACATAAATATATGTATTGGAAGCAAAGAAAAAAAAATGAAAATGTCACTTTTTTCATTATGAATTTTCCCAAAATTTCAAATATACCTTATAAGCCTTATAAGCGCTTCGAAGAACCACATACAGATTTCAAACAAAGATATCCGATGATTTATTCAATATTTGCAGACGATATTAATTATCACGCGATTCCTTGCAAAATACCCGAACAACACGATGAAATTCCTATCGAAACTGTTATGGTGAATGAAGAAAAACCGATTTCTACTGGATTTTCATATAATCTTGGTTCCACAATTGATTCTACAAGCGGATTCAAGTTTGATGTTCCAATTTCTTCAACTGCTTTTGCTACTAAACTCAGGCTCAATAATTTATTGCGCGAAGATATTTGCAATCTTCTTATGAAACGTAAAAATTTGGTTGACTTTAAGAGACTAAAACGAAGCCTCAAGAAAAGTCTTAAAATTGTTAACAAGCCTGCTCAAGAAAAACCACGCTTTAATTCAAACAGAGAAAGTTCGTATAAAAATGATGATCAAAACAACGACCAATCAGATCAGAAAAATGCAAAAAGCTTCGAGAACATGCCCAACGATCATTCATACAATGATAATAATTCTCAACCTCGCAAACAAAATTCGAACAAGCAATTTAATGCGAATGGAAAAAAGCCTAACCAGAAATCACAATCGAATCAATCACAAAAATCAAACAATCAACAAAATCAACAACAAAACCCGGTACCTCAGCAAAATCAACAACAAAATACAGCATCTCAGCAAAATCAACAACAAAATACAGCATCTCAACAAAATCAACAACAAAATCCGACAAATCAACAAAATCAGCAACAAAATCCGACAAATCAACAAAATCATCAACAAAATTCAATGCAAGGCCAACAACAGTCTTCTGGACAACAAAATTTTCAGAATGGGCCACCTCCACAAGGACAAATACCTCCTCAGCAAAAACAAAATCCAAATTCTCAAAATAGCCAGTAAAATGGAAATAAAAGTAATAAGCCCTATAGAAGGTAAGGACACAAATCAAAACACGAATCAAAAACGCCAAATTCTTAGTAATTATTTTTATATTTTTTTGAAATTTTTCTTTTGATAACTAAATATTTGTTATGTATTTGTAATTTCCATTTCTCTAATTTTTTGTGTATTAATGTTTCTCAAAATTGATAAAAAAAAAATTATTTTTGAATAAAATAATAGATTTAGTAAACAATAAGATAAAATAGAATACTCGTGTTTCAGCTCTTTAAAAGAAGTGCAACATTAAGCTCTAATACGTATTTGCAGAATGGAATTGAAAGAATTAGTAAAATGAAAGCGAAAATAAAGATTCCGAAGAAGATTTCAGTGTAGGTTTGTCCTTCGTTGCAACGCCATTTGTTGAAATTTTGGATAAATAAATCTCTTTTTTCGTCTGGAATGCTGTTAATGGTTTTATTATACCATGTCTGGTAAGACTTGGTTGAGTTACCGGGATATAGTGATTTGGAATAGAGTTCGGCACATTTTTTATCTGTAGACCAAATAATTACCAAAAAACATGAAATAAGAAAGCCGATTCCAGCTAAAAACGATGTATTCTTTAAAAGTTCTGTGAATGAGCCTGTTTTTCCACGGCATTTTGTAACAATATACGCTTGAATTGCAGAATATACGCCCAAAAACCAAAAGATAGCTCCAAATATCCAACCACTAAGAATGGATACATAAAGACCAAACGCGAGATCATTTCCATTTCTTCTAACGCTAAAATCGTATTTCACTCTTCCCCACCAAATAAATAGCCAAACTGCTTGGCCAATACTCCCAACTGTGATTGTAAGGAATATTGCTGCGTAAATTAATAAAAATTTGCAGCCGCCTTCCTCGTAAAAATCTGCTAGCTGCATTTTTTATCAAAATTGTCACTTTTTAAAAAGAATTTTATCATATGAAATTCTTATTTCTCATATTTTTTCTTGGTTACATTATATTCCATTCATATTCCACAATAATGGAATAACTTTAATCTATGCATCAATGAAAGAGTTTTTATTCTAACAAATACTTGTTCTTTTAATGAGGAGAATCTAATTCATTATGCAGATACCTGTAGGTCACATAATTCAAATGAACTCATTCAGATAAAAAAAAAATCAAATTTCTTGAAATACTCAAGAAAAGGATAATTGTATTCTACAGTAGAGATATTTGCATCTAAATTAGAGGTATTTACATCAAATAACAAGGTATATAACTATGAAAATGAAATAATTTTGATTGTATCGCAACTACGGCTAAAGTCAACAAAAACACAACTATTCATTTAAGTAATCCTATATTAAAAGAACAGAGATTTAAGATAGGACCTATTAAAATGAACTTCAAACGCCAACTTCAATTTTTTCATCGGTTCCATTATTGTCTTTTGTATTTTCGCTCACAATTCTCTGAGCTTCTTCGATAATTTTTTGTTTCCTCTGATCAATTATATCTTTCTTTTCTTGTACTTCAGTGAGCAAATCTTCGATTTTTTCGAATTTTCCCCAGGTATTATTGGTAGATTCTATCACGATATTATATCCAGATAGAATCAAGTTTAATCGATTTATTGATGAATTGATTTTATTGTATATAGCTTCTCCATTTTGAACATTTGTTTCTATTGTTTTCATTTGGCGTTCAATAGACTCAAACTGTGTGGTAATTAAAAACTGATCTTTCGATAAATTTTCAATTTCGTTTGTTTTAGATGTAATATATTCGAGCTGTTCAGAATATATTGATCTTTCTTCAGCTGTGAGTTCTGCTGAGCCCAGAATTTTATCTTTGACATTTATTAAGAAAGTCATGAAAAAAAATGATTTCCGATTTGATCGAGCATACATTATAGACGTATCAAAAATAAAAAGAATATTTCATTTAATTTTCTAAAATGAACGAGAAATTAAAAAAATCATATCTCTATTGGAAAAATGAAACAATTTCTATAACGGGAGTGCTATTTTGACGTGATAATAGGTTAGAAGATTTATGCTTTCCCTATGAGCATGAACAATGAAAAATGATATGCAGTATTCATTGAGTATATCAGTACAAACTCGAGAAACAATGAAATTTAATTGTTGTAAAATATATTTGTTTAATATAAATACAAAAAAAAAAGAAAATTTATAATATATATACGCTTTCTTATAGGATATTTTGATATTAAATATTGAAGTCAAGAGAGTAACCAAAAGTTGCTGTTTCTGCTTTGAAAATGTTTGACTTCGAATTCAAGCAAACTTTAAGCCATGGTTTAGGTTTAATGATAACATCTATATCTGTAAAGCCACGTGCATCGATTGAAGCTCTAAGTTTTGCATCTTTATCAATTAAAATTCCGAATTTAAAGTTGCCTATTTTTTGTAAATGATCGTACTGTCCATTTGATGCGATACTGATGTTCTGTCCAACTTTGGCGATGCTTGCTATGTTAGCTTTTGCATGTAGGGCATCTAAAGAAGTATAAAAATCTAAAATTTTATATTTTGTTAAATATCCTATTTCTATCGAGTTTAAAACAAATGGCTTAGTAATGCATTGTCCACTAATTAGCAAACCAAAGTTAAAGAACAAAGACGCAGTCATATTTGTTCCTTTATCAGAGAATGTAGTACTTGTATATATCTGGGAACCTCTCATTGACGCGAGCGTGCATATTTTTGGTGTCTTATCATACATATGGCATAAGGAAAACTTAAAACCTACGTTGCTTCCACTCAAAAGAATCTGTAATTCAGAGAAAACATCTTTGGGAACACAGTATATTGTTCTATTCATTATTTTTTCTGATATAATTTTACCGGATACCCCGAAGTGTTTATGGTCTGATAAATATTTTGCAAAAGCGTAATAATCCATGTTACTATATACGCTATACTGTGATGTGAAGTTGGAGATTTTGAGTTTTCCGTTGCTGTTTAGTAAATATTCTCCTTCTAAATCACGGAATACTTGAATATCAGTAAATCCGGACTTGAATCCTTTCTTAATACTAATGTGATTGAACTTTGACTCTGGAAAGAATTTTAGTAGCTTCTGATTTAATTTAGAAAAAGGAGAAAAATAGTTAAAATTCTCCATTTAAAAAATTGAATTCCGGAATGATTTTTGGACAAATATTTGCCAAATTAAGAAGTATAGTAGCTAATATTCTTTCTAAGATGATTCTAAAATTTTTCAAGTCAAATCCTTTCCATTACTGTCTGAAATAGATATAATTGGTATCGTTGTACCCTCAGCATTTGGAATCTGTGATATTAATACATTTATATCTATTCTGTGTGTTTTCTAGCAATAAAAATGACATATGATTTCCGAAATTTTTTTGAACTCATAGATTTTTGCCCCGAGATCGAAAATAATTCTCACTATGCAACAAGCATACTTATGGTTCAATGATGATTTTTTAATCAAATTTTTTAAAATTTTTTAATGTTTTTCTTTTTTGTTTTGTCGATCTTGTCGTTAATAAACGAGGCTCCGATTCTTGAAAAAGAGCAAGTTCCTACTTTCCAGACAATAGAAACCAGTGAAAATACAACAGAATTGGAATCAAGAATCAATGCTGATAACACAATTACTTCTGGAGAATTCAGTGGTGATAACCGCCAAACTCTAGAGTACTATGCCTGCTCACTTACAATCAAAAATGCAAAATTCAATCAGTTAATGGCATTCGGTGCAGGACACTCAGCTGGTAACGGCGGTGCAATATTCTGTTGGCACTCTACAGTTGATATTCGCAATGATGCCATCTACTCAAACGATTTCTCTAAAAATCAAGCTGCTATTGGTGGTGCCCTCGCTCTTCTATTTTCGAATGCTATTATCGAAAAAGTTTCATTTAACGAAAATACTGGTTATCAACACGCCGGTGCCATATATTTCCAAGGTGATCAGCGCTTTTCAACAGCTACCACTGCCTGCCAAACAGAACTTAACCTAATAGATTCAATTTTCGAAACAAATAATGGTGGTGACATCGGTGGTGCTATTTTATCAACAGCCGCTACAATTGTTTACATGAATCGTTGTAAATTCACTAGCAACAAAGCCAGATTTGCAGGAGGTGCTATGTGGCTTCTTAACTCACCAGCGAATATCTTCAATACACACATTCAAAAGAACGAAGTTGGTATTAAAGGTGAAGATAATAGGTTCCGCTTCATGGAAAATGGTAAAAAATATATGAAAGATGATTCGTATCATTTCAGAGGTCGTGGTGGTGGTGGTATATACTTCTTATCATCAAAAGATGGCACACTCATTGGAATTGACAGAAGGCATCTTTATACAGAGAAAGTTTGCTTCACTAACAATAAAGTTTATCACGGAACAAACTTTGCTAAAAACAAGCCAAATCCAGGTCACCATTTGATGTTTGATGGCTATACATACTGGAATTCATACAATGACAAATTTTTGGTACCAGACATTGATGGCGGAGAAGACAGTTACGCATTTGGATCTGTAAGCAAGGAATGGGATAGCAAAGTTATTGAAAATTTCCGCGAGGTAGGTAATCTTGACAGCTGCGAACCATTAGAAGGTGAGGAACCTGCCGAAACCCCAGTACCTTATCCATTTAAATCAACAGAGAGTTCAACTGATGGTACTTTTTCTGTCCCAGATGCCACTCCTTACACTTATGTTGCAACACCAATTACAAGACTTCCTCAACAAACAACAAAATCACCCATCACATTCCCAATAACAAAAACATATGCAAGACCTACAACACTAACAGCAACACAATTTGAACCAATAGATTACGAATATCCTGAGGCATCAGCTAACGAGTATGTAAAAGAGACCAAATTCCAATACTATACAATCGCAAATGTTCAAAAAGAAACAGTTAATTATTCTTTAAAGGAAAATTTCACGATTGAAAAAGATACAGAAACTGTTATATTCACATCCACTCAAACAGTTATACAATGGGTTTCAAAACAGATGGGAGGAGCATACCCAACTACAATTGTAAACAATTTAACAGACACTTATATACCAACATATGTTAAATTAACATCTGGCACAACAAATCTATACATCCCATACAAGACTACAATGAATTTCGACACAATTACCGTTGCATTAGTCAATGAAAATATTGAGACAAAATTGTCAACAACATGGACAATAAGTAAAGATACAGAAACAATAGGATTAACATTTGGAACCGCAACGACATCATATTACTATATGCAAGCAAGTGATTTTAGTGAAGGAAAATGGTATTTCAAGAAGCTTGAAAAATATAATACATTGACATTTTCACTTGAAATTAAATCACTTACCTATATGCAAACTGATGTCTACAATGCAACTAAATGCAATGACCAAAACTGTTTCAATGGAGAAAGAAATAGTATGCATACAATATTATATAAATTACCATTTAATGAGACTTATACAACTTCGTCTTCAACTCATATTGATACGAGAAGTGCAACACTTTGGACACTTGATGTAGGAGCAGCCATATCTTTACCTAGTTATAACAATTATGATGCTGCATCTCTTCTTACAAAGTCAACGACAACATATGTATATGAAAAGAAGCGCACGTCTACATTTGAAATATCAATTACAAGAGCAACAGAGTTAAAGACAATTGTTACATTTGTATATACAAATGTATTTCTCAACACATTCGTTAAAATTAGCAATGATCCAACATGGACATTTACAAAGACTTATGCTTTCATAGAAACTGCTACAAAAATGAATGCAGGTGATAATTTAACTGTTGCATCATGGGTTTATACAGAGACAGATGTACCTAGTTCTAAAAATACTATGGCAACAACAGATTATATAGCATACGATCCATCCTATACATTTGATACAAATGCACAAACTATTTCCTATGAACTCAAAGGTACATGTATCCGCGCCCAGCAATCATCTATCGAATTAAATGAGCTACCTATATTAACAAAAATCAGTTCAATTAGTACTCTTTATAAATCAACATGGACAAAGGTTAATTTATCTAGTAATACAGATACTGTCATCTTTACATACACAGCAACAAACTCGCTTTATGAGATCAATACCTATGTATATAACACTTTGCCATTTGAAATCGGAGTTGAAGTTGATAACTGTGGATATGCAGACAAAACCATATCATCAACTACGTTGAAACTAAATACAATTCCACGAACTATAGTAACTCCAAAGCCTACAAACCCACTCGCGACACTAGTGGAATCATTATATCCTGTTGACAAAGAAACTATAACAGATTACAAAACAATCACAACAACAAGCGCATGCTATTCATCAGGAACAAGTATTCCAACAACTATTATTGCTTATACAAGTACATTCACACAAGTTGGCAATGAACGCAAATACACATATGCTACAGTTACAGAAATTATTTTCACCGAAAATAATGCAGATAAATGCACTAACGTACCAACTTCATCAATTATCTCATCAATAAAGACTTACACAGATATAATTGAAAAAACTTCTACACTTAGTTTCACAAAGACACAACTATACTATGAAGGTGCTACAGAAGTGATAGTACCAGAAAATTCTAATTGTGCTTATTTAACATTACCAGAAAAGGAAAAAGTCAAAATCGAAAACCCAGTTTATTCATATTACACAAATATTTATACAATCAGTTCAACATTTGTAGAAGAAAGTGAAACAACAGTTTACAACTCGCGAACTCTAATTCTCACTCCAACGCTAATGTATGGCTATGCATTTAGTATGCCATTCAAAACACAAATTGTTACAACACTAGAGTGTAAGCCAGGTTTGGTTGCTAAAAAAGTGTCTAGTACTACAACAACAATATCAATTGGTGATATTCCATCTCCAACACCAGCCATTACTCCAATGGAAACACCAATGCCATCTCCAGCCAGAACATCAGCCATGAGAAGTGATCAAACATACATCACTACACAGACAATTTACATCACAAAGACAATGTCCAACGTCACAACAATTGTTCCTACAACAACACACAGAAACACATCACTCAATGATAATGGCACCTACGTGATTGTTGTCGAAGTCACAAAGATTATCACAATTGTTCCTTCAGAAGTTTACACATTGGTATACGGTGAATCCATGGTTTTCACAGATGCAAACACAAGCGGAACACCTAACAAGAACAAGAAACTCATCATCATCGCAGCTGTTGTATCAGCAGTCATTGCTATCATTTTGATCGCAGTCCTCGTTTGGTTCTTTGTCAGCTACTCCAGGTCATCGTCATCATCAGATTCTGTTGTCGAAATGGATGAAGAAACGGTCTTACACGTTCCTGACAGCACAAGCGCTCCAATCACAAATGATAACCCACTTTGGACAACATCCGTCATGGGTGACACTGATGATCCATTCAGAAACGATTTCGAAGAAGTTGCCGCTGAAGGCTTCTTCAACGAACGTGCTGAAACTGTCGATTCAGACCCGTGAGCTTAAATTTTTTAAACAATTTTAATAATTGTTGATAAGATTTTATACCTTTTAATTTTTTTAATTTAAATTTTGGTATAAAATCTTATAAAACAATTATACAAAAAAATATGTTTTTTTTTAATATTTTTCTCTCTCTTTCTCTTTCTCTGTTTGAATTGTGTTAGAGGTATGTTTTAGTGATCTTCTTTGAATATAATGGATCACTTAATTAAAATCTTAAAGATTTATTGTTTGAATCACTTAATTAAAATCTTCTTTATTCAAACAATAAAATTATTCATAAATAAACTTGTTATTTGAAATAAAAGCTATCAATGATAGTAATAAAAATTGCACGTTTATAATGATCTTATGAAATTCAATGCAATATTTCCCATTTTCAATTGATTTTTTTAATAAAAGTATAATACAGTCTGCGTCAGACCAAAATTGTCATGCAGCTATCAATGCTAATGTAATTCTTAATCATATTCATCTTTCTATATTTCAAGATTATTTTCTAATTTGAACTTTGGAATTCATTGTTGAAAGAAGGGTAAAGTGTTATTTTTTAATGTGTATAATAAAAATTGAAGATAGATATCTATCAAAAGCTTAATTTTTTAAGAAGTTATTAAATTATTAATAAATTATGAGTTAATTAATTGAATCTATTATTTGATTGTCTATGTTGATCACATATCCATAAAAGCTAATCCAAAATTTTATTTGTGACCCTTCCTGCATAAAAAAGTGCCAGGACCTAAAATCTCATGGGAAGACATCGTACTCACCACGCAGCGCAGAAATTGATCACAGATATCCACAAAAAACTTGATACTAAGCGTAACAGAGATGTTAAACTGAAAATGAAAAGAGCTAAACATCAAGAAGCAGTAAAACAGCGTATTTTGCAGAACCAAGCTGAAATGGCTGCTCTCGATGCCCCAGCACCAAAGGTTTCGCAAAAGATTAAGCGTCATATCAACGAGAAATTCATGGAAAGAGTCCAAGCCTCACAAACAACTTATGATGCTCTTATTCAACTTGTTGATAACTGCGACGGAGCAATTATCGTCGTCGATGCAAGAGATGCCGATGCTTGCCGCTTTATCAATGTTGAACACGAGTTATCCGAGAAAAAAAAGCCAATTATGTTTGTTATTACAAAAATAGATCTTGTTCCTCGTGATGCCGTAGAGAAATGGATTGCTCACCTTACCCAAGTCGCCCCAACAGTCGCCATCTCTCTCAATTCCGCAAAACCAGATAATAAGATTCTGAAGCAAATCCAAGACTTCGCAGCTGATCTCAAGAAGGTTGCTGTCTTAGGACCACAGAAAATTGGCAAGACAAAGCTCATCGAGTTACTTAAAGCAGAAAAATTTGAAGAGTGTCCACCATACAAATGGACCCTCTGCGGCGTCGATCTTGCTCTTATTGACTCATTTGAGTGGAAAGGACGCGCCAGAGAGTTCGCAATTTCATTCATAGAGCGTTTACTTACATCCGAGAAATCTCCAGGCATAAACCTTATCGAGAAGCTCGAAATCAAGAAGCCAAAGTCACCAGGAGACATCCTCGCACAGTTTGGCATCAAACGCGGTGTTGCAAAACACGAATCTGGCGAAGCATTCGTAAAAGCTCTTACAGACAAGGAATGGAAGTGGGTTTCCATCCCAGATGTCGAAGATAAATGCGAGATCTCCCCAGAACAGACAAAAGAATTAGAACAAAGCTGCAATGAAAAAAGTTCAGATTTCGTTTACATCGGACAGGATGTTACAATTAGAACAGATGACAACGCTCTTAGATGGATCCCTCCTGTCCAGTCTGATTCTGAATCAGAAGAAGAACAGACAAAAGATGATGATGAGAAGGAAAAAGATGATAAAGAAAATGGAAATGAAGAGGAAGATGATGAATAAATTTATTATATAAAGATTAGAATTTATTAAAAATTAAAATAATTTTTTACAAATAAAACATATAAATGACATGATACTTCCTTCTTTGGGTTAGAAAAATTCAATTACCACGTCTAACCCTTTTTCTAACAAATGAATTTCAAGAATTATCAGATTATCTTGAAATTTTTTATTAAAAGATTGTTTTAATCTGATTTTCGTTGTTGAAATTCTTTTTTTGGATAGCAAATAACTTCTTGCATTTTAAAATATCATTTAAGAATTCATAGGCCCAAATTATGTGGACTCAAAAATTCCTTTTTCCAAGGATGTAGCATTGTTTTTATTCAATTAAAATATGCTCTATCTACACATCAGTCTATGCTGGTTCATATATATATATATATAGACAATATCCTATCAAGCTCTACGGATAGTAAGATATAGAAGCCCAAGGTTTACTAAAAATTAATTCACTCTCTAATCAATAAGAAAAAAACTATTGAAGTCACATGAATCCAGAATGAAAAGATAATTAAATACATATTCTGAGATACAGATATCCTTTTTGATTCATAAATATCAAGTAGAAAATTTTAAAATAAATTTAAATTTATATTATTTTTTTATTCGAGCAGTCTTTTTGCGAGAACAGCTGCTACAGCTTTTCTTACTTCTTTTGAAGGTGTTTCTATCATAGCTATTATTGAATCCTTAGATAATTCGAAGGCTCCTTGGAAATCGTTACTCTTCAGGAGGAACTCCAGAGCGAATTTCGCTGCTTCATTCCATTTCTTTGGTTTCTGGTCGAGTCTTTCCAAGAAGTATCTGAATGTATCAGCCAAAACAATTCTCGATTCCATGTCACCGCTCACAACATTAGTAATAACAAGCAAAGGAGTTCTGACGTGAACCATTATTGCGTCAGGAATCTTCAAGTGATGTATTGCTTCGTAACATTTCGGTGCAATGTTTGGATCTTGGCAGAAATACATCAACAAATCGCAGAAAGCAATTTGGTTCTCGGGCGAGATCTTCTCGAAATTGGCAACAACTTTGTCGATGCCTTCGCGACATGACAAAACAGATTTATCGTCCATTGGCAGTTTGACAGCCGATAGATTTGCAATTGCGACAGAAGTTACACCATTATTATTTGCACCGTAAACCAAATTGAGAAGGAATGAGATGACTAAGTGTTCATGGTTAGGAGAAGCGATTTTCGTGATGTCACCGACGAAGCTATATAATTCTTCGTCTTTTACATCGTTAAAGAATTGAGGAGCCGTCAACAACAAACACTCTTTCCAAACATCTTCATCGCAATCGTTCATCTGAACTACATCATTGAGAAAAGCACCTCTCATCGCTGCTCTAACAGCTTCTTCTCTGTCACTCGCATATCTAAAGATGCACTGTAATAATGCAGACCACTTTTCATCATCGTTCTTTGGAATGTGATGTGAAACTGGTCCGAAAAATTCTGCAGCTCTAGATCTGATCGTCAAATTTTCTGTCAAACCGATAAATGACGATAAAACATTGAGGACATGAATCATTTGTGGTTGTAAGATCTTCATCCTTGTATTGATCATCTGTTCGACAACTTCGAACGCGTGTGTGCATGTTTCTTTTCCACTTGCTGCTGATGTCAAAACTTGGAAAACAACAACCCATCCACTCTGCAAATTCTCTGCAAGTTCGCTCACCAATGCGGAAATGCAAGTTAAAACAAGATCTTTAACTTGTACATTGCGTTGGTTATCGAAGATATGTTGGAAAGGTGACATAAACCGTTTCTGGAAATGGAAATTAATTAGTTCTTCTTCGAGAAGGAATTTCGAAGCGAGTTGTCTCGTCATGTCTATTGCCAACTCAGGAATTCCTGGTTTATTAAGTGTGCCAACGAAATTCAAGTAGTCGCCAATGATATCCCATACAGCAACCCATAAAAATTTCGGTCGTTTCACATTGAAATGTGCAACAACTGACACTTTTTGTAAACTGTAAATTCTTGCTGGTTTTTCTTGTAATTCCTGTTTAGAGACTGAGCAAAGTGCTCTTACGAAATCTACGAGGGATTCTCTATCAAGAGATACTGTTGACGTGAACAGTTCGTCTATCAAATTGACGTTCAATGTCGCATTTATTTCTGGTGGCAAATTTATTTTTTCAAGAGAAGAAATTTCACCAATAACTATATCCCACGCTCCTCTCAAGAAATGTCTGTCATCGTATGCAATTTGTAACAAAGTGTTTGTGCACTCGATGTTCTTGAGTCTGATGTCTGTTGCGCCTTTCCTCATATTCGTGAACTTCGCAAAAGCATCAACTAATGTATCCAACGCGGTTTCAATGAAACAACGACTTGCGATGTGTACCATTGTACTCAATCCTTCGAGGCAAACTGAGTAAACCTGTCTGTCGTTTGATGTTTCGAATGTAATAGTCAATGCTGCCAAGCAACCACGCCATATCACATTGAACATCGGTGCAACGAACATTGGAGATTCCGCTGTTTTCCACTCTTTTGATTCAGCTTGTGATCTTGATCTCGCTTGTTCAAGTGTTGCTTTGCATTGTGAAGCGTAGAGATCTGCTCTTTGTGCTCTTGTCAATAAGGCGGAATTTGGCATTGCTCCGGACGGAAGGAAGATCCTCTTTGAAGTGATTCCTTTGTATAAATCTTCCAATAATTCATATGGCAAATCTTTTCCATTGTCTATTCCACTGTTGTTAGCAATGAACTGTTGCAATGTCATACGCGATTTTACATTGGGATGCCAGGCATCTGTATGTAACATCAACGTACTAAAAGCTAAAACATAAACAGTGTCAGCCGATGAAAAAAGTGTCGGATTATCGTTGTAGAATTTTGTACCGAATTGTTCCATGACTCTATCAATCATTTGGGCTTCTCCTGGGACTTGGAACTTGCCTAAGTACAATCTGAAGGCTTGTTCGAATGTGAGGCCCTTGAAATCAAAGATATTCGTGAAACATCGCAAAATAGAGATGGATTTTTCTCCGGATGAGCCAATTGTTTCGCCAACCATCGCTGGATCGAGTGATGGTGTGTTGTAGAGGAACTTAGCAATGGCCTCTGGTGTGTCTTCAACAATGTTGTGCTGGACAAAGAAGGCAAGGCCTTTTTTGAAAGATCTTTTGAATATTCCGAGACCTTCTGTGAAAACATCCTTCGCTTTCTTCGCATCGAGGTATGTTTGTGGTGTAGATGGTTCCTGCTTCTTAGAATTCTGTAAATTCTCGAAGTAATCGTATAATTGTTTCAATATTTCGGTAATTATGTGTAAAGAAAGGACTTGGATGTGTGGTTGTGCGGCATCTGGATAGGCAAGCTTGACAACACTGTTGATTGAGTTCTCAAAGACGTTCTGGAAGAATCCGGATTCATCACAGTCGTAATTGACGAAGAAATCAACAAGAAGCTGTGGCTGCTTGCAGAGAAGGCCGAATACTGTAAGAGAACGCATTAAAACGTTTTGGTCCGGTGAAATTAAGGTTGTCATTAAACCTTTTACCATCAATTCGTTTAATCCGATAGTATATACGCTGGCGAATCTCTCCCAGAGTGTAAGAATGAGTTCGGCGGTGGATTCGGCAAGCTCGATCTGTGAATTTAATGTTAATGACAAAAATGTGACGTGGAGAGTTGTATTTAGGAGATGTTTGAAGAGCGATGTTTGTAAAAATGGATGGTCGAGCTTTAGAGCATTAATGAAGAGTTTTGTTGCAAGAATTTTTGTTCGTAATTTTGTAGCGTTAAATTCGATGACTTTAGCTAATGTTGTGAAGAAAACAAAGAGGTCTACATCACGTATTGACGGATTGTGCTCTCCTTGCTTAAGATATGGCTCGACAAAGTTAATAATTTCTAAAGAATTGTCTACCATCTGTTGTACGATATTTGCGGCAAGCATTTGAACAGTTTTGGTTCTGAGAATCTCAGGAGGTGCCGTGTAACTCGTAAATAATAATGTTACGATAGGTCTGATCGTTGTATCAACTAATTTAATAGTTTGCTGATTTTCTGTGGCATTGTAAACTTTAAATATGAGTCTAAATAACTTCTGGAGGATCTCGCCGTGAACATAAAGTATGCCGGACTTAGAATTTTGAATGCAAGAGCATAAGTTGCAAACTTTAGTCCAAATTTCTTCTTTTGGATCGAGCTCTTGATCTAAGACGCATTTTATGATATTAAATGTTAATTCTTTGTTGGGGTAGCATTTTTCAGTCGCATGATGAAATACTTTATAAAACGTGTCTAAAACGAGTCCTTGGTAAGCTTTTTTCTCATCCTTCATTGCAATAAAGAAGGGAGCAAGAGCTTTGCTGATGTTGATCTGTTTATCTGTATTTTGTATTTCTTTGACGTATTCTTTTGCTTCGCCAATCGACTCTCTAAGTTGTTTATGAAAAACATTGCCAACTTGTTTCTTCAAATCATTTAATTGACTTATAAGGAGGGATAGATATTCTTCACCCCCAGACATATCGTCAATTGCTATCAAAAGTGACATGAATTTTTTGATATCAACCATCATTTGTATCATAGTATATTTTTAAATCAAAAAATGTATTGCATCTTTGAAATTGACGATAAAATTTCTATCGAAAATTTTAATTCAGAGAGATGAAAAAAAAAAGGACGATGGTTCTAAAGATTAAATCAGCTTATTGATTGATTGCATATGATATTTTGAAGCATTACAAATGACTTATCTTCGATAATTCTCTTAATTATCCATTATTTATTGATTATTTCTAATTTATTCGTTCGAATTCGACTTAACATCAGAACGCATAAGCACAACAATGAAATTAAGGGCTATCTATCCCCAAGATATAACAATTTAAATCAAAATTCAAATTATTTTTAAACAAATATTCACAAATATTGACAATGAGGATATAAATTTGTGTTATTGTATGAATTTATATTGATTCCTTTTTAGCAGGCACATAATTATTAATAATGAAATCTTCAGGATGGATATTTTGGTTGTATTCTTCTATTTCTTATCCATTAGTAATATATGCTTGTAATATTATACAAAAATGATGCAATTGAAATCCAAAAATGTTATAAATTGATATCTCATAAGGTTTCCTAATTAATTCATGCTTTGATTGAGATTAAACAATCATGAAATGGAATAACAGAATTTTGTGTAGTATAATTATAGCGTGAGCATGGGGATATAAATGAATATTAATAAAAATAATTAAAGCTTTAGAAGAGTTATAATTAAGTCATACAAACAGCAATTTTATTTATAATTCTATTTAAAAAGAATGAACTGAAACATTTATAATTCATAATCATCTCCTTTTGACTAATTTATTGTTAAATTGTCTGTCAATATAAAATCTATCGATTTTAATTGAATGCATTGGTGTTCTCTGAGGAGTACTTTGTGGTGTTAATACTGGTGTGGATTGAAATGTGGCATAAATTGTTTTAAAAGGAGTCGAGTGAGGGGTGGAAACATGTGTTCGAGGAGGAGTTATTTCAGAGCACTGAACCTTAATATTTAATTTAATTTGAGAAAAACGAGTTCCATCTACTGTAAATTTGTAGGAAGTAGGCTTTTCTGTATTATCTGATAATTTGCAATTCATCATTGTACAGGTGAATCCAGATCCAATGAACCTGACCAATCTTCCAGTATTAGAAGAAATATCGCAATTATTAAATAATGCCCTTTTTTTTGCAACATTTTCAAAGAAGAGAACCGAAGTATCAACCCTATTTCCATATTTCATTTTATCTTTATGGTTTCTGATAATACAATAATTAATTTCAAAATTACAACTTGCAAAATAGAGAGATCTAAATTGAGATTCGCTTCCAACAATGTAACAATATATTAATTTGGTTTTGGAGATAAAATTTTGGCCATCAATAACGAAAACTGAATCGATTTCGCAATTTGATTTTGTAATATTTATTGAATCATAAAGTTGAGATCCATTGTGATAAAAACAGCCACAATAGCCTGTAGTATCAGATATAGAAGATAAATTCGTTTGAATTGAATTAGCTTTTTTAGAATTTATTTTGATATGTGAGTAAACACCCAATTGATTACCATATGAGGCTTCTGCTTTATAACAGCAAACTCGATTTTGGATTATCACTGAGTTTGAACTTGTTACATCAATATAAAAAACTGATCCGCTTGATTTTTTTGTAACAGGGTTATTAAAAAAACAGTCTTCCACCAACATATTGATTGATTTTTGAGTTAATTTTATAATCTGATCCTTAGATTTTATAAAATTCACATGATGAATATAAAAAAATTCTGAAATAGAGCTATCTGTGATATGTTTTGAATCTCTTTGTTCCTTGGTATACGGTCTATTAAAAAAATCAGACCATGAAGAATGGTATATTCGGGAAAATTGAATAAAAAGCATTTTGATATATCGGAGTCAGATCAATTGAATAAGCCTCTCAATTTTCAATTAATCTAAAAGGTGCTGAACCGTCAGTATTGAATGAATCTTACCTGATCTAGAATTTTTCGGATCAAAATCTATTTTCAGAAAATATAACCTTAATGAAGAATTTCCCCACAAAATTGAATAAGAAAAGCTCCCCATCTAAAATTGAATCAAACAGAATATCACGATTGAAGTAAACGATGACTTGATAAACTACAGAATAAATTATACAAGATATTTTATTCAGTTTCGAAACAATACATGACTATCAACAAAATTAAGCTTAAAGCTTCCAGAAATTGGGCATATAATAACTTGTATTATCAATTTGTTGCTTTTAAAACGAAGAAATGGCACTCATATTAATTTTCTAAAATTTTCATATTGAATCTGGTAGAATTATATAAAATATGTGTCCTATTGTTCCAAGATATACTATTTTTCTAAGAATGAATCAAAAATTTAATGTTTAATCAATTTGATGGATATTCTGATAATGAAAGAGAACCGGGAAGAGAACCAGAATTTCCAGGATTGACGAAATGGGAAAATAAGTGTTCATGTTGTTGTTTTCAGCTAGATAAGATTACAACAAATAATGTCACTTATATTAATGGATGGGAAATCAAGCTCTGTCCAGTAACATTGATAATATTTTTATCAATATTATCAATATCAACATACATTTTCATGTTTAGGCCGAGATTACTTATATCAAAAACATTTTGCGACGTTGTCTTTTTTATTTTTGAATTCCTCTTTGTATACTCTTACCTTATTACCATATGTGAAGGTCCTGGCTTTTTGCCATTCTATTATCCCCTTCAAATTGGAAATTCAGATAATAAATTTACAGATTACCTAAGCGGTACAGTATCAACATTTAGTCAAGCCGAATATGTAAAATCGCAACCAAAACTTCGCAGAACAAGATATTTTTCGTCAGTTAAAAGATACGTTGTCAGACCAGATCATTATTGTTACTGGACACAACAGTTCATTGGTAAAAAGAACATGAAAACATTTATGCTATTTAATGTATACGGAATTATCTTTGTTACTATCAATTTTTTATTGGCATTATTTCATTTAGTATTTCTCGTATTAGAATCAAAGTTTACTGTATTCGATGCTTTATACATGATGTCCTATATGGTTGTCTCTTGTTTTCTAATAGGCCTAACAGGAACATTTGCATATAAATCAATTAAAAATATTAATAGCAATATAACTCATTTTGAGAAGATCCATCCAGAGGATTACTCATTTTATGAAGAAGAATGTTGCAAGAACTGGGCAGATGTTTTCGGTCCAAGATCTCAATTTTTATATTGGCCAATGCCAATTCCAGCCTTCCATAACGTTGATACAAGGGAATTAGCTGCCATATACTTATAAGATTCCGAGTTCTCTTAGAAGAGGATCATCTTCTTCACTCGATGAATCTGAACTTAAGAAAAAGTTTTTATGGACCTTTGCATTAAGGAGTCTGATGCCATCACTCTCTGGTCCACTTGTTTCTTCTTCATTATGTTCTTCGGAAAATTCGAGATCTTCTAATGCAATTGCTTTACTTGAAGATCTCTGAACTGTTGATGATTCTTTACAGTTCTTAATGATTCCGCAGATGTTCTTAATAACAGAAGTTACATCAGCGTTGAATTTCTCACTTGATGGAATTCTTCCATTAGATAAAAGATCAATTGCCCATTCAGGACGGACAATTGGGATCTTATTTTGTTTAGCCTGATCTGATATCACTTTATCAACTTTGCTGCTGATAATGTATGATGTAGACGGGCGGAGTTTAAAAGTGACATTTCCTCCGCATTCCCTCACAGCGTGAATGACGATAGGGAAATTTTCTGAATCAACTTTATAAATAAATACTGTTTTTCCTTCGAACTCTTTAACTGGAAGTGATCTATTTAGCAATGGTTTAAAGATTTGTGAGAATTCTGGATCAATTAACTCTCTTCTTCTGATGCATTGCCAAATCCAAAAATTACTCACAAGAATACCCTTAAAATTCCGGCCATAAATGGATGATGGGCATATGTAATACTCACCATGAGTATTTATTTCACCACCATTGGCTTTAATCGCTTCAACCAGATTATCATTCGTCACAGCTCTGTCAATGGTAAATGTTTTGCCTTCGAATATCTTATTCATCTTGAATCCAAACTGCCACCAGTTTATTATATAATTATCTGGTGGAGATTTTGAAGATATGCAATCGTCAATCCATTTTGGAGATATAATGAAAATTTTTGCAGACAAAGCTGCGCTAATCTTAGTTGTAAGAGTTAAGGACTCTGTAATTAGAAAAGTTGTATTATCATCTAGTTTATCAGACCAACTACCGCCGTACGATAAAATTTTTCTCCGAAGCTTCTTTTTTCTAGCTGGCTGTAAATCAGTCGACGTGAATGTTACGTTATGGAAGTAAGGAATTCTGAATTCTTCTGTAGGAAGTTTTTGAAGTTTCTTAAAGCATGAGGCAATCCATTCAACACCAACAATTGGTATATCTCTTTTGTGAGCTGTAAAGTAAGATTGCGATAATACTGTTGATGAAATCAAGATATCTGTTTTATCACAAATGTTATGCGAAAAATTTCCACCCATAAGTAACACCATACGAGCAATCTTGATGTTGTCCTTTTTACTAAATCCAGATGTTGAAATTGTTTTGTTATATAAACATAATGAAACAATCTGTGAATTATTCTTGATAAAATTAACATCTTTTATCTTTTTGTCAATAGCATCGATAATTGCAACATCTGACACGTAAGTTATTAGTTTAGAACAGTTTTTTATTGTATCATCGATTGAGCCAACGTGAAGAGTGCTGGATTTTGAAAAATCTGTTGTTTCTTTGATTCCCCGATATATTTCTGAAAGATATTTTATAATGGAATGACGCTTTTCCTGAATATTGGGTGAGATCCATAATCTAGAAAAGCTCATTCCATTTTTATGGCGCCAAAATTTGAATGAATTATGAAAATTGTAAATTTTGTTGAGCTCATTGTGGGACATAATTCCTCACCGAGTTGTTAATTTTTATCGTTTTTCTTTCAATTTGTTGATTGTTTATATAAAATGCAACAAGGAATTGATATTAAAGACAGGTTTAGTGAATTGATTTCCCAATACGCAGAATTGTTTCAATGCCCTATAGTACTGAATTCTGAGTTAACCCAAATGTTTCCAAGACAAATCAACGAAACTGAAATTCCGGAAAAAACACAAAAGAAGCCATTTCGTTATGTACCTGGTATAACTGATATAGCAGGGAAATTTGTCCCCCGAAAGCCGATTCTAATAACTCCAAATACCAAGTTTAACATTTATCCAACAAAAAATGATTCATTCATTTTACCAATAAAACTTCAAAATGGACATCATGGCTTTCTAATATCTTCGACATATGATTACTATATTTATGATTCAATTCTTAATCACGGTTATTACATTGATAAACTCAAGAATTTGGAGCTAAATGGGAAGAAGATTACAATTGGAGATAAAATATTTACTTTATCTACAACAGTAAAAGAAAATTCCCGAAAGATAATTTCGGAACTCCAAGAGTTTATACCTCGCGTTTTAGCTGAGAAAAATCTGATAACTTACAAAAATTTCTTTGAATCTCTCGGTATAATGCAAGCATTTCCTCCGGTTAACGAATTTACTTTGCCATATTATAGGACTCTTTTCACCAACAACAACTTTTTGCTTTTATATTCACGCGTAATATACACCAAAGATGATATGAAGCCGCTTGCTCAAGCCTTTCTGAATATTACCGGACCAGAATTTCCAGCTTTTTATAGGTTTATGGCGTACGATGAATACAAAACATACAAATCACCATCCCTCGCAATGCGTGGAAATAACTTCTTCGTGTCTCTTACAACATACATCGTTGGCCAAGATCCGGAGTACATCAAATTCCTTGATTCTTTGTCACTTCAATCAGAAACTCTTGTTGAAGACTTCATTAAAGGAGTGGAGATTATGGATCTCTCTCCTCGTTCAAGAATTGTCTTAAATGCAATTTATAATGAAGGCAAAAGAACTTTTCCAGAAACTGATTGCAAGAGGTTTGGTGTAAGTGGAGTTCTCTTCCTAAGATTGATGTCTCCGGTTCTAATGCTTAGAGAACCAAGATTTTCAAACAAAATTCAGCCCCTTACGCCAATATTTAACTTAATGGAGAAAGGAGATCAAAATGCAGTTAATAAGCTGCGTGTATTAATTGACAGATATTCTGTATTCCCAGAAAATTACGTTGTTGAGCCCAACAATTCTTATAACGAAAAAGATATTGAAACTTTAATTCAAATGATTCCAAAGAGCAAAGATGAACTCATTCGAGCTGCAACACATGTGAATTTTTCTGATATTTATTCTCAATACTTATCTTTACCACCTGTTTGATTTGTTAAAAGATTGTTAAGCGGATAATAAAAGTATATTGTTCAAATTGTTATTATTTTTAACAACTATAGCTCAATAATCTCTATATAAAAAATATCTATATTTTCAATATTGATAATATTTTATATACATAGATGTATTCATAATATATGCATATAATGAAATATTTTTACCGATTTCTAAACTGGATATTTAAGATATTTACGTGGTTATTGAAGATATTAAAAGTATAACCGCCAAAAAAATCTTGATTTATAAAATATCATCTGAAAGTTCAAGTAAATAAATGATGGATTTGAAAATCCGAATTTTTTTTGGAAATCGAAGGTGATTCATATATAATCTAGTAGATGAAACATATCATTTACACGTGAAATTATCTAAGATCAGACTTTTTTTCTTGATACAGCAATTTATTCTATTCCATTGCAATAAATATCTCAATACTAAGCATACCATAGCATGCGTATAACTGGACATATGCTTATCTAAAGTTTTGAAGGAAAATTTTCCTTAGGAAACAAAGGAAATCCAAATTTTCACTAAATATCGGGATAAAAACGAAAAGGCAGATATGGAATATAGGAAGAATTTCATATCGAAAATATTTTACACAAATTTCTTCAGAAAGAACATAAAATAACCGTCTTTTGAACGGATTTACTATGTTTCCCTTCTACTTTCCTTGGAAAATGCCTACAATATTGAAAATCCGTTTTCCAGTTCAAATGATGAAGACTTTATTTTTATTGAATGATGTATTCAAAATAAATTTAATATAAAAAAACGAATATAAAATGAGTGGCAAGATCAATGCTTCTCCATCTTTTAGATTGATGGGGCAAATGCCACTCCTTCCGAAAGCTTTGCCTAAAGACAAGCACTCGGAAGAATTTGAGGCATTAACTGAACAGATCCGAATTCTTGATCAATCTACCAAAGATATGATCAAAAAATTAGAAAAAATGCATAAGCGGCGCACCAAATATGCTAGACAAATAGCAAATTTCATTAATAAGCATCAAGAAGAAAAGAAAGAAACAAAAGAAAATCGATTACTACAAATTCAATCGGAAAGACTAGGCAGACTGAACTTATGCTCTCGTTTACTCGATAGTAGATGCCGATTATCATCACTTATTAAAAATCAGCCGTTACCAGAATTACAACATCCAAAAACTTCGATGGGCGAGCGTCCTGAGAACGTTCAACAAGGATCAGATTCACTATTGAACTTTCTTAGAACAACTACTCCAGAAGGAATTTCAAATTTCTTTTTAGAAAACGCAATTCCGAAATTATTAGTGTATTGTTCTCGAAAAAAGTTCAATCGTGGTGGTCTCAATGTTGATATTAACGAATTTGTACAATCATTACCATCAATAATCGTTCAAATTCCATATCAAAACAGACTTTACATTTTACAGAAAATTTTAGACACTTACCATGAATCAAACAATCTCACACAGCTATTCGAATACACTGCTCTCCTTACTTCGCCTACAGATATCATTCGAGGCCTTGAACATGGCGCATCTAACCTTCTACGTTGCAGAAAAGTAAAATTACTAGTAGCATCAGAACTATCTAAAGAACTTACATATATGCACTCGGGTGTCCGAAGGACAGTTCCCATGACAACCGGCTTAATTTACGATGTTGTACAAAAAGGAACGTATAGAATAGTCAAAGATCCGATCAACAGCAATGAAATAGACTTGGCTGTTGAATCAATGATCTTTGAAGGGGCAAAAAGCTCCATTATCGTTCCATTGTATCATCCAGATTATTTGAACCCATTTGTAATCATTGCATCAGATAAAGTAAGAGAGGAAGGATTCACAGCAAGCGATTTTGTACTTATAACTTTCTTCTTTAAGAACATTTCGATGCAATTAAAGTTTTTAGTCAGAGAAATATCAAGTATCACAGAAGCTGACATGACAAACCTTGTTTATGGCCTATCATTAATTGCTGCAACACATAATGCCCATGAAATGATCCAAAAAGTTTCAGATGTTTCAGATCATATGATTGACGCCTCTCAAACAAGATTATTCACCATTGTCAATGATTGTCTCTGCGAAGAAACACCAGGCATCAAACTTGGAGGCAAAATGTTAACTCTAGACCATGGATTAATTTGTAAAGCGGCAATTCAGAATGAAACAATGAATTATTTCCTTCCCAGACGCGAAAAGACATTCTCTATATCAATAGATGATATCACACAGCCAAGAATCTGGTCAATGGTCGCTGCTCCAATTACATTTCACGGAGAAGTGAAAGGAGCTTATGTTTTATACAACAGAAGGAACGGAACATTCTTTTCTGCTCGAGAAACATACATCGCATCCAACTTAGCTCGTTGTATTTCTTCTTTAATCCACATTTGTTGTGAATCGACCAATTTACAAGATTCTCTTGAAAGAAACAACGACAACATTTTACACGCGTACAATTTAACTGTTTATGCATTGAAGAGCATACAAACAGTAGGAACATCGAAGTTGTTTGAGTCAATGCAACAGTTTTGTAACAAAATGAAACCAAAAATTAATTTTCGTTTTTTAATTTACGAAAATGATAAATTATTGGATGCAGAAACAAACCAACAAGTTTCAAGTGAACCACAGCTTTTAGATGCTATTTGTGACTTGAAACCAACAGCTGCAACAGCGGAAACAGTTGGTATTTTGGTAATTCCAATAAAAATGCCAAATGGAGTGATAAATCTCTTCGAATTTCGTGCGCCATTGATGCAATTGAAGAGCGAAGAAGAGAACAATGGTATTCTACAGAGAACGAGATTGATGCAGAGCTTAGATAACAAAACATTGCCATTGCAAGTTCCTGAGCAAATTAAATTGGGAAGAAGCAGTCGAAGAAATTCTTTGATTGGACGATCTTCAACAAAACTCGTTGGTTCTTCATCATCTTTCTTCGATTTGTCGAGATCCAATTCGAGTATTAAGATGCCTTTCGTTCCTTTGAGTCTTAAATCAGTCCATGATGACGATTTATCATCAACTTCCGTTTTCGAGTTGACAAAAGATTCATCGACATATGATAAATTTTTGATTGTTTCCGCAAACAAATCATTCAGTTTGTCAACGTTCGAAGAACAGCTTGATGAAGATAAGCTTCAAATCTATCCTTTCGATTCCTATATTACTACTTTGTTACAGTCTTTTGCATTGATGACATCAAGACAATTGTCTTTGCATCACAAAATTGTAAGTTTGAAAGGATACAATAAATATTTGAGAGGTTTACATATTTTAGGAAATGTTTTAGCGTGTCCTATGCCATTTAGCAGTCTTCTAGACATATTGATGCGTTCCTTTACATGCCTTTTTGGTCAGAGTTTGTCATTAATTATATATGATCCTCCTTTATTTGATTCCAATGACAATGATTTAGATCCAACAGCATTGAACTTGGAAAGGGATAGAATGATCTTTGCATCAATCAAAATACCAGAAACAATGGCACAAGAAAGATCAACAGCATTGGCTTGCTTCGCTGATCTCCTTTTAGCTTTGATGGCAAGTAGAGCTGATAATCAAAGATCAAATCCAATTGTGTCAATGAAATTCCCTCAAATCACATCACAATTAGACTTGAATTTCCTCGAAATGAACATCCAAGAAACAATTGGTTTGACCGTTGAAATTTTCGCGGCTTTCCATGTTCACGAAGTATTGGATTGCACAAGAGAGAAAATCAATATTTGGCTTGGAAGATTGGCTGTAAATCCTGATGAAGCTTCGATTTTCCTTTTGGCTGTTGATGCTTTACAGTTTACTTACGCTGTTTACAAACAACTTGATTTGTTCAAGTACTACTCGAACTCGGAACTTGCTGCTACATGCATTGCTTCCTTCATGAGAGTTGGCTTCCCTCATATGAGACCTGACTTTAAATATCAAGAAGCATTGAAAATTTTGCCATTGAACAAAGTCCCAAGAAAAATTTTAGTTCGAATGACAACAGCATTGATTTGTTTGGCTGATCCAGAATGTGACTTATTAGAGAACACAAAGTCTGAAATATTAACAGGATTGGCTGAATTGTTGTTAGTCAGAGCGAATATTAATGTTTCAGTAACAGTTGCAAAGTTTATTTTGCATGCGAAAAGAGGTTTTGATTTCGAACAACAAAGCCATAAAGAGTTAATGGCTCAATTCATTACTGAATTATGCCAATCATCATTATTCTTTAGACCATTGCCAGCTTTTGAAAAGACTTGCTTGATGAGCAGAGAAACACAATCAACAATTTTATACAGAATCAGAAAAGTTGTTCAGCCACAAGCAAAAGCTCTTGAGTTGGCAAGCCAAGGATGCACAGTATTCACAGAAGCTTTGTCTGATAAAGAACCATGGGTTCTTGAGAAAGGCGAAGACTTCTTCTCTGCTGAAGCAAACGAAGAAGAAGAACAAGGAAATATTCCATTAATTGATGCTCGCTAATTTCTATTATATATATTATAACCATGTTTTTATATTTGTTTATTGTATGTATATTATTAAAATTGTTAGTATTTTGTATATGATTATCATATGTTTTTATCAAAGGGCAATTGCTATTTTTAATTTATAGCTCTTATATGCAGTAAAACACTTTATAGTTCAATGAATTCATTAGTTTGCTATATGAGTCTATGCTAATGAGAATTATCCATCCCGAATCGTTTATTCGTAAATGACAAATGGCCATTTGATTTTATCAGTTTTTTTGATAAATTATGATAACTTAACAGAATGGTATGCAATTTATCTCACGATAATGATTTTGCAATTGAATTGAAATTAATCGCTATCGTAAATTTTGAATTATTTCAATTTTTTTTTGTGAATGTTATTGTTCTGAATTTCGAAACAATTCACATTTCATTTTATTTAGATGTTAGACAGATTGTTTACTCCAGTGAAGATCAACAAGTGCATCGTACCAAACAGGTTCATGAAATCACCAACCTATATGCATGATTGCGATGCAAATGGTTTTGCAATTCCAAAATATCAAAAATTTTATAGAGATCTTGCAGATGGTAAGATGGGACTTATCACACTTGGATATTTTGCTACACATTTGAAAACAGCTGCTCTTCCTGATCAAGCTTGTTTGCTTACAGACGCCCATGCAGAAGGATGGCGTGAAACTATTGACTACATCCACTCAAAGGGTTCAAAGACAATAATGCAAATTGCAGATTGCCGTAATATCAAGAAAGATGGCAAATTTATGACAACTTCAGAAATTTCTGAATCAATTGAGCTTTTCGTCAATGCTGCTAAGAGAGCCCAAAATGTTGGTGCTGACGGTATCGAATTCCACGCAGCTCACGGATATTTACTTTCTCAATTCCTTTCACCAGTTACAAATACAAGAGATGACCATTATGGTGGAAGCCTTAAGAACAGAATTCGCATACTTCAAGAATGCGTTGAAGCAATTCGCCGTGAATGTGGCAAAGATTTCATTATCGCAGCCAAAATGAATACCGATGACAGCGTTAAAGGAGGCAATAAACCAGAAGATGCAGCAAAGATAAGTGGATTAATTAAAGATGTTGATCTTTGGGAATACTCTTACGGACTCTTTGTTGCAAAGGATTTAATTGATCCATCAAAGTTTATTGATCTTAAGAATGGATGGAATGTCCAAGCCTTGCCAATATTAAGAAAGGGAACTGATGCCAAGATTTCTATTGTAGACAGAATCAGAACCAAGTCTAAGATGGCAAAGGCAATCGAGCAAGGCGCTGACCTTATTTCATTTGGTCGTCCAACAATTGCTGATCCATTTATGGTTCAACATTTGATGGAAGGAAAGCCAATTAAGTGCATTACATGCAATAAGTGTATGGACCACCTCCTTGTACAACCAATCAAATGCTATGCATTTTAATCTTATTAAAATCTCTCTCTATAATTTTATTAATTTTAATCATTTGTTTTTAACCATAAATTCCATGATATGACTTTCCATGTGGGTTATGTCTCAACTTTCATATAAAATATCCTTTAAATACGAATTTTTATTCAATATTTTCCACAATAAGATGAGTAAGCAATATAAACTCACAAGGAAATGAAATATTTTAAGAATTTAATAGGTATCTTTAAGTATTCATTTTGTTAGTTTTATTGTTTTTCTCATTCTCATCTAATAAAATCCTCATTATTGATTATCTATTCATTGATAATCTTACTGATAATAGGTAAATTGAAAGTACCATATGAAACTAATCAAATATCAACTGATTTTGAAAAAACATGAGAATTTTAAACAACTATTTATAAATCATAATATTTAATCTTATATTCATCAGTATTATGAATAAAATTAAGTATATCACACAAAGATTGGCTATTTTCATAAAACTTTCTTTCTCTACATTTCTCAATCATTTCAAGAGTTCCGTATTCATTCTTTCCAGTATTAACTAACTGTTCGCAATACTTCCAGTACTCTTCAAGTTCTTTTTCAGTGAGAATTTTCTCAGCAATCTTATCTATTTCGTCACGTAAGTCAGAACGACTTATTCTTTTATTATATTCGTATTCCCAGCATCTGTGTATCAAATTATCTATCATAAAATTAAAATCATCAGATAATAATTCGAAATCTTCAATTAATCTATTATCTGTTATTCTGTTACAGATCAGTATTTCAACAATCGTTGATATACTGTTTTTCAATGAGTCCTGAAGCATATCTTTCTCTTCTTTTGTATTTGCAATCTGTAAATTATCAAAATCTTCTTTAATTGAGGCCAAATCAAAAATCATTTCGGGAAATTGGTCAGTATAATACTTAAGTCCTTCTAATGAATCAAATGCTTGGTCGTAAGGCTGATATTGAGTAACAATGAAAAATAAAATCCCTCCAAATGAGTACATATCAGATTCAAGGAACTTATTGCCTTTAAAATTCTCTGGGGCAGCATATGAAACTGTTCCATGAAAGTTATTTGTAAATAAATTTTGTAATTTTGTTGTTGCATCACCCCAATCAATAATATGAGGTACGAGGTCGCCATCTATTACGATATTTTGTGGTTTTAAGTCTCTATGGATAACTTTCTTCTTTTCCATTTCTAATAATTGATAAGCAAGTGTAGATAAGATCTTTAGAATGATCAAATATGATAATTCATCTCTTTGTAGATATAGATCAATAAACTCATCGAGTTGAAGACCTGGTATATAGTCAATTAAAACCCATTTGCTCTCGTTGTGGTTTTCTGCGCGATCAAATACTTTTGGCGTAAATGGAAGATCTATTTCAGTAAGGTTTTTGAATTCTGATCTTCCGTTTGTATCATCTTCTGCATATAATTTCTTTAAAATAAGAAATTTGTCTTTAATATTTACAATTTTACAGGCACCAAAGCCTCCAGTAGCCGACTCAAAGACATGATCAATTCCTGCTTCATTGGATAGATAATAAGAATCGTCCATTGGCCATATATGAATGAAATTAATCTAAAGTCAAAAAAGTTTTGCAAGGCTTGACTTTAGGAAAATTCTATAAATCATCTAAAGAGCGAAATTTATTATCAACAACGAATTGATCTATCAACAATTGAAGAGAGTCTATAAATTCATGAAATTTCAATATTTTTCGAAGAAGAGAACTTAATATCAAATCATATCTGCTTAGTTGGAGATGTAATCGAGATTGTGGCTTATATCGCAAAAAGTTCAGTATGTTTATTAAGAATTTCCCTAATTGAATGGATTCTTAATATATATCATCGAAAATATAGTATGCAAGAGTTATTTCAGTGTTTCATGATAATAACATAACTTTATAATATTATGCAAGCATGAGATTCCATAGCCATGATAAAAATTTGAGCAGCATAGATAATAAAATTATTGCATTGATAGGTACATTTACAGAGGATAGTGTTCTTCTCAAGGGTGAAAGGATCAGATGGTTCAATCCTGATGAAGCCATTTCCGGTGTGGCCAGTGACGATGTCACCATTTGGTGATCTGAACTCTTTATCACCACCAAGTAAAATGACATTGTACAGATCTGGTGATGCGTAGCTGCTTCCACCACCACCACCTGCTAGATCTGCACCGCCACCGCCGCCAAAATATCCGCTTCCTCCACCACCTGACGATCCTCCGGCGCTACAACTTCCATCACCGCCTTTCAAATATTTTCCTGGCGTCCCTTTGTTAGGAGGGTATGCTCCATCTCCTACGTAGATTCCGCCTTCTCCAGGTTTGGATAATGTTGCTCCTTTGCCTCTAACTTTCTTCGCATCTTCAGGGGGAATACGGGTAGCATCACCAAGAGCATCTCCGGCAAATGGGTCACCAACGCCGCCAAAAAACTCATTTGTATAAGATCCAGATCCACCTCCTGCACCTGATATCAGGAGTATGTCTCGTCCATTCGGATCTCTCGAAATAAAGGTAGCTGCACCACCGGTGCAAGAATAGTAATAACACCATTTATTTTGCCCGCCTTGGAAAGGCCCTGTAATAAAATTTTGTTTACCGCAAACTCCTTTCGCTCCAACATAAGAATAGAGCTTGGTTAGCGAGTCAAGTTTCAATATAGCTTCTGAATATGCACCATGCCCGCCATCGGGATTGACAGAACCGCCTTGGGCTCCCCAAATTTTGATAAGCCATGTCCCAGGCTGTAATTGGAATTCATTGATTTCATTCGGTTCAGAAAATTGTATTTTAAGAGATAAATGTTCTAGAAAGAATCAACAATAATCAATTTTTTTTGAATTTGATTTTAATTTTCAATTATGTGAATATTTGAAACAGATTATGCAATTACCTCTGAGCATACTAACCACTGTTTCGTAGAGTTGCATGATTTCAATGATATACCCAAAATAAGAGTAGAGATCTGACATGTAAACCTTATTCAGATCAATTTTTTCTGAGATTAAATACGACGTCCCGAATTCTAGAATGATTGTTGTTTATATCATGCCTCAAGTACTAAACAATCAAAGTTTTACATATCTTCCGTTTAAAGGATATTCAGCAAAATAATCAGACCAACTAAAAAGCAAAATGATTAGTAAAAACGATCAATTAATTATATAAATTCATCTACAATCATTATTTACAGTTTAGTGTCCAATATCAAATAACAAGTTATTCATCAAAAATTACATCAAAAGAAACTGAAGGAGTTTACTGTTATTCAGATGTTTCAGACAAAGAGCCATTATCTAAAAAAAAGGAAAAATTAATTTTGAAAATTCAAATGTTTCTCAATCAAAAGTATATGGAACAAGTGTTCCATATTTGTTGTTTCGCAAATCACAATATTTCTAAGAATTATTTCTCTGCAGCCAATTGAGCTAAAATTTCAGTTGATAGTTGTTTCATTGATGAAGAAACACCAAAAACATCAGGACCAGTTACAATAAATAACAGAATAAAAGATACATCTAACAATGATATTTGTAAAGAATATTATGTTGTTGATTATAACTTTATCAAGAAAAAAGAAGAAGACATTACAGATCTTTATGAAAATCTAAAACATATTAATTTTTCTATTATATCTCATTATCTTATAAACATTTCTAGTTTAGTTTGATCAATATAAAATAGAAATAAATTTAATCAAATTATTCAGGATAAATACAAGGAAAAATAACTTTTTGATCTCATAAAGTGATAACCTTTATCTCATGGGACATGTTTTGAGTGTAAAAAAATACCATCATTTTTCTTATTTATCAAAAATCGAAGAAAGGAAGAGCATCTAAACCAGATTTTCTTCATTCATGAAATTTCAATATTCCACAAAGAGAGAAGAATTATACTAAATCAATTTTACTACATTTGAAAGGTTACTCATAAGTGTGAATTCATTATTTCTGCAAAGTCAAGTAACATCTTGACCTCTTGGTTTTTATTTTCTATTTTTGGCCTTCTTCTCAAGAAAGTGAAGTTCATTTTGAATGATAAATGACAAAAATTTTATTGTTGAAAGAATTTTCACGCCAATTGATTGCTTTAAGCAACCATTTTTCATTGTGATTGGACAGATTTTTATGCAGAAAACAGTTCTAAAGGAAATTACCTAAATCAAAGCAAACAACTTTCTAAAGGTGATGAAAATTACTACATTCTCGAGTGTGAATTTTCTGATAACATTGATTCAGGAGCCATCCATTTTAGTACATCTAAAAATACAACTAAACTCTTAGTTGACACAACAAACTTCGTCAATTGTAGTAATTCCGCTGAAGGAGGAAGTTTATACTTCTCCAGTGAAGGTGAGTGTGTCCAAAATCGAATAACTAGTTACTCATCAAAAGTAAACTCACAATATACTTATGGAGTTTACTGTTATTCAGTTGTTTCAGACGAAGAATCATTCCAAAACAAAATACTTTCATCTTCAATCACTAATAGTGGAGGTGAAAGTTTCCTTGGAAAGAACAATATTTACCTAAAAATGGAAAAATTAATTTTGAAAATTCAAATGTTTCTCAGGCAAAACTATATGGAACAAGTGTTTTCCTCTTTTGGCATTTTAAATCCGAATCAAAAGCTTTATATTCAATGTTTTTTGATAATATAGATAGCACTGCTTATGGTGAACCTCCTGTTAATATTCAATCAGCACCTTCAATACTTCGAATTGAGTCAACAAATTTCCAAAATAATACTGATTCTTATTTAATCTCTGCATTTTCAGTTACAATATATTTACAAAATTGTTGTTTCGCAAATAACAAAATTTCTGATAATTATTTATGTGCATTTACTGGAGCTAAAATTACAGTTGATAGCTGTTTCATTGATGAAGAAACACCAAAAACAAAAGGATCAGTTTCAATAAATAACAGAATAAAAGATATATCTAACAATTATAAATGTATTAACTTTATCAAGAAAAAAGAAGAAGACATTTCAGATCTTGATGAAAATCCAAAACATATTAATTTTTCTATTTTATCTCATAATTTTCTAAACATTTCTATTATATAATAGTTTGATCAAAGCTTATGTTTTTAAATTTAAACTTCCGAGATATGTTCATATATTTGAAATTGCCATTGTAACTTGAAAATGACTGAGAATTATTAGAGTTACAAAAAATGATAACTTTTTAAAAGATTTTTCAAAAGTGCGCACTTTTAAAAATTGAATACAAAAATTCGAATTATCTCTATCGTCTTCACCCTGAATCGATTTTTTTGGAGCTTCTTGGTTAACGAAATCCAAAAATTGTATTAAAAACAACATGTAAATATGATGTCAAATCAGAATCTCTAATTAGACATAGGCCTTGCCTTATAAATTTTGAACATTAAAATTTTTTCATTTCTTTTTTTTTCCTTCTGTAACAAATAATCAATTAGGGAATTAAGATCAACGTGTGATAGGCATGATCAAGTATATATCAGCACATATTGGTATTAGCTTGCAAAAATTCAGAGGTTTGGGAAACACACGCTAAGCCCTTTTCTTTAGTTTTGATATAACTGCCATTATTGAGTTGATTTAAAATAAATTAAACAAAAAGTTTCAAGAAACATATAGTGTATAAAGTAATAACTTTTAAATATATATAAAAAGAGGGAAAATGTTAAAACAAAAATAAAAAATCATATTAAATTAGATTTCTTCAGCAGTAGGAAGTGCTCCAACTGATAATTGTGAAGGAATTGTTTGTGCAGAAATAACACGTTGTCGCTCTGGCGGAGTGATGATATATGCCATTTGTTCACCTTTGCCTTTCAAGAAGATTTTACCACGTTCTGCAACATTGAATCCTTTATCTTTGATGAGATCATATGTGGCCTGGCTGATCTGGATCATGTTTGGAATATCTGTACTTTGAAGACGAGATGCGACATTGATAGGATCACCAATGATATCAAACAATGGTTTATCAATACCTAAAACACCTGCAATGATTGGACCACCTGTGTTGATACCAATTCGAACTGAAAGAGATGCTTCAAGAATTTCATTAGCTTCTTCTAAACCATGCAAACAACCAATAGCGAAGTTGATCATCTCCGTTGCATGAACATCTGGAGAAACATCTGGATTAAACAAACCAGCAGCAGCCATGTAAACATCACCAATTAATTTGATCTTAATCAATGTTGGGAATTTAGGAACTAATTCATCATAATAATTAAAGATTCGTCCCAAGTTCTGCATGATTTGTCTCGCTGTTAATGTGGCCGCGTAATCTGAGAACTTCTGGATATCAATGAAAATGATTGTCGCTGAATTTACTGTGAATGAAATTTCGGTTTCACCTGCATTCATCTTCTGAACAATCATTGGAGGAAGGATTTGATTCAAAAGTCTTTCTGCAGACTTCTTCGCTTCTTCAACTTGTCTCATTTGTCTCTCGATTTGTGTTTGATCATTAGCAATCAATGCAAATGCCATTCCGCGATTCATACACAACAATGTTGATTCAAGAACAATTTCTGTGCCATCATCTTTCAAACCGCGGATTTTTGATGTATATGTCATTGCTGCTTGATTTTGTTTCATCAATTGTGCTTGTCTGTACAATCTGTCATTAGGAGACAATTCATTTGTTGTCTGTGTCTGTGACAATGTTGTTGTTGTTGTAGCTGTGTTGCTGTTCTGTGACATAGGAATCAATGAACAAAGTGCTTGACCTAACAACTGTTCTGGAGTGTATCCGAACATTGATGATGCAGCTGAGTTCATTGCTTCGATTGTCAGTTCTGATGACAATGAGAAAATTGCTGAAGGAGATGAATCAATGACAGCCGATTCTGCTGAAAGTTGTTGAATTCTTGTTGATTTCGTTTTACCGATAATCAAATTCAACAATGATGGATTAGAAATGACTTGTGAAGGAGGAATTCTTGACATCAAAATTCGGAAAACTCCAAATGATTCTTGAAGATTTCGAAGATCCAATTGTTCCAAAATGAAGAAAACCAATGCTAAAACAATATTGACAACCATCAATACTGTTGTGATATCAGCATATGTATTATCTAATGTTGTTGATTCTTCAATGATGTAATCATTTACATTCTCAAGAATAGGCAACAAATGATAGATAGCGATATGTTCCAAATTGATGAAACTTGGATATGATAAAATTGGCATTCCTGTACCTAAATCAAGATAAACATCGCGAACAAGTTTGTTGAAGATCATGAACAGCATATCACCACTTAAACAATGATATGCATCATGTGTTGATGTCTCTGAATCTGTGATATTTACTTCACATGTTGGATCATAATGTAATTTATCAATGTAATCAGAGAATTTGTTAATTGGATTTTCTCCTTCTGCATTGACTGTTAATTTGTAATTCGCTTCTTCAGCGACATTCAATGATGCAATCATCAATCCTTGGATTGTTGCACTATCAATGTATGGTGTTGGTCCTTGTGCGTTTAAGATAGCAGCCAAATAAGCTAATGACAATGTTTGAACAACACTTGGGAATCTCATTGATGATAATTGTGCCCAATAACTAAGATTCTTGTAGTTATTGTTTGTTGCTTTCATTCCAATGAACATAATCAACCAAAGAATTGCCGTAGCAATTGAATTCAACAAAACTAAAATAGGGAAAACAACTCTTGGAAATCTGTTTGGTTCAATGTAAGCAGCACCTGTATCTCGATCTTGATCTTCACGTCTTGTAGAGATAGGCCTTGATGCTTCAACGAATGTGTCTCTTGGTGTCAACATCAAATTAGAGAAGAAATCTTTGACTTCGTGTAAGAAGACACAGAAAATTATAACAGTTGGTAATAACAAGAAAATGAAAATACCAATTGTTCCAAATATTATAACCCAAAAGATAACATCTTTAAATGTTGTAGATGTATCAGATTCTCTTGATGCATATACAGCAATTTGTGTTAAAATAGAATTATATATTGATGGCAAGTTCAAAACTGTTTCACACATTTCATGATTTCACCAATGAAACTTGTTGTTCTCAACATCTGTCTGTAGACGTATCCGATGTCTCCTCTCTCTGGAAGATTGCCTTGGTTAACAGCAGATCCATTATCATTACAATACGTAATGGCACCACTCAATATGAAATCCTTTGATAACTCAATAAGTTTGAAATCATTTTTAGCCAAATTTGCCAAACTTTGGCCCATTTCATTTATCATTTTAATTCCATCTCCAATAGATGATGTTTCTGTTCTTGGATCAACACCAACTGTTGCTTTAATAACTTCAGGAGAAGGAGCAATTCCTATACTTAATGCCCATAATTTAGAAACAGATAAGAAACCAACACAATACGATTCAAATGATTGTGCCATGTTTGATATTAATCCACACATGTTTGAACGACTCTTAAACAAGAAGAAAGAAACAACGAACATAATAATAGATGCAACAACAACAGCAATCATCTTAGCGATAATAGCAACTTGTAATGATACTAATGATCGTGATGTAACATTATCAATTGCTCTTCTCAAAGCAAATCGAAGTTTTGGTTTTGAAAAAACTCTTGATGCTTGTTCTTCATCGCAATCTTCTAACATGATAGCTAATGATTGACTTGATGAAGCTGATGAGCTAGAATTTGATCCGTTACCTGATTTGAAGTTAACAACTTTTTTGCCTCTGTAATCCAACAAATTGTTTTTGATGTAAACAGGGAATAAATTTACCATTGATCGAAATGCGTAATCAATAGCAACATTTGAACCTCTCTCCATCGATTCCGCTCTGTAGAACCAATTTGCGCCTTCTTGGAAATCAGTACGACACTCAATCAAATATCTAGAAAATTCATATGCCAATCTAATACTGTTTGGATATTTGTCCATTGCTTCAAGACAAATTCCAAGTGTTTTTTGATTGGCAGAATAAAATCCACTCAACGCGTCAATTGATAATTCTTGGTTGTTTTCCATTGCGCGTAAGAAGAAGCCTGAAATGGCTTGAGACATTTTATTAGTTGCTTTCTGTACTTCAGCAAAATCATAATTGGATTGTCTCGTTGCTGATGATTGTCGAAGAATGTGGATACGTTTTATTTGATAGAATAAATATCTTTGTGAAAAACTTAAATCACTGTGTTTGTTAATAATCGAGACATAGTGATTAAGTAACTGTGATTCTGAAGGGAAGAATGATAAGAACTGCGCAATTCTTACAAATGTTGTTGTTGTTGGATGAGCTGTTGTGATATCTCGAAGTAATTGCCATTGTATGAACTCTTCTGGCGAATCTTGAATGGCAATCATCAATATTAACAATTCTCTGGCTTCAGTTTCCATTGGACGTTTGGTAAGAATGAATTTTCGGAACTTTTTGTCTAATTGAATAAAAATTATTGTAAATATGATGAAAGGAACAAGACATAAGACAAATTTGACATAGTTATTGAATGGTATAAGTGTAATTATGACGTTCATAAACATCTGTAGTAGCATTCCTTGGAAGAATCCGTTCATATTACAATTAATGAACGGTAAACCTAAAGAAAAGAAGAGAATAAGTAGTAAAAGAATACCTGTAACAGCTACTAATGCGTATTTGGTCCAAGTATTGAAGAAAACAAGCATTCTACTGACAAAAATTAATCCGCAGGTTAAAAGCGTAGTTAAGATGAATAATGTACCGTCCCATTGGACAAATATGGTATTTTCGAGATAGGCTGTTGAGGATCTGAAGATAATGTCAATGTAATAAAGCATCGAACTTGAAATGGCAGCAAGAATAAGGAATACCAGTAAAACAACTTGTGTTCCTGTAAAGTCACCATCAAACACGGCATTGAACTCGAAGGATAAGCTAAAGAAGATTGGAATTAAAATAACGTGATTTAGCGTACTTATGAGGAATCTGGTTAATATAATTGCGCCTTTATCGAATGATTTATTTAAATGATAGACTAAAAGCATGCAAAATGTCCAAATGAAAGTAAACAAGGAAATTATAATTACAATCGCTTGAGGAATGCCTGAATTGAAGACTTTCGAGTCACCAACGCCAAAGTCAGCGACGTATGTAATATATCTGATAATTTTCGCACCGACATTTGACGAATTCCAGGAACCAAAGTCCAAATAACATGCTGATGAAATAATTTGCTGAACAAATATAATAAACATAACAATGCGTGCAAAATGTCTATTTTGTGGAGCAATTCTTGACATTTCATCAAATAATGGGAAAATTGAATCGTATGAAGTCGATAATGACAAATCAATCATTTCCTGGCTCGAAAGGAAGCTCGCAGACATTGAGCGTTGCGAGCGAGAACCTTCTTCGCCTATCAGAGGTACGTTCATATCAATTCAGGGGAAAAAAATTTGTTACACAAATTTACATTCAAATTGAATTTTCAAAAGAAACGTTTTTTAAAAATCAAACAAAAATCGCTCATAAGAATTAATGATCAATAAATACTCTACTGTTTGTATTCTCATTGAGAGGTTTGCGCAATTTTTTACAAAAACGTTTGGAATGGCTTTATTATCAATGTTGAATGATAGTATTTTATCAGGCTAAGGGTTTCGTTTTGCGAAAAAAACGTACAATACGCAATTTCGCTAAAAAAACATTTAGCTAGCAATTTCGACATTTGACTCCACTCAAGACGTCACTTTTTTAATTTTGCGGTATCATATTTTTGGAAAATCTTTATGAATATTATATAAAAAGTCTCTTTAATATATATATTTCATATTTTTATCGATTTTTAAAGTTTTTGCGAAAAGTATTCAATTATTTTTGCTATTTGGTCGGGTAAATGTCAGATTTGCGACATTTTCTGATATGATATTCAGATTCTACGTTGATAATAATGCTTATAGAACCCTCTTGCTATTGTGTCAAAATTGCGAAACCGATAGCAAAAATATCTCGCAATATCAAAATTGAGATATTGAGTGAATTATGCATTATAGAGATTAAAAATCTGATTTGTGAAAACATCTCATCAGTTTCTAGCTAATTCAAAAATCTTTACTATCTTATTCGATTAAAATGAAAAGGGAATAGTTTCATTATGCTTTAAATGACAGCCTTATAATATAATCATAGTTTTCGCTCAATATGCAGCATTTTTTTTTCGAAATCTATGGTCAATATCCTAAATACTGATTGCTTTGCATTCATATCTCTTACATTTTCTATACCCACATCACTATTCATTGCTATTCCTATCTTTTTCATTTTTGTTTGTTTCTCATAATTTCTCAAAAAACACGATAACTTGATATTTGTAAATATCATACTTTATAACGTAAATAAGAACTTGACCTATTAAGAAAAGCAGTAATGAAAAGAAAATCTGAAATTCATAAAAATTACAAGTTTCTGATGACAATTAGCTTAATTAAACCAGGTACAAGATTATATAATTGTATTTTCTATCCAATTATCCATATAATATCTTATCCAGAAAAAATAACTTGATCAATACCAAATGATTTTTTAACTAGTAAATAAAGTATTTTCTTTACACACACATTGTATATCATAGTTTTTTTTTTGGTTTCGCAAAACATCCAAAAACAAATATGCTATAAAAGTGACAATTTTAGCAAAACGAAACCCTTATATCAGGGAAAAATTCAACATTCAACATTTTTTTTTCACCGAAAAATTCGCATTTGCTACAGGCATTGATATAACCTTGGATTAACAATTCTTTATACTAATATATTAGAGCAGAGCATATTGTTCGTATATTTCTTTAATGTTTCTGAAGTTTTGATGGTTCAATGAAAACAAACTCAAGTCAATAGTAGAGGTTTAGAGAGTGATAACACCAACCTCTCATTCTTCATTTTATTAAATATAAAAATACATTATTTAAACAATTGCATAGAGATTACGATGGTCAACTTAGTAAAGTTGAAATAAAAATGATCGTACAAACAAAGATAGATAGTTTAATAATTAATATACTAATAAAAAAATAAATAAATTAAAACTTAATTAAAGGTGTTGTTGACATACTCATGAATTTCGCGAGTAACTCACGATCTTCGGTGATCATTGACAACAAACTTGGAACAAATTGAGACCATTGGTGGTGGAAAGGTTGTGGAATCAAATCCTCGAAGGATCCATTGAAGACAGTACTATTCATATAGATTGCCGTCCTCAAAATCCACTTTACATCAAAAACAGCGATGAAAAATATAGTTAATTGCTCTTTTTTGTCTGTATCGTTGACATCTGCTAGATTCTCGATTGTTTCGAAGAGGTGCTGCATGACAACTACTCTTTCGAAGAAAGAATTTTCTTTTTTGATGCTTGTCAACGTAAATGACAAAGAAAGAAAGATAGAATGCGTTGAATTATTCGGAGGATCCATTTGTACGGATCTATTATGATAAATCAGTTTGGAAAATATGGTCTCAATTTTTTCTATGTCACTCTGAATATTTGAGAAGGCCACGGCTTCAGCCAACGATAGGTATTTAATGAACTTCCAAAACCTTAATTCTCCGGATGCAGGGGTGTTTAAAACTTCCTTTATAGTTTTCGGAATATCGCTATCGATGAATGCTTGCCCTCGGCTGAAGAGATTCAAATAACTTGCTGCTCTGTTCTTCCAACTGAACATTATATCTCTAATCATCATCATTTCCATCAGTCTTTCGAAATTCGAGCCTTGTACGAGCAATCTCTCTGTTTCCATTTGAATTGCGTTATCTTTCAGCTCTTGATTCTTTCCATTTGAGAAAACTACGGAATACTTTGAGTTTCTTTGATATCCAAGAAGAAATTCAACGGGATCTGCTATTTCTTTTTTCATCGTACTCCATATTTTTGTGTACTGGTTGATATTATTCGTGAATTGGTGCTCTTTGAAGAAAATTGGAGGGAAATGGCCTTTTTCTTCAGTATCAACCATGAACTTTGTGAAAAATGCGAAGTGAGAATCAACAAGAATCTTCTGATTTACGTCTGAAACGCACTGTAAATGAGCTGGAAACATTAATGGCATATTAAGTAATTCGTGAACGTCAAAGAGCGTAAGAATCGTTTTGATGGTTGCTCCGGTACCGTCTTTTACGTAAATTGGACAAAGACTGTTTTGGCTTTGTTCTAAATCTTGTGGAGTTATTTTACAGACTACGGCTCCTGTTTTCGCACGTATATGTAGTCCTTCGACAATCTCATCGATATCCAAATCTTTGCATTTTAAAATACAAAGAGGAGAAGAATAATATTGTAATTGAATTTGTGGAGCGATAAGATCAAATATGAGAATAGTCCATAACAGTATCTGGTCTTCTTCATCATAAAATGAGCGTAGAATTCGTAGATGAGGTTCAGGTAAAAGACCAAGAAAATATTGTGATGTAACCATGATTTTATCGACTAAAAACCCTGTTCCTGGGAAATTTGGATAGTAATTCCATATTGATTCGCGAAATAATGAATTAGAAAAGCCTTGAATGTGATCTAATGAAAAAAATACGCGAAATAGGGAAATTTTGTTATCAACGTTGATATTTTTCGAAGCACTGATGTAGAAATCTGCGGCTTTATCACATAAATATTGATTGGTAAAGAAGCCAAAAATAATTGGAAATCCAATATTACATAAATACTTGAAATTGGGTAGAGTTGATATCAGCTTCATGTTTTTCACAATATTCTCTTGTGAATCCCATAGGTATTCGAGTAAATATGAAAATGTTTGCACTTGTAAAGAAGAAAATACATTAAATGGATCGTCGGGATATTGGTATGTTGTTAGTTGTTTTAGGATATGCTCGTTAAATGTGTTTTTACTGTATTTTCTCCTGTGAGAAATTAACATGATCGTTTGGCGCTGTAATAATATATCCGAATTAGAAATTTCCTCAATTTGAGAACATGTCGTGTTGTATGATCTTAAAATTCTGGTAGGGACTTGCTCCCGAAGTTGAGATAAGAGTTCCATACGAGAGAAAAGTGACATGATAAATGGATACACCGATTTCAGCATTTCGTAATAATATATAAGTCCATATGTCACCAAAAGAAATTTATGAATAGTTGGAGGATCATGGTAAAACAACAAAGATTATTTTCACAATTTGGGCAATTCCCCTTAATATCCTTTGGATTTCGGAGTTGATTTGATGATACTTGTTAACCTGTGGGTGAGTTCATAGCCCATCTCATTACACAATACAAATTTCATGTGAATTAGTCGTAATTCAAGCAAATGCAGATATGGCTATAAAAACGTATGTTTCAACTCAAATATATTACTCTATCTACATAGCAGATATCAAAAAATTGGGTTGAATAAAATTTCGATAAAGAGACTTTTCTGATCAAAAAACAACAGGAGGGAGATTGATATCAGCCATGTTCATAGGATTTTGGATAATTCATCCAACAAAGATCTGAAATCGATTGTTATCCAAAAGTTAGGAGAAAAAAATAAAATCAAAAATAAAAAAAAATGTCCGATTTTGTACCTAATGATAGTGAATTTAAGAATTCTTGGGATATAGCAGCGCCAATCTTTGATCACTTCTTTATAATCGGACCAAACGATTTAGATAGCATTGATAATCCAACAAATCTTTATCATTATCCTGATGTCGAAGCAGATATCAATTTCGGCAATCTTATTTTCCCTGAAGGATGTTCAGCAGGAACTAGAAATTTTGCTTCAAACAGAGCAGTCAAAAGCGAAATCGGAAAACCAAATCAAATTTTAGATACCTTTATTTACTATAAAATGGAGGGTACAGCCCCATTTTTCGTATATGCTTGCATTATCAAATGCTGCCCATTTACTTATCCAGCAGTTTCTAAAAATTCGGAGTATTTAATCAAACAAATGCAACAATATCGCGACAATCATACAGATGTTCCTGAGTTCAAGTGTGCATTTCTTTTCTGCACATCTCATCCGTTCCATGATTTGTTTTTCGGCTTGATTGATACTTTAATTAACATTGAATATCAAACACGAAACACAGTTATCAATTTAAAGATGTTGAATGAGAATGCTCCAGTACCAACAAACGTTACTCCCGACAACTACTGGCCTTTATCCACTGTTTCTGTAAGAGAAGCTTTCTTAACAGCATTGTACAACACGATTTTACCAGTTTTCGATGAAACAATCGCCATTAGATTTAATTACTCCAACGTACCTCCTTTCGCATGGAAAATGCCAAAGCGCGAAGAAATTGCTTATTCTCCATCAGCTGTAGGCTATGATTTAATTATGTCATGGATCAGCGTTGACCAGTACATCAGATTATTAGAATCAATCATGCTTGGAAGCTACGTTTTAGTTATTGGCGACAATTTTGCCAATATTACAAAAACAGTTTCATTTTTACCAACAATAATTATGCCATTCATATGGACATCTGTCATTGTCTCATTTGTTCCTGAATCTATGCTTGAATATTTAGATTCTCCGGTTCCATATATTTATGGAGCATTTACAAAGAATATTAAGGGCAGAAACATCAATGAGAACACAGTTGTTGTCTATATCGATGAAAAGAGGTTAGATTTTCCGCCAACAGAAATAAAAATTCCAGGATATTTGGATTTGAAGTCTAAGTTGGAACAACCAATAAACCATCTCAAAACTAAGATGAACTTCGAAACAATGATGAAGATTTTGAAGATTACTTCCGGCCATATTTATGATAATATCACGAAAAAGATGGAACAGACTTTGGAATGCAGATTGGATGCTCCTAACCCAGGAACTCACTTCCATGATAAGAAATTCTTGGATCTTTACACTGGAGAAGAAAGAGAATTCATTAAAGAATTAATGGGCTCTCAAAACTTTGATTGCATTGTTTCTAAGCTATGCTTAATCAATACTGGCCTGAATTTAGGTAAAGGAAGTACTCTCAGTGGATTGGGAGAATGGGGAGCTTCAATTGAAAACAAATCTTCTCCAGGAAAGAAGAATCCAGCTCTTTTGCTTAATATTTTCGATCCATATGCGTGATTTTTGTTTATTTTGTAAACATTATTTGTTTATTCGTTTTAAATTTGAATATTATTTTTTTCGCTTTTATAAATAAAGGAAATTCAAGTTGTTCATCATATTTCATGCAATAACTTTAGGTTTGGATCCATCAAACAATCAAAATATATTTGACAATGAAAACAATAATGAAAATAAATATGAATAGCTTTTTGCTCAAATGATATTTATTCATTCCTCAACAAGTTAATTTGAATAAATGATATTTCAGTCCATTGGTTGTGATTAGAAATTTATTGATTTTATATTTGATGATTCACTGATCAATTATTAGTAATTATTCCCTAAAACTTATCAGTGATGAGGTAAACAAATAGATTTTTGTAAAATAATATACATCTATAATTTATTTTATGGAGTTTCAGCAACATTGATTCTTGTAGCAACAACAATACCATGATTCTTTTCATGATCCTTGAGAGAGTACATTGAATAGCTGTTTTTAGCTTCTTCATAAACTATTGGGTAGATCTTTCTTCCTTTAGCTCCTTCTTCGCAGTGGTTGCCTGCGCCGACAATTAAATTGATGTACTTAACTTCAGGATGATATGTTGGATCTTTGTATCTATCAAATAAATCATGCAAGAGCTTGGTCGCGCTAGCCACCGTGAAATTGTGGAAATCTACTTCGATTGTGTCTGTTTTAGAGCCATGAGGAATTGAAATGAACTTTTTTGGCTCGAAATCTTGACGAAGACCATCACGGCATGGATCACAGCATGTACAAAGGTTACCCATAGTTTAAAAGTGAATAAATTTATCACCTTTTCCAAAAGCAATAAAAAACAACAAAATTTTGAAAGAGTTCGTAAAATAAATTAAAAAGGAAAAGGGAATATCCATAATGTTAGAAATCATTTTTTAATGTCATATTGATCATATAATTCTATTATACCGTAAAGATTTTTTTTGAAAGTGAATTTCACTTTGGACAATAAATGACAAAAATTTTATTGTTCAAGGAATTTTCGCTACAATTTATATCTTTCAACAATCATTTTCCATTATGATTGGGCAGACTATTATTCAGAATACCCTCTAAACGAAAGTTACGTATATAAAAATGAAAAACTTTCTAAAGGTGATGAAAATTACTACGTTCTCAAATGCGAATTTTGTGATAACATTGATTCAGGAGCAATTCGTTTTGGCACATCTAAAAGTACAACTAAACTCTTAGTTGAAACAACAAACTTCGTTAATTGTAGTAACTCCGGTCAAGGAGGAAGTTTGTACTTCTCGAGTGAAGGTGCGTGTGTCCAAAATCGAATAACTAGTTACTCATCAAAAGTAACATCACAAGAAACTTGGGGTGTTTACTGTTATTCAGATGTTTCAGACGAAGAATCATTCCAAAACAAAATACTTTCATCTTCAATCACTAATAGTGGAGATGAAAGTTTCCTTGGATATTGCAATATTTACCTAAAAAATGGAAAAATTAATTTCACAAATTCAAATGTTTCTCAATCAAAAGTATATGCAATAAGTATTTTCCAATTTAATAATTTTAAATCTGAATCAAAAGTTTTATTTTCAATATTTTTTGATAATAATGAGAAATCTACTGGCCATGGTCCTGTTAGGTTTTTTGACTCACCTTCAACAATTCGAATTGAGTCAACGAATTTCCAAAATAATACTGATTCTTATTTAATCCTAGCATCTTCAGCTACAGCATATTTACAAAATTGTTGTTTCGCAAATAACAATATTTCTAAATATTATTTCGATGAATGGAGTGGAGGTCAAATTACAGTTGATAGTTGTTTTATTGATGAAGAAACACCAAAAACATTAGGAACAGTTACAATAAATAACAGAATAAAAGATATATCTAACAATGATAAATGTATTAACTTTATTAAGAAAAAAGAAGAAGACATTTCAGATCTTGATGAAAATCCAAAATATATTAATTTTTCTATTTTATCTCAAAATTTTATAAACATTTCTCGTATAGTTTGATCAAATAAATATGATCTCGGAAATTATGAAAGCTAAGCATATGATATCAAATTAGGCGCAAAAATAACTGGGATATCAAATATATCGTCTGAAATGTAACGTAGGAGAGTTTGAGAGTGTGCTTGTTCCTTTGATATCAAGCACTATATCATCACTGAAAGTTTTGCCTTCATCATTTCATTAAATGATTCAATTTGATGGATTCTATACCAAAAATATTTTAAAGGGGATTAAGGCTGCACTTACATTGACAACTGACGTGAAGCGCCATTGAAATTTAAATATTTCTAGATATTCAAAATTTTGACAACTGACGTGAAGCGCCATTGAAATTTAACATTAAACATCTGAATTGAAGGCCCTGCCATAGGGGCGTAAGTGCACCCTTAACATTTTTTTTATTTTTTATTTTTTTTTATTTTTTTTCACACATAAAAGCATAAAATATTCTAGATAGGATTGACTAGTAAAAGCAAAACATTAATGGATCATAAAATGTGGATTTATAGCAACTTTCCCACCTTACATAGAGGTATAGATTTTATATAAATGATATATACATATAGATATAATTTTAATATATAATCAAATAAACAAAACAAATATTTAAATATAAGGAGTTTGGTTTGAGTCACTTGTAGAAGGATTCAAATTATCAGCGGTCAAAGAATCCTGCACTCTCTTCTTTCTGTTTATTATTCTGTTGACTAAAATCAGAGAAAACAGAATTCCAGGAGTAAACATCCACGTTATGCTTGTCCATGCCTTAGCAACACCAACAAGTTGTGTGATAAATACATTAATAAGCATGCAGTTGCCAACAAACTGGATAATGATAACTGACAAGTCAACAACAGTTAATAACGAAAATTTAGTGTAATCATTAACCATTGCTGAGAGGAATATGTTGGCGAACACAATGAGTATCATGTATGAATCAAATAAAATGGCACCAGATGGTTCAACCATCAACTTTCCAGATGAGAAATACCCAAACATGGAAACAAAGCCTTGTTTGCCATCGAACTTGGTGAATCCGAATGGAACAAAAATCATTATGATAAGAACAAAGAACAAAACTAAGCGAAGCCATAGAGGATTTAACAATAACCTCGTTCTAAGGACAACAAAGCCAAAGATGGTGAAAATGAGGGTATCAAAGGAACAATATGTTGATGAAATGAGCCATATTTCAATCCTCTTGCGAAGTTTGCCGAGAATTGAAATTTGATTTGACAAATCAAAGGGAAATAGAACGAAAACCATGATCGATGAGAAGAATCCAAGTAATATGTAGCCAAGAACAAACATAGAGTGGATAATTCCTGGATTTTCCTTCCTAGATCCAACAACTTTGCCGTTAAAGCATTCTAACTCTTTTTCGAAGAATCCTGTGAAATGTAAACTATATTTGCCTTGTTTGGCCGGAAGCATGGCCGTATAAACCGCCAAACCGTCTTTGACAAAATGATTGAATTTCATCTTGATTCCATCGACCAAAATCTCTGTATTTGAATCGTTCGTGAATGCAAGAACCTTTACGTTGGTCTGGTTGTCGTTAAAGTACGATTGGCCGCCAATTTGATCATAAGGTGGCGGATTAACGACTAAAGCCTTTACTTCGTCTTTGGTATTGAACGTATGGTATACAGAGTTTCCATTGTCTTCAGTAATGATGCCAACGACAGCATGGGTCGTAATATCGCAAGCAATAATTTCTGTAGCGTTTTTGTGATGAATTGGTGATGTTTTAGGTGGATGTGTGTGTCCTGTAATCAAAAATGTGACTCTTGATTCAGAAAGAATCTGAATAAATGACTTTCCGGAAGAAGATTTTGAAGATTCAATAAGGAAGCAAACTGGGAAGTGGAGGAGGGCATAAATATGGGTAGCATTTGAAGCATCATGGACTGCCTTCTCGAACATGTCAAGAAAATGCTTATCAAGGTGAGTATAGAAATCATAAACAGATCTTGGTAGAGGGAATCGCATTGGATTAAGTAGTATGAAAGCATTGTCATCAATGTATACAATGGAACATGCAAACTCATCAAAAGTAAGGTTCTTTATCTTGGAATAGTAATTTGAGTATTGAGGGAAGTCATTTTCGGCAGAATCGAATGAACTTATATCCCACATGTCATGATTACCTGAAATATCAAGGATAGTTGTGAAATACTGTGAGGCATTCCTTGTAATATTATGATACATTTCGTGTTCTTGATAATTACGAGATGATACTTGCTTCTTACCTGGTTTCCAGTTGTTTACAAGATCACCAGCGATCACAACATATTTTGATTTCAATTTTCTTGCCATTTCTAAGCCTTCTTCGTAATGTCTGTCGCGCTGATCATACCATACATGGACATCTGTCATTACTGCAAAGTAGTTTGGATCAGAGTTGTTGTCGAATGGAATTTGACGATCTAATCCTTGAATTGGAAGTGATGAATATTTAATTGGGAATACTAATCGAATGATAGTTGGAACTAAGATTAAGACAATCCACATATACTTGGAAAGGCATAATTTACACTTTTTAGGTTCGTGATCCATAAAAATAAAAAATTCTGATTGACCATTTTGTAAAGTTAACAAAAATTGAGTAGTACGATAATATCATTGAAATTTGTTTCAGAATTGTCAGATATATCCTAATAATGCAATGATCATTATTTAATGAAAAAAGAATTTCAAAATTTTTTTTTCCAACATATTTTTTTTTTCTCTTCATGACAAATAATTTAAATTTACAAGTTAATAATGACTTTTTAGAAGCATTTGAGAATGATAATGTTGATGACATGGAGTTAATTGGAAATATTGAGTACTTAATGTCCTTAGAAGCCAAAAATAAATTAAATTATTTTCAATATGCTTGTTTTCTTGGGAAAAATCAAGTTGCCGCTTACTTTGATTCTATTAATAGATACATTTACAGTTCAATTGATCAATTCGGAAACACTCCTTTGCATCTTATCGCATCAAACCCGAAAAATGAAGATTTCCAGTTAGCAGAATACTTCATAAACAAATATAAATCAGAAATCTTACATTCTAGGAACGTTTTCGGCTTAACTCCTTTTCATGTTTCATGTTTGCAGTCAAACATCAATTTTGTCAAATATTTACTTACGAAATATTCCAAAGAAATCGATTTGACCGATGAAGAGAACATTTTTAAGTTGTCTCCTGTTAATTGCGCAAAGAAAGCTAATTGCAAGGAAATAATAGCTTTACTTACAAACAAAACAGCCACTGAACAAGAACAACCACAAATCATCAACAATTCAAACGTTCCTACAAATGAAATCGAAAATAATTCTGAATTACTTAATAAGATCAAGGAATTAACATCAACAATTAATACACAAGCCAATACAATTTCTGAGAAAGAAAAAGAAATCCAAAAATTACAAAAGAATATTATTTCATTAAATCAACAAAATGAAGCATTAAATAAGGAACTAACACAACAAAAATCTATTAAAAAGCAACTTAATGAATTTTCTAAAGAAATTTTCAAATTTGAAGGAAAAGTCAATACAATTAACAATTTACAGAGAGAACAGATCAGAAAATGTGAGAGTGAGATCCAACAAAACCAGTCACTTATTAAATCTTTAGAAGAAAATAATAATTTGTTGAATAAATTATTAATTTCAAGTAAAGAAGAAGCACAAGGTAAACAAGAGGAGCTAATGACAGAAAACAGATCTCTGGAGGAAAATTGCCATAAATTAGAAGCTGAAAAGAAAGAAATTCAAAAATCTTTCGAAGCAAGGATTCAAGAACTGAATAATAAATATTTAGCTTGCGAGAATGAAAAAAAGGCTTTGACTGATCAATTACTTCGCGAAAAATCAGAATTTGAAGAAAAATACAAATTACTTGAGTTACAAACGAATACATTCGTGCTAGCTGATATTGAAATACAGGGATATCATGTTCGGAGGCATAATTACTTAATTCCGACAATAATATTTTGTATAATTTTTTCAATTTTAATTCTTATGATTATTGGTTATAAGAAATAAATAAAAAGTTAATAAATATCGCATTTTTAAATATAAAAATTGATTAAATCGAACTTTTTTTTTAATCTCAAACTTTATAAGGATCATCACCATTTCCAACATTATTATTAGCATCATCACCATTTCCAGCATCAATATTGTTATCTTGAACTTCATTATTGTTGACAATTGGTTCAACGTTATTATTTTGTGCTGATTCAATATCATTATAAGGAGATGATTCAGCTTTATTATTTTCAACGTTTTTAAGTGAACTTTCCGTGTAATAATCACTCGAGTATGATGAAGAATAATACTCATTTTGTTCAATTTGATCTTCTTGATTAGTTTGAGGGGCATCATTATCGGCAACTTCAACTTCATATGGACAGCATCCGAAACGACAGCAAGTGCAACTATCACAAAGAAGGAAGCATAAACAACATTGGCATAAATCTACTTCGCATTTGTTTGGACTTTTTGTTTGCTTATATTTATAAAAGCAACAGCATTTTAGTACTTGTGTTGTAACAGTTCCATCTGGATAATTTTCTACTGTTCGAGCATATCCAAAAATAGTTAATTTAGGTAATGTGCAGGCCCAACATGTATAGTATGCTAAACAAAGTCTTGCTTTTCTATAATAACCTATCAGGGTGAAAAATGCTCCCAATAGAATAGCAGGAATCGTATACAAATAATAGTATTTCGGACGTATCCAGTCTGCTGTGTTCAAAATGCCAGACGAATTAACATGAATATAAACTGCTTTGTCTTTTGATTTATTTGAGAAAATCTCTATTTTATCGATATCTTTTGAGTTGATTACATGTTTAAGTTTTTTCGGATTATCTTCTCTATACAGAATAGAATAAACAGGATTAGTGAATTCACCAGCAACGTTATTATTTAAAGAACCATCAGCATTATTTGTTTTGGCAATTGCTGAATCTGCGTTAGTAATTGATACACTTCCTTTGATGAAACCTGATACAATGCAAGTTTCGTCTGTTTTAGAATTGTTCAATGAATACTCTGTATCCCCACCAAGTGTAATTATGTATTTGCAAACAGACATATTAAAACTATAAACTACAAAACTGCAAGTTGCTTCACTTAAATAGCTGTATAAAGAAAGAGTTCCTGATGTATTGAATAAGATTGCATTATAGTGTTTAGTGTCCAAAATATTTAATGTAGTATTTCCACTGGTTGCTGTGCCTTTAATAGAGTCATGTTTGAGGAACACAATGTAAGTTCCTTCTGGAATATTGAAATTTTGTGGTGTTTTAGATAATTCTAGTGTATTCAGACCTCTGAAAAATGAATTTTCAAGTGGTTCAGCGATTTTAACTGATGTACTTGTGAAATAATGATAATCACTATTACTACTTATCATTAGATATTCTAAATGTTCTTTTCCAGTTTGAATATTAGAAATTAAAATTTTTGCTGCAGTTTCGTTATCTGCACAATTATATTGAACACATAATGAATTAATATCAGTTAACATTTCATAATTGTTTGCATTAAGAACTTGATTTTGAGAAAAATCAGAAATTGCATAAACAAAATGTGCAATTTCTTCTGAGCTCAGTGATAAGTCTGCATGAAATGTATTTTGACTATAAATAACCAAACAGTAGTTAATTTCAGCATTATTTGAATTATTAAAAACATTATACTCATAAAGTGTATTTTCAGATGGGTTTATTATAAATTCAACAAATGTGCATGATTTTGAAAGTTTAACAATCTGGAAAAACAAAATAAAAGTATTTTCATTGTAAAATTCTAGCGTTGAGTTTTGGACTTTGAATATGCTGCTTTGTTTCATTTTGTTTATATAAAGGTTTTGATCTGAATTTGATAATATCATATAATATTCATATTCGTCTTCAAAAGGAAATTCAATTTTTAAGATTGGGTAATCAGGACCTACGCTAATGTTATATAAGCCAGTTGATGTGATATGCAGTTCACTGTGAACTATAAATAGTAAAAGAAATAGCATAAAATGCTATAACGTAAAATATTATTGAATCAATTCAATAATTGAGAGGAAAACCGAAATTAAATGAAGTGTTTATCGGAGAATAGCTTCATATTCATTTCTAATATTCAGAAGAAATATATTTTCCAAATTGTGAATGAACGTAAATCTCACAAAAAATTCAATTTATGTGACGTTGTGATAAATTTATGCGACGTTGTGATAGTTTTTCTCGGTTGGTGAAATTACACACCTCAGATTAAATATTTAATTTCGATATGTTACTTTCACGTGCTATATTCAAAAACATCACTTATAGTTTTTTTTTCATTAATTTTATGTCAAATTAATTACCTCTTATGATTTATCATTCATAATTATGAATATTGCATAAATGTCTACATTCATTGACAATACTGTTTATGTCATTGATCCAGCATGATCAAGCAAAATGCACTATTATCTCCTTTTCGAAATCAGCTACTGTTCAAATGCCAGGATGTGCATGTATAACAAGAAGATGTATCAGCAACAGATTGTACATGCAAGAACCTTTCGAAAAAGAACATCAAGAAATAACCGAAGTAGCAAAAATAATAGTAAAGAAACAACTGAAGTTCTTATTTCTCATGGTGCAGATATCATTTTAACAGATAAACATAAAAAACTGCTCTTCATATGGTAACAGTAAGTAATAGTGAAGAAACGACAGAGTTTCTTCTTTCATATGTTGCATATATCAAAGAAAAAAGTTATGATGGGTTCTCCGTTATTCAATATGTACCAAAAAATAATAGTAAAGAAATCGCTGAATTTCTTCTTTCATATTCTGCAGAAAACAATGAAACAAGATAAATCTGGAAAAACACTCTTCATAAGGCAGAAGAAAATAATGTTAGAAACTGCCTATGCTCTCTTTATATTAAAGATTTTACATAAATCTTGCATGATATTATAATAAATCAATTGCTAACTAAATGTAGATGAAGCTTTGAGTTGGGTGTAAAGAAATAATCAGGTATATAACTGATATCATGGTGCTTTTTATACCATATTGAAGTTACAATTTATAAAAATTTCTCCAGACTAAATTTTCGAGTTCAAAGAGATTGCTCTCTAATGGAATCTTTATTTTATGTGAATGTATGATAATGAAGTTTCAAAAATCTGTGATAACAACAAATTTTCGAATTTAATTTTCCAGAATTTGTATATTTCAATTGATTGATGAATAATAATTCTGATTTTTTTACCTAGTTTATTATTATAAACTCCAGTCAAAATTTTGGAAATAGAAAAAAATAAACTCATGCCGTTTTTTCCGATTTTACAAATTTTTTATATTTTTATATATGAAACCGGCTCATGGATCTAAAAAGACCAGCAGCCATCTTTCAAACATTAAAAGAACAAAGAAAACCAAGAAAATCGGGGAGAATCCTGTAGCACAAAGCAATATTGTCTCAAATCAAAATATTGAAAATAAAAATGCAGAAAAATCTCAGAATCCGACTGCAAATATAAAATTAGGTGGAGTACCAAAGCAAAAAACAAATTCTGGCAAAAATAATAATTCTGCATCTTCTTCATCGAGTTCTGATGAAAAAATTAAGACAAAGAACAATGCAACCCAATCTAAAAATGCGAATCAAGATATGCAAGCTTCGAGATATCTAAAATCAGTAATTTCTTCTAATGATAAATTGAAACTAGACAGAAATTCAATTAAATCAGTACCTTCTAAAGGAGAACTTATACAACAAAAAGATATTCAAAATAAATCAGATCGATCAAAAAGTAACGAAAATACAATTCCTGAACGAGATATTAAAAAATACGATGTAAACATTTACAATTTCGCATCAGATTTTACTGCAGATAGCTTTATTGGTGTTGATGAAACACCTTCAACAGATTCTAGATTTATTCGTTTCGTTACTCAACGACGTAATCTTGCTACAAATAAGATAGAAACTATAGAAAAATACAAGCTTAAAAGTGGCATAAAAATGACACCTGAACTTAAATTAATTAAAAAACAATTAAATAACGGAACTTACTTTCAGAACAAGAACAAAATGCATAAATCAAAGAAAATACTTTCAAATACACGACGATTATCTGAAATGTTAGATCAAAAAGAAGAAGAAAAATCGAAAGAAAAAAGATTTGGAAACGAAGAGGAAGAAGAAGCCATTTTAACTGATGATCAAGATGCTGATGTTGAAGATAATGATATTGATGATAATTACGAAGAAAAAACTCCAAGAAAATTAAAACAAATCAAATTTAGAAAAACAAAGAAGCGTAAAAACAGTGTATATAGTGATGTTATAGAGGAATACTATTCAAATGAAACAGAATTTACTTCATCAGATATGAAACCTAAAAATGTCGAAAAATATAAGCCATTATTCATTGCAAAGAAGCGTTTTCAACCTGATCCGCCAGAATCAAAGACCGTTCATAGGAAATTAGGAGTAATTGTAGATAAATATGAAGGATCTCTTGATATTCCTAACGATGCAGACTTTATTAAGAACTACGGATCAATAAGGCCACAAATGAAAGAAGAATTCGAAGAAACGAAGATATTACCAAAAGATTATAAAAAGAAAGGTGAAGATAACTTTCCAGCAATAACATTATTGCCAACTGGCCAACATGTTGTCAAGGTTGATGATAAGTTTTACATTGAAAAAGTTGATAATGGTTTTTTGACAAGAATTCGTGCAACAGAAGACGGAAAACGAATCATTTTAGTATCCAAAGGTGATGATAAGAAGAAAGATAGTACTACAAACAAAACAGATAGAAATCCCAATGAGTTTTCAAGTGATGATTCAGATGATGAAACAACAAGTACGACAGCTACTCAATCTTCTCGTCCATCCAACGTCCAACTATTCATATCAAGACAATCTAGTGGTCAAATCCAAAAAACGAGCTCAACTGACAAAAAATTATTATTAAATGACGCCAAACAGAAAGAAAATCAAATCACAAAAGAGAAAAATGATAAGAAATCATTTGGATCTACTAAGAATGCAAAAGAATCATCAAGTTCGAGTGAATCAGAAAAAATCAATAATAAATCAGGCAAAAACAATCAAATAACAAATAATTCTTCTCAAATTGTTAATAATAACATGAATAAGAACGAAAGCAACTCTGAATCTTCTTCATCTGATGAAGAAAAACCAAAATTACAGTTAAACAACGAAAAAGCGATTAAAGAAACACAAAAGAAAGAAGAAAAGAAGTTTTCAGAAGAAGAATCATATTATTATGAGGAAGAAGAAGATTATTCATCAGAAATTCATGTTCCGGAACCAGAAATGAAACAAAATTTCCAAAAATCAGAACCAAAAGAAGAATCTCCGATCTCACAAATACCACAAGCACTTAAATCAATGATTCCTTCACCAATATCAGCCAAACTCACTGATAAATCTAACAGTAATTCCGATAATGAATTCAAAGATTTCTTAAAGTCTTCAAGTGATTCAAATGATGAATCCAGTACTAGTTTGCAGAGTTTGAAGAAGAATCCTGTTGTTAGTTTAAATCAAGGAAATCCAACACCAACTAAAACAGAATCAACAGCATCTAATTCTCCTAAATCTCCACGAGATAGAAGCAAATACAAACCAAAAGATTCTCCACTTCCTAATAAAGAAAATGAAAAACAAAAGAAGAAAAATTATTTATCACTCAACAACAAAAGGAAGAAAGAAAATGACGAAAAGAAGAATCAAAAGAAAATTGAAGATGAAGAATCAGCAAAACGAAAACAAGCTGATGAAGAAAAGAAAAAGAAAGAAGAAATCGAAAAACAAAAGAAACTTGAGGAAGAAAAAGAAGCAAAAATGAAATTGGAAGAAGAAAAATCAAAACAAAAGAAACTTGAAGAAGAAAAAAGAAAGAAACGAAAAGAGGAGAAAAAGAAGAAACTCCAAGAAACAAAACTAAAACAGCAAAGAAAACAAGAAGAAGAAAACAAAAGAAAACAAGAAGAGGAAAACAAAAGAAAACAAGAAGAAGAAAACAAACGAAAACAAGAAGAAGAAAAACAAAGGAAACTTGAAGAAGAAAAGAAAAAGAAAGAAGAGGAAGAAAATAAGAGAAAACAAGAAGAAGAACTTCAAAGGAAACAAAAAGAGAAAGAAGATAAAAGAAAGAAACAAAAAGAAAATAATAAAAAGAACAAGAGAAAACAATCATCAAGTAGTGATAGTTCGGAAAATGATAATAAAAAAGATAAAAGAAGAATTCATGATGTTGATAAAATCAAACTTCCTAACATGGTTGATTATGAACCAGGTGAAGATTCTAATACAATTGATAAATCATCATCAGAAGAAATTCCTCCTCTTAAGTTCAAAGCTCCTCCAATGGAAGCAGAAAAAGATCCAAACCGCAAAGGACCGAATGATTTCGAATCAGAAGATGATGACATAATTCCAAATAGATCTCCTGTTAAACAACAAGAAGAAAAGAAAGAAACAAACGAACAAAACAATTTGACAACTGAAACTTACTATTTCTATGAGGAAGAAGAGATTATTGAATTTGTTGAACAAGCAGCAGAAAAACCAACTGTTCCAAAGATTATTGATATTCATATTTCATCATCAAGTTCATCATCTGATGAAGAAAAACAAGTTCCAGAACAGAATAATTTTGAAAAAGCAAATGAAGTCAAATCAGATAAAGAAGAGAACAGTGATGATCAAAAACCAATTTCATTGTTCAAAGTGAGAGGAGCTAAAACACCTCTTCAACGATCAATTGAGATGCAAACAAAGAAACAGAAACAACAAATTTCACCAAAATCAAGACCAAAAAGAGAAACAAAGAAAGAAACTCCAAAGTCAGAAGATAAAACTAAGAAAGAAGAAAAGAAGATTGAGATATTAATCAGAGAATCATCTTCTTCATCTACATCTGAAAAAGAAAAGAAACAAGAGAAACAAAATATTCCAGTTGAAGAAAAACCTAAAAAGTCATCAAATCCATTCCGAGTTGTTATTGAAGAACCAATTGATGAACAAACAGTCAAACGAAGTAAAAAGCGAGGCAATTCACAACAAAACACAATTTCACCAATGAAACTAGAAATATCTAAAGAAGATCAAGATAAAATGAATGCAATTCAAAGTAAGATACGTAATTCGTTACTTGCAGATCAATCACGAGACACAAACAAAACAAATAAAGATTCATTGGCAGATTCTCCATTTGGAATTAAAAATTTTGCTTCAAAACGTAAAAAAGAGCAATCAAAACAAAGATCTAAAGTTACATTTAATATTGATGAAGAAATCATTAAGGAACATAAACAAAAGTACGATGAAGAAACTAAACCTCGTAAAGAAATTTTAATTGAAGAAAAATCACAAAAAGAAGAAGATAAAACCAATAAATCACCAACTGAAAATAAAGGAAAAGATGATTCAAACAAAGATTTGAAAGAAAGAAATGAAAACAAATCTCTTGAGGAGAAAATTGAAATCAAATTAGATTTCGATGTTGAAAAAAAGAATTCTAATTCTCCAGAAATCAAAGTTCAAAACGAAAACAAAAAGAGTTCATCTGGAAAGAAAGAGAAAGACAATGAAAAGAAAACTAAAACAAGACCAAAAAGAGGAATTTCCAAAGATAAGACTTCTAAAGAAAAAGATGCAACAAAGCAGAAAAGAAGAAATAGTAAATCTTCAAGGAAATCTAAAAACAAATCTTCATCTTCTTCAGATGATGATTTAAGTATTCATGACTTTCCAGAACCGATTAAGAATGAATCTAAAGACAAAAAGTCATCAAAGAATCGAGATGATTTTTCCAATGTTGGATTCAACAAAACAATTTCATCTGATGATTCAATTTAATTATGTTTTTTTTAGTCTATTTATATTTATTTGTATATTTTTGTATATGTTAATGTTGAAATAAATATTTCTCATATTATTCAATATTCTTTCATGATTTGTCTTTCTAATATAACTATTAATTGTGGTAGTTAACTTTGTATAAATATTATGGAATCATCAGAAATAAATCATTCTAAATTGCATTCAAATTATACGTATTCTAATCTATAGGTTAAAAAAATATTATATTTGATCAAACTATACGAGATATGTTTATAAGATTATGAGATAAAATAGAAAAATTAATATATTTTGGATTTTCATCAAGATCTGAAATGTCTTCTTCTTTTATCTTAATAAAGTTAATACATTTATCATTGTTAGATATATCTTTTATTCTGTTATTTATTGTAACATATCCATATGTTTTTGGTGTTTCTTCATCAATAAAACAACTATCAACTGTAATTTTACCTCCACTTGCATAGAAATAATTCCCAGAAATATTGTTATTTGCGAAACAACAATTTTGTAAATATGCTGTAACCCAATATGCAGTGATTAATGTATATTCAGTATTATTTTGGAAATTCGTTGACTCAATTCGAATTGTTGTTTTTGTAGATGATGATTGAATAAAAATAGGAGGATAATTAGTAGAATAATCTTTATTTTCAAAAAACATTGAAAATAAAATTTTTGATTCAGATTTAAAAGTATAAAATCCTAAAATATTATTTCCATATAATTTTGATTGAGAAATATTTGAATTTTCGAAATTAATTTTTCCATTTTGTAGATAAATAGTATAATATCCAAAGAAACTTTCATTTCCACTATTAGTGATTGAAGATGAAAGCATTTTGTTTTGGAATGATTCTATGTCTGAAATACATAAATAACAGTAAACTCCTTGAGCATATTTTGATGTTACTTTTAATGAGATGCCTGTTATTCGATATTGAACACATTCACCTTGATTAGAGAAGTATAAACTTCCTCCTTCTTTGGAGTTACTACAATTAACGAAGCTTGTTGTGTCAACTAAGAGTTTAGTTGTACTTTTAGATGTGTCAAAATGAATGGCTCCTAATTTAATGCTATCTGAAAATTCGCATTGTAGGACGTAGTAATTTTCATCACCTTTAGAAAGTTGATTACTTTCGTTTACGTATCTTTCCTTAGAACTACCTTCTGCATAATAGTCCGTCCAATCATATCGGAAAATGGTTGCTTATAGCAATTTGATATCAAGGAAATTCTTTTAACAATTATATTTATGTCATTTATATAGTTATAAAATTGGTAATATTCTGAAGTTTACATTTTAATCATATTAGCAGCTGCGTATTTTCGCGTTCTGAGAACGGAAACGCATTTTTTGAATGCGTCGGTTCCGAATCATATGGAAAATTAGGTTTTATTAAGTAATAAAGCATATAGTATTATAAAAATGAAAAATTATTTTCCCATATAAAATAAAAAAATTCTTTTTCACTTCAAAATTTTTGGAAACGAATTTTACAAAATTCGATTCCAATGATTTTGAAGATCAAAAGAATCAAATTTTTCGCGCTGACTTTTTCAAAAATTGAGGGAAAAAGTCACGCGAAAAATTGTAATTTTTTGAGTTCAAAGAAGAAAAGAATTTTTCAGAGGAAGAATCATATTATTATGAGGAAGAAGAAGATTATTCATCAGAAATTCATGTTCCGGAACCAGAAATGAAACAAAATTTCCAAAAATCAGAACCAAAAGAAGAATCTCCGATCTCACAAATACCACAAGCACTTAAATCAATGATTCCTTCACCAATATCAGCCAAACTCACTGATAAATCTAACAGTAATTCCGATAATGAATTCAAAGATTTCTTAAAGTCTTCAAGTGATTCAAATGATGAATCCAGTACTAGTTTGCAGAGTTTGAAGAAGAATCCTGTTGTTAGTTTAAATCAAGGAAATCCAACACCAACTAAAACAGAATCAACAGCATCTAATTCTCCTAAATCTCCACGAGATAGAAGCAAATACAAACCAAAAGATTCTCCACTTCCTAATAAAGAAAATGAAAAACAAAAGAAGAAAAATTATTTATCACTCAACAACAAAAGGAAGAAAGAAAATGACGAAAAGAAGAATCAAAAGAAAATTGAAGATGAAGAATCAGCAAAACGAAAACAAGCTGATGAAGAAAAGAAAAAGAAAGAAGAAATCGAAAAACAAAATAAACTTGAGGAAGAAAAAGAAGCAAAAAGAAAATTGGAAGAAGAAAAATCAAATCAAAAGAAAGTTGAAGAAGAAAAAAGGAAAAAACGAAAAGAGGAGAAAAAGAAGAAACTCCAAGAAATAAATCTAAAGCAACAAAGAAAACTCGAAGAAGAAAACAAAAGAAAACAAGAAGAGGAAAACAAAAGAAAACAAGAAGAGGAAAACAAAAGAAAACAAGAAGAGGAAAACAAAAGAAAACAAGAAGAAGAAAACAAAAAGAAACAAGAAGAAGAAAAACAAAGAAAACTTGAAGAAGAAAAGAAAAAGAAAGAAGAGGAAGAAAATAAGAGAAAACAAGAAGAAGAACTTCAAAGGAAACAAAAAGAGGAAGAAGAAAAAAGAAAGAAACGAAAAGAGGAGAAAAAGAAGAAACTCCAAGAAATAAATCTAAAGCAACAAAGAAAACTCGAAGAAGAAAACAAAAGAAAACAAGAAGAGGAAAACAAAAGAAAACAAGAAGAGGAAAACAAAAGAAAACAAGAAGAAGAAAAACAAGAAACAAGAAGAAGAAAAAACAAAGAAACTTGAAGAAGAAAAGAAAAAGAAAGAAGAGGAAGAAAATAAGAGAAAACAAGAAGAAGAACTTCAAAGGAAACAAAAAGAGGAAGAAGAAAAAAGAAAGAAACGAAAAGAGGAGAAAAAGAAGAAACTCCAAGAAATAAATCTAAAGCAACAAAGAAAACTCGAAGAAGAAAACAAAAGAAAACAAGAAGAGGAAAACAAAAGAAAACAAGAAGAGGAAAACAAAAGAAAACAAGAAGAAGAAAACAAAAAGAAACAAGAAGAAGAAAAACAAAGAAAACTTGAAGAAGAAAAGAAAAAGAAAGAAGAGGAAGAAAATAAGAGAAAACAAGAAGAAGAACTTCAAAGGAAACAAAAAGAGGAAGAAGATAAAAGAAAGAAACAAAAAGAAAATAATAAAAAGAACAAGAGAAAACAATCATCAAGTAGTGATAGTTCAGAAAATGATAATAAAAAAGATAAAAGAAGAATTCATGATATTGATAAAATCAAACTTCCTAACATGGTTGATTATGAACCAGGTGAAGATTCTAATACAATTGATAAATCATCATCAGAAGAAATTCCTCCTCTTAAGTTCAAAGCTCCTCCAATGGAAGCAGAAAAAGATCCAAACCGCAAAGGACCGAATGATTTCGAATCAGAAGATGATGACATAATTCCAAATAGATCTCCTGTTAAACAACAAGAAGAATAAGAAAATAAAGAAGAAACAAGGAACAAACGAACAAAACAATTTGACAACAGAAACATACTATTTCTATGAGGAAGAAGCGATTATTTAGTTCATTGAACAAGCAGCAGAAAAACCAACTGTTCCAAAGGCCATTGATATTCATATTTCAACAAAACAATTCCATCTAATGATTCAATTTTTTTTGGCTATTGAACAAAAAATCTGAGAGCTTGTCAAAAATGGTAAGTGCACTCTTAAAATATTATATTTGATCAAACTATACTAGAAATGATTATAAGATTATGATATAAAATAGAAATAATAATATTTTTTGGATTTTCATCAAGTTCTGAAATATGTTCTTCTTTTTTCTTGATGAAATTAATACATTTATCATTGTTAGATATATCTTGTATTCTGTTTTTTATTGTAACTGATCCAAATGCTTTTGGTGTTTCTACATCAATGAAACAACTTTCAAATTTAATTAGAGCTTCATAACTAGAATAGAAATAATAATTAGAAATTTCATTATTTGCGAAACAACAATTTTGTAAATATGATGTAGATGAATATACATAGATCAATATAAATGCACTATTATTTTGGAAATTTATTGATTCAATTCGACTTGTTGTTGGTAAAAAGGTATAAAAATAGACAGGTTGATGGCCAAAAGATTTTTCATAATTATCAATAAAAATTGAAAATAAAACTTTTGGTTCGGATTTAAAATAATGAAATGTTAAAATACTTGTTCCAGTGACTTTTGATTTAGAAACATTTGAATTTTCAAAATTAATTTTCCCATTTTTAAGGCAAATATTGTAATATCCAAAAAAACTTTCATCTCCACTATTAGTGATTGAAGATGAAAGAATTTTGTTTTTGAATGATTCTCCTTTTGAAACACACGAAAAACAGTAAACTCCTTCAGTTTCTAGTGGTGTTACTTTTGATGAGTAACTTGTTATTCGATATTGGACACATTCCCCTTCAAATGAGAAGTATAAACTTCCTCCTCTATCGGAGTTACTACAATTAACGAAGTTTGTTGTGTCAACTAACAGTTTAGTTGTATTTTTGGATGTGTCAAAATGAATGGCTCCTGATTCAATGTTGTCACAAAATTCACACTCGAGAACGTAGTAATTTTCATCACCTTTAGAAAGTTGAATGTTTTGATTTACGAAACTTCCTTTGGAATTATCCTCTGCATAATATTCTATCCAATCTTTTAACGCAATTAATTATCTGCAAAATTCCTTCAACAATTAAATTTTTTGCCATCTATCGTTCATTGTTATCAGCCTTAAAATTTTGATGAGATTGTGAAGCATGGATTTCATTAATATACGTGAGTATATTATCTGTCTCCAATCAAATAAGTTAAAAGCATTAGTTTATGGATTTATCTTATCATTATTAACTCATTAATATGGAGACTTTACAATTTTTAATGAATTTTTTGATGCCTAAAACAATAAAAAACAATTTTTTATTTTGTTGTAAATATATTTTTTGATGCCTAAAACAATTTTTTGAACTGATAGGTATTTTTATCATATAAAAATATATTTACAACAAAATAAAAAATAAAATTAAAACAAATAAAAAATGAAATGAAAACTTATTCTTTGCCATCAACTTCTTCTGGGGTTTGACTTTGAAGTTTAATTCCAAGTTGGGCAACTCTGGAGTGATATGGTTGTAACTTGGGAAGTGATTTTTCAAGTTTGTCAAATAAGGGAACAACAACTGACATAAAGAATGATGGTAATGTTGCTTTCTTATCAATGTATTCTCGAGCTTTAGAAAATATAGTATATGAAACTTTTGGAATCTTAGAGATGTCACCTGAGATATAATACATATCTGCAAATGTGTACATCTCTTTCTCGAACTCTGGATATGGTGCACAGCAGATAGAATAATCGGATGCTTTCATAATCAATGTCAAGATTCCATCATATGTATCTGCGATGTTTTCAAGAACTGTGAAATGTCGTTGATGAGCAACATCGATTATTAGTTTAACAACTGTCGCTTCACAAACACTTCGAACGTTTTCAGGGAACAATGAACAGCCTCTCGACAAAGAGATGAACGTTTCTGCACTCAGAGATTCGTAGACTGGTAGTTTGGACAAAAATTCACCTGCTGAAATAGAACATTTGTTTGGATATTTGTCTGGAACACGTTCACTATCGATGTGTCTGCAGAGAACTGCAACAAGAAGGCAGCATATCTGTTGGCGACTAAGATCAACACCTGATTCCATGATGAGTTTAGATGCGAATATAAGATTTTTAACTGTATGTTTGAAATCTTTGTCTTCTGCATATGAATTTCGAAGTGAGACTCTGTAGAAGAACTTCATGAGAGTTCCTGCGTTGATCTGCATCTCATGCATCAATCTGAAGTTTGCGAAGACAAAGAAACAAACTTTGATCAATCCAATGTTGTCTAAATTTTCACATGAAAAATCAAGCTCGAAAACACCTTGGATCTTAAGAAGTTCTGGAATTGCAAAGTCAACACTTTCTTTAGCTGTGATGTAGTTTGATATCAAATATCCTTCATCACCCATCATGACAATCTCATCGTTGCATTTCTTATTCAACAAATATGAAATATACTCACAGCAGAACTGGATTCCCTTTTGATATGAATTGTCACTTGGTAATGTGAGTTCACACTCAAAAACACCTTTAACACTAATCAAACAATCAATAATTATATCGTCTGTTGCTTCTTCTGCATTGATATCGTCGTTGTCTGGATTCCATGCCGTGATGTTCTTTCGATCACTCTTCCTAGTGATAGTGACAACTGTGTCACTCGTATCAATAGATTTTCTCGCATTTTCATCTGATATTGTTTCATTACTTTTACCAAGTTGTAAAGCTGGAATTAAATCTGCAGAAAAGTTTGATTTAACGAAAATTGATGTTCGTTTTGCACCAAGTTCTTTCATGAAAAATTCTAAATATGCGATGACATCTTTCGGATTCTCTTTCAGTAAGTCTCCGACAAACTTAGGAAAAACATCAAGAATTTCTTGAATTCGAAGTCTGTATGATGTAAAAACTGACCATGCATTGAGAATATTTTTGTCATCATCATTAAACTTTTCTCCATTTTGACGTTTCGAAACTCCAATTTCTGAAACTTTTTTATTTTGAATATCAAACAAAGGCGATGCTATTTCTGTATCATTTTCTTCTGCACGACATAGTTTCTTGGCTAAACTATCTGCAGTTTCCTTAATTGTCTTTGAAGCAAATAATAATTTCGCTGTTCTCATCATTTCTTTCATTCTGTATGGAATATCTTCTGGATTTTCACGTGACGTAACTAATGATTCAGACATCATGTATGATTGTATGATAAATGGTGCAACAACTCCTAATTTAAACAAATCAACTTCATTAAATGGAATTGCTTGCCTTCTTAATACAACAGCAAATGTTGTGTTGTTCTGGAATTTAAGAGGAACGCATATAACTGATGAATCTGGTGTAAAATCGCCATTAAAGCAAAAACATTGATGATACCTTGCTGTTTTGACGAGAAGAGGGTCTCCTGTTCTGAAGGCTTCTGTAACACTGCCTACATTATGTGGTTCTATCAATGTAAACCTTTGATTTTGGTATTTAAAAGATTTATCTGAACGATGTAGCCAAAATTCGCAAATTTCTGCCTTCATTTTATCACAAAGCATTGATGTATAAAGAGGAAGTATGATTGACGTCATTGAACTCGTGCAAAAAGGATAAACAAAATCTATCATTTTTGCAGCTTGAATTATTGTAGACCCATACACCATGAACTTCTCCATTAAGAAGTTGGCTGTTTTAATGTCTATATCTTCAAAGGATGGCTGAGAAATATGTCTAATAATTTCAACAACACAAGTAATTGAGCCATCTTGTAAATAAAGTGGGAAAATCAATTGAGGTGACTTAGGTTCTTCTTGAAGTATTGGTATTGGTGCTGTTGGTTCAAGAGAACATACAATCATTGCTGTTTTTGATTTACAAACTGCGGCAAGTAATGTATTTTGTCCTTTAACTTCGACTTTATGTACTTTAGAATAGAAAACTGTTGAATCTTCGTTTGGTGACCAGACAATAGCAGTATTTGATGAAAATAAATCGATTAAAATGTCAGGAAAACATAATTCGATTGGTTGAGTTAAGCTAGCTTCCATCATTTGTTCGAAAAATGTTTCACAACGAAGTCTAGATTCTTCATTTAAAGAAAAACGATCTAATTTTTCGAAAATTTCTGAGTTTGTTGTAGATATTTTCTCTTGATTCTCGTTAAGTGGTGGAATTACTGCGTTAAGGCGCTCGGTGAACTGTTTTATTGGGCGACCTTGCCGCAAATGTAATCGATTCGTCATCAGAAGTTAAAGAAAAATGAAAATTTCCATGAAATATATTTATTTAAAAGATAATGATGCTACTATTAAAATAATTTTCAAATAGTTATGAAATAACGTGTTTTATTATTGTGGGGGCATCAATTTTAAACGGGTAGACTCCTTTGTCAAAAAAAATGAGTAACTCAAGAAAAGAATTTCTGGTTGCTTTATATACAAGTCAGTCCAATGTTCCTGTTAATGAGTTCATTATTGATAAACTTAAATCTATTAATAATTATCAGCCTGAATACAACTTGCAGGCTGGAGATTTGAAATTTGTTCGAGCACGAAATCCAGATTCACTGAACAAACTCATTACAATATCTTCAGTATCTGGTACACCGCCATTTATTGCTGCCTCTTGTCAAAGAAGTTACGCAGAAAATTTATATAATTCATTTTCAGATTTTTCTCAATATGTTCAAGGTGATCTTGTAGATTTTTCCAAAGTTAATACGAAAGAACCATTCTTTATTGTTGGTCAGTACTTGTTATTTTTAGCAGCCCGATTTTGCTGGAAATCAGGTGTCATTGAAAACATCCGCAGAATCAGTTTCGCAAATAAGAAACTCCAAAATACAATTTTAGCAAAAGGAATCAAAAATTACTTTCCAAACGTCGAATTTGTTCAATTTGCAAGAAACAACATCAAAAGTCCGAAACAAATAGGAACTGATGTTACCTACATATTTGATGAAGATGATGAACGATTTACAGGAGTTCCTCAATTTAATGAGTATATTCCTTATCCAAAGCCTCCACCAGCCTACGAATACATTAACGATATACCAGTGAACTCATTCCAGCCTCTTGAAGTTGTTGGAGGCGATTATACTTACCATGATCCGGAATCTCAAATTACTTACGAAGATTATAAAGCAAAAGTAGTTTATCCAGATGATGATCCACTATATGACTTTTTGTGCAGATATGTACAGTCTCTTCAAGATAATATCGAAAGAATTTCGAGATATTACTCTGAAACAGCTGTTTTCTCAATGCATATTGATGATTCACCTCCGGAATCACCTTTGCAGAGATATGCTCGCTTTTCAAGGAACATGGTTCAATCTTTAGACACAGATTACCTTTGCCAAGGCCTAGACCAAATCAATGATGCATATAATATATTATTCCCTGCAGGAATAAGGAATAAAGTAACAGATCTGAGAATTGTCCCATTATACAAAGGATTATTCGCAATCGCGATGTCAGGAGTATTAACTAATGAATATGATGAACTATTATTGTTTGAAAAGTCAATGAGCATTGGTATAGAAGGAAATACTGTTTTAATTACAAATGATCATTTATTCCTTCATGAAGAAAAATAATTGTTACTTATTTGCTATAATAAATGTTTTTGTTTTCTAATAATATGAATATATTTTTGAACTTTCGAATTCTAATTTTAAATTTTTTTGAAATTTTCGATTATTCTTCAAATATACAGTATCCATTGCTATTCATAACATGCTCATATATCTATTGATATATAGTTCGAAATAATGAAGGAGATTCTAAAAATAGGATATATGATTATAATGTTTTGTAGATAAAGGAATGATTAATTTAAAGGATAACATAAATGATGAATGACTTATCAAGATTCCAACTCAAGCACCTTAGCTAAATATAAAACAACAAATTTGGGTGTTTTTAGTGCAGTAAATTTAGTGTGGAAAGAGCTTTATTGGCTAATTGTGAGATTGTGTTCATATATATATACGACTAAAAAATTCTATGACTATTCAAAATATTCTATGAAATCCTCACAATTTTATTTCATAATTGAATCAAGATTTCCATCGGTGTTGTAATATTCATGATATCCTTTGAGGATGAAGTTCTTAAGAGTTTGATAACAACTAACAATATCAGAACAGTATTTATCAAGATCATCGAATGCATCTTCGATGGATAAAACATGTTTGTCGTTTGACTCGTGTTCATTTGATGATGAATTTCGAGTTGAGTATCCAATGAGTTCGGCATTTGTTCTGTTTCTGAAAACGGGTAAATCATCTCTTCGTTGAAGAAACAGCGATTTAAATTCTGATGATTTCTGTTTCAACAACTCTTTAAGTTGAATTTCATCTATGCTGTTACATTCATCGTTAGTTTCTGTTATTGATATTGAAGCTAACTGTTCCTGAATACCTTTCATTGCTTTGAAACCTAAAAGAAACTTTTCTTGCTTTGTTTTATTTTTGAGAGCAAGGCTTATAGTTGACTCAGAACCATAATCAATATTAGTCCTTCCGTTTAAGAACTCATGTCCAACGGATTTTATATAATCTTTAGTAAATTTTGCAACTCTAAAGTCAATAATATATGGAATTTCTCGTGGAATATTTTCGAATAGGAAAAAGTTGATATCTGGTGCATTTCCGCAATTATCTAATGATAATCCGATATTTCTTTTGTTCAAATCGAATAAATGCATTATTCTACTAATGATGTCGAGTTTTGTCAATTTGGTAAAAATTATAATTAAATCTTCTGATTTTGGGATCTTACGTATTGAATTAACTGATGGATTAAATCTGTGATACAAGCATCGGTCAAAGTCATAGTTTGGAAATATATTTTTTTCGAGTTCATAAAATGTATTGTTTTCATGGGTTAAATCTCGTGTTGCAATATAAAATCCACGGCCAATATATGGATTGATTATGAATTCGGTATGAGGACCCATTCCGAAGAATTCAAGGATTTTGTATGCAAAAGGTTCTCGTAAGTAAGGATAGTGATAATATTCTGGCGGAAATGGATCATCTGTTACCCACAATGGGCCAAAAAGAGCTGTTTGATCAAAATATCCGTTTTTGGCTGGATATCCCAAATATCCTTTAATGAAATATCTAACAATCTTCTTGTCATCTTGTATTAATGTCAAAATCTCACCGAACTCTTCGCCTTCTTTTTTAGTGTTAACAATAACTTTGTAATTATCACAGAAGTCCATTTGAAGATTATCGAAATTGAAAGATTTGACACCTGAACGAAGATGTTCTACGAATTCTGAAATTTGTTCAATAGCTTGATCTTGAAGAAACTTCGGCGAGCGCCATAAATACCATTTAGCAACTCTTGTTAAAAATTCTGGATTAACTCCATATGGATCTTCGATTTGTTTCCCAAAACTAAAATCTGTCAAAGTTCTAATGACAGTGAGGCAGTCATCTCTTATTTCTTTAGGTGACATCCTTGAGATGAAAAATTCTGTTTTAGTCGAAAATTGTTCTGTTGGATTTAATGCTCCTTGGTCATAATTTCCTATTATTTTCAGGAGGAAAAATTTAACTGTAGAATCGGTGAAATCTTTTTCAATCTTCCCGTTATAGAGCATTTCTTCTTGGAATTTCTTCATAAATCTGGGATATATTGAATTTTCGAAAAATTGTTTCATTTCTCCATCATCTCTTAAACATGATTTGATTAAGTCCATAAGGATAAATGAGTAAGGTTGGTTGATGCATGATGGATAGTCTATAATTAAGCCTTCTTTACGTATATTTTCTATATTTTCACTGTTAATGTTAATTGAATCTTGAGGTTCATTCATTTTGTAAATGTTAGAAAAATGAAAATTTTAGTGTATTGCCACAACGATACGTAAACTTAATGTCATTTTTTATCTCAGAACAAATGCTCATAAAAATGGTATAATAATGAAATTGTTTTATTCAAATAGAGGAATGTGTTGGCGACTTAGTATGAACCAAATTGATTATTTTGGAAGAAATAAAATGTTGTAAATTGGCATTCAATGAATCTTTATGACATATACTTCCATTTTGCCATCATAATTATTTCGTTTACAACTTATTTCAGCGCTTACAGCTTAATTCACATACTCTATTAAGATTATTTATCCGCAAAAATGCACGTGATTGTCCCTTTAACGTTATATATGAATTTAAAAGAGGAGATCATTTTAAAAAAATAGTGTGACAGGAAATTAATTTTACAAGTGAAGTCTTAATATATTATAGACATCTTGATTCATTGTTTTTGGATTCTGCTTTCAGATATTGAAAATGCAAATATATGTTTTTGAAATAGTTTATCAAATTAACGTAATATAAAAACAATTTTATTTATATAAACATATACATAACAACAAACAATTTAGAACTTGCCCATTGAATAAGTGACATTGAAACTTGGTTTGAACATATTGTATTCAGAAACGTAAGCGACAGGGCCAGGAGTATTTTCTGGTGTATTAGGAAGCGGAGTTCTTCCTTCTTTCGCCATATATCCACCGCGAATTCGTGGACTCTTCAGATCATAGTATTTGCCTGGTCCAGGGGCATCACTGATTGGAGCACCGAATATTGTATTTGGTTTAGATCGCTGTTCAACTCCAATCGCATGTTGTAATTTGTGATCTGGTGATTTAGACAAATTATATGTTCCAACACCTGGAGTTTTGTCTTTAACAGCGTATGGATCGCGTGGAGAAGAAATCATGAATGGAGGTGATGGACTAGAATGTCTTTTCGCTTGTCTGATCAGATCTCCTTGTTCAATGTTGTATTTTGCAACACATGCATCGTATTCAGGAGGATGAACAGTAAATCGTTCGGATCTTTGGAAGAAAGGTGCATTGTTTGAATCGCGATAACGTCTTGAATGCTCGATGTTGTAATCTGCTGGTCCTGGATTTGGATTTCCATCAAAAAGATTTCCGCGACCAGATCTGCTGTTGAAAGGTGCAATGTTTTGATGTGGTATTTCCTGAGATCGAGTAACGTTGTATTGGCAAGGAGAAGGGTTATTATTTTTGGTCCAGAAAGATTTATGCTTCTGACGGCTGCCAAATGGAGCGCCCTTTGAAGGAAGCTTCCATGATGTTTGGCTCAGGCCGTCATGATCAGCAATCCAATCTGGAACTGGAAATACGTTTCTTTCTGCGTTGCTCATGAAAGCAGGACTTTTGTTAGGTGAAATACTGCGTTTAGGTAGTGTATTGTAGTCGGATGGACCTGGTGACGGTGGTTCTTTACGATAATTTCTTGCCGTTTTTGGAATTGTAACTTTTCTATCGTATGGGAGTCTTGTATCAAAATCTGCTGATGATGAAGCGTGATATTGAGGTGCAGCAAGGTTGAAATTTCTTGGTGATTTTGAATTCATTTGTTCTCGATGACTTGGTGACATTCCAGGGCGATTTTTACTCCAGTCATAGTGGCTGCCGTAATCTGCAGGTGATGGTCCATCGTGAATTTCAAAAGATTGACGAGGTGAGCCAGATTTCATCATTGCTCCGCCGCCATGAATAGAAATGCGAGGTAATTGTGGATTGTAATCACTAGGACCTGGTGTAGATTCTGGTGGACCTCTGAAACGTGCTGCTGTTGAATTGAACGGATATAACGACTCATAAGGAGTTTTGATTAATTCTGGCATATCATAAGAACCAGGACCAACATTCTCAGATGTTCCAGTCTGAATTAAGCTGAAAAATCTATCTGAGCGTGTAGTTATTGATCCGTTCGTCATTTATGAAATTTCAACGAAATTAACCGACGATTTTTTCAATGCAAAAAAGTGACGGATTTTGTAAAGAGAGATTTTAGGATCAATAGGCATTTCAGATCTTCTTTCTTAGTATGTGACTGCACATTAATAACTATATCATTTAATCATATATTCCTATAAGTTTACCCTCATATTTATATAGTCAGCCTGAGTTTTCTTGATAATTATTAGTATTTTTATTTATGAATAGAAATTACATGCAACAAGTATTGATACGCTAGATCATTGGTAGAAATGCTTATTTTTTATAAGTTTGATCCCCGAATTCCAAGTATTCTGTAAGATTTTTGAATGTTGATGAATATTATAACAAATTATTATAAAAAGAATAAGATAATGAACATACACTTGAGAAAACTATGTAATTATCAACTCTTCCAGAATTAAGTCTAATATTGAAGGAAATCGAGCAATTTTTTTAACATTCAACTCGTTTGTGAATGATTCAAAGAGTGAAACTTATATTGCATCAAACTCAGGCATTATTTTTCTTATGAGAATCAAAATGTATTACATATGTTAGGCAAAATCTGAGATTTTTATATTTTATTGTAAACTATTCAATTAAAATCTAAGATTTGTACAACGTTTTTCTCGCTAAATAAGTGATCAAGTAACAAAGTCAAATGGATCAACAATTGTAAGCTTTAATAAAGGATTTACTGATACAATTGTTGTTACTTCACAAGTTTATACAATAATTGGTACAAATGCTTGCAATGGATGTCAATGTCAGCACGTAGATTTGAGCCAATCAGCTATCATAGAAATAGGGGAAAATGCCTTTTATCAAACAACTAGATTACAATCCATTACTTTTCCAAGTTGTTTATTAACAATATATCCAAATGCCTTTGCTTACACTGCCCTAGGATCCATATCTTTCGGCCCTAATGTAAAGAATATGGACGGATATTCGTTAAATCAAGCCCTAAATTTAAATATTATTACTGTTGACAGTAATAATCCAAATTTTTGTTCAGTAAACAATTATTTATTTTCGAAAAATAAAGATACTCTATATAAAGTGCCAAATAACTTCGACCTCAATAATATTCCAAATAAAGAAAACATTATTCATCTTGAAAAATTTGCATTTGCAGGTTCATTCATACAAGAGTTTATTGGATGGCCAAATTTAAGAATATTGGAAATTGCATCTTTCCATGCAGCATTAAAGCTGAAAACAATTGATATTTCTATGACGAATGTTACTGAAATACCATATAGATGCTTTTGGAATTCATTTGATCTTGAAAAAATACTATTGCCTAATTCGGTAACAAAAATTCAAACCGAAGCATTTGAAAATCTTTATAAAATAAAGTCTATATATATTCCAGCTAATGTAACAGCAATTGAAGATAAAGCATTTGTGAAATTACCGAAATTATGTATTTTAGCATTTTTTGGTGAAACACGCTTTGCTAGTCGAATACTTTTCGAAAACTGTCCAGCTCTTCAAAAAATCAGAGTTGTTCCTTCCTATCCATCAAATACTTTTGGCTCAGTCAATATTATTCGAAATTCATATTTATTAGGCATAAGTGACATAGTTTGCCAATCTGTTTGCAATAGAAATTACTTCATGTCAATTTCATTGCATTTAATTGCTATTGGTTTGCTCTAAACACTTTAATTATATTCTCTATTTTTTATTGTTTTTATTTTAGATAGCTTCAAAATATTAAAGTATATTCTAAGATAATATGATACTTTTATTTTTTATTTTTTAATAATATTATGTAGGTTTATGTTTATTATTAAAAGCGGCAATTTCAGAAGGAGTTTTGTTTTCATTATCTTTTGCATTAATATCTGCGCCATGAGATTTAAGAAGTTCGAAACATTCTTCATTATCTGATTCTGCCGAATAATGAAGTGGAGTTTTTCCACTATTATCTTTAATATTGAGATCTGCGCCGTGAGAAATAAGAAGTTTTGCAATTTCATTCAAATGGTTTCTGATAGCGATATGAAGAGGGGTTCTACCATTAATATCTTTTGAATTGAGATCAGATCCATTAGAAATAAGTAGTTCGGATATATTCTTAAAATATATATTTCTTAATGAAATATGAAGCGGGGTATTACACTCGTTATCCTTGATATTGACATCTGCACCATATTCAATTAAAAGCTTTACATTGTTTTTGTTATTATGATCTGTAGCATGATGAAGAGCTGTTTGACCAGAATTATCTTTTATATTAACATCTGCACCATTTTTAAAAAGGAGTTCTATTGTTCTATCTCCATTGCTGGATCTTGCTGCATAATGAAGTGGAGACGTTCCATACTTATCTTTTGAATTAACATCTAGTCCATGTGAAATTAAAAGTTCGGTCAATTCGTAACGTGAATCATATTGTGATGAGATATGAAGAGCAGTTCGATCATCAGAATCTTTGGCATTAATGTCAATGCCATGAGAAATAAGGAGTTCTAGAATTTCTTTATCTACATTATTATCAACTGCAATATGGAGAGCTGTGTTTCCGAATTTATCTTGTACATTAACTTTAGCCCGATGAGATAATAGTAATTCTATAATTTCTTTAGAACAATCAATATTGAGTGCAATAATGAGAGCTGTTCTTCCATATCTATCTTTGAAATTAACATTTATACCATGTGAGATAAAATGCTTTATTGCAGATTTATATCCATGTTCAACTGCATGATGGAAAGCTGTTTCTCCGGATTTGTTTTTTATATTGGTTTTTGCACCATGAGATATAAGCATTTCTACAATATGATCATGTATTTCTGTTGCATAATGAAGAGCAGTATTTCCATTCACATCTTTGATATCCAAATTTGCTCCATGTGTAATAAGAAATTCCGATAATTCTGTGTACATATTTTCTACGGCAATATGCAGGGCTGTTCTCCCATTTCGATCAATTTCATCAATTTTGATTCCATGCGAAATTAAAATTTCGGCTGCTTCAAGGCTAGTTTTCTCAGCAGCAATATGTAAGGCTGTATATCCTTCCATATATGTTGCATTTAAATTTGCACCATGTGTTAATATCTCTTCTAATATATTTTTTTGATTCTGTTTTGTTGCAATATAGAGAGCATCTCTTCCTTTTAAATCTTTTCTATTAACTTTTGCACCATGGGCAATTAGAGTTTTTGCTGTGTCTATATTATGATGTTTAAGTGCAACAAGGAGAGGAGTTCTCTGTTTTTTATCTGTTGCATCAATGGAAGCATTATGAGATAATAGAATTTCTAATATTTCTTGAGAATCCCAGAATGCGGCGCGGTGAAGAGGAGTTTCACCTTTTGAATTTTGTGCATTAACATTTGCATCATGCAAAAGTAGGAATTCAACTGCTTCTTTACAATTGTTTTGTGAAGCTAAATGTAGTGCTGTCATTCCTTCTTCATTACAGCTATTTATATATTTTTGATAGTTAATAGATTGATTGAATATCAGCTCGCATATTTCTTTATTATTATATGCAGCTGCATACTGGAGAAAAGAACCAAAATTACAAAAATTTGAAGAACGAGTAATTCTCATTGATCCGAATATTTCATTTTTGAGAATGTTGAATGTTTGTGGAAATGCAGCACACCATGGAATTATTAAATTTTTGTCTTTTTCATACAGAAGAAATACTGCTTTCAAGTTTTGTGATTTGATAATGGCATTATATTCAAGAAATTTATCTTCAAATAAATCTCTTTCAAATATAAATTCAAGAAATTTGTTACAATGAGATTCAACAATGTATTGAAAGCATTCCTTGTCAATTTCAGTGTATTTCAAGCATTCATTGATTATATCAGTATTTCTACCAATAAATGAGAATCGAAGACATTTATCTGTGATTCTGAAATTTAAATTTGAAATCAAGAAATTGAAGATATTTACAGATCCATAGTAGCAACAAGCTTCAATAAGATTAAGATAATACTTTCCAGGAATAGGAGTAGTAAAAATTATGTATTTTAATGAACTTTCTGCGACGAATTCTCTGAATTTTTCAATTTGATCGTGCATAACAATGTATTGAATATCATCTTCTTTTGGAAAATTGACTGGATATTCAAATTGATAGACATTATCATCATTAATAGTGAACCTCAAAAACATAAATTTTGCATTGAAAATATCTGATTTTTTAGAGTTTAATGGAGTGATTGAAAATTTCGAAAAGATGTAGTTAAGAATTCTGACATAAAGATTAACAGCTCGATAATTGTAAGTGATAGCTTTGAATAAACTCATAATAAGATCAGAAATATTCATTCTGTATTTGGAAATTAAGACAGTAGTTATCAAATTTAGAATTTCTTGATCAGATTCGGTCGATGCTAAGTGAAAAATCTTATCATAAGTCTCAATAAACTCATCGTATTGTTTGAAAAACTCCTGATTCATTAGATTGATTGTTGGAAAGTAGTGCCAAATGTCACTTTTTATTTAAATTTCAATCATTGAAAAATCAAAGAGACATAAAATATTTTAATAACATCTGGAAATGTTTTGTGAACTAATATTTAAATTCATAACCACTAGTCTTGGAAAAAAATACAAAAAAATGAAGTTCTCAATACTAAAAAAAAACATATTAAAAACGACGTTGGATAGGGGAATTGGCCAAGTATGATATTAAAAATATCAGTCACTTCAAATTGTTTTGGGCATTACATATTCATTAAACAATTTGAATTGATGAGTATTTCTTTATTCGATGAAGTTGACCAATTTGAAGAAACGGCCAGCAGAAAATTAGTCAACTTCATCGAATAAAGAAAATGTGCAAATATTGCTGCATTCTCGAAGGACTTAAATCGATTGAAGGTTGTGTCATACGTTCATGAGTGTACCCTTTAAAAAAATTATTGAAAGATTCACTAAATTTCATTTCAAGTTCTAAGATAAAAAAAATTAAAAAAAAATAAATAAATAATTTAAACATGAATAGATTTCTGTAATTTGGCGACTGCCTGAGCAACTTCAGCTTTGTTCTGAGGAATTATATATGAAGACAAGATTTCGTTCAATTCCGCGTGTAAGTTCTGATGAACCGAAGCCTGATTGATAATACTCAAAAAGATATCAGGAGGAGGTGGAGAGTGGTTTAACTTTCCAATTATATGTTTTGCTGAATTGCAGTTCATGCATGCGCAAACTGCAACTGTTCCTGCAATGGAATCAACATCCCATTGGCTTGTAATTATATCAAGAATGTCTATTGGTATTTCGCCACTTGTTCTTGCGAATTTTCCCATTGCAACTAAACTTGCGTGTTTCGCTGTCGAATTTCTTGATTGCAAACAAACTCTCAGTGAATCAACATCTAAATCCTTGCAATCTGTCTTAGAAACAACAAATCTTATAGCAGCGGTAGCAAGTAATGGATCATTAGAGCTGAATGAGTGTTTGCATCTCTTCAAAATGTCATTCATCATTTCTTGTGGAATTGGCATTCGACATGCAAGTTCAAGACACAATTTCAAATGATAATCTTTGATAACGGCAAGTGTAGCGTTTCCTGCACATCCGTTCTTGCATGCTGTGACAATAAGATCTTCATCTGAAATGTTGTTTCCCGTAGGAATTATAGAAACACATTGAGAAGCAACGTCCAATGGAACTGAACCACTTGGAAGTTCTCTGAGTTCTTTCGCTGCTTGGCTCATCATTCTGCTCTTCAAGAATGCACACAAACAACGAGAATACATATGAAGATTGTCGTCTTCTTTAAGATTATGCAATGTTGTCCATGCTTGGTCATATGCTTCTGGGGAAACAACTTGTTTATTCAATGCATCAACTAATGCGGACAATGTGTCATTTTTAAGACTTTTTGAGTTCAAACTTGTAACATTCACTGGTAATCCTAATTGATCTTCAGCCATTGTCTGCTTGAGATAGTCGATTGTCTTTTGAGATGTTCCTGGAAACATAAAACCGTTTTTGAATCGGTTTAAAATTTCAGAAAATGTTGGTCTTTGATTTGGATCTCTATCCCAACATTGTTTGATCAAATTGACTATATCTGGATGTGTTCCTTCTGGAATTGGAGGTCTGAAGTCTGAGGACACAACTTTTGCGATGATTTGTGGAGAATCAAGATCTCTGTAAGGAACTGCTTGTGCAGTGATTTCCCAGAGGACAATTCCATATGAATAGACGTCAATCATGTGGTTGTAGCTGCTCTGGTTGTCAAGAAGCTCTGGAGCCATCCAGTGAGGTGTTCCGACGTTTTTTGTCATGACATCGGTGTCATCCGCAACTCTTGAGTATCCGAAATCGCAGATTTTCGCACGACCGTTGTCGTCAAGTAATACATTAGGGCTTTTGAGGTCCCTGTGGATGATATGACGAGAATGTAAATAATTCATTCCTCTGGCTATGTCGAATGCGATTGATGTCTTCTTGGAAGCACTAATAGGCTTTTTGGTACGTAGTAATGCATAAAGTGAGCCGCCATTGATCCATTCTGTGACAATACAAAATGGAGCGGTATCTGTTGCGCCAACGAAGTGTACGAGACATGGATGCTCTGCAGATGCAAGAATTGAGACTTCTCGTTGGAAAACACGGAGCTTTCCGCCTTTTAATTTGTGATATTTTAGCTTTTTAATTGCAACTTGTTTGTCGTGCTTAAAGAAGCCTTTGTAAACTGTCGATGATGCACCTTCGCCAATTTGCTGCTTTTCTTCGAGATCTTCGTGGTTTACACGCCAAGATCTGTATGTGACGGGTATCGGAGAAAAAACATTGTAATTTGGAAGTTGCGTGTCGTCCTTATATTCCTTTAAAAACTGATCTATTGACTTTAAACGTTTATGCATTAAAGGCACAACTTGATCTCCTTCTTTTGCCGCTTCTATGTATTGTTGAAAAGATGACGTAATAGCTTTCATATCTAATATGTGGTATTGAAGCCATTCATGTGCTTCTGGATTAAATGCTCCGCAACCAACCTGATCTAAAATTTTTGAGATGTTTCTGAGGCGTCCAGCGATATTGCATAATTCTGAGGGTATCATAGTACTACTGTTATCAAGTGCTGTATGTGCCCATGTGCTCAATAAATTCTGTGAAAATAATGACTGATATTCTCTCGCAATTTGTATAATTTGTTGTAATACTTCGAGTTGTTCGTCAGTTAATACTTTATCAAGAGGTTGTTTTGAAAGAGAATCGAGAAATTGTGCTAATTGTGACAAAGCCAAACGAAAAACCTTTCTATTTGCGACTGTTTGGAGAGAAAATTGCTCAAGCTCGCTAATAATGTGCTTAATCTCATAAGCAGCATCCTTTAGCGTAACTTCCTCATCCATTTAATTTTTCTCTCGATTTTTTTACAAAAAAAATTATGAAAAATCAAAATTGCCAAATTGAAATTTCCAAATAAAGATAGTAATAATCAGTCTCACCATGGATTGGTATTTCCGATTAAATTAATATAATGGAATGAGGAGTTTTTTTCAGATCGCTATTGTCCGTCATAAGATCCTTCAGCTCCTAAGTGATAAAGTATATTGTTTGTTGTTATTAAAGTTGTTTCTCTTGGTGAACCCAGAATTTAAGGTATAAAAATCAGATCACATGGTGTAAACCACATATTAACTATTTTATTTATGATAAATTAAAACACATAGGAGCAATATGTTTAAATTATTCATATAAATCGTATAGATATATAAAAATAAATTGAATAAAAAATTTATGATGCATAGGATAGTAGTTTAAAGAAAGATTATGCTAAAATTCGAAGTTTAGTCATTAAAAACTTGGGAGTAATCTTTTATAAATTGGAATCAAGGTAAATATCTCAACGAAATCTCAAAAAGCACTATGTTAATTAAGAATATTCATACAAAAATACAAACAAAATTTTATTATAATATAAATAAATTACGCACTTAATCTACGCTTTCTGTATGGAACATCGAATGCACCAAAAGTTGCTCCTTGGTCCAATTCTGCATCTGTTCCAGTCTGGAATGCGTAGAATCTTTCGAAGTCTTCTAAGAAGTTCTTCTTAACAAACAAAACAGGAGAAACATCCGGATATTTCTCATCCAAATTATTTGTGTTAACTTTTCCATCTTTTGGAGCCAATTTAGAGACTCTTTCGATTGGTAATTCTGGGTAGATATGTTTCTGGTCCCAGAAAGGTTTGAGATTCGGAAGATAATCTGACATTTCGAATGTTTTTCTTGGAGTTTCACTTTCTTTAAATCCTCCATCTCCAAAACTGAAATCGATACCATTATCTTCCCATTTCCTTGGTTTTCTTTTGAGTTCGGTTGTGATTGGTGGTGGCTGATCTTTCTGTAATGTAACAGAAGGATTCTTCTTTATTAATGTCGATTTCTCTGGTTTTTCTTCAACTGTTTCTTCGATTTCTTCTTTCTCTTCTTTTTCAGGTTTATTTTTATCTTTTTCATATTTAGGTTTTTCTTCTTTCTTAGGAGCAGGTTTTCTACTATACATTGCTTTCTTAACCATTTCATTCTGTTCTCTAGCTTTTGGAATAACATATTTCTTTGGATCCATGTTTTGAACTTTATGACCAATTGTTGATTGCAATTTTTTCTTATCAAATCTATTGATTTTATTATCAGGAAGTTTGTTATTTGTTTGTTTTTCTTTCCTTTTAACTTGAACAGTTTGTTGTTTTTCATGTTGTTTTCTTGTGGAAGAAATAACTTCTTGTTCATTAAAGTTGTTGAAGTTATTTGCATCCATATCAGGTCTTTCCAAAACAACATCTTTCTTTGCTTTCTGGTTTTGCAATGAAGGTTTTGTTGTAATAACAATAGGTGGTTCATTTTTATTGTCTTTTGTAACTTCAACAGGTTTAATTAATGTTCCTTCTTGTTTTGGTGGTTTATCATCACGTGGTGTTGTTGGTAATTTGGAAGGGATAGTAAATTCAGGGCGAATTAAAACAGTTTCGTCATTTTCTTTGTTGTTTTCGAAAACAATTTTCTTTTGTGAATTCGATTTCGAAACAACATGAGAAGGAATTGAAGAAGTTTTAGGTTCAACGTTTATAGGAATTGGAGCTGAGTTCATCATCTTACTGAATCTTGAAACAGTCTTCCTTTTCATAGGATAGTAGTTCTTTTTCTTCTTTTGTTGTTCTTGTGGTTTTTCTTGTTCTTTTTCTTCTTCAGCTTCATTTTGATTTTCTTCTTCGTTTTCAATGATTTCTGTTGCTTCTTCATCTTTCTTGATAGGAATATTCGGTCTAGGAACAGGTCTTGCTGATTTAGAAAGCTGGCTTTCACGCATTGCCAGTCTTCTTGCTTCTTTTTGTTGTTTTTCTTCTTCCAATCTCTTCATTTTTTCTTCTTCTGACTCAAATTTCATTGAAAAACCTCTTGGATCGAAATAAGGCAAAGAGTTCAGCGTTGTTTGGTCATCGAACAAAATCTTTGATCCCAAAGGCGGAGCAATGAATGCTTTGTTCAATGTTGCAGTTGGTGTTGTTGATTTTAACTCTCTTTTCTCAGTGGAAATCATCATCCATCTTCCTGCTTGTGTCGGAAACATCAGTGATGGATCTTCTATGTTTTGTGTCGTTATATCATCATTGTAAGTGATCTCTGCCCATTTGTTTTTATTGTTATCATTAATAACTAATGTTTGTGTTGACAGTTTTTGAGATCTTGATGATAATTCGGAGTTGTTTAATGTTGTTCTTGACTTCGTTGAGTTGTTTATTTCTTTTTGCAACTCTGACAATGCTTTCGGCTTCTGAACATCTTTATAACTGAAATTGGTCAATGTCAAATCAAGTCCACGTGGTCTTTCCTGTGTGTTTCTTGAGGTTAATGATGTTTGTGGTCGTTTCTTTTTTGTCACTTTTGGTTTCTTTTTGTCTTTGTTGTTTCCAAGGATTCTTTTGATTTCTTCTTCGTTTTTGGCTGTTGCCTCTTCGAGAGTGAGCTTTGGTCGTTGCTGAGGAAGCTTGTCGTAAGTGATTTTTGATGCAATTCTGCTATCAATTAAATTAAATTCGTCTGTGTTCTTGTATTTGCGAACATTCATGACGAAATCCTCATCACTTGCGTTATTTTTGCTATCCTTGAGGTTTGTGAACGGCATTTGTATCTCTTCGTCTTCACTTGATGAATGATGAACTGGAGCAACGACAACCTGCTCTTCTTCTTTGACTTCTTCAACAACAGGTGGATCAGGAATATCTGTGGTAAGCTGGTAACAGTGAACATGTTCTCCAAAGGCCATAAAAACTTTGAGATTTTCCTCTTTATAGGTAAATAAGACACTTGAAAGAGGAGCTGCATCTGTAAAATAATCAGAGGCCATTGTCATGTAATATTTTGTTTCAAACATAAAGAGTTGTCCATCACTGAAGCAACATGCGCAAATTAAATTGTCTGCACACATAAAAATCTCTTTTGTACTGGAGCATCCTGGAGTTAAGATGTGATGGATGTTGATATGATATGTAGATTCTTGTTCTTCGTATTCAATATTCGCAATAATAATTTCTCCTGTTGTTGTACCAACAATAAGAGTTAGATCTTGTGTTACAATGAAAGTAGATATCAGTTGATTACCAGATGTCGATAATTGGCTAACTGGAATGAAACTATATCCGTTAGATTTGTAACAACTCACTGTATTCTCAGATGCAATGAATGCAAGTTTATGTTTTGGAACAACTTGTATTTTTACAGCATCTTTTTTGTTTAATTTCTGATCAATAACGTTCAAACCGCATCTTGTACACCAAACATGGACAGAACCGGATTTTGACATCGCAACAACGTAATCTTGGTCTTGATATGTCCTATCCTGGTTAACACCGCATGTCTGATGGTTGGAATTGAACATTCCTTGGCAAGAATCCATGCATAAAATGGAATCATCCAAATCAACGGTCTCTATCATAAAGCCTTCGAATGTTTGTACATCAATTAGCTTAAGAGAACCATTTTTGTGCCCTGTAATCAATGAATCACTGCATTGACATAAACAAAGTGTATCACTCGCAGTAGAACGCTTTGTTTTGGTCTTAGGAATCATGTCCAAGTCAACTGTATCAGGATTCTCCTGATCAGGAATGGCAGTTATCAATAAATTGTTCTCACAAATGCAAATAATTTTTTTGAGATCGGCAACATATGCCATATTGATGATAGGATAATTGGATGTGATGTAATCTTCTGGAACAAAGCCTATTGTAACACAATCCAATTGATTTTTGTAAGATGTTAAACACATGTAGCCTTCTTCTCCATTTAGAAGCGGAATTGTATCAAGTTTGACAATAACAACTTCATCATAACTCTTTTGTCTAGCACTATCTGATAAATCTAAAGAACTTAATGGATATTCGTTTCCAATTCTAAATAAACGAATAGTTCTATCAGCAGAGTTTGTAATAATGAATCTGTCTTTGACTCTGAATGATGTATAGCCTAAGTAGAATGAAGGAACAGTAAAATATAATTTGCAAACTGATATCTGAACATTCCATAATTTAACTGTACCATCCAATGCGGATGTTACAATTAAATTAGATTCTGGTATAACTGCAACTTGACATAATTTAAATTTATCGTGTAAATCTGGTAAACGAAATTTAAAAATTCCTGTTCCTAATTCCCATGCATACAAAGTTGTATTAGCAATACCGTAAAGTGTTTGAGTGAAATTATCATGAGCAAGCGAAACAATCCAATCTTCTGTTGATCTGATTTCAAAAACGAGCGTCCATTTAGCTATAAAATCTGCAATATGTGCTTTACATGTTAAATGATAGCATTTTAACCAACCATTTGTTCCTGCTATGTATAAATTTGCTGTTTCTGGCACCCAATGTAGCGCAAGGATCGCCATTCCACAATCAAAGTTTGCTTGTGGGATTTCATTTAAATTTTCATCGAATGCTTTAATTTGTTTTTGTTGATACGCGAGTAAGTAAAGAGAATCGAATCTATAGATATTAACACGTGCATATATGCATTCACTGAATGCATTTATTTGATGATATTCATAAGATTTTAAGATTCTTTTCGTTTCTAAATTAATTAATCTCAAAATCGCTCCATCATAAATAACAGCCATTGGTTTCCCGTCTGATTCTGCAAGACACCACATCTTGACAGGGTATTTATAGTCATGATGATAGTATTTATTTATGAAAGAGCGCATCGAAAAAAAGTTCGTTTTTTAATTTCGATTTTATGTTTCTTATGGATAGATAAGTACTTAAAACTGCACACTCTAAATATGGTGATTTTGATGTTGAAAGATGAATGATCAAAATATTTTTTAACAAATTTATGGTTGTTGAGATTCTTACTATAATATTTATATATTTTAGGTTGAGTAACTCTGTAATATCAAAGGTACATTCACTATTTTTTGACAAAATTTTAAATTTTCATGGGGTTGTAAATCTTATAATAACTAGATGAATAAGGAATGAATCCCAGTATAATGTGCATCATTATATTAAACACTATATGTAAGGCTAATGATTCTATTAACACTTATGAAGATCTATAGTATTTGAGCAGATAAATTTGATAATTTCCAAAACTCTTATATTTCAAAATTAAAGTGTGCGAATGCATTTAAATGAGAGCAAAAAGAGATTGATGCTGTTAAAACTAGGTGTTAATTTGCAATTATTTCGCATCACAAGAACTACCCAGTAAATTCGGCTATCTTTCTTTGCAATTATTCTCCATTATACATATAATATAATGGTTAGAGTTTGAAGAAAAGTTACTAGAGAATTATTGACTTTTGAAATAATGCAGAATTTTACTTGAAGAAATCATTAATTTATGAGTTCCAAATTGCTAAGCATGACGAAGGATCATTAAATTTGCTACAATTAAATACACTTATTGCAGAATTAAGATTTTTGAAATTAAAAGTTTGAAATATTGCCTTTTTGAATAAAAATTTAAATTTTATTATATAATCATGATAATATCTTATAGAAATTAAAAGAAAATATTTTAAACCATTCAAATATTTTGAATGTCTTATCAATTTAAAATATTAAAAGATAGCTTGATTTTATCATCATTAGTTGTTATCAAAGTTTTCTTCTTTTGATGAACAACAGTAAATGATTTGTTAATTACTTGTCTTCCTTTTTCGCAGCAAAATCGAAAGTTATGATGATAATCTTGCTGTCAATTTTGAAACTCTCTGATTTACAAGTAAGCATTCCTTTGGAAAAGCAGTCCTATTCTGTTTTCAAGATATTTTAAAGCCTCCATTTCATACAATGCGCAGATCTATTCGAAATTGCAAGAACTCTCAAGAAAAATGCAGCAGCAAAGAAGATTCCATAGTTTCTAGCATCAAAAATTTACAACCTTAATACAACAGTTAAAGAGAAGCTCGAAAAGAAAATAATTAACCATAAAGCTGGAAACCATTCGATATCTACTATTGGATCTAATAAAAAGTTAATTATAACATATTTAACATGCTATTTGTTGACTTTGTTCCATTATATTACCATATATATCTTTTTGAAATCTAAAATATTTTTACGATTTTAACCATGTGTTGTTGAAACCATATATCAATCTTAGCTAAAGTATAGTTTATGAGTCTGTCACCATCTAACATATGAATTTTCAAAAATGTCAAATATGTTCATTTTTTCTGTAGATTCAGCCATAATTTCACGTTCTTATACTATTCAACTATTATTTAATATTTTTATCGATTTAAATATATGATGAGATGCTTAGTTCTCCTGGAAATCGATTTTTAATCGCAATTTTAACTTTCCAAAAAAAATTCAAAAATAAAAATCCCTCTCAATTTTCTAAGTTTTATAACTCGCCAAATCTCTAGCCAAATTTTTTTGGCCCGTATAAATATTGTTAGGCACTATATAGGGATGCTATTTATCCTATTTTCATCCCATTTTACTGTTATCGCCTAGTGAATGTACCTTTGTAATATCACATTCATTTTTCATTTTTAATGAATGTTAATATTGAAACAATTGTTGTTGGGAATTCTAGAACAAATTGTTATATAATATGGGATGAAGATGAAGTTGTAGTAATAGATCCAGGAGATGATGGTCCTAAAATTAACAAAGTTATCAAATCTCACGTAAAAGAACCAATAGTCAAAATTTTAGTTACAAATGGACTTGCTGGAAGTATTGGAGCTATTCCATATCTTCTTGAAAAGTATACCAAAGCTGAAGTTTTTGCTGGTCGCGCAGAAAATTTATTTTTATTTGATTCAAACGCTAATCTTTCGATTCACATGGGAATTAATATTGACTTAACTCACTACTCAAGCAATATTAAAAACATTGCATCTGGAGACGAAGTTTCTGCAGGAAAATATCATTTTCGTGTTATGGAAACGCCAGGCATATCACCTGGTAGCGTCATATATATACTTGATGATGAAGAAATCGTGTTTACTGGAATGACAATAATGAAAGGAATTGTTGGTCCAACTTGTTTTCCTTATGGCGATGCTGGAAAGCTTTATACATCAATTAAGGAGCGTATATTAGTTTTGCCAAAGAACTTTGCAATTTATCCAGGATATGGACCTAAATCTAAAATTAGCGAGGAAGCTTCTACAAATCCATATGTCTTAACCATGCAAAAGAGCGAAAATGAAATGTAAGGACTTATGTAAATGTGTGTTTGTTTTTTTGTAAATATTATTTTTATAATATTTGATGCATTATAAAAAGAGATCACAAAACAATTCTTTGGTAGTATTGTCATAATATTTATATAATTATACAAACAAGATTTGAAAATATAAATTAATATCATTCATTCTTTTTGATTATATCATAAATTTGTATAAGTCTGGCTTCAAAGTCTTGGTCTAACGGTGTTGTGCATTTTGGGCAGATTTTATTCATTAAAAATCTATGTGCATTGCAAATTTTCGCAATACAGCTTGCATGGAACAAGCAGCCGCAGCATGGCATTGTAACGCATATTTCTGTAGGTTTAATTGATGATTGACAAGCAATACATATTCTTTCTCCTTTCTCAGGCTCTTCTTGATTTCCCAAGTCAGGAACTGTGTATGCTGGATCTCCTATCTCATCTATTTTCTTTCTAATGCTTTTTAATCTTTCAATAGCTATAGATTCATAATCTTCTCCAAGTTTATCAGTCATGATTTGAAAAAAGGTGACAAATTTGCTATCAAGGGAAATACAATTCTTATATGTAGGAGTTTCAAGAATCATGATATTTGATAAAATGCTTTGAAAGGATATGTAATGTGCTATGTCCGCTTTAATATCTTGGACAACTCATCAAAAGATAAGGTTTAGTGCATATTGATTCGTCATGAAAGCATGTATAGTTGCTAAAGAAATATTATATTATACGTGGATTCATATTGCCGCATGCTATTATGCCGCAATTCGAACTGAAAATTATCCAGCTAGGTTAACGATAGGTCTTATTTGGTTGCAAATTGCCCCAAATTTACAAAAAAAATCATAAATTTATAACACGAAATTGAGACGAAGTATACTTCGTTAAGAAAAATGGTGCTGGATTCAAGACATTTGACCACTTTGCTGGCGCTAATGTTGATCGCATCAATGAATGTATCGCTAAATACAAATAAAAATATCATGTATTCTTTTTGTAATCATAATTCTACTTTAATTTTTCTAATATTTCGTTTGCGCATAGTTTTGTTACATTTTTTGGATCTAAATCAAAAAAGAAAGTTTAATTTCGTTTGTATTGTGCTGATTATAATAGAGAACGAAATGAAAATAACTTCATTGAAATTATACTTTTGGAATATCTGTATTGCTTCTCAACAATCAAATTGTTACAAAATCAATCCTTATCCAATTAATTTTGCAATTCATTTTGTTGAAATACTAACTATATTGAGCATTGGGAATTGAATCCAGACTAGATCATAACTCTGAAAATAATTTCAAAAATCCAATCTAAGAAAAATTACCAAATAATAAAAGCGCATAAAAATAGGTCATTAGAATATTAAATTCATTTTTTGAAGATGTCTTTTAGTGCAGCAAGTCGTAATCTATCTATTTATGTAGTTGAACATGTACTGTCATGTGAATATGTATCAATATTTCTCAATCGAATTTATCTTTCTTTTTCCTTTTTTCAAAACGTGACACTAAATATGATATTGTTAATTAACACTATAAGAATGATTTTAACATTAGTGATACTCATAATACCTTAAATTCAATTGAAAATGTTGAAATTTTGAAATATTTTTTTTAATTTGGATATAAAAAATATGTTTTTGATTTAATAAATAATCTCTATAAATATATTTTTATTCATCTTCTTCTTCATCCTCTTCTGAATCACTGAAGTCATCAGAGATATCAGGATCTCTCATATCTGTCGCTTTCTTCATTATCTGTTCAACATTTTCTTCTTCCTCAACTTCCTCTTCCTCCTTTCTCCTCTTTTCAGCCTCTTCCTCTTCAAGAGTCTTTGGTTCGACCGCTGCAATGTCGAGTGTGTAAGTATTTTGTTCGTTAAGTTGAGCAAGTGCCAATCTGTTGGCCTTTTCCTTCTTTTCTTTGTCAAGACGACGCTTTTCGAGCTGTGTCTTAAGACGATCTTCTGATTCTTTCTTGTTTTGTCTGATAAGGGCCGATTTGATCTTTCTGAGGGCCTTCTTCTGCTTCTGCTCGTCTGTCCTCTCCTTTGGCTTGGAAGTAAGCATTGGTTCGAGCATTTGAATCATTGGAGGGTAAACACGGCGACGAAGATAAGCTGCGATACGATCGTCACGAATCTTAGATGCTGCTGTATAAACTGGCTCCATATCTTTGCCTTTTATTAAATATACGACAAGTTCTGGATAAATTTCTCTAACACTCTTGTATTGTTGAAGATCTGTAAAGTATTTGATTGCTACGCTTCTAGATTTAGGAGAAAGTTTGAATTCAAGAGGATCTTTTTCAGATAAAACTTTTGTAAGGAGGCAAACAGCTCCTGATGGATAATATTCACGATCCGCAGAATTTAAATGAAGAATAAGAGACATAATACGAAATTGCTCAAATAATTGTTCTTCATTTCTTGGAAATTCGTGTGACAATACATAATCAGCAAGAATTCGTAGACGAACTTCTTTAGGTGTTCCTGATGAGATGTTTAATGCGAATAAAAATAGTGAAGATTTTGGTGATGAAAACCATTTTCCGTTTGTAGCGCATTCTGCGAAATAAGTAATAACAGAATCTACCCAAAGTAAGGAATCCTCTTGCAGCATGAACGCAATTTGTGATGCAAAACTGCAAGCTTTGGATCTTCTTTGGTCATTTTGTTGGCAAACGATTGCAAGAGCATCAAGTGCTGATTTTGCATCTGTTATCTTCTTTTTAGTTAAATTTCCTATCTTGCCGAATAGACTAGACACTGAATTATCTTTCGGTGTCCGCTTCTCCATTCTTGGGGAACGATATCCAAGACACTTTTTTACCCAAGATTTTGAAATAAAATTTTGAATCTAGTTACAGCCTTTATTGGTGTTTTCGACACGCTTTAAAGTTTATCATTAATATATTCATCTGATTTCAAATATATCTTGATTATTTCAATAAATTTGTTCAAAATTATAAGAAAATAATATGATTTTGCTATTAACAACATAATGAGTTTGATACTCATATATATGTAAGTATAATGGAGCACTCAGAACTCAAATTTGAAGCAATTACTGAGTAGGGGTAATTTTAGCTAAAAGTGACACACCCGTGAAGGGTGTGATTACCGATCGGTAATTTCGACAGTTTAGAATTTAAAATTTTTTATGGAACTGTTGCGAGTTTCATAAAGAATTTAAGGAATATAAGCAAAGATTTGAATCAAAATCTTAGACCTAAGCCGCTCGATTCGCTCGCGGCTTCCGCGAATTACAGATCAGCAAAGATTTGAATCAAAATCTTCGAACTAAGCCGATCGCTTCGCTCGCGGCTTTCTTTATTATTTTAAATTTGCATATTTCCATCAAAAGTTCATAAGGTAAAAAATTTCGTTTATTTTTACTAAGAAAAAAAAGGTTTTTGATAATAAATTTATTTTATTTCGAAAAAGTAGCAATAATCGTAAAAGGGTATTGATAGGCTTGCTAAAGTAACTAATTTTAGCTGTCAAATACTTTTGTATTTTGAAGTAAATTAGTATAAATTTGTTTTTACTTTTATTTCGAAAAAGTAGCAATAATCGTAAAAGGGTATTGATAGGCTTGCTAAAGTAACTAATTTTAGCTGTCAAATACTTTTGTATTTTGAAGTAAATTAGTATAAATTTGATATTATTTTAACTCCCTTTGAAAACCTCCTCAATTTTCCATACAGAGGGAACGGGAATAGCATCCAATATTCCCTGAGAATGGTTGCGCATTCTCAGTTCCCTCTATATTTCGAACGAAGCTCTCATCAGTCTTTTTTTTTAATACTAAACGTTTTTTTCCCCTGTCACTTTTAGCTAAAATTTGGTTTTGCCGTGTAACGATTCCAATGCTATCATTGAAAATAATATGAGATTGAAATAATCTGAACCTAGTGAAAGAAAAAATGATCGGTATGGATTTTAAATACAATCTGACATTTTTCGTTCTCAATTTTCAAATTTAAAAAATATGGGAAAGTGGAGTTGCCCAATTTGCAATAAGACATTATCTTCACCAGTAATTGCTGGCTGTGGACATACTTTTTGCTGGAGGTGTTTATGTAAACATATGGAACACCAGAACAATTGTCCAGTTTGCAAACAATATCTTGACTACTCAACATTCACAGCTATAAAAGGTATTGGCAAAGAAGATCAGGATTTAGAATCACTTCCACCTTTACCGCAAAGTCATAATGATGATTTTTCTTATACCTCAAAACCGCCACGTGTAAATCCAAATCCAGAACCAGATCTGAATGCTGGTAACAATTTCGGTAATCCAACAAACCGTCAAGAGTTTACAACACCTGAAGGAAACACAATTATTCATGAAGAGTATAATAATCCTGATGGTAGCATAACAATTCGCGAGGAAACTATTACTCCTGATGGTCAAAGAACTGTCCATCAGGAAATCACTAATCCATATGGTGGAAGAACTTTTCAACGCCAATTTGGAACTCCTCAAAGAGATTTTCAGCCCAGAACAGCTAGAACAGAATTTAATGGTTATCCAGGAACGTTTGAAGTCTTTACAAACGCCTTTACAAATAATCCACATCAAACCCGCCGCCAAGTACGAACAAATACAAGGAATACAGTTAATGGTACTGCGCCTCTAATACGATTTTTAGGCTCAATTGTGTTTTTCATACTCATGCAATTTGTTTTTAGATATTTATAATATTTTTACGCCATAATTTGTTTTTATTTTCCAGTTATTTTTATAAAAATTTAAGTATTCATTTTACTAATTCTCTTTTCTTTTTCAATGCACAATTTTCACTCATCTTTTCAATGCTTGTCTTCAAATGACAAAGCATTATATTGCGTTACTTGAGTGGGGGAAAATTTCACTAATATGCTTGAGAGATTTCTTTGAGATATGAATTCGAAAAATCAAAGCTCTAGAGAAATCATATTCTGAAGAAATTTTAGTTTTACCTATTTGAGTGCTTTTTGTTTTATGTATTCATCTTTAATGAATCCCTAAATTCCAAATTTTTTATCTTTGGATCTGGGTTTATCAAAATTCTAGATTGATAAATGATGACAGTGATTAAAACTATGAATATAACTAAAAGAAATTTCTGATTAAAATCAAATTCTCTGGGATTTCAAAACGGTTTTGTCAAGTGGTCGTCCTTTTCTTTTCATGAAATACGTTGCTGCATACCTTCTTGCTATCGCCGGCGGAAACAAGACACCATCAGCTGCTGATGTTAAGGCCATCCTTGAATCAGTCGGCGCAGCTGTCGATGAGCAGAAGCTCAATCACGTCATTGCCAAATTCGAAGGCAAGAACATCGAAGAACTCATCGAAGAGGGTGCTAAGAAGATGATCTCCACAGGTGCTGCCGTTGCCGCCGCCCCAGCCGCTGGTGCCGCCGGTGCTGCCGCCGAAGAGGCTCCAAAGGAGGAAGCTAAGGAGGAAGAGCCAGCAGCTCCACTTGATCTTGGTGATATGTTCGATTTTTAAGCAGAAATCGATACTACAATATACAATAAACTCCTACTAAATTCTAAAATATCATCAAAATTTTTTACATGACCAATATCTTCAAATTTATTTTTAAATTTTTTTCAAATCATTATTTCGTTTCCCCAAAGGATTTTTTTCACTCTTTTTTTGAAGTGATATTGAGCCAAAACTTAAAACTCTTTTTTATGGTTCTATTCTATTAAAATCACTTTTATATCAACAACATAGTATTACTTGAGTGCTAAATTTTAATTATATGAAGTGATATCTTTTCGAAAATATATGATATGAATAAGATTATAATTTAAGTATAGAATATTTCATTATTTAAAATAACAATACTTTTTATTAATAATAGACAATATATATATGAGATAATAATTTTACATTTTGTATTGGAAATAATCTGCTAGAGTACGGATCGTATCTAAAGGTAAATCGTTGAGATCTATTTCTCTTGTTGCGAAATTGACGCGTGGTGATTTCATTCTGATGATCCATTCAATTTTTAATTTATCTGTTGGAGATTTATGATTCAAAAATTCTGCAAATTTATCGATGTTAAATTCTGTTCCTTTGTGATCGTTAATTCTTGGTGATTCTAATGACTTGAACTCTTCTAGTGATTTAATTAAACGAGCTGACGGTAAATTCCGAGATTCTTTACTTGAATTGTATGACTGATCTATATCTAGCTTGGCATAATATGCAGCATCTCTGTAATTGTTAACTATTGACGAATTTAGATTATCACTTGTTACGATTTTTTCGTTTATTGATATTAAGCATTTGTCAATGTCTTCTTTGACTTGCTCAACATCAGTATAGTATCCTTCGCTAATATTATCGAGAATTTGGCTAAAATCAACAATTGGTGGACCTTTAATAGGGAGTTTGTGAGCATTAAAGAGCTCGGAATATATTCCTTTCTTATGCAGTGCTTGTAAATATGCGTGCCAGTCAGCAAACGAGCGAGAACGTAAAATTGGTTTATTTTCAAGTTTATCGTGAGTATCATGCAAGCAGAAATGAATAAATGGCTTTGAGGCGGTAAATGTGATTTTCTGCCAACGAACAAACCTGACGCCTTTCGGTGGATTGAAAGTAAATTTCAAAGACATTTTGTAATAACAATTTCTAAATATTTTGGGGAAAATAGTTTCTCCCCCCAGAAAACATTTAAATTTCATTTATTTTGTATGTCTGCTAATTTATAATGTTATCACTATCGCTGTTGTAAGCGGAAAGTGAAGTTCATTTTGTACGATAAATGACAAAAATTTTATTGTTGAAAGAATTTTCACGACAATTGATTGCTTTAATCAACCATTTTCCATTATGATTGGGCAGACTATTATTCACAATACCCTCTAAACGAAAGTTACGTAAATCAAAGTGAAAGACTTTCTAAAGGTGATGAAAATTACTACGTTCTCGAATGCGAATTTTCCGATAACATTGAATCAGGAGCGATTCATTTTAGTACATCTAAAAATACAACTAAACTCTTAGTTGACACAACAAACTTCGTTAATTGTAGTAACTCCGGTGAAGGAGGAAGTTTATACTTCTCTCGTGAAGGTGAATGCGTCCAATATCGAATAACAAGTTACTCATCAAAAGTAACATCACAAAATACTCTAGGAGTTTACTGTTATTCAGATGTTTCAGACGAAGAATCATTCCAAAACAAAATACTTTCATCTTCAATCACTAATAGTGGAGATGAAAGTTTCTTAGGACAGTTTAGTATTTACCTAAAAAATGGAAAAATTAATTTTGAAAATTCAAATGTTTCTCAATCAAAATTATATGGAAATAGTATTTTAGGATTTTATAGTTTTAAATCTGATTCAAAAGTTTTATTTTCGATATTTTTTGATAATAAAGAGAAAACTACTGGCTTTCCTCCTTTTTATATTCAATCATCATCTTCAACAACAATTCGAATTGAGTCAACGAATTTCCAAAATAATACTGATGATATATTAATCTATACATCTTCACCTACAGTATATTTACAAAATTGTTGTTTCGCAAATAACAATATTTCTGGAAATTATTTCTATGCAAGTAATATTAATGGATGTCAAATTACAGTTGATAGTTGTTTCATTGATGAAGAAACACCAAAAACAACAGGAACAGTTACAATAAATAACAGAATAAAAGATACATCTAACAATGATAAATGTTTTAACTTTATCAAGAAAAAAGAAGAAGACATTTCAGATCTTGATGAAAATCCAAAATATATTAATTTTTCTATTTTATCTCATAATCTTATAAACATATCTAGTATAGTTTGATCAAATATGACATTCCCTTTATATAGAGATCTACCAACGCCTGAATTTTTTTCCAAAGATTCTTGCATCAAGCTGTAATGGTGTAGCAGATTACTAGGATTTTGTGAAAAAAAGAACATACAAAATAGAAAGTACATTACTATATATAGGAATTTTGTATGTACTTTTCTGCTTGAAATCAACAATACATACTCATATGTCTTTCCAAACTCCCTCTTTGCTGAGCAAGATATTTGATTCGAAGTGCCTCCGCACTGGTTTTGATATGTAAGCACTTGATTTTCAAGTGATAGAATAAGAGCATGATTGAGAAGTAATTTATATCGTTAAATAAGAATTTATGAAGATGATTCAAAATATCAAAAATGATTTTTACTAAATTTAGTTAATTTTCGATTATCATCATTAACCTCATAGTTAACATTAACCTTTGAAATCAAACTATAAATAAAAAAGGCGGAGGTTTTTGTGATATGGAAAAATGTTCGTTGCTCAATTATCTCACTATTGGATGGACTTTTATCGAGCGAAATTTTGGCTGTAAAGACAATTCTGATATTGGTAACATGGTGATAAGAACAAATAGTCAGTTTGCATGGTTTATGATGAGATAATTTCGATTTAAAAAAAAACATAAAAATTGATTTTAATGAGCGATTATATTTGAATATGCTCTCCTAATTTGAAGGAACTGGTTAAATCATGAATTGATCATGAATAATTTTTTTTTTCAAAATAACAATTATAATTTCATATTCATTATAAGTTGAAAATATATCATAAAGACTTTATGAATGATAAATTCCTAAAAAACAAGTTAGTTTGTTTCTGAAAATAATAATAATAAAAACCAATTTAGACCCAATAATTTTTGGCGGGATAATTGAGATGTTACGATTGAATTAAAAAAAAAGCCGTAATACATTTTTACAATGATGAAGAGGCTGGCAACCTCTGAGTCAAAGCACTTGTTAATGCAATGATGAAGAGGCTGGCAACCTCTGAGTCAAAGCACTTGTTAATGCAATGATGAAGAGGCTGGCAACCTCTGAGTCAAAGCACTTGTTAATGCAATGATGAAGAGGCTGGCAACCTCTGAGTCAAAGCATTTGTTAATGCAATGATGAAGAGGTTGGCAACCTCTGAGTCAAAGCATTTGTTAATGCAATGATGAAGAGGCTGGCAACCTCTGAGTCAAAGCATTTGTTAATGCAATGATGAAGAGGCTGGCAACCTCTAAGTCAAAGCACTTGTTAATGCAATGATGAAGAGGCTGGCAACCTCTGAGTCAAAGCATTTGTTAATGCAATGATGAAGAGGCTGGCAACCTCTAAGTCAAAGCACTGGTTAATGCAATGATGAAGAGGCTGGCAACATCTGAGTTAAAATACTTTTCCCAGTGTGGGAGTAATTTGAAAAAAAAAATTTAGTTCATATATTGAAAAAAACAAAAGTAAAAATTAAAGTGTATAGGTTGTGTTTGATGAGTTAATTGTTAAGATATTGTAGTTCTAAAGAAAAATTGGAGTTTCGAGGAAGTTTCTCGACAGAGGAAACTTTCATATCGAATGTTGCCTCTGTCGAGATGTATGTGACAGGCAAAGTGCAATATTATCAATATTGCACTTTGCCTGAATGCACTGTGTACATCTCGACAGAGGCAACATTCGATATGAAAGTTTCCTCTGTCGAGAAACTTCCTCACACCTCAAGAGATGCGAAGAACTTTTGACAGGCAAAGTGCAATATTGATAGGTGATTGCACTTTGCCTGTCACATACATCTCGACAGAGGCAACATTCGATATGAAAGTTTCCTCTGTCGAGAAACTTCCTCACACCTCAAGAGATGCGAAGAACTTTTGACAGGCAAAGTGCAATATTGATAGGTGATTGCACTTTGCCTGTCACATACATCTCGACAGAGGCAACATTCGATATGAAAGTTTCCTCTGTCGAGAAACTTCCTCACACCTCAAGAGATGCGAAGAACTTTTGACAGGCAAAGTGCAATATTGATAGGTGATTGCACTTTGCCTGTCACATACATCTCGACAGAGGCAACATTCGATATGAAAGTTTCCTCTGTCGAGAAACTTCCTCACACCTCAAGAGATGCGAAGAACTTTTGACAGGCAAAGTGCAATATTGATAGGTGATTGCACTTTGCCTGTCACATACATCTCGACAGAGGCAACATTCGATATGAAAGTTTCCTCTGTCGAGAAACTTCCTCACACCTCAAGAGATGCGAAGAACTTTTGACAGGCAAAGTGCAATATTGATAGGTGATTGCACTTTGCCTGTCACATACATCTCGACAGAGGCAACATTCGATATGAAAGTTTCCTCTGTCGAGAAACTTCCTCACACCTCAAGAGATGCGAAGAACTTTTGACAGGCAAAGTGCAATATTGATAGGTGATTGCACTTTGCCTGTCACATACATCTCGACAGAGGCAACATTCGATATGAAAGTTTCCTCTGTCGAGAAACTTCCTCACACCTCAAGAGATGCGAAGAACTTTTGACAGGCAAAGTGCAATATTGATAGGTGATTGCACTTTGCCTGTCACATACATCTCGACAGAGGCAACATTCGATATGAAAGTTTCCTCTGTCGAGAAACTTCCTCACACCTCAAGAGATGCGAAGAACTTTTGACAGGCAAAGTGCAATATTGATAGGTGATTGCACTTTGCCTGTCACATACATCTCGACAGAGGCAACATTCGATATGAAAGTTTCCTCTGTCGAGAAACTTCCTCACACCTCAAGAGATGCGAAGAACTTTTGACAGGCAAAGTGCAATATTGATAGGTGATTGCACTTTGCCTGTCACATACATCTCGACAGAGGCAACATTCGATATGAAAGTTTCCTCTGTCGAGAAACTTCCTCACACCTCAAGAGATGCGAAGAACTTTTGACAGGCAAAGTGCAATATTGATAGGTGATTGCACTTTGCCTGTCACATACATCTCGACAGAGGCAACATTCGATATGAAAGTTTCCTCTGTCGAGAAACTTCCTCACACCTCAAGAGATGCGAAGAACTTTTGACAGGCAAAGTGCAATATTGATAGGTGATTGCACTTTGCCTGTCACATACATCTCGACAGAGGCAACATTCGATATGAAAGTTTCCTCTGTCGAGAAACTTCCTCACACCTCAAGAGATGCGAAGAACTTTTGACAGGCAAAGTGCAATATTGATAGGTGATTGCACTTTGCCTGTCACATACATCTCGACAGAGGCAACATTCGATATGAAAGTTTCCTCTGTCGAGAAACTTCCTCACACCTCAAGAGATGCGAAGAACTTTTGACAGGCAAAGTGCAATATTGATAGGTGATTGCACTTTGCCTGTCACATACATCTCGACAGAGGCAACATTCGATATGAAAGTTTCCTCTGTCGAGAAACTTCCTCACACCTCAAGAGATGCGAAGAACTTTTGACAGGCAAAGTGCAATATTGATAGGTGATTGCACTTTGCCTGTCACATACATCTCGACAGAGGCAACATTCGATATGAAAGTTTCCTCTGTCGAGAAACTTCCTCACACCTCAAGAGATGCGAAGAACTTTTGACAGGCAAAGTGCAATATTGATAGGTGATTGCACTTTGCCTGTCACATACATCTCGACAGAGGCAACATTCGATATGAAAGTTTCCTCTGTCGAGAAACTTCCTCACACCTCAAGAGATGCGAAGAACTTTTGACAGGCAAAGTGCAATATTGATAGGTGATTGCACTTTGCCTGTCACATACATCTCGACAGAGGCAACATTCGATATGAAAGTTTCC